GAAAGATCGGTCGAAGGAGTATAGGGTAGGATTTCGTCCGGAATTTATAACGAGCATATAAGGGGCTAAATAATATATTAAAAGAATAGCGTTATAAAAGATACTTATAAACTTACTTTTTCTATCTACTATTCCTAGGGAAATCCTTCGTCTTTTATAGACTATTACTCGCTTACTAGTAGACTAATTAGTTAGCTTTCTAGTATATTCTATAGTACTTAAAAAGCTCTATCTATAGTATATCTTCCTAGCTTAGTAGGTAGTCTAATTATAACGTAATAGTTAACGTAAGACTATAGGTTCTAGTATAAGTAGTAGATTTAACTAGAATGTTCTATGCCCTACCTATTCTCGTATCGCGGATATCTTCGGAACCGCTAAGTAAAAATAGGCAATAGGGTATCCGTTCTACTTATAATTAACTTATGCATTTTATATATATTTTATTTTATTAGGATAGGCTTATCTTAACCCGCTTTTCCTAAAGGAAGGTATAGATATCTAGTAAAGGTCTTTATCTTTAAGGGTTATTCCCTTAGACTATATTATAGAGCCTCTTTTTACTAGCTTATTTTATAGAGCCTCCCTATACTTATTATTTCTTTATAATAGTAAAATAGGAATATAAAGGTATATTCTTATACTTATAGAGGAGGGCGGCAAGGACCCGCGCTTACTATTATCGTCGTTATTATCGTCGTTATTACAGCGGCCGGTAGCGGAGAGCGTAGCGGCGGCGGCGGCGGCGCGGGCAGTAAAGTTAACGGCCGAGAAGCCGGGTAGCGGGTGGCGCGGAGCGGCGGTAGGCGCGGAGCGGCGGTAGGCGCAACTAGGGCGGCGGGGGTAGTAGTTAGGGTAGCGGGCGAGGCGAGGGCGCGATCGACGAAGTCGTTAATCTTAGCGGAGAAGTAAGATAAGGCGGGGGAGGATATATTAAATTATTTAAATTACTAGTAAGGGTATAGGTTAGCTTATATATAGGCGGCAGCGCACGGCTAAGCGCTAGGAGACTTATAGTTATAGTTATAGCTACTACTACTAATACTAATAATAATAGTATAGTTAAAAGGAAAGAGTAATAAGAGCGCGCTAATAGGTTATTTACCTCCTAGCCGCGCGCCGAGGTATAAGATTAATGTTATAAGGGACCGCCTATAAAGAGAGGGGTAGGGACCTTATATAAGGGTATTTACCCTTAGTATAGGTCTAGGTATTAGCCTAGACCTTAGCTAATAGCGTTATAGGGTAAGGTAGGCTATATATATAAATATATATTTAGTAGTAGTAGGCGTAGCGTATAGTTAGATCCTATATAGCTTATTATTATAATATAATAAAAGGCACCTATAGTATAACCCTTTACTTACTTTATAATAATAAATAAAGATTTCTATTTATATAAATAGTAATACTTATAGTAATACTTATTTTTTTAGGCTCCTTAAGTAGAAGTATATAATCCTTAGTTAGCCCTTTATTTTTATATTTACTTAAATAAGTTTAATACTAGTTTATAATATATTCTAGGACTTAGTAGTTAAAATAAATAGGATATAAAAGAGAGTTAATACCTTAAAAAGCAACGTTATAAAATAAAACTATAAGTTTATAATTTCTAAACGATATACTAAAGGCGATTTACTACCTAAGGCTTTATAACTACGTTGTTATTAGGATAGGAAAGGGCCTATAATACGCGTTAGTAATACCTCTATTAAGGGTGCCCTTATTTTATATAGTATAGCGGTATTTTACTAGCTTAATAGTTATAAGCCCGGTTACGGGCCCCCGCTAGGCGAATTAGCGAGGGTTAAAAACCTATTCCGGAAGCTGCGCTAGCTTGTTAGTCTATTATTCGACTCCTAGGGTGGTCATGATACGCTGCGGGTAGCTGACAGCCTAAATCCAAAGAGTTAGGGGGGTTGCCTGTGCCTCCTTAACTACACAGGAAATCCTATCTATTTGCCAGACAAGGCCCTATTAGTCTTACGGGTAGCTTGCTAGCTCCATAGAAGATGCAGCCATCAACCTAGGGGGTGTGTCAGGACAAGAAAGGGCCTATAATACGCGTTAGTAACACCTCTATCGGGGGTGCCCTCATTTTGCATGGTGTAGCGGTATTTTACCAGCTTGACAGTCGTATAATCGCGAGAGATGTCGCCTTAGCATGGTAATCCTTAAAGATATAAGCAGACGCCTATAGACGGCATTAGCGGGTTTACGAGATAGCTGCTAGGAATGGGTCGCGTATACCAACTTATCAAGGGATCTTAAATACGCAAGTGACTCGCAATTTGACTTTCGTTTCTTATTATATAATTGGAAAGGTGGATAGGATTAGCGTTCCCTGCCTGCGCGCCTAGTGATGCATCTGCCGTTATTCGAACAAGGCCCTGTGAAAGCTTCCTGACAGGCGTTCCAAACAACGGTAAGTATCTCAGGCCAAGAAGGGTCCGAACCACTTTACCACTTGGTGGAAAACCATGCATGTTTTACTCTTGCTCGCAGGCTTTCTGCATCCGAGCACACCCGAATAACCGCTGAAGTGATGAAAAAAAACAGACGTCAGCTACGCAGTACGGATAGGTGGCATGGCTAGACCCTTGTTTTTCTTACACCACTTGCCGCCCCTCGGTGGACAATTTCGGGATCGAACACGATGACGGTGGTGCATGTCATGAATTGATGAGTCATTGGCTGACAAAGACGTGATTCAACGGAGTACTCCGTACGAAAAACACATTCCTTCTTCTCCACGGCACTTGATGTTTGAAACATGACGCCGGGAATTCGCCATACGCTGGAAGTCCAGTTCGTTTCAAGTCGTCGGGCACACCGCCGAGAAAAGTCGCCGTCGTCGCAGAAGCAGAGCACAGGGCTCAGCGGCAGGGCTGTGCCGTGCAAGACGAACGAGGGAAAGATGCGAGCCGACACTCGCGGCGCCTGAAACACTCGCGGCGGCCGTGGAGAGCCGCATAACCGGGCTGCTGTCATGGGCATGGGAAAGACTCGGCACTAGGCGCTTGCCGAGCGCTTCCTCTCAGCCGGAAGAGGCGGCTCTGCCGCTTTGGGCACTCGAGGATGAACAACGGGCCCGGGTGGACCAACCCATGGGGCTTGGCAAACGAAACAATCCGTCGGCGTTAACCTACGAGTCCTACCCGTGACTGCTCTCGCCGAGTATCCTGATGGAGGACAGACGACCCTGAGCCGGCATTCGGCGCTGATCCGGGCACGGACGATGGATCAAGCATCTTGTTCTTGTTCACCCTACTATCGTTCGTACCCAGCTCGTGAAACCTGGGCCACGATGAGGCTGCTGGACTCGACTTGCGTACGCGTCGCCTACCTGACACATGCACCACCTCGTCTGGCGGAAGGCGGGTTGTGAATGTATGTATGCCAGCTGTGTTGGACACGGTTTGTGCGACTATTCTTGCTCGGTCCGGTGCCGTGGCTGACGAATGCAGGGTGATTGCCACAGTCTGATGGGTGAAGCCGGGTGAGATTGTGTGAGCCAGAGGCACCCGGTTTCGCGCACGACGTGGAATGCAGACGACGAAGCGCTGCCGGACCATTCACCTTGACAACTGATGAGGATGGTGGCGACGAGGATTGGCCCAGAGCTTCCGATGCGAACAGGACGCATACAATCTTAGTTGGATACCGACATGCAGGTGGCCGCATGCCGTCACATGCGCAGTTTCAGTCCGCATGTGCGTCCGGACCGGCAATGGTGAATGATGATGCCGCTGCCGAGGGCGCCCATTGGCGACAGGCCGGCGCCTAAGTGAGCCCACCACGTTGATACATGGACACATGAATGTAGTTCGGGGTGTTGGCCCGGCCTAAATTTAGGCAAGAGACGCAGCAGTCGAGGCACGCACCTGGGGATGGCCTGGGCGGGAGGTTCTCACACTCGCTGACTTACGACACGGGGGCGGCAAGGTTGGGTGAGGAGAATACGAAGATAGCCCACAGGCGTCCCTGACTTTTTAAAGTTCAGAATGAGAATGTAGGGCTGATTTGGAAGACTAGGTCTTACGCGACTCCGGGACCCTTGGTTGGACGCGACACGGCGCAAGGATGCTGGCGCGGTGGCTACGAGAACGGCAGCAGGCAAGCAAGAAGGCGTCGCAAATGGATGATGCTGACTCGCTGGGTGGTCTGCAGCCGTCGTCGCCAGTCAGTTGACCGGGGGGTCGAGCGAGTCAACGGCAGAGCGACGACGTTTGGTTGTCCATGTGCTCTCTTCCTTTTCCTTTTGTTCTCTTGCCAGGCCATGCCCCCTTTGGTGCTAGCGAGAGCAGCCAACACGGGGAGTGGAGGGGAGGGGGGAGGGAGAGAGGGGGAGCAGTGAAAGCTGGCCCCCCGGCAGCTCGTCCCCCGGCAGCTCGCCCCGGCAGCACGCCGTCCCGGGCGTCCCTGCACTCACACCGTCATCCGAGACATGACATGGCCGCTGCTGCACGGCAACCGGGTGAAGGAGCTGAAGGATAAAAGGCAGGTATGCGCTCGAATGACGGCAATCCGCCTTGCATTGCTCCGCTCACGGCTTGGACTAAAATCATCTCGTTCTGTTTGTGTGCCCGCCGCCCGTTGATCATCAACAAACAGGCTGCCGTGTAACCCGCCAACAAGCCCTTTTTTAATTCACACCGCCCTGTCTATCTGCTACCTACAGTACACTACATACAGTACAACATTACATTACATACTCGGCTTCCTGCTTCACGCCCGCTTCACGCCCGCTTCACGCACGCTTCCCGCACGCAACTGTGCGTCGCCGTGCATAAAGCCGTCCTCGAGCCCCCGCCGCCCGCCTGTCTCTGGCGGTGCTCGTCCGCGCTCGCTCTCCCCATTTCTCCTGCCGTTTCTTCGTCCTCCTCCCTCGTTCTTTACCCCCTCCCTTGCCATCGTTCGTCCCCTCAGTCGCTTCGCCGTTGGCCAGCATACACAACAAAAACTCTTCCGTCGTTTGCATTCCACCGTCGTCCACCATGCGCGCCGCAGCCATCGTGACGGCCTCCCTCTCGGCGGCCCTCGTCGCCGCCCAGGCCACCCAGGACGCCCCTCGCATCTCGGGCAACCCGACCGACGTTGCGTACGAGGCCACGCTTCCCAACGATGCCTTCTTCAAACAGGGCTCCCTCAACGGCAACGTCAAGGGCTCCATCCGCGCCCAGGCCCCCAAGGACGGCAACGGCGTCAAGTTTACCGTCCGCTTCGACAATGTCCCTGCCGAGGGCGGCCCATTCCGTGAGTTTCCCTCGCCATGCCGGCCGTGGAGCCCCGACTGACGACGTCTAGTATACCATCTCCACGCTCAGCCCGTGCCCAATGACGGGAACTGCACCAAGACGCTGGCTCACCTGGATCCCTTCAACCGCGGCGAGCAGCCTCCCTGCGACGCCTCGGCCCCGCAGACTTGCCAGGTCGGTGATCTGAGCGGCAAGCACGGCAAGGTGACGCAGGACCCCTTCCAGGCCGAGTACCTCGACCCTTTTACCTCGCTCAAGGAGGGCGACCAGGCTTTTTTCGGAAACCGATCCTTCGTCTTTCACTTTGGCAACACGACGCGCATCACGTGCGCCAACTTTGCCCAGGTGGACGCCGACGACTCCGGCTCTGGAGACAACAGCAACCAGCAGCCGTCGGCCCTGCCGGCCGTGGGAAGCGCCGCGGGCGCCGCGGGAGCCACTGGCAGCACGAGCCCTGGCCCGACGGGCAGCCCCTTGGCTTTCCCGGGCGCGGCCACGACGACCAAGTTGTCGCTGTCCCTGGTGCTGGTGACGGTGGCGGCGCTGGCGTTTGCTCTGTAAGCTCTGGAAGCAGACGACGAGAGGAGAGTGATGCGAGTCCATGTGCCCGGTCCCATCCCCCAGCATGCCATTTGGGGCCCTTTCACTTTCATACCGGCTTAGATTCTTGTGTAATTATCATGAAAATGGCCTTGTAATCGTGGTAATAACGCGGAATGGCAGTAGATGAAGTCTGTTTTTTCATGTCCAACGCCCACCTCGTCGTACCTCTGCGATGCAAGGGCCTGCTCTGTGACGCTGGTACATTGCCGTCCCGGCACTGCATCCGCCGAAGGGAACTCGATCGATGCGAGTCTCGAAGCGGCTCCCTGGGACGAGTTGTTTCTAGTGCTGACTTCGTTGCGCAAGGCGTCTTAGTGAGGCCGTTTCTCGACCCAAACACACAGTTTATCGTCAGGACTTTTTGAACAAGAGGCGCATCGTGGGGAGGCTCCTGCGAGGCATTCTGATCAACCTCGCTCTCTTCCCTCCATCATCGTGCCAGCATAACGAGTCTTTTGGCTGCGAGCGGTCGTGTGTTGTAGGTACAAGGTACCTGCTTGCAGCGCAGAGGCACGCCAGGCAGCTGGCAGCTGGCAGCTGCTTGCACGTGATGGCAGGCACTTGCAACGACACGACGGCCATTCCTATTTCCAAATTTCAACTTCCCTTCTCCAGCAACGCCGTAGATTTTCCTCGAGCAGCCTTTTCTCTCCTTGACATTTCTTGCTCTCCCTCGCAGTCTTCCCTCCGCTCTTTTCCCCTCACGGCCCCGATGCCCTCGATTGGCCCTCCTTCGCTCTTTGCCTGCGCCGTCTGGGACCGCCTTGCGACGGAAAACTAGCGCCCGACCATTGCTTCGCCCTTTTGCCTCGTCTGTCGCTGTCGACAGCTGCCTGGGCTTGCGCCATGGCCAAGAAGAAACCCAAGCAGCCATCGGTCGCAGGAGAAGATGGCGCCGCCGACAAATCGCCTCGAAGCCCCGACGCCCCGGCCCCTCCTCCCCAGCAACCGTCGGCAGCCAAGAAGAGCTCCAGGGCTCCAAGCGAAGCATCTGTAACGCCTTCGTCCTCGTCGCTCATAATATGTCGCAACAAGTAGGTGGCAACCCCCTCCCCCAGTCACCTGTCGACGTTTGCGCTGACCGTCTCGGCACCTGCAGGCACTGGCGACACATTTCTTCCTTCCACGGCGCCTGGCTCCAGATGCCCACTGAGATCCTCGAGACCATCGCAAACATAAACTACAACACCCAGCGTCCTCGCCCCATCGATCCCGCCATCCTGTTTGACCTCATCAAGATTCGCAAAAACGTCGACGAGGCCGCCGACCTCGCCGTCAGGGCTGCCAGCGACACCGCCTCCCCGACGCTTTCGTCCGTCAATGGTGGCATGCCAGGTGTGTCCTCGATGAACGCCTTTGGCCTGGGCTTGACCGGTCACGGCACAAAGTTAAGTCGCGAGAGAAGGTTTCGCATGCGAGAACTGGCAAGCCAGAAGCTTGCCCGTGCCTATCGCTTAGACGAGATTGCTTCCAGTGTCGCCACCATGCAGGGCGCCTCGACCCTCGAGGACATTGGAGCCCTGGTGCTCCAGCACAGTCCCGAGGATCCTGACGCCAAATATGTCCACTTCTTCCACCAAAAGATCCCCTCACGCCACCTGGCCGAGTCGACGAGCCTGCAACCCCTCGAGGACATCATGTCCACCAGGGCTGGTCAGCCAGAGGTACTGCGCACCCTGGCCACGGTCAAGATTTTCAAGGGTGACTTGGACGGCGCTGCCCAGGATCTTACAGACGCCATGGCCCTGTCGAGATATCGTGGGGAGTCGCATCGGTCCAGTGCTGACAGTGTGCAACAAGCCCAGCAGGCACAAGGCAGTAGGAGGCGGCTGCCAGATGTGATTCTTTCCCAAGATGGCCAGCCAAGCGGTCTTGACTCGCAGCTTCTCTTCCAGCGCGGATGCGTCTACCTCTCCATGGCCAGCCTGTGCGTCTCGGACGGCATTCCCTGTCCGACAGCCCCCTCTGCCGAGGCAAACGGCTCCGAGAAGCATGCCGCCGACGACGCTGATCATGATGGGCCTGACGCCGAGAAACGAGATGCAGACACCAGTGCCGAGGCCTTGAAACTGCAGGCCGATTCGCGAAGACATGTCAAGTTCATGGCCAAGCGAGCGCTCCGGGACTTGATGGCCTTTCTCGCCCAGTTCGACTACACGCCCGACATGCCCATCAAGCTCAACAAGGAGTTCAATGAGCGCGTCTTCCTCGCTTCCCAGGGCGTCCGGAATCCTCGCTGCTCCGACGCAGGCGGCCCATTGGAGCCGCACACGCTTTACTCGCTGGCCGAGCTTTTCTCGGCCGTGCCGCCTTCGAATCTCCCGGCGTACCCAAGTCAGGACATGGTTAGGCGCGATGAACTGAGTCCACGGCCGGCCACTACTTGCGAGTGGGTGACTTACCATCCGCTTCTCACCGAGGCTCTGCACTCCCTCCTCCTGTGCCATTGTCTGGCTCAGACTTCGGTCAAGGAACTTCAGCGCCACGCATACATGGTCGCGCGCCTCGTCAGGCTGTGTGAGGGCTATCCTGTATTCCAAGCGAGCAGGTCGCCCGCACGTACAGACTGGGTCGAGGTTCTCCGAAGAGCTAAGAACTGGCTGAATCTCTCGCCGAGTTGGGAAAGTCTCTGCTTCCCAGCGCCCCTCCCGGTCTACGACCCGCATCCCCACCCAGCGTCGGCTGCGCATGATCCAGCCAGGGCCACTGCGGCCACGGCCCTCATTAACGGCAGCTCCGCCGTCTCGGCCCAGGAGAATCGCAAGGCTACCCTCCCCGAGCCGAATCCGGCGGAGGATATACCAGGGAAACGGACCGTGGATCGGCAGGTGACCCACCAGGCAACGACCTCAGCGAAGAAGAAGGATGCCGCCCTCGACGTCAAGAGCTCGGCGGGCATCGGGCCCAGCAGGAGCGATTCTACGCCGGCTCCGGCCCCGGTCAGCCTTGAATCTGCCGTGTGGTGGGCCAGCGATGACGGCAGAGATTACCCCATTGCGTCGGACCGCTCCGTGTGCATTGCGCAGTGGGTGCTGGAGGCGCCCCAGGTCACTGGAATCAAGCGCAAGAAGCGCGCGAAGAAGAGCACCGCCAAGGTAGGCGAGGCGGCCGAGGACCTCGCCAAGCTGGACTTTGGCGAGGCCAACGATGCGTAGGTGCCACGCCGCTACGGCGACGAAGCAGGACCGAGGGGGCCGTCTCTCTGCCAGTTTTGTACTCATGGATACTATCAGGATCCCCCCGTGAAGGAGCTTGGGGGGGTGAAGTTGGGGTTTGCTCCTATCAGAAAAGGAGAATACCGAGCGCGAGCGACGGAAGAATCAGAGTCGCATGCATATGCGTACTCTTAGCGACACAGATGATAGCATGGCCTCGAGACTTGGTCTCTGGAGCCCTTAACCCATCTTTTCATCATCTTTTTCATGCCCAGACACGTTGTGCAATTCTATCAAGACGTTACGTGACATGCCGCGGTGAAGAGGGAGGGTCGCACCACGCCGAACGCCAAGCCCCTGTGTTGCCCGCTCTTGTCCCCCCACCCCCCATTTCCCTCCATTATATGCAAGTACCTAGCTGGTTCCGAGGCCGCCAAACGCCTGTGCTAAGCCCTCGGCCAGGGTGTTCCGTCGCAAGAACCGAGCCCAGTTCCATCAACCCAAAAGGAGAAGAAAGGGACACGCGTAGGAATCCAAAACAGGAAGAAATCAAAGGGGAGAGGTAGATACATCATCCAACGCCTTGCGTGCTGCCCCAGCCGCAAGATATTCCAACAACCTCACAACAAAAGGAGTAGAAGAAGATCCAAAAAGAAGAAAGGAAAGGAGGGTGCGCCTAGTACCACGTCGCGTCCACCATGTTGTTGCTGGCATTCAAAAAGTTGTCAATGTCGCCGGCGCCCTCCGTCTCGAGCACGTTCATCAGCTCCAGCTGCTGCTCCTGCGTCAGGCTGCCCTGCCTGCCAGGCGGCATCAGCGACGAGGACGACGACGACGAGAGAGAAAAGGTGCCGACAGCGTTGAGATCCATGCCGACGTTTTGCAGACCGAGACCCGTCGGCGCCGTCTCGGCAAAGTTGTTGGGCATGGCATCGTTGAAGAAACCGCCGCTCATGAGGCCGAAGTTGTAGGGCGAGATGAAGGGGGCCGGCGGCGAGAACCAGTCGACCGGGCTCGTCGTCGTCGGCAGGGGACGCTGTTGGGGGCCGGGCTGGGGGGCTCGGGATGTGGTGAAGGAGGGCGTGGCCTGCGAGGGCTGCGGCGTCTGCGACGACATGAACTTCTGGGGCGGCGACGGGTTCATTTGCGCAGACAGCGCACCGGCGTCGGCCGACGTGTCCGACAGGTTCGAGCCCGGGGGCATGCCGGGCGGCGAAAACGAGGTGCTCGGCGTGGCCGTGGACAGACCGCCCGTCGGCAGCGACTCGGGCGGCGTCGGGAGCTGGTTGGAGGTTTGCTCCGACGGCGAGGTGAGCGTCTGATCAGGTGACGTTGTGGACACCCCGCCACCTTCAAAGGCGCCATCGCCCGACTTCAACCAGTCGGGCGGGAAGTACGAGAACCTTCGGCCGCTCGACTCCGAGGCCGGATTGCCAAAGATTGAATTGGAGCGGAAAGTCGGGTGCGGCGGCGGGAATCTATTGTCGAAGGCGTACGAGTTCATGGACTCGGCGGGCGAGTCGAAGACGAAGCCAAACTGGGGCGGGTTCAGGTAGGGAACCTGCTGCTGCTGCTGCTGCTGCTGTTGTACGTTTCCAGGCGACAGCTGCGGTTCGGCGCCAGAAGGCGGGCTCGCCAGGGAGAAGACGGGCCCTTGGTTGTCTGCTCCTCTCAGCTCGTAGCTCTGCAGGCAAGCCTTGGCAAAGATGCCGTACAGCTGAGAGGTGTAGGCCGTTCCGGGCCAACGTTCGGCACACCGGTCGAGGCTCAGCAACGACAGGTTTACCAGGCTCTCCACCTCGTCTCGTGAGTGCGCCCGCCGTACCTCCGGATATGACGTGGCCCAAAGCAGAGCGTTCAGGGCCGCATTGAGCGTCAAGAGAAAAACCCACGTAATGGACATTGTGCCACTCTCTATCTGCTTGTGGGACTGGTCCAGCACAAATGCCGAGCTTTCGAAGCAGACCATTGCCGCCTGCGCCGACGGTTGAGGCACTTGCGGGGACGGCCTGTACAGGGAGATCCTCAGCTGGTGGTAGTAGCCAGTGAACCTGTGCTTGTCTGTCAGTGACATGTGCCCCGTCCAGAAATGATCAAGGACGGCGTACCAAGGCCTGAACCATAGGGGGTTCTCCGGAGACCCGTCCAGCCAGTTCTTCAGCTTCTGCTCCAGGCTGCCGTACCAAGGGTGCGAGTCGTCCTTGGGCTCCGCCCGCTTCTTCTCATACAGTATCCTCCGGATCTCGGCCTGAAACTGCCGCGTCTTGTACAGGTGAATGGCCACGAGCTTGCGCTCGCTCGGCAGCCCTGACTGAATGCCGTTTGGAGTGATGTGCTCGTCGTCGACGGTCGAAAAGAAGCCGACTTCCATGCGATCCTCACTGGTGGCGAAGCCACTGGGCCGCCCCATGTGGCCTGCAAGACCGGACTCGACAGTCGCCACGATCCACACGAGGCGTCGACGCATGTCGATAGTCTTGGGATCCAAGTTGTAGCCTGTCGAGATTGTCTGCTCGTCGGCCAGGCCCTCCTGCTGACAGATGCGCGTCGCAAGGCCAATGACGTAGTAGAAGGGGGTCCTTGTAGGCGTGAGCAGCGAGTATTGACCTATCAACATCAAGCACTGCAGTGATTTCAGGTCCTTGGGCCGAATGAGAGTCTCGGCATACTGCATGGCAGCCACATAATAGCTGTCTGCCAACCCCGCGTAGTGGATGTCGAGCTTTTGCAGACTGACAGCGATGACCATTCGTACGACGAAGTTCTTGTAGGGATCGCCGTCGCCATCGTACACGGCGACCAAGTCGCGTTCGAGATCCTGCTCGTGCAGCACGGGCCAAAGCAGTTGAGCTGCGCATGTTAGCATTCTCCATAAGCCATGGGCCAGGGCGCGTGGTCTCACATTTCTGTTTGTAAACCTCCACCAGCTTGTCCGCAGTGTCGCGCTTCGGTAGTGACTCGGCCGGACGCTCGCTGACCATGGGATAGCTCTTCTTCCTGCCGCCAACGGCCGGGCCGGTCATCTGGATCGACTGCATACGCGCCTGGCTCCTTGCACGAACCTCGGGTATCAGCTCCGAGATGCGATGCGACTCAGTGTAGCGCTTGGCCTCCTCCATGAGAAGACGGGTCATGGCGATACCACTGCTGGGGCCTAGGTAGCGGGGAGTCTCGTCGCTGGCCTTGAGGCGGATCATGCCTCCGGGACGCACAATGTCTTCGTTGCTGCAGGGGTAGTCGGGCTCGTCGTCGGTATACTGGCCGAGCTCGGCCTCGAGGGCCCTGACTCTGTCCTGCAGGCTGATGACATAGTAGCGATTGATTTTCTTGCCCTTTGTGGTGTCGAGGTACTCGCATATGGAGCCGGATCTTTCGCAGGGCAGGCAGCGAGGCAAGGTGGGATCGCAGCGTGTTTTTCTCTGGCGGCAGCGGCAGCAAGCTGTCAAGGTATGGGCGACGCGATGGCCGGAGCCGTCATCATCCGAAAAGTCGTGGAGCGGCTGGGGATGGCTCTGGCTCTGGGGCTGTGCGACGTGCGCATGGTTCTGGCGAGGCGGGACCGAACCCAGGCCCTGGCGAAAGATGTGCGCAGGGTCCATGAGCTCCAAGTCGCACTTGACCAAGCAAGCGGCAAGGGGGAGCGAAGGGTCTCGAGGAAGATGGATCGAGGTTGCAGGGCGAAGGAGCCGTCAGGAAGGACGAGGAGCAGACGAGCGTCGGGCTGCGGCTGGGCAGGGAAGCGGCGACGAGGACGGTCTTGAAGGCTTGCCGGCAGGCGGCATCACCACCGACCGAGGGAAGACACGGGCCGGCGAAATGTCGAGAGGCTGGGCGATGGTCTAGGTTGGAGGCCGCATATGAGACGAAGGCAGAGTTGGTTGGGGAGGTAGCGAGGTCACGGGTCGGACAGAGGCGAGGCGAGGCGAGGCATGCCAGAAGGACGCTGCTGCTTCCAATTCGGATGGTGCTGCTGCTGCTGCTGCTGCTGCTGATGATGATGATGATGCCGGTGGTGGGTGAAGAGGCGACGTCTCGAGGCGGACGCCGTGTGCGTTGGGCCAGAGGGAAGGGAGGCTGGTTGGTGCGCTATCGGTACCGGGCCTTCGTACTTCTGCCAGGCCTGGAGGGGACGGACGGGCCGCTTGAATCGACAGGGTTCCTTGGCTGAAGTCGGACATGGACAGGGCAAGGACGTCCCTGGCCGGCAGAGGGATCGTCATGCTGGTGCAAGCGGCAACTACCTTTTAGCGCCCCAAGGTAGCATGCTCGGTGCAGTGGCCTGCCTGCCACAGAGGGCCTGGAACCAACAGGACGTGCCATTGCACACGGCCAGCGTCGACGGATACTCGGCCGCTGGTAGCCAGGTACCTGCCGCCCCGAGCGTCTGTGCCAAGCCCAGCAGGTATCGCGCCAAGACGCTCACGTACCACTCATCCCACATTGTCCAGCACCCAGGTAGCCTTGGCATCATTTTGATTCCCTCCAACGTGACATAGGGGGTGGGGGGAGAAAAGGACCGAGCTGGAACGTCTTCTAAAAACAGGTGCAATGAAGAATGAATTACGAAAAAAAAATGGGCAGGCATTGCGAGCCCCCGGTTGAGCAGGACCGGAAGAAGGGCGGGCATGGCCGGTTGTCGCGCTACTTGCTGCGTGGCACAGAGCAGAGCGGGTGTCTGGCCGGGCCGGCTCGGGGACCAGCCACAGGGGCTCGGAAGCCTGGGGGTTGCTAGATGCACGCGGAAGAGACAAGAGACACCACGAGAGTGCTTTGCTTGTGGCTCACTCTAGGTTCTCCACCCCCCTCCACCCCCCTCCCCCAGCAGCAGGCACAGTCGCATCCCGTGGGGCGGCCTTGAACAGCCAGGGGGGGACACGCAAGATGCCGCGCAGACGTCGATCGACGTGCAGAGACTCCCCTGTTTTCAACACCTCTGTCCGATGCAGGGCATCTATTCGTCTGGCGTCTCGGGGGGCTCCACGAGTGACGGGATGTCCATTGTACTGTACAAGGTGAGAAGGTGAGAGCTGCGAGATGGGAGAAAGCAGCGGACGAGGCAGAAACCCTATTCGCAAGCCATTCAACTCGTCATCGACCACCAACACACAGACCAAGGGGAGCCCGAGCTCAGTGTCTACAGCGCACTATTCCAGGGCACGCTATACCCGATTAATCCGTGGCACATGCCATGATCTGCGCGCTGAAGTGTCTATTTTACTACCTAGTATTATTACCTGCCTTACCTACGTAGCTTGTCTGGAGTACAGGATGAGCGGATGAACATGTTGTGTTTGACGGTCATGATACATTTTCACACACACACACACACACACATAAATATATATATATGACTCGTCGAATGAAAAGTCGGCCTCCCTCACCTGGGTCGGCAAAGTCCAAAGGCATGCCAAAGTCGTCTTGTACGCATGCGTCCCGAGCTGCCCGAAGCAGGCGCACGGGGAGGAGACTGGTTACCTAACTACCTGCCTATACCTACATAGTACTCGGGGCTACTGCACTCACAGATCACTTGCTGGCAAACAAACTTTGCGCCACGTTCTCCGCCTCCACCTGCCCCTCCCCCGGTGAGCCTCCTCATGTACCGGTGAGCTGGCTGGTGGTAGATTCGAACACTTGCTGTAGCTCCCTGCCGGCCTGCCTGTTGCTTTCTGCTGCTGAATCAAAGCCTCTCCATCTCGTCCAGCACGGCATTGTACATGTGCATGGGAACGGAGAGCCCGAGCGATGTATCTACGGGGTAACCGGAGCACACTTACAGTATAGCACCCTCGCCTTGCGCATTGCCAGTGGCCGGGGATTGCCCATGGATGCTGTGCCCATTTTTACCCTTTCCTAGAGTCATGTCCACATACGGAGTATGATGAGGCGACAAGAGGAAGATGTCAGCGGGGCACAGACCGCCAACCACAATGTCCGTCAAATTACGCACCGCAAAGAAAGACCCTGGTCATAATACATACAGTACATGATATGTAGGTAGAGCAAGGCGCAGCGGTTTGCGGCAGAGCAAGAGTCGTTATTGATGCTGAGCAACTATAGTAGACGTGACGAGACCTACTGTACTCGATCCTGTACCTGGGACTGGTTCGAGAGTACTTGGGCGGTACCTCCGTGTCAAGGCAGGCACATGCAGCGACGTCCGCGTTCGTGAATTTTCACCCAGCCTGCCTGTCAGAATGGGCCGGTCTTAGCGTCTACATTAGGTACCGCCGGGTAACTGGGCAGGCTGGTTGGTAAAGTGGTAGATACCCCTGCCTGTACTCCGTACTCCTGTAGACTACCCTCCCCCCTCTATTCAAGACGGGGGGCGGGGGGGCAACAGCGTCGTCGCCGTCTTTTCCTCTGCACGAGCATCCATCACCACCACCATCGCCTTTGCACTCGCGCGCATGACGTTTACAGGGTACCGTTGACTAGGTGGAATCAATCTCGCCTCTGGATCCTGCGGTGCGCTGCGTCGGCTGCGTGCACGACATCCGCACCGTGCGGCCGCTCCTGCTCTTCAATCTTGCTCTTCTTCATCTCAGCCAACGAATGCACGCGCGGCCAAGGCACTCGTCCTCACGATCCATCGTCGACGTCGCGCCTACACCATCGCCGATCCCGCCACAGATCGTTGTCCGGCCGGGTTCGTCTTTGGCGAGAAAACCATCGTCCACGCTAACCCTTACCTCGTGTCGGCTGCCCTGCTTTCAGCAATCCGTCTGCCACACAAGTCATCCTCGTCTGGCAATCCCGGCTGTCATTCCCGGCCAAGGCACTCTGAGAAGCTCGGAGCATAGCAGCTACTCACCTCCCTTGGCTATACAGCACTTTCTCTCGCCCGTCTACCCATCGTCGGCAATTCACCTCTTGCGACAACCAGTTCTTGACCGATTCCCGCCGAGGGCCCCTTGTCGCCTCGACAGCGAGCCGCCGCGCCGACGTACGACGGGCCAGCGGCCCCTCCAAACCGTCGGTTCGTGGGCCATGCCCCGCACCAGTTTCTCTCGCAATCCCCTGCTCAGGGTCTCGCGGCCTGTGTCGGCATGCTCGCGATGTGAGTCTTTTCCATCCCGCCTTCGTCATTTGCCGTCGTCCTGCCTGGTTTCCCGTGGTGCTAACGACGCCCTCAAATAGGCCGCGCCGCCAAGGTCAAGGTGAGAGAGCGCCGACCAACCACGTCCCTCCAGTCGCTGACTCGTCCTTTACCAGTGTGACGGCAAGCTGCCAGCCTGCACAGCCTGCGAAAAGGCCGGCCGCGAGAATGAGTGCTCAGCCGCCAACGACCAGTTTGCCAGGGGCAAGGAGCGGAGGTGAGTCTCAGCTTCTCCCAAGAAGCCGGCGCAAGCATGACTGACCCCCCCCAGTTATGTCGCTGCGCTCGAGTTGCGCATCGAAAAGCTCGAGAGGCGCCTGCAATATGCCAAATCACGAAAGGCATCCGTTGCTCTCCATGAGCCAGACGCCTCGGTAATGACCCAAGTCGACCGCAGGGATTCGCTTGCCTCGATCCGCGCAGCCATCCATCGCAAGGCCGCCAGGACCCGCGAGAACCATGACGTCAACTCCCTCGTCTCCGATTTTGGCTTCTTGTGGGTTTCGCTGCCGCGCCGTCTCCTCTTCCTCCAACTTGCTGATCCGAGCCAAGGTCCGTCGACGCCACGTCTCGCGACTTCGAGCCCTCTGCCAGCAACGTGACTTTTGCGAGGCTCGTCCTGGCCGCCACAACAAACGACAGCATTCCGGGTCCGGCCCCTCCGGGTTTGCCCCCTAGGCCCGTTGCCCATACCATTGTGCAGTACTTCATGACCAACATCTACTCCCTCTTTCCCTGCTTCTCCGAGACGACGCTCTTGACCATTCTCGACGACGTGTATCGCCAAGATGACCGCGTCGTCAAGGACGCGGGCTACTGGCTTCTGTACATGGTCCTCGCAATTGGCTCGACGGCACAAAGCCAGAGGATCAACGACGACTTCTACGCCCAGGGAGTCAACTTTGTCTCCAAAGCCTTGCCCTACGCCGACAGGGCTCTTGCCCCTGGATACGTCACCCAGATCCAGTCCATTCTGCTCTTGACCCTCTATTCCATGTTCGACCCCTCGCACTTTGACAGCTGGCACCTGATTGGCTTCACGGCGCGGGCGGTCGTGGACCTGGGCTTCCACCAGGAACCCCCACAGGCGTCGGGATCCGACAAGTCTGCCTTGGACATGCGGCGCAAGATATTCTACTGCGCGTACGCTCTCGATCGGTAGGTCAAGCCGTTGTGCCAAACCGGCCGTGTCGCCGCTGACTGGACCTTTGCATCAGTGCCATCAGCATGGCCCACGCGCGGACCTTCTCCTTCACCGACGATGCCGTCAACGTGGCGTTTCCCATCGCTTCGAGCGCCGGTCGGAAGCAGTCGATGCCGGGGCCAATCGCAGGTCCGCAATCCGCAGATCCGGCCCTCCTCCTCTTCCAACTACGGCGAGCGCAGTCTTTTTGGTACCAGGAGCTGTACCAGTCGGATCGGACTCCGCTCCCGAACTCATCGTCGTTTCTCTGGCAGATGTGCATGGAAATGCGCGAGTGGGGGGAGTCGCTCCCCGCTGCTCTGCCGGCGGGAATACGGCGCATGTTCGAGCAAGAGCTGTGGTACAGCTACGTCTACTGCATCGCTCCGTCGGCTCGGGCTCCGCAGATCACCGACTACAGCCGGACCCTCATCTTCGAATACTCGCTCGCCTACCTCAGCAGCATGCACGACACGGCGCGCGGCGGGCTCAATGCTGCTTTCTATACCTACCACGATGCCCTAAAGGTCTACTTCATGGCCAACCAGTTCATCGCGGTACTCCGCGATGCCGAGGACATGCTCATCTCGGGCACCCAAGTTCCGCCGCCGCCCTCTCTACCGGGTTCTGCCCCGGCTCCCATGGTTCCGCGCCGTCAGCTGCGGCCCGGCACCCCGGTCGAGGACAACTTGGGGAGAAGCCTGTGGTGTCTCGGACGGATCCCCGAGACTTTGGCCCTGTACGGTACGCGCTGGGAGGATGCGCTTATGCTCAAGCAGAGTTTCGAGCGGATATCGGCCGACACCATCGAACGGCTGCAGAAGCGTCAGCAGATGCGGAGCGTGCCCATGCCGCAGCATCAGAATTCCTATCACAATGGGGTTCCCTCGGCTGTTCCGCCCACGGTCATGTACGCGCAAATCCCGCAGCATCAGCATCAGCATCAGCATCAGCAGACGCCGCCGCCGCCGCCGCCGACGCCGATGGACATGAGGTGGGCAGTGGTTGATCCTTCACACATGATGCAGGTGGCGGGACGCCACTGAGCCGTTGCACGGTGCAGGAGAGCCGCTCCTAATGTATTGAGACCGACTTTGAAGTGACAGGCGCGGATTTGCTTTGGCGGGCTCTACCAGGCTGGGGTTGGGGGAGTTTTGTTGTTCGGATTTATACCCGCTCTGAGGCACTTCACATCAATTGTGGGCCAGTGAACAGATGTTTCAAAAGGCATTCTCATTCATAGACTACTCAGCTGTACCTAACTGTTGTTTCACACTGGCCCAAGAAATGCAATGAGAGGGATGACGCTCGTCCTGGCGCGATTAGCCAAGCACTTTAAGAGGCCACATCTACTGTGATATAAAGAGTGAGGGAGGTGAGGTGCCAAAAGGTGATGGATATATAAGTTCTTTATTCGCTCAAGACACTTTCATTTATATTTGTTCCACTTTGGACTCTTTCTTCCCAACGCTGCCTTGCGGGGCCCCTCGATTCCTCTCAAACCAGACTCTTGGATTGTCCCTTGGGCCTGATATCAGAGGTGCGAACAGGTGGCTCTCTGGTTATTGGAACACGTCCGGGCCTCGATGTCGCGCTGGAGGTAGATGACGTCGCGGATTTTCCCTGCGGGCTGACCTCCCGGCTTGTGCCTACAGTCTGTCGTGACCCTGCCCGCGCCCGCGATGTCGGCTTGTTCGAAGCCCTTGGCGGAGCTGTCGCTCAACTGGCTGTACTGCTTGGATCTCGGTCCGGCGACGCGGCCAACGTGGCTGAGTCCGACCGGGTCCGCCGAGTCCCGGTGTTGACCTGAACGAACGAGCTTTCAAGCGGCTAGAGAGGCTGGCGAAAACGGGCTTGACGTTCATCTTTATCAGAGACGCCAGCGTAGGGATGCGGGCGACTATAACGCTGAGCCACAGTTTGAGCAAGCTGAGCAAGGCGAGATGGAAGAGGTTGTAAGCAAAGTCGGGGTCATGGCGCGTCGTGATGATGAACTCGGGTCTCCATATCGTGCTGACGATGGCCCTGAAGGCAAGTGAGCTCTTGGAAGCGTACACACATGATGCCAATGCTGAACATGACTCGGAGCGAACTGCCAGCTGCATACTCCAAAGCACCGGCAGGGGCAGGATCAGAATGGCACTGTCGATGGCTATGTTTAGAGACATCGACGTCACACGGTTAACGCTGAGTTCTCGATACCATCCGCCCGGCTTCTCCTCGTCTCATTAATCAGACACGGGCCTGCATCTAGTCGTCAAGGTGACGAAAACGGTGACGCCGTAGCAGATGCACAGCACCACGAGACCGAATGCCCAGCGCTTGAACTTGAGAGCGCCACAGCTTCGCGTGTAGAGCCAGAAAACGGAAGGCTTGATGACGACGGTGCTGAAGATCCAGATTATGGAGTCCGCAATGATGGGATGCCATGCATCGACATGAGTGTACGCAACGGGGGCGTCGGTGCGAGATGCGGGAGGAGCATAACCAGAGACGGGAACATCGTTTGTGTGCTTGCCGAGGCCATGGTAGATGGCCCAGATGGTCACGCCACCCAGGGCCACGATATTGGCCTGATGGCCGGGAGACGGACGACGAATCAGCCGGCGTAGGGGGGGACTCGTCCGACGTGGCATCTAGGCCACGGCGAGCCACGGGGAACCCGCGATGCCCCCCAATGAGAGCAAAGACTGCCTGCTTCCAGGTTTTTGTTGAGACTTTACAGCACAACCAGCTGGCTCTTTCGCGGTTCCCGGGAAGGAAACGCCTCGCGGTGGTCGGGGCTGTGCATGTGGATGTCTGCTTGGGGGCCGGGACGGGAGGGTGTTTGCATTGGCCTCTTGCCCCCAATAGGCCCTCCTGTACAGCTGGTCAATGACTATACGAATACAAACCGGACAAATACATGGCTATATGTATGTATGCACATACCTCGGTAGCATGTATATGTGCACACCCACTGCCGGCCAGGGGGGTTTCGTGTCCGTGCGTGGGCTGGAAGAAGGCTCTCGTCAGGCGCAGTGCTGCTTTTGCGAGCCACAGTGGGCGACTGGGCGTCTGCGAGAAGATGACTGCATCCTGGACGCGGCTGCTGAGGAGCATAGCCAGCGGGGTTGGACGTATCACATCCGGTGTTGGCTCCGTGATGTTGAGCTGTCTCGCGTCGGGCTCCGTCTTACCACGTCAAATGCACCAAACCACACACAATGCCTGTGCGTCGATACGTGGGCGAGAGTGCTTCTGTTGGGCAAGGGTGCGTTGGCTTTGCCGCCTTTGAAACTGACGACATGGTATATACTTCATATGCAGCACATTCCATGCCCCCCGCGTGTGTCGGCGGCGGCACGGCCGGCCTGATGCTGGCCACCCGTCTCTCCAAGGAGGCGGATGCTCCCGGCGGGCCGACCCGACGCAGCGGGCCGAGGCACGGGGCCGACACTATTTCCCGGCTGCGGCTTGGACGAGTCCGGACGCATGCTCCCGCGACGCGTCCGGCCTCGTCACTGGCTGTCCCGGAGCCGGAGGGCGTCGATCCGGCGACCCGCAAGCGCGCAGCTACTCGGCCGTCGCCTTTGCTGGGGCCGGCGCGCGGTGGCGGGAATGCGCGGGTCCGGTTCCGGAGCGGGTCCGGTTCCGGGTCCGGCGCCAACGCCGGGGACCTGACCGTGCCTACGCACTGCAGCCGGCGCAATCCGTGGTGCAGCTCCTGTCAGCCGGCTACGTCGGCCCTGCTGCGGCCTTGTATTCGTGGTTGTTATGTAGGCCGGTGCTTCCTCCGGCCCCTCGTTGAGTTCCCGCTTGGCCATGATGGCTACTCCGTGCAATCTCGGCAACGCAATCAACTCCTTCTTCGAACCAGACACAGCCGTAACAATACAGCAACGGTAATGCGTAGTCGACTCTTACAACCGTCAAGGGAGCATCCAGCAGATCTGTCTACGGCTTCGGCCTCGGCCTCGGCTCCGTTCCAGGACCCGACCCTGCGCTCGAGCTGTCCGCTGCACGGCCAGGTTTGAATTTGTACCCAGGAAAAAGTGCTTGGCGGCCATTCGCCTTCTGATCTATTCTTCGCCTTGCTTTCCATCTACGTCAGCGGCTTGATGGTCCAAACGGAGTGCTTGCTTCATCCACTCAAACACCTCTCATCAACCTCCATCACTAGACGGCTGCTACGTCACGCACCTCCCAGTCATCGCTGCCCCCGTATCGTCTTCAGAGCGGCATGGCCCGTACCAAAAGTTCAAGGGATCGTAAGAACTGTAAGACGCGTGTATGTATACCAGCGAACGGGTTGCAAGACACAAGGCCAAGGGGCCGAGGGATACGACGGCCGCCAATGTTGAGCTCGGCCACGTTCGGCAGGCGGGTTTATAGGATGCGTGTGTGTGAGGAGCCGGCTGATGTGAGAGTCTGGCGCTGACCTATTGGCCCTTACGCAGTCCTTACGAAGTCCTTATGCAGTCACAAACCCGACTGTTACACAGACGAAAAGCCCTCCCCCCGAGGGACCTGTAACGGGCAAGCCGCTTTAACGGCGGCTGCGCCGCCTAGCTTCTAGAACCTTCCATTGGCTCGAAGCTAAAATACTTCGTCACGCCTTGCACTTTAGAGCAGTGGTGCAAGGCGTACAATCAGCCGAAGGCTGCAAGTCTGCTGTCAACGGTAAGGCAGGCCTGAAAATTCAAGAATCTACAGTCATGCATTCATTGCGTCATCTACGTCTTGGTAGCATCAAGTGGAGTTACGTAGCCCTAACCGTTCTTATACGGATTCTGAGTGAGAACCTGCCAACTCCTAAACCTTTCCTGAACTTTGTTGGGTCGGCGGCAGTGGTGTCCCCAGCACTACACGCGGTTGGCTCATCGAGTCCTCGGAAGAAAACCTCACTGTATGACGTTCCTGGAAACTTTCAGATGATGTAGGCTGGGCTTTAGGTATCTTTTGCTCGGGTTGTAAGCGAGCATCTCGGTCTGTTCTTTTCGCAGCAGGCCCGTCAGCGGAGGAAGGACGGACCGCGACCTCCCTCAAAGTCTGGGTTATGCGTCTGGACCTGGAGTACTTCAATTGATCAGCATTGAACATCTTGTGGAGCGCGAGATAAAGCCAACATGATAGGCGCGCTTATTGCGGCAGCCCAAGCAGCTCTTGGTGTGCCCAGCCGACTTTCTTCTGCCGAGGAAGTCTTGCGCTGGTTTCTCCTCGCCACAGCGAATGCATACGATGGAAACCACGCCACCTTGAGACCCTCGATGAGGCATAGGGTTCACTGCGGTTGAAAGCAGCTGCGTACGATGGGTTTGTTGGCGACCCGCGATGCTCAGAGTAGCTCTGTGACATTCAGGGGCAAGTGCAAAATTGGACCCACTTTTAGAAGGCCATCATCCAGTTGAGTTACGTTTTAGAAACCATACAACCAATCAGATGTCAGAAAACTTAACTGATCCCTGCTGCACCAAACCCTCATATTAGGGAAAACTTATTCGATTAATGTAAAGTCAGCCTACGGCTGAATAAAATGCTATTGTGCTCTCATGTAGTAGATTCTCTTTCTTTCTTTCTTTCTTCTCTATCTTGATAGTAAACAGCATAGGGACTAGTTAGTTGTATCAACTCACTAGAGGCCTTTCACATACTATCAAGATCACTGAAGACATTGAAGACACTGAAGACACCGAAGACACTGAAGACACCGAAGACACCGAAGACACTGAAGACACCAAACTGAGTCCCGTCGAACTATTAGCGTTCAGCGAAGTCGCGATGGCCGAAGATAACAACAACATGCAGCCGGACGTCCTCAGCGCCCTGGTTGCCGAGATACGAAGTCTGAGAGAAGAGAGTTCCCGAAGAAACACCCAGTTTGAAGAACGTTTTATTGCCCTGGAACTCCAACAACACCAGCAAGCCCGTTCGTCTGAACTCCTAGAGCCAACGCCATCTGTCACCCCGGCTGTCCCCATTGAGGACACTCGTGTGGTCGCCACTCACAACCCTCACAACCAAGCGCCCCAAATTACGAGACATACCGAAATTCGGCGGCGACAAGGCCCAGTGGCGAAGCTGGAAACTAGAAACCGAAGGAAAGCTACGAGTCGACAAAGAAGCCCTTGGAGATGCAGAAGGCCACTTTATGTACATCTTCATGAGCCTAGAAGGCAAGGCTAAAGACAACGTGACCACATTTGTGGAGATGCAAACCGAGAAGAAAACGTTCAATGTTGCTGAACTACTCAACCGCCTCGAATTGCTGTACGGGAGAGGGATCGCAAGCAGAGAGCTACACGCAACCTGCATTCGATTAAGCAAGGAGAGAATGAACCGTTCACGTCCTTTTACCCCCGCTTTGAGAGGGAGATCGCCAATGCCAACGCCGAGTATTGGCCAGATGACAGCAAGATTTCCTACCTCCAGGAGGCACTAAACGATAAAATGAAAGCAGCCCTCATAGGCTCTGACCCTCTGCCATCAGCAGCTATGTTGGGCTGGCGAGGAGGTGCGATTCGCTGAGCAGCCAGATGGAATTGTTGGGTCAGTGGAAAAGGCCTCGAGGCAACACAAAGAGTTCGGACAACTATGACAACCACCAGAATCATGGAGGCCAGGCTGCCCAGAAACAGCCTGGCCAGAAAACCGAAGTTAGACGAGAGGATATGATGGAATGGGAACCAACTCTACAAGCATCCGCGAAAGTGAACGCTGCGCGCACCCGCAGTGATAAGAACACATATGGTTACCAATCCAAGCGACCAGAAGACCAAGCGCTGTTGGGCAAGCGTGCCAAGTGGGTCGACCAGGCCGAGATGGACGCCCGTTACCGTGAAGGGCGTTGCCTCCGTTGTGGAAGAGACAACTGCAGAATCGAGCGCTGTCCATTGGCTGCGCCTATCCGACCCGCAAACACGACCCGACGCACTCAGGTCAATGCCGTGACCCCGTCACGACCAGCGGTCACTAAAGCCGAGGTCGCCGAAGACGATACTTCTTCTCATAACGATGAAGATTCAGACTAGGGACACGCGGCGGCTGTGAGAGAATGGGATGTGAGCGGAAAAGCAAAAATGGACGGAGAACCGTTCATAGCAGACGTCAGGGTGAACGGCACAGACTTCGTGCCATCTCTTGTCGACTATGGCTGCCTCTGCTACGGCGCGGTTAGCAAGCGCACATTTCACTCTCTCAGTTGCCACATATACGCGTCCAGCCGCGCATCTTGGAGAATGCAGCGGGAGACGGCAAGGAGGTCAAAATCGACAAGATCACGTATGTGTCGATCGACCTCGATGGACATCAGCAGCATCGTGTTTTCATGTACGTCATCGACGATCTGAACTGGGATATGATCCTGGGTAAACGATGGATGGAAGACCAGGATGTTCACATCCATGCGAAGGAAGGATATCTCGAGATCGGGTCAATGGAGTTCAAGTACGAGACCGACGACGTTACCAGCCTCCACAGCTAGATGTCTCTAATGTCATGGCCGCAACCTTTTAGCAGAAGCACGCCGTGACAAACGCAAAGGCGGCATTGGAGTTCACTCGGTCACGATGGCGGATATTGACAAGGCCCTAAGACCGAAACCGAAGACTGACGTAATGGAGAAGCTGCCACCACAGTACCACAAGTGGTCTCGAGCTTTCTCTCAGCAACTGGCCGACCAGCTGCCCCCTCATCGGCCAGGTGTGGACCTGAAGATCGAAGTGCTGAAAGACGAGCATGGCCGAGAGAAGCCCTACCCTGGGGACCGCTTTACAGCATGTCCCGCGAGGAGCTATTGGTACTACGGAAGACTCTCACAGAACTACTCGACAAGGGATTTATTAGAGTCAGCAGCTCGCCAGCCGCGGCACCAGTCCTTATGGTGAAGAAGCCCGGCGGAGGCATCCGCTTCTGCGTGGATTACAGAGGTTTGAACCATATAACGAAGAGGGACCGCTATCCCTTGCCCTTACTGAGCGAGACCTTGCGAACGATAGCCAAGGCAAGGTGGTTCACCAAGGTAGATGTTATAGCAGCGTTCCATAAGATCAGGGTCGCCCCCGGCGACGAGGAAAAGACAACTTTCAGAACGCGCTATGGATCCTTCGAATGGCTGGTAGTTCCATTCGGCCTGACAGGCGCACCAGCAGCCTTTCAGCGGTACATTAACAGCGCGCTCCAGGATTACCTAGACGATTTTGTGTCAGCATATATCGACGATGTCCTGATCTTCTCCTCTGGAAGCCTGCAAGACCACCGCGACAAGGTCGGCAAGGTCCTCCAACGACTGATGGACGCCGGGCTGCAACTGGATATCAACAAGAGTGAATTCGAAGTCAAGGCTGTGAAATACCTTGGGTTTATCATCGAGGCGGAGTGTGGGATCCGAGTCGACCCTGAGAAGGTTGAGGCTGTGAAGGAATGGGCAACCCCGACGAATGTTAAGTCCGTGAGGAGTTTTATTGGATTCGCGAACTTCTACAGGATGTTTATGCCAGAGTTCTCGGTGATAGCGGAGCCGCTAACGCGGCTAACGAAGAAGGACGTGCCATTCCGTTGGGATGAATTGTGCGAAGAAGCCTTCGAGAAGCTCAAGGACTTGTTGATCACGGCCCCGATCCTTGCACACTTCCATCCAGAAAGGGAGACTATCGTGGAAGCAGACGCTTCAGGATTCGCGTCGGGAGGCGTGCTCTTGCAGAGAGATGATAAGGATGGACTGGTACGACCTGTCGCATACTTCTCGAAGAAACATTCGGCAGCCGAAGCGAACTACGCTATCCATGACAAGGAGCTACTCGCCATTCTCAGATGTTTGGAGCAGTGGGAACCAGAGCTACGGGCAGTAGAGCACTTCAAGATCCTAACGGACCACAAGAACCTGAGGTACTTCTACTCGGAAAGGAGGTTGACAGAGAGACAAGTGCGGTGGTCGGGTTCCTGTCCAGGTTCCAATTCGAGCTCGAATGGAGGCCGGGCCGCAAGGGCGGATTGCCTGACGCACTCTCTCGACGGGACCAGGATATGCCGGCCAACTACTCCGATGAACGACTAAAGGGACGCATTATGAGGCTATTCCAAAATGATCACCTTAGAAGGGTCCCAATATCGACATTGTCTACCAACACCGAGGGTGCCCAGGAAATCAACTTCGGAAAAGATCAGGATATTTGAAGATGAGGAGTTACAGCAGCTGTGGCACGCCGCACGGCAAGAAGACAAGCTTTATCAAGAACTCACGAAGCTGGTAGCAGATGGAGCGAAGAGTGTGCCAACAGACTTACAGAAGGAGAAGGTTGTCAGCATTTCAGAATGCTCATTAGACAATAGAGGCCTGCTGTGCTTTAGAGAACGCGTCTGGATACCCGGTTCGGAGCCGCTACGTACAAAGATCATCCAGGAAACTCACGACTCTCATATCACCGGACATCCTGGAAGGGACCTCACGTACTCGACTCTGTCGAGACGCTTCTTCTGGCCGGGTGCCGCTAGCGATGTACGTCGGTTTGTGCGCAACTGCGAGGTTTGCGGACGAAACACCATCTGGAGGATACAAAGAAAGGACTCCTAAAGCCGCTCCCTATTCCGCAACGCATATGGAGCGAAATTACCATTGACTTTATTACTGACCTCCCACCGTCGGGGAAAGATGGCGCGACGAACTGCATGGTGGTCACGGACCGACTCACCAAAGGCGTCGAACTCGAAGGATTGAACGATATTTCCACAGAAGCGGTTGCAAGAAGACTCTTCGAACGACACTACCCTGTCCATGGCATCCCAACGGCTATAACCAGTGATCAGGGTCCCCAGTTTGTCAGTGGTATGTGGAAAAGTTTCTGTCAGATGCTAGGGATCGAGCAGCGGTTGTCGACGGCGTACCATCCACAAACCGACGGTGCAACAGAACGAATGAACCAAGAGGTAGAGAGGATTCTTCGGATATGGACGAATTATCTGCAGGAGAACTGGTTAGACTTGCTTCCAATCGCGATGGCGACTATTAACGAGAGGAAGCAACCTCCACCGGACTGAGTCCGTTCTTCTTCATGCACGGCTACCACAACGAGCCAATCCAATTAGTTGAGCATCGAAGAACGGAAGACACGACGCAGGGGGAAGCGACAGCGGAGGATTTTATTCAGAGACTACAGGACGCCACGGAGTTTGCGCAAGCAGCGATAGCTATGGCCCAGGAAATACAGCAAGCGCAAGCCAACAAGCACAGGACAGCCGCACCGAGATACGAGCCTGGGGATTGGGTATACCTCAACTTGAGAAATGTCAAAACATCGCGACCCTGCAAGAAGCTCGATTGGCTACATGCCAAATATCAAGTGCTCGCGGAAGTTAGCCCACATGCCTACAGGTTGGATGTGCCTGGGCGCATCCATCCAGTCTTTCACGTCGACCTACTCCGGCCAGTCCCCGGAGACCCATTGCCTTCGCAGAAACTCGATCAAGAGAGTGCCCCACCGGTGCTGGTGGACGGCGAAAGATGTACCTTGTTGAAAGAATTCTGGATGAAAGAATGGAAGGTACGCATAAGAAGGTGCTCGTAAAATGGCATGATTACTCGCAGCCTACGTGGGAACCCCTTACTACTATTCGACACACCGATGCATGGAAGCAATGGAAGAAGCATAAAGGAGTGTCACCTTCTCAAGTCATCTTGCCACAGATTGCCACGACCCCGGAAGAGGAAACGTTGGAAGGGAGGAGGTAATGTAACGGGCAAGCCGCTTTAACGGCGGCTGCGCCGCCTAGCTTCTAGAACCTTCCATTGGCTCGAAGCTATAAAATGCTATTGTGCTCTCATGTAGTAGATTCTCTTTCTTTCTTTCTTTCTTCTCTATCTTGATAGTAAACAGCATAGGGACTAGTTAGTTGTATCAACTCACTAGAGGCCTTTCACAGGACCGATCAAGACGCTGCATATCATGGGGGCCGGGGGAGTCCAACCAGTCGCCACCACACGCAGCGCGACACTCGATTCGAGGCCCCGGCCGGCCGTAACCGAAGCTACAGCTACTCGAGGCCTCGACCCCCCATCACGACGTCTCGCCAATGTCGTGCAAGTTACACGCGTACCAGGTACAGAGAGAGCATCGAGTCTCACGCAGGCCCGTCGTCTCGGGTGCCCACCAGCGTAGCAGTGCGACTCGGAAGAGGCTCGTCATACCCGTCCATGTCCTTTGTTAGTCGGCGCCGGGATGCAACTCCTACGGGTCCAGCTGGTGGCGGCAACCCTCAGCTATTTGCCCTTGGGGCCCGGACCTGAGCAGGGGGCTCGGTGTACGTCTTGATGAATACGCCTTGGACATATGTATATCAGCCTCGCCAGCTGGGGAATGGCTGCCCAGATCGTCCAGAGAACAGCAATATCCCGCGTCCCGCCAAGAGCATTCGATCGTTGGGCGTCAAGGAACCAGGCCATCGTCAAGCCCGACGGTGTCGAACTGTCGACAACATTGACGCTGTCCAGACGCATCAACCAAGGCCAACAACGATGAATGCCCCCGACCTCCTCGTCCCCGCCATGGGCCTCGTCGTCGGTGTCCTCGCCCACGTCTGCCTCTTCATCCGCGGCGAGTGGCACCTCCAGACCCCCCAGATTGCCCTCTCCCACAGCGCCCTCTACCTCGCGTGCCCTGCGCTCGCCGCCGTCTGCCGCGGCTCGGTCCTCTGCGGGCTCCTCGACATGGTGGCGCGCGGCAGTTGGGGCTACCTGCCGGGCCTCGTCGGCAGCATCGTCCTGTACCGCGTCTTCTTCCACCCCCTGACCGCCGCCGGCTTCCCCGGGCCGTGGTACGCGCGCGTCTCCAAGCTGTGGCACGTCTGGGCTGCCAGGCACTCCAAGAACCACCTTGTGCTTGCCCATCTGCATGCCAAGTATGGCGACTTTGTGAGGACCGGTAAACAAACAGCCCCTGAGGTCCCTCGGGATGCCGCAAGCCCCTGAGATGCGTGTCTGACGACGCCCAGGCCCGGCCGAGGTGACCGTCTTCCATCCCGACGTCTTCGTGGCCCTGGAGTCGCCTCGCTCCGAGTGCATCAAAGCCGACTGGTACGATCTGATACACCCCAGCCTCGGCCTCGTCACGGTCCGCGACAAGTCGGTCCACGCCGCTCGCCGTCGAGAATGGAACCGCGGCTTCACCGCCAAGGGTACGTCTCGGCCGGCATCCAAGGGGCACGAGTATCTACTGAGTACTGACCAGCCGCCCGGACATGTAGCCGTGGCGGAGCACGAGGCCAAGATGCTGAAGCACGTCGACCAGCTTGACCGGTGCATCGAGGCCGATGCCAGGGCCCGCAGGGTCTCCGACGTGCGCGACCTGCTTCTGTGGTTTGGCCTCGACGCCATGAGCGACTTCACCTTCAGCAGGTCCTTTCGCATGCTGCAGGCCCGCGACTGGCACTACATGGTCCCCAAGCTGCTGAGCGCCTTCTCCCTCGTCGGGCCCCTGAGCCCGGCCCCGTGGCTCTTCCAGCTCAGCTTCAAGCTGGGGCCCCGGGTCGGCGTGCTCGGGGACTGGTTCGACGCCGTCGCCTGGAGCAGCGCGCAGATGCACCATCGGATCCAGAGTGGCAGCTCTGGCCAGACTCCGGACTTGGTGCATTACTTGATGGAAGGCGATGCCGACGCCAAGGACGAGGACAGGCGCCTCTGGCTGGAGGGAGACAGCCTGGTTGCCATTCTGGCTGGGAGGTATGTCCCGAGTCCTTGCCCTTGCCCTTGCCCCTGCCCTTGCCCTTGCCCTTGCCCTTGTCCACAGGCGCGTGAAGCCTGGATCCGCGTGCTCACGGCCTCGACGCAGCGAGCCCACGGCCGTTGCCCTGACGGCCGTCTTCTGCGAGCTTGCCAAGCACCCCGAGCACGCCCACAAGATCTACCTGGAGCTCGCCCATGTCCACGTCACCGACCTCGCGGCCCTGGCCGGGCTGGCCCACCTCAACGCGGTCATCAAGGAGGCGCATCGTCTGTATCCTGCCCTGCTCACCGCCGGCAACCGAAAGACTACGGCCAGGGGCATCGATATCGCAGGCACATTCATCCCTCCCAACACCACCATTGTCGCTCCTCGATTCTCCATTGCGAGAAGTAAGTCTCCCCAACAAATGCTGTTGTCCGCAAGAGAAGACATTCGTGTTACGTCTGACCATGTATATCCCATACCAAACTCACTCTCTGCTAGGAGACGACTGCTTCGAGAAGCCTCACGACTTTGTTCCCGAGCGGTGGACTACGCGTCCCGAAATGATCCTCAACATGGCCGCCTACAACCCATTTGGCATAGGTAAGGCGGCTCGACCCCTTGCTGTCGACCTGGACGCAGCTCGTTGCGGCCGTCAGGCGTCTCTGCTGCTCCGGGCTGACCCGAATCCTGCTTGCAGGCCATCGCTCTTGTGTCGGTCGCTCCATGGCCATGGACACGATGAGATACGTCGTTGCAAGGCTCGTCAAGAAGTACGAATTCCATGCCGGGCCGGGCGACGACAACCTGCGCGTGATGGAAGACATCAAGGACCGGTTTACGCCTCGACCGGGGGCATTGCGGCTATGTTTCGTGCCAAGGGACGAGGCATGACGATGGAAGTGTGTCGAGGTGCTGCAGTCAGCTTGGCTCGACGTGGTAGATTCGTTCCACGTCCCCAGATCCGTTTTGCATTATACGAGTAGGACTGTGTTCCATGCAGGAAGGAGAACGAGGAGAACATCAGGCAGAGCTATGTATTCACGGGTCTATCCGTGAGCTCCGTCCTCATACTGCATGTGTCGAAGAGGCGGGAGCAGGGGCGAAAATGCCTCGCTGACCACACCACACATCTGGGCCCCTTCTTCGTTTTGCATGTAGAAGGCTTTTGCCCTTGCAATATACAGTACGCGTGTATACAGTACGCCTGGATGCCTGGATACCAACGTCTTCTTCCGTTGGCCCCCAAGCACATGCACTCATGCGCGCCGTGGCCACCGATACCCCGGCCTCAGCTTCTGTCGACATCTCACCTGGCAGCCATCTTCGTCCAGGCCAGCAGGCAGCAGCTCGAGTGCTTCTACTATACACACACCTCTGGCACAGGCAGTCTTTACATAGCACAGCACATGGCCACGCTCCGGTATGGAGCATCGCGAGCTCTCTTCTCTTCCATCCATAGCCGTCGTATCAGCACTTGATATGCCCATCCTAATTTACACGCAAAGGCGAGCCCGCGAGACATCCTCAAAATCCCCCCCCTTTCTCTCCTGCCCGTACCAGGGTCTACATCACGACGGGAGCGAAGTCGTTGGCTGTGTATGTGCGGCGCAGAGTTAAAAATTGCCGAGCGGGACAAGGGGAGGAAGGGCGGTTTGTTTGACCGGTACTCCTCAGACGCCATCCACTCGCCACCTACCGTTCTCCTTCTCTCTTTGTGTTTTCTCTTTGCGAATGCCTCCCTCGCCTAGCATCGCCACAGCACAGGGGTCATCCTTTCTTCGTCGTCTCCTTCCCTCCCGAGCGCTTGCAAGGAGACAAATTTCTCCTGGGGCAAAAAGGAAAAGATCATAAGAGTGCAAGTCCATCCCGAACCGTGCGGTATTCCGCCATCTTCAGGCGGGCTGCTAAGAAATACAAAAAGACATCCAGGACAAAAGGCACAGGCTCGCCGCGGATCGAAGCGGGTCGTTGGTAAGGGGGGGGGAGGAAGGGGGCGGCGACGGATCCAGTGCCTCGACAGCAGAAGCGTCGAGGCCGAGGCGGGCCGAAGCTGGAGACCGGAAACGTATCGTCTTCCGGGAGCTCATGGCGGCCACGGGCATTAAACAGCTCGAACGTCTTGCAGGTGCAGGTTCTTGGTCTGGCGGGGAAGCTTGCCGTCGCGCTCGTAAAGGTAGCCGCAGCTGGCGCACAAGGACTTTGGCTTACCGATTAGCGACTCTGCAAATTCAGACCCAGGCGGAGAAGAAGTATAGAAAAGGCGGCTCACCTTTTGGCCAGCAGGACCGTCGCGGACGGCCCAGACGCTGGTTCCCCACGTGCGGCAGTGGGAGCAGCGCCAGGTGGTCCTCTCCATGTCGGTCAGGGCGCCGCCGCCTCCGTAGCCGCCGTCGGGCGTGCCTCGGCCTCCCGGCGTCCCTCCGCGCGCAAGTGGGCTCAGGCTGCGGAACCGACGCTTCTTCTTAAAGCGCTCGCCCCTGCCCATCCTCTCCTCCTCCAGCTCGGCGGGGGCCCCAAACGGGGTGCCGCCCAGCATGCCGGCCGTGGAGCTGAAGCGCGCCGTCTCGCGCCGTAACCTCCGCACCTGCCGTTCGCGGTCGCCCTCTCGCTTCTCCATCTCTTCCTTGCTCAGGATCTCGACCTTTGGCTCCCATTCGTCTGCCAGGTGTTCGGGGTCATACCGCCAGCCAGCCTCGGTGCCGTTGGCAGCGTCGTTGGGCAAGTCCTGCTGCACTCCGCCCCAGCCCGAGACAAGCCCGCCTGCTTCGCACGCCTCCTTCTTGAGGCGCAGGACCGCTTCGTAGATGGCGTGGGTCATGGCGGGCACCCACTCGCCCGCCAACCCGAGGTCGGCACACGTTGTCTTTGCAAAGGCTTCGGCTGTTCCGGGGGGGTGGAGGAGAGACCACTCGAACTTGTCCGTGTAGAGCATGGACGACAGGTTCAGGTTGAGGTGGATGACGCAGCGATAAGTATCGTCGGGGTTATAGTCGTCCGAGTCGGGCAGGATCGGCGTCGCTTCGGCCGTCACGTTGGGCGCGGGAGCCTGAGACGGCGTCGCCGGTCCTCCGGTCTGGGCGGGCGTATCTGGCCGCGACAATCCCCTGGCAAACGACGCGGGAGAGCCGGCTCTAGACTTGAGCGGCAAGCTCGGCCGGGGCGTGCCGACGACGGTTCCGTTAGCGGCGGCGGCCGGCAGTTGCGTCGGCGCCGGAGCAGTCTGTTCTGTGTGGAAGAGTGGGTGCAGGGCGACGCCGGCATACTCCTCGAGCTGTGTGCGGATCTGCTTGCTGATTTCGGCCACGACGTTGGCCCGGTTGGGGAGGTCGAGGTCCTGGGCCAAGGTCTGGGCAAACTGATCCGTGGTTATGAGCGTTTCGTGCAGGTTCCAGCAGAAAATGTCTCTCAGCTTGTAGGGAATCGTGGCCTCGCCCTGGCGGTATTGCGGCATGGAGATGTCGACGGCGTTGGGATTGGGGGGCGGAAAGGGCGCTTGGGGGATAAAGGACGGTATGTCGAGGTCGATGCGGATCGGGATGAGCGTCAGGGGCAAGTTGGCCTGGGCCGAGTTTTGCTGGTCGCTCCTCACGGACCGGTTCTTGCCCATCCAGTCCCGCCAGATGCCCTGGACGTCGACGGGCTCCCTTGTTTCCTTGCCGGCCTTGTCGGCCATGTCGAGCCTCGAGGCCGAGTCCTCCTTGCGCAAGCTGCGCAGGCCCGTGGGCCGCCGGCGGGGATCATCGCTGTCATCGTCGAGGTCGTCGAAGCCGTCCTCGGCGTAGTTGATGATGGTGGTGCCTCGCTTGGTCGTCCTCGACAGCGGTCCGACGGGCGCGGTTTGCAGGACGGGCGTGAGGAGAGAGTTGTTGTAGGCGCGCAGCCGCGGCGCGTACGTCGACTGAAAGGCCTGTGGTTTCGATCGTTCCATCATGTCGTGTGCGAGCCCGTGGCTGTCACCTCATGCTGGCGCAAGGAGCTGCCACCGAGGCCAGATGATGGCGCACCGCCCTTTGTTCGCGCCCTCGCTTCGGCGATGCGCGAGGCTGCAACAGCGCGTTGTGCCCGCGGCGGTTCGCGCTCGACGCCGGGGAGTCCAAGGGGAAAGTCGCGAGTAGCTGCGAGCCGGGGCGATGCTGCATGGATTGGCTGGCTGACTATGACTTGCCGGGCGAAAAAAACGACGGTGCTGGCGTCGCGACTGGGGCAATCATAGCAAAGCGTTGCTGGCGGGAAAAATGGGACTTGCTGTCCGCCTCGCCCCTTACGTAATCAGGCAACGACGGCAGGCTTCCTTTTCTTCCTTTTTTCCTTCTTTCCTTCTTTTTCCACAACTTACCCTACACCCCGCCTGCCTTCGTCGTAGTCACTCTGCGACTTTCTCTTCATCCACATCTTCGACAAAGGAAGCAGCTTCGTCATGGCGTCCAACGCAGCAGCAGTGATCCCTTCGCTCCTGTCTCGCCTGTCGCAGCCCGCCCGCCCGTGGGCTCTCCGAGCATCGCAGTTCACACCCAAAGGTGCCGCCTCATCGTGGACAACAAGAGGCTTTGCACCCTCCCATGTCCGCTTCGCCCACGCCATCCCGCGTCCCGCGCAACCCAAGGGCCCCTCCGTCCAGCTCAAGCCCCAGCACGAGGCCGAGGCCATCGTCTCGGGCCAGGCTCCCGACAGCGAAAGCGGGCGGCCCGCCATCCCGCGACACGCCCACCGCCAGGCCGCCTACTACCAGCTCTCCTTCACCTGCGTCCCCTGCGGCCACCGCTCCCACCACAACATCTCCAAGCAGGGCTATCACACCGGCTCCATCCTCATCACCTGCCCTGGCTGCCGGGACCGCCACGTCATCAGCGACCATCTCGAAATCTTTGGCGACCGCAAGATCACCGTGGAGGATCTCATGCGGGAACGGGGCCGCCTCGTCAAGCGCGGCAGCCTGGGCGAGGACGGCGACGTCGAGTTCTGGCCCGATGAGCCGCCTGAGCAGTCCACGAAAGAGACGTCCGAGAGACTGACCGGCGATTCGAGGGAGGCGCGAGACTCGTGACGGGCCCCCCCCTTGCATGTACAACTACGACGAGTTTCCCTCGCATGCCAAGTCATTGGAGAGTGGCAATGCGGTCCCGGCGTCAGCATCATTTTATTTCAAATACCCCTCTCTGCCTCGGAGTAATTACCGCGTCGTGCGTTGGTAGTTTGGGTCAAAAGACGAGCAAACAAGACTCGTCCGAGACGGATCGACGTCAATGTATGAATACTATGCACAATGCAATTGGACTCGGCCTACAGTCCCTTCGAAATGCACTCATTGAACCCTTTTCCGTCTTCCAAAACGCCTTGCCCATGCTCACGCCAACCAATGCCGGCCAATCACCACGAATTGTAAGACTGCCGCATCGACTTGTGCTCCCTTGACCGCACCTTGCGCCGCTCCTTGTTCTTCTCAAACCTCTTTCGCTTGTCTTGCCCGTACTTTTCTGGATGAGCAACCGCCTCAATCTTCCTCTTGCTCGTCCTCTGCATCCTCCTGGCCCTCACTTCCTCGCGAATCTCCAGCAGCGTCTTGCTGTACGCCGTCGTGCCAAACTTCTTCTGCAGCGAGTCCATGAGAATCTGGGCTCTCGTCTTGACGTCCTCGAGCTTCGTCTTGAACCCCTCGTCGTTGCTGAAGGGCGCCGAGATCGACGGGTCAGTCAGATGCTGCAGCGGCGTAAGAATAGTCTTCAGAGACGGTTCAATCTGCAAAATTGATGCCCTGCGGCAGACTGTTTCCAGAATCTCCATGGCCGCCACCTTGGAGTTGATGGCCGCCGACCTCGGGGGGATTTCCTTTCGGATAATCCCAGATAGTCGCCAAAAGAGATATTCCAGATTCTTTCGATCGTAGTCATCCACCTCGGCCTCTTCCTTGTCTTCCGAGCCCTCCTCGGGCTCCAATTCGTCCACCGTGACCTCTGTGGCCGGAAGACAAGACCCTAGGAAAACCAACATCTGTACGAGTTCGGTAGCCAGGGTTTCATCAACCTCATGCCCGTTCAGCGTCCCAAGAGCCAGGCGCGTGAGCTTGAATGTGTCATCAACCGTCAACACGAGGCCGTGAGAGCCCTCAATGGTTTCGCCCCTCGAAGAGCTGCGCCTCTGCTTCGCGAAATCGACGAGGTAAGTGTTGATCAATCTCGAAGCTGTCAGTTTGACAAGGGGCGCGGGATGCCGGAGACAGCCAGCAACGTCTGCCCATAGTTCCTCTCTATTGGCAGACAGTGTCTGATCGCCCGATACCATTGTCAAGTGTCGGACGATTCCAAGTGTGGTTTCCACGAGCTGCTCGTCCGCGTCCACAATAACCTTGGATCCCAGGATGCCCATGCATTTCGCCAGTACGAGCCTGAAGTCCTTCGTATTCTTGATCGAGCCCTCATTAGACTCGAAATAGAAACCAAACACTTGTAGTGCCAGCCTCTGAACCATCGGGTTGTTATCCTTTTCCAGCCATGATCGTAGAAGCGTCAGAAATTTTTGAGTCCGCTCCTTGTCCGACTTGTGGAAAATCTTCTTGAGCAGCTCTGCGGCGGCGAGGCGGCACTTGTCGCTGTCGTCGTTTGCGAGGACCAAAAACAGCGGCAAGAAGCACGTCCCTGCGATTTCTTGAACAAAGTCATCCGCCGACTTCATGAGCAGCAAGTGTATAATCTCCATGACGGACAGGCGGCCACCCTCGCGGTCGTACTTGAGGTTGGCCACTACAAAGTCGAGTTGCTTGCCCCATCTCGCCTTCTTCTGAGGGTACTCCCGGATGAACTGGAAAAAGGCGCCACGGGCCAGGTCTCGCGTGTCCTTGTCGTCGTTGCTGATCATCACCGTGCCAACATGGTCAACTGTGTCGTAGACTACGGCAGTCTCGATGCGACGATCCAAGACGGACCGCAGAAAGTTGAACGTGACATGCCGATAGAGCGGCTCCGTGAAATCCTCCTTCAACTTGCCGAGAAGCATGTCAATGGCTGCGTCCTTGATTGGAATGTCTTGTCTTTCCCGAAGAACCACTGCAAGCATCTTCAGCGCAGCTTGAGACAGGTCTGTGGTGGATGAAGTCGCCATTGAGATGCTCTTTGTTGCCTCCTTGACGGCAACCTTGTAAATGTTCTTGCCGTCGTCGGTGGTGAAGGGGACTTTGACGATGGTGGCAAGGAGTCGGAAGGCTGAAATCTTGACTTCTTCCTCGGTACCAACGATGGCGTCACCCAGAATTGGGAGAAAGCCGGCGACACTGGATGGAGTTCGCAAGCTATCATGCTTCTTGAACATGGACCGCAAGATGTCAAGCGCGAAGCGCACAAGTTTGTATGTGTGCTTCGTGGTTTTGCCGCGCTCTCCGCTCTTCTTTGCGCCCTTCTGCACGAGATACTTCCTCAGTCTGGGGTCCAGCTTCTGCTCAGCTTCGGGCCGCTGGCTGCGATAGGTCTCCTGGATGACTTCGTAGCAGAAAACCAATGTATCGCGAGACTCGGCTGCAGGATTCTGCAAAAGGCCAGAGCCTATCCGGCCCATCAGCGAGTCGATCTTGCGCACCATCTTCAAGTCCACCTTTTGCATGAGAAGTGACTGAAGGGGTCTGACAAGCGCGACAAGGCGGCTGATGGAGGCATTCTTTGCCACCAGCTCCATTGAATCTTGGCTTTTGGAGCTCTTGATTTCTTTCATCTGGCTGATGTAGCCATCGGCATCCTTTTCCTGCCCAATTACGCCGAAAATGTCATCCATGACAACAGTGACAATGCCAGGCAAGCAGTGGTCCAGATCTCCGGGCGCAAGCGTTGGCACCACAGCCACGAGGATGGAATGCATCGTGTATGAGAGGACGTGCAACTGATAGCCTCGAGTGAGCGCGCCTCGCAGTTCCTTGAGGATAAATCCGAAGAATGACGGTCCCAAAACCACAGCAATCTTTACCAACGTGTCTCGAGCCATCTCTCTAGACTCCCACGCCTTGCTGCGCAAGATGTGGCAGATATCTGTCAACACGCCGGCAAGCTTTTGGTCCATTTGTTCTGAAGGCAGCAGCTTTAATAGCTTGACAATGACCACGCCCACCGGTACTCGATAACTGACCTCTGATTCGTCCTTTTCGTGGAGATGCTTGACAAGAGGAGGCAGGAAGTAATCGAGGACATCAATTGCAAGCTGTGGTGTCTTGGGCGCCGTTTGGCGTAGTCTCCGCAGGACCGGCGAGAAGACTTCGTCCGGCTGGTCCTCGTCCGGCTGGTCCACGTCCGGCTGATCCACGTCTGGCTGGTCCATGTCCATATTTTCCGGTTGTTGGCGGTCCAGAGAGTCAACCAGAGCATCCGAGAACCTGCCCAGGAGTCGTATGGTATGCTTCTGCATTTCCGGACGTGACACTATGTAACTACTGTATCGATGAAAAGTAGATCGCCAGTGGCTCCACTGGAGTGACATGGCGAGATTGGCAATGGTGCTTGTTGCTTGAGCGCCAAGGCCGTGGTCGTCACTGCCGTCGACTCGCCCGAAGATGAAGTGTTCCAGGAGGGGGATGAAGAACTGGGTGAGATTCTGGCTGCTCATCTCCTTGGCAGAGTTTGCCGCTTCCAAGGTGCGAAGAGCCTCGAGCTGCCGAGATGTAGCAGGGCTCAAGATGTCGAAAAAGAAGGTCGGCTCCAAGGTGTCCTCCTGGCGTTCGCTCATGAGACCGCTCAGGTCGGCGACGGGGGCCCAGTCGGGCATCACGGTTAGGAGGAATCCAAAGACACGCAAATATTCTCGCCGAACAGTTCCGGATGACTCGCGCGCACCAGAATAGATCGAGGGCATCAGGATATCCTTCATGTATGCTTCGAACGCCTGCTTCGAGCTCTCTGACTGACAATCAGCAGTCGTTTTGATGAAGCGGCGTATGCCATCAGCCGAGTTTGATGAAAGAATTCCAAACTCCTCATCCATGCGAATGAAAAAGATCAAGTTGTGCAAGAGCGGTAACCACTGCTTTGGCGTCCAGGGGAGATCTCGGTCAGTTGAAATGGCATTGAACGATGCCAGCCGCCTGTCGTAGTCTGGTTCGTCGACGCGGCCCTCTTTGAACGTGTTCAGCTCCAAGCAGAGGCTGGCGATCTCTGCTACATCAGCGTCTTGTTGAGAAATGGCTTTCATTGCTTGACACAAGGAGTGCCGGTTCTGCCTGTCTTTGAAGTAGCTGAAGAGGGACGACAGCGTGTCGTAAACCTCGCTCAACAAAACCAGATCCTTGGCAGCATCAGATACTGCGACAAACTGCTCGACAATCAACAAGATCCTGCCCTTGATTTTCGGGTTCACGCGTCGTGGGGGCTGTTTCAGCAGGAAGCTTGATATGCGGATGACGGCCTGTGCGTTGTCCAGGTCCTGCAGGACGGGCGCGAGTGCCAAGATGGTCTCGACGCTTGCCTCGAGTAGGCTGTTGCTAATGGTCGGCGTCCTCAGCACAGTCATGATGTTGGCCAAGATGGCCCGGGCGTTTGGATCAAGGAGCTCGGCCATGATGACTTCGTTGAACTCGGACTCGCTGGCGGGCGCAAGAGCGAGCCTGACCAAGTTCTGAAGAAGTACGAGGACGAAGATTTTGACCTCATCCTTGGTTTTCTCGACCCCGAGACAGGCGACGACCTTGGGAAGAACGCCTTGAGGGAGGCATTTTTGGTGTGGCGCGAGAAGCAAGGCCGACCTGGGGAGCACCGACAGGGTAGAGACCAGTTGCAACATGCCCGACACGCCCTGCGTCGTCTCGGTCGGGAGATTGTCCAGTCTGGGGGCTATGACTTCTTCGACAATGACGTCGTGGTAAGGATCCCATTGAAAGTTTTGCGCGTTTTGGAAGAGCGCTGTCAAGCACTTGATGCCCAGCGATCTTGTTGCCTTGAGCAGCGAGTTGTTTCTGTTCTTGTCGTCTTCTTCCGAGCCGGTCTCCTGATCAGACAATGATTCGTTGAGCCTCCTGGAGGAGTAAACAAGGCAGTAGAGAACCGCATTGAGTAACGTCTCCACGTAGGGCTCCACGCTTGAGCCAAGTTCTGATATGAAGGACGATATCATGTTCAGAAAACCCATTTGTTTCCGAACTGATAAAATGGCCTCTTCAAAGAACTTCTTTCGCTGGGTGGGTGCAACGGTGACGCGGACTTCCTTCAACTTGCCCGCAGCGATATCAAGAAAGCTCCCCATGTCGTCCACCGAGAGGTTGCGCAGCACGGCAAGACGGGTGGCTTGGAGACCGTTTCGGCCACTTGCTGCCCCCTTTTTCGAGATGGTGCGGCCGTACAGAAGTCGCAGTAAGACGGGCATCAGTTCAGATCGGTGCTCGGGTTTGATGACACTGTCTCCCTGCAAAAAAACAGCGATTTCGTCCTTGAATCGAGCGTCGTCGAGCAAGTACTCGAGGTTTTCCTGGTACGTTTTGACTCCCTCCTGCTTCCAAGCCAAAATGGCTTTGAGTGCGAGTTTCTGGATCTCGACGTCGCCGTTTTCCATCAGTTTCAGCAATGCTCTATACACGCTATCCTGCTGGTACACAACTCTTGGATTAACGAATCGAGAAAAGACTCCCAAGATTGCCTTCCGATCAGCCAATGACCAATCCGACCTTTGATCTTGGGGCGCCTCTTCGTCGGGAGCACTGGGCGCTTCGTCCTCGTCAGTCAACCACGAGAGAAGGTGTGGCACCAGCCGGCGAGATCTTTTCTCCGCGATAGTCGGCATCGCATTCAAGACTTTAAGCGCGCGAGATCTGGCATTGGCGAGAATGGGCTCGGCCAACTGTTGCTTTTCGTCGAAACTTCGCAGCATCATATCATCGGCCTTCTCAACGATGTTCAGAATAGCGTCAGCTGACCTCTCGAGGTAGCCCAATGCAGTACACTCGAAGTTGGTATATACTGGAGGGCGGGTGGTGTCGCCCGCGTGAGCAGATGGAGTCCACCGAGCAGAGGGGTTCTCCAGCCACTCAAGTGCAATCGCCGCCACCGCGTCTTCGCCGAGCTTGGTCTGAGTGATGTGCTGCAGCACTTCAACTGCGGAGTCCCAGACCGGAGATAGCTTGACGGTCAACATGCCGAAGATGAACCTAGGAATAGCAATCCTCGGCCCCGAAGAATCGATCGAGGAATATTGCTGGCCCAGCTTTCGCAGCAGCATGGCAATGGTTCTCGTGTTGTCAAGACGCAGAGGAATCTGCTCGAGTTCAATCATGATGCCAACACACTCTGACAGTCCCTGAGTGTCGCCCAATTGCTTTAGAAGCTCGAGAGAGGCTAGCCGAATGTGATGAGACGGGGAACTGAGATTTTCAAAGAGAGATTCCGTCGCAGAGTCCTCGCCAGGCGCCGACTCATCACTCACAGGGCTGTCTTGCTTCTCAGTCTCGTGACGTCCCTCAAGACGAAGCCGCTCGTATTCCAAGTAGGCCTGGAGAAAACCAACAGACCGCGCAAAGCGCCGGACTGCAGCACGAAGCAGGGGGCTCAGGGAGGTGTCAAGGAGCCCGCCCGCCTTGCCCATGCGGAGGTAGGCTTGGAATCCATGGCTAACAATGAAATGCACCTCATCTGACGCCAGAGAAGACGACGGTCGGAGGGCGAGCTTCAGCTTTCGTAGCAGCAGTTCGGCAATTCGAGCATTGGTCGAAGGATGAACAGCAGTCATCTCAAGTAGCTGAAGCAACCCAGCATACTGAGGCAGGCATCTGTCTCTCCAGACCTGGGGATCTTTGTTGTAAGGACCTCGTTCCGGAAAGGGGGAGATTTCCAGGCGCTCAAACTTTGACACGATCTGATCTTGCCAGGCCTGGGGTAGTCTGCAGCAGTTTTTTTCGCCGAGGGGCGGGAACGCTCCGTCTTTGATCATTTTCGGGAGCAACACGCACAGTACGTCTTGATTCTGCCCTTCGGACCAGTGGGTTGCCACGAATCTACGAACTGTTAACGCTTGCCCAAGGCCAGGGTACGGCTGAACCTACTTCTGAAAACTGTTCCGGAATAAGATCCCAAAACGGTTCTGGTCCAGATCACAGAAATACGCGCAAAATGGGATATACCATTTTAGGAGCGGTTCTCTGGTCAATGATTGGAGGAGCGGCGTAATGTGCGGTATCAAAACATCGATGGGCGCGTGGTACCAGACAATGGCAACCCTGGAGATAATCGAGTTCCACACAATGTCATGTTGGTCTTGGCGTATGTCTTCCGCCGACTTTCCAGTGATGCTGAGAAGGGAGACTAGCTCGCGGATCAGGGGGTCCCAATTTCGGACTCGGGTCCCCTTTCGGACACCAGCCAGAACACTGAGGATTTTTATCAAGGGGGCCGTCTGCCACTGGACAGAGCCGTGTGCAAAGATCTCCCTTTTGGACCGAATTTTATCGAAGACTTCCTCCGCCAAACTCTCGATGGTATCCGCAGTTACGTAGTGGATGGTGCTGGTGAGAACTCCACAGACAAGGTCGAGCCAATGAGAGTCTCGGTTTAACGTGTATTCCTCCTCGGGGATGGCGTCTATGAGGGCGGAGATGATTGCGCCGCCAGCTGAATGGATGGTCATGTCGGTCCCCTTGACTGCCTCGGCGAACATGGTCATTAGACCGTCCTTGTACAGAGTAAACTGACGGGTTTCTGCCGCACTCGGCAGGTCATTTCTGACGTGCTCGACAAACGAAACGAGCGCCGCCTCGCGGTGAGACGGAGCGGCAGCCTTGCGAACGAGGAAGCTCATGGCTTCGGCGGCGAATCGCGCAATGTGCGGAGGCTGTCGGGACTTGCCGAGGAGCGGCGTCAGGACGTCAAATGTCGGCTTCAAGTCGGGTACTAGGAGTTTGGAGAGATATTTGAAGAGAAATGCCATGGCGCCAAACGTCCACTCAATGACCTCGACCTCCTGGGGTTTCTGGACGATAGCCAGGAGCAGGCCCAGACTGCGGGGAAAGTGTTTCTCGAAGCGCACGCCCAAGTCATGCGCAAGCGCCGTCAGAAGATCGAGCAGCGGCTCGAGGGCATCCTTGTCGTGCAGAGATATATACTGGGCCAGCAACTGCATAATCCTCTCTTCGTAGTGGAGGATCTGCGGCAGGCTCTCGGACAGGGGCAGAACCGCAGACTTGAAGGAGCAAAACGGCTTCGACAGGTTGAGCTCGCTCCATTTCTGCAGCCCATTCTGGAAGTAGGATGTCGACGTCGACAGGTCTTCGGTGTCGAGGTCATGGCGGCGGACTTTGCGCAAATGTTGCAGCGAGTTGAGCCTTGCGATCTTGGTCGAGAAGGACTCCCAGCGGTGGTTCTTGAGGTGGTTGCCGCCGAGCCTGTGCTTGCGCACCTTTTCGATGCGCCCAGACTGTTTGTTGGACGGCATCGTGGCGGTCTGATGGCTGCGAGTGTGCGGTGGCGAGCCAGAATTACCATGCCGACGAGCCAGCTTCGACTTCGCGATAAAAACCTCGCCGCCAATTCCCGTTGCTTTAGAAAAAAATATAAAGCGGGCCCGGCGATTGGCGGCAATAGTGCGGGAGAACTGATAAGCTCTGCACAGTAACAGAGGCCCACTCGAGCTAGAAACCCACCAATCACATGCCGTGCGCAAACCGCTTATCGCTTCACTTAAGCTCGCCTCCAAGTCCAGTCTCTGGAGCGATTCCGTCATCCGCATCAGCTTCGAGGGCCCACGAGGCGCTGCAATGGCCGCGCCCAAGATGTATGTGCCGTGCAGCCCGTAAAGCAACTTCATCGCCTCCAGTCACTAACGTCGAACCTACAGAATCGTCCTCGGCAGCCTCAATGGCCAGCTCGAACCGGCGCTCCAGAAACTCGCGACGCTCCATGCCAAGAACAACTTCTGCCTCGCAATCCTGACCGGCGATGTCTTCACGCCCGCGACAAGCCCCGAGGTCATCTCATCGCTGGCAGATGGAACCCTCCACTTTCCCCTTCCAACCTACTTCACCGTCGGCACGCAACCCCTGCCCGAACCCATTGCCGCCAAGGTCGAGGCCGACAAGGAGATTTGCCCAAACCTTCACTTCCTCGGAAAGCGCAGTGTGACCAACACTTCAGATGGAATTCGCATCATCGCTCTTGGCGGTCTTCTCGACGCCAATCTGGTCGGCGGTCAGTCCAAGGAGCAACACCTCCCGTTCCACACCGAGGACGATGCCAAAGCGCTGCGTGGTGCCAATCGCGCCGACATCCTCCTGACGTCCATCTGGCCGGCCGGTATCTGGAACCGCTCCCAGGTGGCTCTCGAACCGTCTCAGCAAGCGGCTCTCCAGAGCACCAAGGCAATTGCTGACCTCTGCGCCGCCCTCAAGCCTCGCTACCATCTCTCGGCGTCTCCGGGTGCATTCTTCTACGAGCGCGAGCCGTTCATGCATCCCTCGGATGAAGACTCGGACGCGAAGACCTTCACTCGATTCATCTCTCTGGCCCCCTACGGTAACGATTCCAAGGCCAAGGCCATGTATGCATTCACCCTGAACAAGACAGACACGGGCCCGCCTCCGGGGTTCACGGGCTCCCCTTTCGCCGCCCAACCGAGAAAACGGCCGAGGCATGATGAGCCTTACAGTCGGTTTGGCGGAGGCCACCACGACGGTCGGCGCGGCAAGCGACATCGCGCGTCTCCGCCTCCCGGCCCCGATCGGTGCTACTTCTGCCTCTCCAATGCCAACATCTCAGTGCACATGTGCTGCAGCGTCGGCGACGAGTCCTACATCACCACGGCCAAGGGACCGCTGCCCACGTCTGCGACCTTTGCGGAGCAGGGGCTAAGCTTTCCTGGCCACTTCATCATCATACCCCTCCCTCACGCACCTACCATTGCGAGCATTGGGTCCCTGCCGGACCCGGCGAGCGAGGCGGTCCGCACACTGCATGAGATGACCCGCTTCCGCGAATCCCTCCAAGCCATGATTTCGGCCAAGTCATCCCACAAGCTGGGCACCGTCACGTGGGAAATCAGCCGCGAGCGCAACGTGCACGTCATCTGGCAGCTCGTCGCCATTCCCGCAGAAATGATCCAAAAGGGCGTGGCCGAGGCCGCCTTTCGCGTCGAGGCGGAGAACCAGCGGTACCCAGCCCTGCTCACAAAGGACCTCTCTCCCGGGCAGCAGGCCGACTACGGCGACTTCTTCCACGTGTGGCTGTGGGCCGATAACGGCGAGGACAAGATTAAGGGCAAGTCTCTCGTCATGCCGCTGCCTGCTGATCTGCGCTTCGACCTCCAGTTCGGCCGCCGCGTTCTGGCCAAGTTGCTCGGCCTGGAGGACCGCTTCATGTGGAAGGCCTGCGAGCAGACGGTCGAGGAGGAAACCAAGGACGTCGAGGCTTTCCGTGGGGCTTTTGGGGAATGGGACTTTACGCTGAAGTAAACTGGGGAGGGGTTATTGCGCTCTGCTCAGCTGGCATCTCGATGTCCTTTTTTGTTGCATTGTCTTCGTCGGCGTTGGCGAGAATCGATAGGGCGGATCTACACAGCTCAGGCGCGAGGGTTGATTCCGGCCACGGAATGCTGGACCGACGAGACTTTCTCATCTTACGGTAGCGCAGAGATTCTGAGACATCCACGGAATACCGAATTCATCGATCACGTGCAGAATTCCAAGTGTTTCTGGATGACGTTGCCCAGCCGCTACAATTCCGGACATTGTTCCTAAGTCGGACGTCTACGTGTCAAGTTCATAATCATGGAAGTTATGGGCATATAACTTTTTTTTGTCTTTATGGCTTTGTTTTTTGATCTTTTGGTTTTTTTTCCTTTGGTCGGTCGGGTTCCTACTCGAAGAAATAGTATGAGCCAGCGCGGGGAGACAAATAGACCCCTTTTTCTTCAGACATGCTCGTGTCGTACCACCACCACCAGCGTCTCCCTACCTAGGCAGACTCCCTCACACCTGTCTCGCACGCGTGTGAGCCTAACCAGTGGAACAATTAATGAAAAGGGGCGTGAGGTCGTGTATCCACGCACAGCGACCCATCAAAGATAGTATGAGAGATGATCCTCCCGTTGGGAAGCATGAACAAGAAACAAGAAGGCATGCTGTCGACTTGGTTTTCGTGGTGAAGGGCGGGGGGGTATATCCGCATCGCTCGCGCGAGGGTATTTGACTAAACAGTGCGTGTAAAGGGCTGTGTCGATTGTGATCAGTGGCCTTGGTGACCTGTGCCGAAGCCTTTGGAGGCAAGCCCAAGGTTGTGCCAGACTCAGTAAGGGCACATCGCGTGGGGTTCAAGTCGAGGGCACCACTTAAAATGTCCAAGGAAGGCGGCGCAGTCCCAATGTCGAGAATGAGACCTGCATCTCGCGACTAGGTCCAGAGGTCGCTGCTCGTCATCTTCCGCAGCAATGAGAACCGAACAAAGACAAAACGCCGAGATGCAGAGGATGCAAGACCCCGGGAAGGATCCCGAGGGACAATGATGTGACGGGTGCCAGAGACCTCGGTCTCGGTGCGTCGAACACAGTCAAGGACGAGCGTATGGCTCGGAAGCCGTCGGCCGAACAAGGAAAACGGGAACAGAGAAGAGTGACGGGTCGGGTCGTCGCAACCCTCGAGATGCAAGGGGCCAAGTGGGATGTAAACAAAAATTAGGACGAAAAGGAAAGAATCGAGTCAGCCGCCTTGCGTCGTGGATAGCAGGCGATGGTGAGCAAAAGATATGCGTTTCCATATCAATAGGAGGCCATGCGACGAGCCGGGGATCGCTCGCCCGGGACCAGCGAGTGGCCAAACATTGTCATGGAAGCTACCCGTTGATCTTGGTGTGGGGCCACAGCAGCCCAACTAAGTGTCTTCGCCACTTAGTTGGCCCAAAAAATCCGGCACAGCCCAAAAAATCCGGCACAGCAGGGTCCTCAATTTGGGGTGCAAAATCAAGGGAAATTCTACGCTTCGCTTCATGGTGCCGTCAATGCGACTTCAAATAGCTAAAATATACATGTGATCAATAGCTGCGGATCACCTAAAGACGCAAGTAACAACGAAAAGTGAAAAATCACGTCTTTGGGCCTATTTAGGAGCTGCCGCCTTCCAGTCAAGAGATAGGAAGACCGCGTTTGTGAGTCCAAATAGACGTATTATGTAGTAATTTCGCCTGTTGTGCGTCTCTGAGAGCTATTTTATCCATACCTGTGTTCCTGGAGCGTCTGCTGTATCTTGTTGGACGATCGGGTGCGCGGTCGAGGGCATGGTGTATCGACTACCGCTTCAACCGCTGCTAACGGCGGCGATGAGGGTATATTCTCTTGCGTGTCGAGTAAATTGTCCTCGTCTTCATCGTCGGCGCCATCCTCACTATGTTTGTCAAGATCGAGGCCTGTGAAATAGACGGTATCGTCACTGCCGGGCAACGACGACATATCTGTAAGTGGGCGAGGTCGGGTCGCTGCGCGCGCCTGACATCTCTGGCGGAGTTATTTCTCTTCGTGGTATCATAGAAAAGGATTCCTTGGATGGCTCTTTGAGCTCCCGCATGAGGGTATCGCAACTTTGCTCCAGAGTGTAGAACTCAACGTCTCGTCCCGTAAACTCTAGCCAGGGCTTAAAGTTCAATGTCTTGACTCTGCCATTGACTAACTGCTTCTTCCCGACTTTATAGTCTTCTCGGATCTTCTGCATCTCTCCACGAACTCGTTTAAGATGCATCCTTATCTCCTGGCGCGTTTGAAGCCGGGTTTGCTTTGCCTGGAGCTCCTCATACTCCCGGGTGATGTCGGCCATGCTGGAGCTCGTGATAAACTCTCCGCGCGGCCTGACAATCTTGCCTCTCTTCATTCGATTCGCATACGCCTGGGTTCGGCTATTCTTATCGCTGACTATGCCCTGGGAATGTGACGCCATCGCGATAGACTCGGTGTTCACTTTCGCAAGAACCCGCAAGTTTTCTCGTGATGGCGAGCTCATGAGGGGCCCATACCGTTGCCGGATATCATTGAGGGCATCCGCGGCGACTTGGAAACGCGTCTCCGAGGGTAGGAGCGAGGCGTATGCAGGATTGATCGGCTGCTGTTGTCGTAGCTGCTCGTGGAGGATCTTGGTGATCACCGGCGCTGGGTCGACAGGAAAGAGGCCTGTTTTTCAAATGCCGCCATAATGTTATGCCGCGTGAAGCCAGCCTCATATACGTCCTGAAAAGCTGTGAGGAAGTTGACCCGCGAAAATGATATGTTGCCTTCTGCGAGCGACTTCGAAGCGCTTTCTGATGTGCTGACTTTAGTGGCTGGAATACCCCAACATCAAGCGGCTGCATGAGGTGGGTGGAATGTGGAGGAAAATAGCAATGATGATATCAAACTTGATACAATACTCAGCAAAGTCAAGGGTGGTATGCCCTGTAAAGCCATCCACAACAAGCAATCGGTAGATCTTCTCGTCGTCAGGCCGTTGGTTTGGCGGCGCCTCCACGCGACTCATCCCCATGTTGGGGCGCCGAAGATGCTCGTCACAGCCGAACCACTCTTCCAGCGAATTTCCTGACTGTTTTGCTTGCGCTGACGATGCCCAAGACCAGCAGTTGAAATGCCTTGCCCACTCAAGGTGTATCTCTGCGTTGGAAAAGCCAGTTGGCGACTGGGCAAACCGTACGCCTGTCATGATGTCGATGCCGGCCCAGTTGGTGGTAGGGTAATGTTGGAAAACAAGCCAGGGTGGAAGAGAGTCCCCCACTGCGTTAACTGAGGCAATTACCGTGCAGGATTCTCGGTTTGCTGGGTCTAAAACTCGGGGCCGGGTGCTCTTGACTCTAGTGGTGCGCGTGATGAGAACTTGGATGCGTTCTCGCAGGCACCCAATGCGTATTCCGGCCTCGTCTTCATTCCAGATCTCTGAACTGCCAATACGGTAGCTGGTGATGATTTCTCGAAGCTTTGAGTAGAAAAATTCGACTTCTTCTACCCCGTGGGCTTCAAAGGACTTCCGGGCTCGTTCAACTGCTTTGAGATACGTCTTCGCGATCGCAGGATGACTTCCACGCCAATTGTCAAGCCAACTTGACGAGACCGGGCGGGCATTGGGATCTCGACGCATTCTTATTGCATTTGCAACAGCTTCAAGTTGCTCTCGTGGCGGGCATGCCGGTGCGTTCCATCCACTGTACATACGCAACCAGGGCGTCGTCTTCGTCCTCCGTCAGCGCCAATGGACGCCCTGGAGCACGGGAAAAGGGTTTCTTATGAAATTAATGGCTCTCTGTACGGATGAGCTCTTCACATTGTAACGGATGGCCGCATCTCGCACGGAAAGAGGCGTTCTTTTGGTGTTGTTGAGCGACGAACATCGGCTCTGGGGTCGCGACGAGACGCCAGAACGGCTTTGCTGCCTCCAGGGTAGCCATGTTATCTGTCATAATGTATTCCGGCAAAAGATACGTAAATAAAGTCAAGTTGCGCGAGAAAACGCGGTTGAGATGCATAGGGTTGACGTTTTGGAGGTGGGCTGCTGTGCCGGATTTTTTGGGCTGTGCCGGATTTTTTGGGCCAACTAAGTGGCGAAGACACTTAGTTGGGCTGCTGTGGCCCCACACCAAGATCAACGGGTAGTCGTGAGCCGGGTCGACTGGGTCCTGTGGGGGAGTCGTTGACGCACGACTCTCTCTGGCCAAAGGCAAAAGATTGCGCGCGACCGAGGCCTTTTCGGGCCTTTAATCGTCCCATTTCGCGCTCGCACGTGCGCTGATGCTTCTCGTCCGACATCTCAACGTATTCCGGGGGGAAACACCTGCCGCGGTGCTCGGCGAAGAAACCGCTGTATCCGCCGTCCAGGATGTAGACCTCGGGATACGTCAGGCGAGGGTAGTGTTCGGCGTTGACAGTACGATCCTCGGACCGGATATGGCGGGCCATGAGCGGCGCCCGGTGGGCAGAGTACTCGCAGTGGAAGACGAGCAAGGTTCTCCCGGCCATTGGCGTTTGGAAGAGCTGGGAGGCCAGCAGCTCCTTGTCGTTGTGGTTGACTGCCCCTTCAATGTGGCCCCCGTCGTACTCGTACTCGAAGCGGCAGTCAATGACCACCTTTTGATCGAACTGCTCGGTGTATTTCCCGTCCAACACGTCCAGGAGCGTCTCCTTGCTAATGCGAGGGATGATGTCTGTAGGATCTTCGGGCAGGAAATGGGGAAGGAGCAGTTCGTGGATCTCCTCAATGTCCATGACGGACTTGAGCGAAGAGGTGTTGGCTTCTTCACTGTCGGGCTTCGGCTTCATGATATCAGCGGGGTGCTCGAACATGCTCAGCGAGCGTCGAAACTGCTTTCGGTTCCTCAAAAACGGGTTCGACTGTCGCCTAGAGTGGCAGTTCAAAGGCGACCCATGACGTTGGCTGCCGGATCCCGCCAGGCCGACGAACAGTGGTCTGGGGCGAGAGGCCATGGTGGCGGAAGACGGGGGGCTATTAGCTGACTGCTCCCGCGGCGGAGACGCCGACTCGAAGCATTCGCCGAGCGAGAGATTCGAGCTCGAGTGGCTCAGGCCACAGTCGGCTCCGAAGCGAAAGGCAGGCAATTGAGGCTCGGCCTGGGCTCTGCTGGGGACGGCAGTGGTGGTGAGGCCCTTCATACGACTCAGAGAGGGTCGACGGGGAGCAGCTATCTTGCGGCTTCACACGAGACTGTCAGTATGTATGGTCTGCTTGCGGACACGACAGGAATGCTCATTGAGACTGACTCAGCCACGATTGGTTTAGACGGCTCCAACGAGCCCTGGCGCGTGATTGGGGCCGGGGAATCCAGCACCATGTCGTCGTCATGGTCGTCGTCGACAGTAGGTGTCGAAATGGGCGTCGGAGATGTAATCTCAACCTGCGTGCAGAAGGGCGTCTTGTGCGGCAGGGGAGACACCTCCATGAGCTCCGTCGTCGGACCCGGCGACGACGAGGGGAGAGGAGGGGTCGTGACGAAGTCTGGACCAAGGTCAGCTTTGTAACAGGCCATTCAGTCTTGGCTCATGTTCAGGCGGTACTTACGCCTGCTCTCCATGCCGCTCATCATGTTGGCAGTAAATAGCGCGCGTCGGGGAGTCGGGAACTGAGGGCTAAGAGGCGTCGAGGGTTAGCAAGCATCACACGTTGGAGCCAGGCATGGCACGAACCTGGCGTCACTGTCGAGGCGGAAGTTCTGGGAGAGGTCCGCAGCCAGGCTAGCAGCAGGCGAGGAGCCGCGGACATCCTTGACGTTGAAGTAGTCAGAACCGCTCTTGTGCAGCTGCTCACGGAGGCTAAAGGCCCCAGAATGGCTCGAGTAGTGCGAGTGTGGTCCAGAACGGAGGATGTCTCTGCCGCCCCAAGCCGGCGCAGGCATGAGGGGGCGGTGCAGAGCCGCCAACGGAGAGGACGCCTCCATGATTGCACCAGTACGAAGCTTGCTCGTGCAGACGAGGGAGCATGCGGCGATGTTGCTACTGGTATATGTCGTGACGGAAAGAGTGGCAATTAAGGAATGAGTCCCCGGGGTCCGGTCCCAGAAGAGCAAAAGCGAATGCTGCGACGGTTTATAGACAAACAAAGGTATGAACAAAGAAAGAAACAGCCACGGGGCTCTCGATACGACTGCAAGGACCCGAGGGGTGTGGGAGCGTGCGTGCCCAGGTGCCGGTCCGTGGCGTCAGTCCCGTCCAGCCCAGACCAGGTGCTCCGGAATCCGGGGACCGACGAGGGGGAACGACGGTTTCGTGGCTCGCTGTTATCGTATCGAGGGCATTGGGGACGGCGAGGGCTCGGCGGAGGGGGAGGGGGCGGCGGCCGTCGACTCGAGGCCCGTCCTGGCTGGATGCCTGGAGAGGGAGCGGCCGCCTCGGGCTACGGGTAGCATGCAATGGGGCGCGGATGGGTTTTTTTCGGGCGGTCTCGTCTGGTGCGAGACGAGGGCGGATGGGGCGTTTGAAAAAGTCCCGGGCCCGGCAGAAACTGGTGAAGAGGGTCTGAAGGGGGGGGGGGGTCCTGCTCGAGTGGTGTCAATGCTGGGCGGGCCGTATGGAGAAGAGGCAGGCCTACCTCGCCCTCTTTCACTCGTCCCGTCTCGTGGCCGTACAAGGCACTTGGTGATGGAGGGGGAGGGAGAACAAAGAGTGGGCGAGGGAGCAGCGCCTTTTCAATGGGCGTGCAACGGGGCCAGCTGGGTACCGGGCGCTGGGATGGAGATGGGACGTTGTTAGGGGCGACTGGGAAACCCAAGACCTGCCTAGTAGCGACGAGAGAGTGGACGGGGTGGATGCGTAGTACGGGCGGCGGGCAGGCAGTAGTACTCCGTATGCTACAGTATGTATGGATGTGCACGCATGCTTGCCCAGACAGGCAGGTAGGTGATTAGGTAGTAGGAGTATAACGGCTGTACTGTCTGTATTGTGCTAGGCAGCCTTATGAATAGCACAGGTAATCGGGACTAATCCAGTATAGCCGGCCCAGCCCTGCCCTGTCCACGCTGCGCAACAGCGCTGTGGCAGGACGCACTGATCAGTGAGCAGTACGTACCTGCATACAGCACAGGTCCGGGCACCAAAGGTACACACGCCTGGGGAGGGGAAAGCCCCGAAGGGCGGACGAGAGGTGGGGTGAAGCTCGAGCTAGCAACCGTCAGCTCTGCGAATGACTTTGGGCCGGGAAGATCCATGGATGGATGAGACGGCGCGGCTACCCAGTGGAGATGGATCTCAGCCCGCCCTTGTCGCCATGCGGCAACTCGTACCGGGTACCCGCCGCCGCCGCACGGACTGCGGGAAGCTGGTCGTACCGAGGACTGCGGAATTAAAATACCTTTTGCACTTGGGCTCTAGTTAGGCAGGTGGACAACGTTGAGTTGGGTGCTGACCTAGTGTCTCTAGTGGCCCCCACAGTTGCTCTCCCTTTGGCCGCCTGGGACACTGGCAAATGGCGAGTTGCAACTTGTCCACCGTCTGGTGTTTTTTTTTAAACAGCAGACCGCTCGCGACTGCTGCTGCTGCTACTACGTATGTACAGTACCTCCTGTAAGCGCAATGTCTAGCATCTTGCTCGCCTGCCTTTCGGGGTTGCGATGTGCAGACGCACAAGCCTCCTGTGGCGCGCGGCTTACACAGCCATTGCTCGGAATAGGTACGAAAGTACCTTACCTTGTACGTATATGGGACTCCGTAGCGTGATTCTCGTGGATAGGTACGCATCGGCTGTGCCTCGTGTGCAGAAATGTGCCCAGAGATGCGTTGTACATATGCATGTACACATGTAGGTATGCAGGCGTGTAGAATGTGCACATGGAACACATGGAAGCCCAGGCCCAGAGTGGCTTAGACCCGGCGCAGGGGACCGAGCCATATCCGGTAAGTCGACGTCGTTGCTCAGCAAAGGGTGGGGCGGCCAGTAGGGCAAGCGAGCGGGTACGACATGACTAAGGCCTGGCTGTCAACCGTCGAGGTATCCGGATACCTGGATCCGCGGCCAGCCGGAGCGCATCTGGCCAAGTATCTCGATACCTTGTCTCAGGCGCGGTGCCAAGGGCAACCGCTTTCCTTGCTTCTTCGTGTCTCCTGCTTTCTGCTTCTGCTTCTCCTCATCCTAAATAGAGGGCCACCTAAAAAAAAGCATTCGTTCTTTGTACTGTACAGCACGTACGAAAAAAGAACCACGACCGACACAGCCCGGCATCGCTCGACTCATGATGCCAGCAGTCGAGGCATGTGAGTGAGGACACTCTTACTCCATGGCAATGTCTGGGTATCGGATGCTTGATCGGAGCACGTCATTCCGGCGGATTCCAGTTCGCGTCCTCCCGTCCTAGCCTTCGGCTGCTGAGAGCGAGCCTCGGATTTCACAATGGCCCACCGCGCTCCCCTGTCCACGCTACAGTACCGGTACGTGCCATCTTTCCACTCCCATCATGGGTGCTCCTCCCCGTTGCCGGGTTGAGACAGCCACAGGCGTGGCCAACCGGGACAAGGGGACTGACTAGTCGTGGGTATCGTGGCCGCTCATTATCGGTCGATGAATGTGCTTTCATTTTCCTTTTGCAGGGTTTTCTTCACCGCACCCGTGTCTAATGCAGGTTGGTGCATCGGAGCATAGCTCAATCTTCCTCTTCTTCGTCTCCTTGTTTTTTTCCCCCTAGGATCCGTGAGAGGAGAGCTGAAGTCAGCCATGTCTACGGAGTAGAAATTGCCCTGCACCTCTTGCATCTCCATAAAACACCAGCCAGCATAATAATGAGAGAGACAAGGCGCACACACGTCATACCCGCACCCCCATGGACCACCCTGTCCCTTCCTTACATGCGTGATCCCTGGTGCGCTTCATTGGCGATTCTGGCGCTCCCTTGACTAATACTTGCAACTACCTAGGTCTCTCCCGGCCATCTTACCAACGACAGCTTGTTGACTCTTGGTGCCACGGCCAACGACTACAGAGTAAGAGGAGCTGCTGGGTGTATCCCGAGTCCCGGACCCGTCCCGAACCAAGCCCGGTACGTACCCGGCTACCTCCCTGGCATCGAATCCTTCCCTGCAAGGAAAAGCAAGACCTGACAAGGTTGTCGCCCTCCCTGGAGAGCCGCTCATCTCGATTCGCCCTGGTGGATCAGGAGGGATGCACGCCGCGCGGGGAATCAGTCTCCCTGACGAAAATCTGACATGCCGCTCCCTTACCTCTTCTTTGCCTCGAACCATATGCCCAACCACGGCCGGCTGACAACTCAAAAGCGCTTCAGACATCGCTCGAACAGCCTTGTACTGTGCTTACCCGTTCCCCACACACCATCCTTTGTTTGATACCTCCCTCCATGGACATCCAGTGTCGTGTCGACCCATATCTGAGCAGCCTGACAGCCAAGGCGCCCGGATTGCCTTTGACACCCTGCGCGGGCAGACGACTCCGGTTTGGCCACCTCTCCGCCGCTCACCCAAGTAAACAAAGCTTATCCTCAAGCGTCAACCCACGGCCGGGTCCGCCGCGGCGGCGTCCATGCAGCTCTGCTTGGTCCTGGCCACGGGGACAAGAGCTCTGGCAATAGATACCGGACCGCCTCCGCTCCTGTTTCGTAACTATGTGTTGGGTCATGTATCAGAACAAAGGGCCCTTCCCTTCCTCCCACCCTCCACCCGTCGGTCGGATCGCCCGAGTCCCGGACGCCGGCCAGCGCAAGGTAGGCCGGAAACTTTCTGGGGTCAAGAGCAGGGCCGGCGCCCGAGAGAACGTGGAATTGGCATGAATGAGGATTGTTGGATCCAGTCAGAACAGGGTTCATCCGAGCCGTAAAGCGAGTGGATAGATGTTTTGGCAAAGACTCGACCGCGTTGCCGTTCACGGGACGCGCTCATCGTCGATGGAGTGCTTGCCGTCCCGATCCATCGAAGCGGACCTTGGCCGGCTCCGCGCCAAGGCTATGCGCCATGTCCGTCGTCAACTGCGGAATGGTGTTCTCAGCAACATCCCGCTCCTTCTCCCGTTTCTCTGATAGCCTGCAAGCCACTATGGTGCCATCCATCCTCGCCAACCCAAGCGTCTCGCGCCCCACTCTCGTGCCCTCCATCACGTCGACCCGGCGCCATTTGTGGACGAGTGCGCAGCCACATGCCGTATGCGTCGGCTCGTCGAGGCGAGCGTACACACGTCAAGCAGCGCTAGACGCACCGACAGGGGCCTTTGTCCTTTGTTTACAGAAAGTTGTTGGACCAGCTCGTCGTTGACTCCCTTTGGGGGTTAAACAAAAGCAAGTGCCCTCGTCGCCATTGAAACCAAGCTTGGCCAATCGCTTGCGCGAGCTCTCTGCCTCGGTGTCAGTCAGCGCTCCGCTTGCATCTTCAGCTGACTTTTGCCCGTCTGGTCTCCCCAATCAGGGCACGATGAGCGGCGGCCGAAGCAGGGATCCCCGCCGACGACGACGTCTCAACAGCGACCATGTACAGCAGGCTCCCACCCCTCCTCATGTGATCCCATGACGCGAGAGGGGAAACAAAGGCGAGCCGAGAGCCAAGCCAGCACTCATGATGCATCGGATGGCACACGGGGCTCGTTTGAGCTGTGCAGGGTTGCAAGGGTGGTTCGTATCCGCCGCGAAAACAGGTCCTGCCGCTTCGTGTGTGTACAAAGTCCAAGTAAACAGAAGAGGGGCAGGCCGCGTCGGCCGCGTCGACCGCGTCATGGCCCCGCCCGGCAACGCCCGTGCTGTGCCACGGTGTCACGTGCCATCCCCGCGCAAATGCGGAGGCTATTTTGGTGCCCGGGGACCGGCTGGGCCCGTCAGTGCCGGCAGCCCGCTTGCTTGCCGGCCGAGGGGCGCCTGTGAGTTTTCGACAATGGCAATGCGCGGTCAGTGCAAAATGACTGTGCCTCGCCAGCGTGGCGCTTTTGAGTTTTTCGTTCGATTCCTCTGCTCTGTTGGAGCCCCGGTCGTCCGGGGCTGAATCCAACACGGTAGCATGCACTCGCACAGGCTGCATCTTCCCGTCGACATGATAATCGATGAATCATCCATCGGCGCTGTCGAGTGGCCTTCTAGAACGCCAAGCAGAGCAGCCTCTACGAAGTACATGTGGCTGCAATGCCGAAGCGTCCGAGTGTGAGCGCAGACTAGCCCGCTTCAGGTGGAGAGACCTGCTCTTGTGGTTAGCCGAGTAAGAAAGAGTCTTGCACGGACTCTGCGTGTGAAGTATTCATAGACTCGGGGATTCACTGGGGTTTTGTGCGGCCAAGGATTGTCCCGTAAATAGCAGTGTCGTTGCGCATTGTTTTACGGGGTTGGCTGGGTTATTGGTTGGTTATTATTGAATTTTGTCACACGCTTATCGCGCAATCATCTTCCGATCTGAGATAGGCAACCGCCACTCAATGACAACTGATGCCCTAAAGATAGCATGTGCTTGGACCCGTCCACGATGAAGCCTTGTTGCCTGGTTGTCGAGTCGAGACCCCGTGACCATCCGTCAAGATTGATCGTCGCACCAAAAGCAGCTGAAAAATGATCGCTGCTATAGGGTAGGACAGACGGGGTCTGATCCCCACCCCGTCCATCTTGGTGGGGTCCCGCACTCGAAGGCGGTATGTAGCGGCAGAAAAGATGATCCAAGTCTTTTTTTGGCCAGTCGACGGTCACGATGCGTCCGAGTGCAATGCCGATCGCATCAAACAACTTGCGCCGACCTCTCCGCACAGATGGGTGGCAAACGAAAGCGCGGGGCCAAGGACAGTTCTAATCTTGGCCCTGGCCTCCCAAAACGAGCCAAGGGCGACTCCAAGATCCCACACGCCGCGACGAGGCCCAGCCTAGAACCGGCCCCATTCGTCGAGGCTCCCATTGCCGACGAAAGACGCCGAGAGGCCGCGCTCTACGATCTCCTCGGAAGCGAGGACGAGGGAGACAGGATTGCGGCAGCCGACTGCATCGTCTCGAGTCTGCTAGGCGACCAAGGGGTTCCCGAACCGGTGCTTCAGAGACACCTTGACCGGCGCCTCTTCCGGGGACTCGCGAGCGGCCGCAATGCCTCGCGCCTTGGCTTTAGTCTCGTCATCACTGAGATCATGAGTCAGCTATTTGGCCAGAAGAGCAGCCTCGAGTCCAAGTACCCCGGCCTGACGTTCGACTCGGTACTGGCCCTGTTAGTGGACAAGACGCAGGCCGTGGGCAGCCTGCCGGGGCAAGAGGAGCGAGACCACTACTTTGGCCAGCTCTTTGGCATCGAGTGCTTCGTGCGGTCTGGCGTCGTGTTTGCCGACACCTCGAAATGGGACGCGGTTTTGGACCTGCTCCTGAAGCTGGGAAACAAGAAAGTATGGCTGAGGTCACAATGCGGATGGGTCCTGGTCCAAGCTCTGGAACAAATGAGCGAAGACGAGGTCAAGAATACGCTTCTCAAAGTCGAAGCTGCTGGCCTGGCCAAGACCCCGGAAGGCGCGGCGGCTTGGCTTGTTGCCCTGAACAGGTACCCTAAGCTGAGGTTGAAGCCCTGGCGCAACCCCCTGTCCTCCAAATCTCTCAGTGATCTGGCTGCTGTCCTAAAGGAAAGCTTCAAGGTCTCCAACACGGACGCCGATGAAATGGCACAGGGCAACGGCAAGCAGGTCGGCTGGTCTGCGCAGCTGCATTTTGTGTGGGACATTATCCTCGGGTGCTTCGTAAAGGGGGGAGCGGAGGCGGACTTGGATGGCCTGAATCAGTTCTGGAGCCGCGTCGTCGACGGTAAGAAAGAAGTCCCGACCCGAGCCGGATTAAGAAGCAGGCTAACTGGGGCAGACGGGCTATTCTCCAAGAACGCGACCGACGGCCAGAAGTTCAAGGGCTTCATGGTGTTTCAGAAAATGCTTCAGGGGCTGGTAGATCAAGATGCCAAGCTCGAGTGCCTGTTCAGCAAGAACTTCATGACGTGCCTGATGAACCAAGCCGCCAAAGAAGACCGCTACTTGCACCGAGCAGCCGTGAAAACCCTGAAAGCCATCGAGGGGCTGGTCTCGACCCATCCCGGGGCTCTGGTCCCCGTGCTTCGAAATCTCCTGGGGAAGAATGGTGTATACAGCTTCGACCAGCGCACCAGCACCAAGACCGTGGACAAGCTGCTACAGATCATCAACCTACAAAGCGCAGAAGGCGCCTTGGCCGTCATCCGGCAACCTATTGCGTCTCTGAAGCAGCGAGAAAATGACGAGGCCAAAGTTACCCTGAGACTGTACGCCGACTATCTTTCCAAGGTCCTGAATGCATTTGCGTCAGACGCCCCTGCAGAGTCCCTCTCCGATGCCAAGAAGGGTGCTACGTACGGGCCCGTCTTGCAAGAGCTTTCCGCGCTGGCATACTCGCAGCCAGAGGGCATCCCGCAAGGTGCTCTGACAGAGCAGCTGCGTGATCACTGCCGGTCCCGCATTGAATCCTCACTGGCGAGGCTGACGCGAAGGACGGACGACTTTAAGACTTTCTGCGGTGCGGTGGCCTCCATCGACCCGTCCTCGCGGACCATGACCGAAGAGATCAAGTCAGCAATCAACGATGCTCTCTCTCGGATGAAGAAGCTTTTGAAGAACAAGTCGAAGAAGCAGGACGAAAAGGGCCTAGCCCAGGGGCTGGCAATGCTTCATGCCGTGTCCATCTTCCAACTGTACAATGAAAACCCAGACGCGATGGAAGTGCTGGACGACCTCGCCCAGTTCAGCGACAGGCTTAAGACGGGCCACGCCGGCGATGGAGGCGAGGGAAGCTCCGAGCTCCTGGTCGAAATACTCCTTTCGATGGTCGCCCGCCCCTCGTCGTTGATGAGACAAATATCGCAGCAAGTCTTTGATGCCTTTACTGGCCAAATCTCGGCCCAGGGGCTGGCCTTGCTCACCGACCCGCTCGCCTCTGGCGAAAGCACAAGAGGTGAGAAGGAGCTGTTCAACACGGAAGAGGACGGGATGGAGGTTGATGGGAGTGGCTCGTCGGATGAGGATGCCGCTGCTGACTCGGACGTTGAAATCGACTCGGATGTGGAGTTCGTGGGGCTTGCCGGCAGCGGTGAAGGCAGCGACGAGGAGGGCGGCGACGAGGAGGAGAGCGGCGACTATGAGCAGAGCGGCGACGACGAGGACAAGAGCGACGCCGTCGCTGAGGGCCAGGCTCCGCAGGACCTCGACGAGCTGGTTGGCAAGATCCTCAACAGCCATCGCCTGGACAAGGACGACGACGCCGTCGAGTCCTGCTCCGACGGCGACATGTCTGACTCTGAGATGCTCGCCCTCGACGAGAAGCTGGCTGAGGTCTTTCGGCAGCGAACCAAGAGCCGGCCCGACAGCAAGAAGCAGAAAAAGGACGCCAAGCAGTCCGTCGTCAACTTCAAGCACCGCATCCTCGACCTCGTCGACGTCTACGTCGGCAACGAGGCCCTCAATCCGCTCGCCTTTTCGCTCCTCGTCCCGCTGCTGCGCCTCATGCGCACCACGTCGGCCAAGCCCCTGGCCAGCCGCGCGTGCGAAATCATCCTCAACTACCAGAGGGGCTGCAAGAAGGCACGTGGCGGCGGCGGCGGCAGGGAGGGGGACAAGGAGGTGGCAGCGGCGGCGGGCGACCTGCTCCCGTTGCTGCTCGAGGTGCACGGCGAGGCGGCAAAGGACAATTCGCACGCGTACTCCAAGGCGGCCAGCGCGGCCAGCCTCATCGTTGCCTCGGCCATGTTTGCCGCCGACCGCGAGGCCATCAAGCAGATGGCGGCCGTCTACGCCAAGACGCAGTCGGAGTGGGTGCTGGGCGAGGCCCGGCTGCAAAACTCTTTCTTCGCCGACTGGAACAACTGGTGTCAGAACCATGCCTCGCAGGCACGCTCTTGATGCTCGCAGGCGTCGAGGCGAGCCGACTTGGGCGTCGCACAGATTTCTCGCTATAGATAGACTGTGTACATGGAAGCCGCTTGAGAGTTGTGCTGCCCTCTTCTCGAAGTGCGTGGGAGGAGACGAAGGGGAGGCGCCGTGCTCTGCTGACTAGAGCATGCATTACTCTAGAGTTTGACCACGGCAGTTGGTAATGGCAGTACAGAGTGCACTCGTGGCACCGCACCTTACTCCTCCATCTTGTCCTCGTCCTTTTTCTCGTTGTCGTCTTCGTCGTCCGAGTCATCCTCGGCGCGCGCTAACCTCTCAGCCTCCTCGCGCAGCTCCTTGGGCACCTCCATGTGCCGGCCCTTTGTAGGCCCGTCGACGCCACTGATCCACGTCATCTCCAGCTCAAAGTCCTTGTCCTTGTTATCCTTTGAGGCCACGTAGATGATGCGAGCGGCCTGCTTGACGGCCTCGTGTATCGTAATGTTGCCGGCGGGCAGGTCCAGCTTCTCCAGCTCAGCCTTGGCAGCCTGGCGGCCCTTGCCCGTCGCGGCGCCGTAGTAGCCCCAGTATAGGCCGCTGGGCTCAATCATGTAGAGAAAGGGGCCGCCGTGCTTGCCGGGGATCTTGCCGCCGGCGCCGCATTTGGGGCCCGAGCCGACCTCGCCGTCGACGGGCGTCTCCTCGGAAGTGTCCACACCGCCGACAATTGCGGTGATGCCAAAGGGTCGGACTGAGCCGTACATGGTGTAGGCTTGCAGATAGCCGCCCATGCGGGAGGCAAGGTCGGCGGTGGGGATGGGCGTCTTGAAGTTCTGGCGCCAGCTCTGGGACTCGTCGCGGGCGCGGTCGACAAAGTGGCGGCCGTCTGGGACCATGCCTGAGTATACCTGAGGACGGGTCAGCGACTGGGAAAAGGAAGGCCCGAGGGAGATGACGTACTGCCCCAATGTGGCTGTCGATGGAAGCGATCCGCTTGTTGGCGCCGGGCTTCAGGAGCTTGGAAGCGACCACCTTTTCGACGGCGAGGACGACGCCGTCCTTGCAGCGGATGCCAATGGAGGTGCCGCCATTCTCGACGGCCTTGACGGCGTACTCGACCTGGAAGTTGCGGCCGTCGGGGGAGAAGATGGAGTTGAGGAGATCGTAGCCGGTGCCTATCGACGTCTGGACCGCGATCAAGTCAGCTTAGCCGGCAAGGCAGGGCGGCGGAAACGCTGACCATGATGGCTCTGAGCTCTCACAAGAGAGAGAGCGTCTTGGGACGGAGGAAGCTCTGTGTTTGCTAAGGGTGGTTGGGGAATTGGCGGCTCAGATTGGCGATGGAGGTTGGAGGCGGTGGGTTGGCGTGCGCATAGAGCTCCGGCAAGCAGCATCAGCAGCAGCAGGGTAGCAGGCAGCCTTGGGAGCTGCGTACTCGTGTGTGCTGTACAGTAATTAGGTAAGGTACCTTGAATTGGCGGGCGTGTTTGCCTGAGGCGCCAAGGGCACAAGGAAGGGTACCGCCACACTTGATGTCGCAGGGGCCTGTGGCTGGTGGTCTCGTCGGTGTGGTCAGGCTGTGGCTTGCCCCTCCAGGGTCGTGTACTTGTGTGATTGTACAGTAGGTACATATGCTGGTACGTAGGCACTTGGTGCATCTTTCAGCAGCAGAGCCACATCCATCATTGCCTGCCTGTCTACCTAAGTAATGACCTAATGACCTACCTAGGTAATGACCTAATGCCTAATGCACTGCTGAGGCGGAACCTGGGCGGTGTCTCCTTCTATTAGTACACGCAACTTCGCAAGAAAGCAAGACAGAAGGAGGGAGTAGTGCGTGGACCACGGAGAACTGCCATCGATGCTGCTCCGCAAGGGAGCCTGACAGCCTGAGCTGCGACTAATAAGAGTTGATGGACGGGGTCGGCAGTCGGCCTACCATGCAACTCATTAATGGCTTGGTTCTGCATCCGCGAGCATGAAGACGGCGGGCTCGAGGTCCGGTGACGTGCTGAGCTGATGTCAAGGGAGGTACTCCGTACTGTCGTAGCAAGCCAACTTACCTTACCTACTACTAGTATCACTAGCAGCATAGAGGCATGAACCCCGTGGCGGGGACTCTCCTGGCTCCAACACGAGACGCCGGGTCTCATTTGCCCACCACCATGTAAGTTTCTTGGACGTGTTCAAAGCAGTATATCAGCGCTCATGCGTGGCGGCATTGTGCGCCCTGGATATTTGCAATCGCCCCTGACTTTGGGCAGCTGTAATGAGAATCTGATGCTTTCTCCGCGACGTCAGGCAAGGCAGGCAGTAGGCACGGTCGCGGTGACGCTTTCCTCGTCCCGTGACACGCCGTCGAGGTGTCTGTCTTGCGTCACCGCTTGCCCCTCCAGGCCTCCACCGTCTGAGGTCAGTCATGGATGGCCGACTCCTTCCATTCCCTCCCGCCTCCCTCCTTTTCTCTTGCCAGCAGAACCTTCAACACTTTGCGCCTCTTGTCTTTTCCTTTCTTTTTCTTCCACACACCGATATTTCTCTCCGCATTGCCCAGGCGCTCAAGCTGTCACCCCGCCCCGAGATATACCCTGGCTCTCGGTCCCGCATCCCACACTCCCAACGAGATAAGGAACAGGGGCAGTGGAAGCAGCAGCCGCCCGAGGGTTTGGAAAGGCCTGATCGACGACCCTCTCATCCCATCTCGCCCGTCGCCCTTTGCTTTTCCGTGCCGCCGCTCGCCTTGGCCTGACTCATTACCTACCTAGCCAACCTACCTGAGGTAGTTAATACATCACGTTGCTTGCCAGCTGTCCGCCGACGACTGGCCCACGGGACTCGTACGCACGTTCTTGATACCCAACCAATATTAACCCAATCTGCTCTTGCTGCAGCGCCGACATTTCTCCTCGGCACATTTTCGCAGACCGAAAAGAATCCCCGACTCTCTTAACTCCAACGACGACTCTCGAGGTATTCCCCAGACTCCCGCCTCCCCTTCCCCCGTCAACTCCTCCGAGGCTAACGCTCCGGCTGTTCTGTAGCAGATGCTAGCCAACATGCAACCAAACGCACACCAGGTCCACGACGACCTGGCCTCACTCTTCTCTCGCTCCCTCACACTCAACCCAGAGCTTCGTGCCTCTACGCCCAAGGAGGCCCCGAGACAGGAGCCGTCTCTCTCTCCATCCGCCCCCCCGCAGCCCATCGTCTACTCCATCTCGCAGCACTATCACCACTCGGCCCACGTTGTCAAACCTTCGGCACCCCAAGCAGAGGCTCCTGCCCCCCAACGCCCCTCGTCCGAGCCTCCCCAGAGCGACATGTCTCTGTCAGAGACCATCTTGCGCCACTACGGCATAGATGCTGCCACCTTGACGCCTTCGCAGCTCCAGCTCTTCCGAATCGCCGATGAGCCCCAGAAACTCAGGCTCATCGAGCTCTGGAGCATCTGCCCCCCCAACAGGGGAGAGGAGATTCCGGCCTTGGCATGGAGCAGCGTCACCCTGGAGCAAGAGGAGCAGCTTGCCCGCATGCGCTTCGAGAGACAGCAGCAGAACCAGGTCATGAGCCTCGACGGCACCCAAGTCCAAGCGGCAGACGGCAGATGGTCCCACCCCGACAGCGAGCCCTATGTTGTGTCTGGCTACGAGGAGCTCATGAGGAGAGAAAACGAACGCAACGCGGCAGGAAACAGATCCACTGACATCTACAGCCATTTCGGCACCTCTGTTGGAGGCCCCAGCTACACCCCTGCGACGGACCCCGTGTACCTCGGCCTGGACGTTACGCGACAACAGCAGCAGATGGAAATGGCCACGCAATACGGTGCGTTTGAGCACTTGCGCAGCGCCGCCGAGGCCGACGCGATGGATGTTATGTAAGGGTCTGAATGCAACTTGCACCCGGCGTGCAGTCCACAGATACAGTACAAACATAGACAGAACCGGCCGCCGAGGGACTTTTGGTTTGGTGAAACATGGCTAGTTGGAGGCGAGATACAAAGGGTGAATCTGCATGTAATGGCTCCGGAAGGGAGTTCATGTTGCGGTGCGCTATTGCCATGAGTCGAAGTGGACGAGCATTGGGGCGATGGCGTCGCGGATATGTTTTTGCTGTTGATTCTTTATCCACACTCTCCTTCTCTCCACGTCCTCTCACTCTAGCAGGGCTCGTTCAGTGGGCGGCTGATAATGGGTCTGGAGCCTGGCCACCGCAGCAGCCAGCGAGGTATGTGACCCTTTTTCTTTCCTTCATCACCGTGCAGGCCCTCAGGTACGATTCCCCTTCTGTCGATGCTTGTTCCACCGGTAGCCCAGTCGCCGACCTTGAAGAGGATTACCAGCTGTCTGTAGCCATGCCCATAGCGCACAATAATGACAATATTGACGATTAAAAGCGGTTCCATCCTTGAAAGTGACTTTGTCTTGTGTATTCATTCCATTTAAATATGCGCTGCAGGCACTCATGACCAGAACCGTCGCCGCTCGCATACAGGGTTTGACCATTCCAGGGGTATCCATATCCATTGCCTGCGCTAGCCTTGTGCGAGGTCGTATCCAGTCCTCGTCGTCCATCGTCTAGGGGCCACTAGGCATTCGGCAACTAAATCTCCGTCTTCTCAAGCTTCTTAGCCAAGTCGTCCACCTCCTTATCCTTGAGCTGAACGACGGGTTCCTCTTGTGCCTCCTCGGCCTCCTTAACGAGCTTCTCTGCCCTCTTCTCCGGCTCGATGTCTTCGTCCTCGTCTTCCTCGTCGCTGTCTTCGTCCTCGAGATCGCTCAGGCTATCAACGCCCCAGTCGTCCTCGATGATCACGTCACCGGCAAGCTTCTCCTTGCGGGACTCTAGGAGCTCCTGAAGAGCGAGGATCGACTCATCGTCCTCGGAAAACTTGTTGCCATTCAGCTCGATTCGCCTCAGCGACGGCAGGCCGTCTTGCGCAGCAGAAGCAAAGCCCTTGACGCCGGCAGCAGTAATGTCGTTGTACTGCAGGCGCAGCGTTTCGAGCTCCTTGTTTTGTCCCTGAGCCAGAGCCTCCGAGAGCAGCAGGCCGCCCTTTGCGCCGAGAAGAGAGTCGCCGATGCCGAGCTCGCGGAGCAAGGCCCAGGTCGGGGTGACCTTTGCGAGAGCCTTGGCTCCCACGAGCGTAAACGTATTGTCCTGCAGATCGAGGATTCTCAGCTCGGTGGCATGGCTGAGGCCTTGGCTGAGGAGATGGGAGATGCCCTCCTGCCGGATACCGTTCTGGACCATCTTGATCTCCTTAACCTTGTTGTGCAGGTTGAACGTCTTGGCCCATGCCGTCATGCTGCCGTTTTCCAGTCGGTTCCTCCCGCAAATGACGGTATCCAAGTCGGGGACATGCTGGCCCTCCTTTCGCGCCGCCTCCTTCTTGGCGTGGAGCTCTGACAGGGCGTCGGCAATGAGAATGCCGGCATGCGGGCCGAGACCGTTGTTGTTGAGGTAAAGATGCTGCAGAGGGACGTGGGAGGAGAGGAAGGCGACCAGAGGCGCCTGCGTGTTGAGGCCAAAGGCGTTGTCGTTCAGGTTGATGGTGTTTAGGTTGGGCAAGTTGAGAATCGACGTAAGCAGGGAGGACAGAGCCTCGGGGATCTCGGCCAGGAGCCGGCCGGTGAAGATGTCGGCCAAGTTGGCAACCTAAAGGAAGGACCCGTCAGCAAGGCGACGAAGACGCCGGGGAAACGTGCCGAGGAGGACATACCTTGAGGTTCTTCTTGGTGGCCAGGACCTCGCCGAGGAGCTTGCAGGCCTCGACACCCAGCGTGTTGCCCAGCAAGCGGACTTCCTCGACGTCGCGGACACGGAGGTCGGCGATGTGGGCCTCAAGGTCGGCGGCGGTGTCGAGCTTGAGGCCCTTGCCTTCGATGGAAAACAGCTTGTCGGCGTCGGTCATTGCGGTGAGAAGAGCCAGGAGTGTAGCTTGGTGGGAGGTTTGGGCGACGAGTCCAGAGGTTGCTCGGGGGTTTGCAGGATGCGATTTCTGCTGTTGGCATATGACATGGTGGGGGCGGGGCAGTGAGAAGAGGAGGGCAGAGCACTTCACAATAGGCGCCCCTTAATTTCTGGGTACCTACGGTACGGAGTACTCCGTAGTCTCGGTACCAGTACAAAGCCCATGTGCTTACCTAATCGTGCATGGGCTGGCATCTGCGATTCCGCCCCGGGAGCAACACGTGACCCGGGCCAATCAGCATCGGCCCATTTCGGAACAACTGGATTTTCTCGGGTGCCAATGACCTCTAGCTGACCCCTTCGACCTCCGACCTCGAGAGCGACCACTCCCCTCATCGCCGTCCCGACTCTGATTGCGGCATATCCCCCCCCCTTGCGGCACCGGTATCGCTCGTCAATAATGCTGACAAGGTCTTGCCTGCGCTCGACGCGCATCCTCAATGGACTGCGAAATGGCGCGACTACCGTCTCCAAGGTAAGGGTGGCCAACGGGCCTGGGGCTTCCGCAGCTTCCCTTTCCACCCCCCCCCGCGGCTTGCCGAGGGTACAAGAACACCAACCCCGACGCGCCAGAACGACCAATTGCATCATGAACGCCCTCGGACACGACAGATTCGATGCTGATCATTCTCTGTCTTGTCTAGCGAGCGGCCTCGACGAGCTCTGGTGCTGCCGGCGAAGCCTCCCCTGCGCGACTCAACCTAGCGGCCATCGCCTCGACCACTGTGGCCGTCGGCTCCATCGCCTGGTACTATCACCTCTATGGCCCGGTTGCTCATGCTATGACGCCAGCTGAGGAGGGGTACGTTGTCTCGCCGCTGTCCACAAGCAAGCTGCTTGCTTGGCGTGGGCTGGGCTGGCCTGCGGCAAAATACATTGCGTCGGCCAGCCTGTTTGCTAGATTGGGTCGCTGACTTGTGTGCCTTAGTCTGCACCCTACCAAATATCCCTGGGTTCACGAGAAGTGGTTCAAAACCTTTGACCACCAGGCGTGAGTGGTCAACAGCTCGGTCATGGACTCGGCTTGCTCATTATCTTCTAGTCTCCGTCGAGGCTTCCAAGTCTACCAGGAGGTGTGCATGAGCTGCCACTCCTTGAGTCGAATCCCTTACCGGTCACTGGTTGGCAGCGTCCTGACCGTCGACGAAGCCAAGGCCCTGGCCGAGGAGAACGAATACCCTGGTGAGCCGGACGAGCAGGGTGAGATTCAGATGCGCCCCGGAAAGCTGGCCGATTACATCCCCCCTCCCTACAAGAACGAGGAGGCGGCTCGTTTTGCAAACAACGGTGCCCTCCCTCCGGACCTGAGCTTGATCGTCAAGGCCCGCCACGGGGGCTGCAACTACATCTTCAGCCTGCTGACGGGCTACCCCGAGGAACCGCCGGCGGGCGCGCAAGTCGCTCCCGGCATGAACTTCAACCCGTACTTCCCCGGCACCGGCATTGGCATGGCGCGTGTCCTCTACGAGGGCCTCGTCGAGTACGAGGACGGCACTCCAGCCTCGACGTCGCAGATGGCCAAGGATGTCGTCGAGTTCCTCAACTGGGCGGCCGAGCCCGAGATGGACGACCGCAAGAGAATGGGCATGAAGGTGCTGGTCGTGACGTCGGTTCTGTGGGCTCTCAGCATTGGTGTCAAGCGATACAAGTGGGCGTGGCTGAAGTCGAGGAAGATTGCCTACGATCCTCCTGCGGAGACCAAGGTTCGCCGCTGAAGAGGCCACTCGCTGGCACCTTGGATGTATACTAGTGGCCCCCTTAGAAACAGCTCCTTTGTTGGCGGAGGCGGGTGGATGGGAGTGGAGGGCTGGTGGTGAGCAGAAGACACGGGGAGAAGTAGAGTGTAAATCAATGATCCAGTTCACTGCTCGCTTGCAAAGCGAGGCATGCTGCTGTGGCTGGCTGGCTTGGGCATGTTTTGGCGCACTCGCGAGGTGGAATGTCGTAACTGATGTTCGCGACATGGCCAGCGGCTCTTGGGCGGCCCTTGGACGGGCCATGAGCTCCGTGTAAGCGCCAACAACCCGCGCTCGCCAGGCCCACATCAGGATGGGCCATGGGACCGACCCCCTTGGACTGACCGAGGGAAAACCATGCCCGCTGCTAGCACTAGATGTATGTTTTGGGCCGTGGACGAGCATTTATTAGTTCAGTGCGCGAGCTCGTTTAGGAAGAAAGTCATTATTACAGCCTTTACAGGTGTGATTACTGTTCCCACCTCTCCTCCGGTGACACCCGGCTCGCATCAACAGTCAGCCGAAGGCCGGACCAAACAAACGCCGGCCGGCAGGCATCGATACCCAGCATCCCATCAGGTTGCAGCTCTCTCACTCGCCCCAACGGCAAGCCTCCTTGTCCTCGTTGGGTTCTGTTACCGCCAATCTTTCTTTTCATCCTGCAGCTGTTTTTCGACATGTCAAGCCTTTGATTGCACCGAGCTCTTTCATCCTCGTTGCCACCCGCCGAGGAAGACAGACCAAGAGAGTTGTTCTTGCGAGAGAGCACAGCAGAGAGAGAAGCCCCCCCGCTCCCCCTGACCATGCCATTCGTCGTTGGCGGCGGCGACGACAACGTCCATCCGGGTCGGAAGCGCCGACGCGAGGGCGGCGAGGGCAGAGTGTACCGCCTCTACAGCCCCGAGAGGCCGGTCGACCTCTTTGTCCGCAGCAGCCAGGCGCCGGACGGGCCGCCGCGAAAGGTCGTACCCCTGTCGAAGCGACCTCGAATCGCCGATGACGAGACACACCCGGACGGCGGCGAGCGGGCTTCGACACACCGACGGCGGCCATCGCAACAGCAAAAGGTTCTGCACGACCACACCGGCCTCGGCAACAGGACGTCGCCTCGGTCCAGCGGTGTCCTGCTATCACCCTGCCACATTTGCCACCGCAAGCCGACCAAGAAGTCGGATCTCGACTCCTTTGCCGAGTGCCAGGGCTGCGGGAAGCGGACGTGCTTCGTGTGCATCAGGGAGTGCCACGGCTGGCATGCCGGCCCGCTGGCCCCCGTGCTGTCGGAGCACGAGATGCTGTCCCAGTCGTTTCACATGGACGATGTCCAAGACACGCCGCTGCATCACCCGCCACACCACCGCCTCCACCCCCAACCACCCGGCGACTGCGACGCTTGCGGGGGACAGCACGGCCACGGCGGCTACACGGACGAGGACAAGGGCTGGGATGCGTGCGGCCACCGCGCCGTCGTGTGCAGCCGCTGCTGCATCGAGAAGGGCGGCGAGGGTGAGGCCGTCTGCCTGGGATGTCTGTCAGGGATGCCCGGCGCTTGATGTGGTTGGGACACAGACATATCTTGACGAATAATGACGACGTACATCGGTAATGGAGGCACTGCAGAATGAGCGACCAACAGCTCTCGCATATAGGTTCTGGCCGTTTCCTTCTGCACACACGGCTGGCCGGGAACACATGACGCGCTGCAAGGTTGCGCGGCGTCCTTCGTCGGGCGAACTCATTCCAACACTTGGCGCGTTTCACAGGCAAGCGGGCATTCGGGAGTTTTTTTTGTAGCATCAGCTAGGCAAAGGTAGACAGGTAGTTTAAGTTACGTCGAGGTATTGTCGCCTTGTTGGTTTCATGTTGCCCCGAGCACTTATACATGAATCCATGCTCATAGGCAGCGGCGAAAAGATACCCAGACCTCTCTCAACACTGTATTTCAAGGGGCAATGCCTCAACGCCGGCGGCTTCTATTTCTACCGCTGGCTGCCAGCATCGACATAGATGCGTCTAGAAGCCCACCATCTGCCATACTCGTACACAAAGCCGCCAAAGAAAAGAACTTGCAAAAGGGGGCAAGCGAGCGACTGCCCAGCCTAGTTATATTGCATGTACGTCGCCGTCGAGTTGAACTTGAGGTTGCCCTTGATGACCTTGTCGACGGCGCTCAAAAAGTCCTTTTCCGTCGCCACCTTGCGCCGCGCGCGGATGGCAAACATGCCGGCCTCGGTGCACACGCTGCGCAGCTCGGCGCCCGTGGCGTTGGGGCAGAGGCGCGAGATGAGCTCCCAGCGGATGTCGCGCTCGACCGACATGCTCTTTGCGTGGATGCGCAGGATGCTGGCCCGGCCTTCGAGGTCGGGCAGCGAGAACTCGATCTTGCGGTCGATGCGGCCCGGTCGCATCAGGGCCGGGTCCAGCGTCGACGGCCTGTTGGTGGCAAACATGACCTTGATGTTGCCTCGGGCGTCGAACCCGTCCAGTTGCGTGATGAGCTCCAGCATGGTTCGTTGCACCTCGTTGTCGCCGCCGGCTCCGTCGTCGAACCGGGCACCGCCGACGGCGTCGATTTCGTCAAAGAAGATGATGCACGCCTTCTTGGTCCGCGCCATCTCGAACAGCTCGCGAACCATCCTGGCGCCCTCGCCAACATACTTTTGCACGAGTTCGCTACCAATGACGCGGATAAAGGTCGCGTCGGTCCTGTTGGCCACAGCCCGGGCGCAGAGCGTCTTGCCCGTTCCGGGAGGCCCGTAGAGCAGGGCGCCCTTGGGCGGGTCGATGCCCAGGCTGACGAACCGCTCGGGAGATAGCAGAGGCATCTCGACGACTTCCCGCAGCTTCTCGACCTGCTCTTTGCAGCCGCCGACGTCGCCGTATGTGACATCGGGCTTCTCCTCGACCGTCATCATGGTGACGCTGGCATCGATCTTTGGCGGTAGCGGCAGCATGATTTGATACTTGTTGCGGTCCACCCCAACCCGCATGCCCTCCTCGATATCTGTTGGGCTGACGCGGTCTCCGAGCTGGACGACGAACTTGGCAATCTGCTTGACGTTGATGACATACTTCTTCTTGGACTCGTCTCCCTTGTCGTCCTCGATAATTTTCGTACAGCGCGCAACCTGAAAGGGCTGCTCTTCGGACATGCGTTGACGATCGGCGGCGACATCCCACAGATGCGGTGGTGCTAGACCAGTGTCGGACTCCTGTGTCTGGTGAGCATGGTGTATCCCGACGCTGGCCAGGGGCGGGGGCCTCAGTACCTTGACCCCAATCTTCTCGTCGACGCTCTGCTGCTTCTCCTTGATCTGCTTCTCGAGCTTCTTTATCGATGTCCCGTACGGCGCGGCGCCGTAGGTCTTGAGGACCTGGATATCCCTAGAGGTACAAGGACATGGTTCAGCTCTGGATGGGCCGCGGGTTTGCACCTCGCACGTACTCGTCCGTCAGGGGGGTGATTTTCTTCTCCTCAATCTCATCGTCGGCGAATTTCTTCTGGTACTTCTCCCAGTTTTGACCGGTCGCGGAAGGCTGTGGTTGTCAGCCTCGAGACCGCGATGCGTTGTCGCCTCGGGAGCTCACCATGATGGAACCCGCGGACGAAGCGGCCGGCTTCCAGTGATGCCGAGAGGTTCGGGTGCTAAACCGAGAGTCGCGGATGGTTAAGCGAGGAAAGTGACGACGAGTGCTGAACGCTGCCGTTGGGGAAAGTGGAGGTCGCAAGACGGGGGCAACGGGATGTTGGTGTTGAGATGCTGCTGGTAACGCTCAGCCAAGGCGACGAAAGCAATGCCGTAATCCCAGCCCGGTGCCTTAGCTCAAGCCACAGGTGCAGCGAGGCTCCCTGGCGCTAACCGCTAATAGCAAGCTCTGCCTTGGGCTTGGCTTGGCTTGAGCTAGACGCCGGATAATTGGCCGGCCCGGTCCAAAATTTCTGGATTTGCTGCCAGGCGACGCAACGCAGGCTAAAAGGTGGGATGGCCAAGCCTCATCGTCTCTGCCCTGCCTCCAAGCGCGACGCCAACTATAACATCCCGACCAACTTGGCGCACAGAGAACTGCTGCAATCATGTCTGCGCCGGCCACAGCGATGGGCTCGTCCCACAATGCCACATTTAGGGTATGCAGAGCCACCGCCGCCCAAGGGGCCCCGCTAACAGCTCGCAGGACAAGGAGAAGCCCACGGCTGTCCGGTCCTCCAACATTGTCGCCGCCAGAGGTGTGTTGCCCACGCCGAGTCTCGCGCCAATCCCTTACTGACCGTGGCCAAGCTGTCGCCGATGCGATCCGGACGTCTCTCGGGCCCCGCGGCATGGACAAGATGATTCGAAGCGGCAAGGGGGAGACCATCATCACCAACGACGGACACACCATGCTCAAGAGCATGTCAGTCATGCACCCCACGGCCAAGATGCTTGTCAACCTGGCCGGTGCCCAGGACGTCGAGGCCGGCGACGGCACCACCTCGGTCGTTGTCATCTGCGGCAGCTTGCTGGGCGCTGCCGACAGGCTGCTTTCCAAGGGCATCCACCCGTCGGTCATTTCAGAGGCTTTCCAGAGAGCCGCGGCTGCGGCTGTCGAGGTTCTCCACGACATGTCTCAGCCCATCACCTTGAACGACACGGCCTCGCTCCTCCAAGCCGCCAACACGTCTCTGTCTTCCAAGATTGTGTCGCAGTACTCGAACCTTCTCGGCCCAATGGCCGTCAATTCCGTCACCAAGACCATCGACTTGAGGAACGCAGACAATGTCGACTTGAAAAATATTAGAATCATCAGAAAGGTTGGCGGCACAATCGAGGACAGCGAGCTCGTCGACGGCCTGGTCCTCAATCAACCCGTTCTCAAGAACGCCGGCGGACCCGCCAGGATGGAAAAGGCACGCATTGGGCTGATTCAGTTCCAGCTGAGCCCCCCCAAGCCCGATGTGAGTAACGTACTGGGAGCAAATCGAGGAACAAGCAATGCTGACTTTCGCCCAGATGGAGAATACAATCCAGGTCAACGACTATCGGCAAATGGACAAGATTGTCAAGGAGGAGCGGCTCTACCTCTTGAACCTGGCCAAGAAGATTAAGAAGGCAAAGTGCAACGTCCTGCTGCTCCAGAAATCCATCCTCCGCGACGCCGTCAACGACCTTTCGCTGCACTTTTTGGCCAAGCTGGGCATTCTCGCCATCAAGGACATTGAGCGAGATGAGGTCGAGTTCATCTGCAAATCGACGGGATGCAAGCCGGTGGCCGACATTGACTCCTTCACCGAGGATAAGCTGGGCTCGGCGGACCTGGTCGAGGAGGTGCAGTCGTCAGGCGCACGGATGGTCAAGGTGACCGGAGCCAAGGCAACGGGCAAGACGGTTTCCGTGGTTGTCCGAGGCGCCAACTCGCTCATCTTGGAGGAGGCCGAGCGAAGCTTGCACGACGCACTCTGCGTGGTGCGCTGTCTCGTCAAGAAGAAGGCCCTGATCGCTGGTGGAGGCGCGGCCGAGATTGAGATCGCCGCCCAGCTATCGAAGCAGGCGCGAAGCCTGACCGGCACCGAAGCGATTTGCTGGAAGGCATTCGCGGACGCCATGGAGGTGATACCGACAACGCTGGCAGAGAATGCCGGGCTGAACAGCATCAAGGTGGTGACGGACCTGAGGCACCGGCACGAGATGGGGGAGAAGAACGCCGGGGTCAGCATCAAGTCTGGAGGGGTCAACACCAACATATCCAAGGAGAATGTGCTTCAGCCACTGCTGGTGAGCACGAGCGCGATTGAGCTGGCGGCGGAGACGGTCAAGATGATTCTGAGGATAGACGACATTGCTCTGACGAGATGAGACGAGGTGCCGGACATTAGACGGGGCATGGAGGCTGGTTGACGTTTGACAATACCACCGACAAAGGAAGAATGAAAGCGGACGTTGCAACGAGTTGCTTGTCCCTTGGCATCGGCGCGGAATACTTGCAAGGGGAGTCGTGAGGAAATGCTGCGTTGAGGAAAGCTGAGGGCGGCGGATGCACGTAGAGCAACAGCACTCAGGGGGGCCTGTTAAAATGCTGGGCGGCAGCGAGCTGGCGCCTCTAAAACACTTCCAAAGGATGTATTTACTATAACGTCGCCATGTCCTTCAATCATGAGTCGTCCCAAGATCTCCTTTCTTCTTAATTCCTACCCAGGCAGATGCCTTGGGTAACAACAGGATGGTTCTTTCCCAAAGTCACTACCAAGGGGCCTGCCTGCTCCTTCCCTTTCCGCCCTCTTGAGCCCCCTCTCGTCCATCTCCCCTTCACCCTTTCTGGCAGAGCGAGCGTTAAACCTGCACTCTTGCCATTCAACTTCCAACACAGCAGCAGCTCGTGCCTCCCTCTCACGAAAAAACCAAGCCCAAAGACAGAGCGGCGCCGGCGGCTCTTACGATGAACCGAAACAAGGCTTCCGATGACGGCCCGGCGGCGGTGGCGGCTGCGATGCAGCGTGTGCTGCAGGTGAGCAAGCTCGCAAGAGCCTCCGAGCCGCTGAGCTGACAAGCCGCTCTCTCAGCTGCAGGAGGATCGCGCCAAGCGCATCAAGGCGGTGTCTGAAGAGCACCAGAAGGCCGTGGCGGAGCTGCGATCTCGCACGCTGGCTCGCTACAGGGGGGAGCTGAGGCAAAGGTACGCACATGCCACGCCTTCCTAGGACTGAGGGAGTGGAAACGCTGACAGAGCTGATCCACAGAGAGAAGAAACGCGCGCAGCAGGTTGCCAGGATCATGTCCAGCGTTGAGCGGCGCAGAGACATCGAAGTCAAGATGCAGGAGCTCGTGCTGCAGATGCACCTCGAGGTGAGAAAGGTGGAAGAGATGATGCTGGTGGGCTATCATGGGAGGGAGATGGATGTCAGGTCGTCGATGGAAGGGCTGTAGATGAGGGCTCATGCATGCCCAGATCTGTTGCCGACTCGACGTGATGCACAATTCAGGTTTGTAGCCCCAATTAGTCTGGATCCCTCAGTGAGCACAAGCATTGTGCGGTGATGCTTGACAGGAGAGTCCACACAGCATACCCGAAACGATGGCAACAATGGGAAAAGAAGAGAGGGGTATCATTTATTGATGCGCGACAGCCCGTCTATACCATGAGTGATGACACAGGGGAATAATGTACAGCAGAAGCAGCCGTGTTGGGCTCAGACGCCAGCTCATGCTTTGTAGCCGAATCCGAGCATGCAAGTCTTGTATTGCTCGACGAGCGACCGACAGTCGGCGGCTGGGTCAGCGGCGGTGGAGAAGAGCATGCACTCGTCCCGTTTCGACTTTTCCTCCTTGCAGACGCAGCACGGCTATGGACAGAAGCGGTCAGCGGCGTCGGGGGGTGGCGGGGGTAGGACGAGGGCCGGCGGAAGCTCACCTTGGGCCGGGAGGCGCTGTCGGGGGAAGCGGCGGCAGGCGCGGATACCGCGGCTACAGGCATGGGAAGTGGTGTTAGCGGAATCGTGTGGACTCGGTGAAGAGACGGGGAGGGACGAGAAGGGGCTTGACGTACGGATGGGCGCGGCTTTGGCGTCCATGGCGGGCTGTCGAGAAGAAGCTCTCTGGTTCCGAAGGATTGGATGCGACGGCCGAGCCGTGAGTTCCTCTTCCTTTCCCTGCCTTGCTCCTCGTCTTTTGTTTCTTACTTGTTTCCTCTAGATATGGGAGAGGAACAGCGTCGAGGGAAATGTTTAGCAGCCGGCTTGAGCTACTGTCTGGCACTGTCGCCCGGGATGGGAATTTGCTTGATGTCTGGATTTCGGCCAATCATGTCATGGACAGCTCACGTGCCCTCGCGACAGCTTCGCGATGAAGCGTCGTGCGGGCCGACGCCACGCGACAAAGAGTCTTGAAGCCACGCTCTGCAGCCGATGTCAGGGTGGCTTTGCGAGATGGTGGCTCGGGGCGCTTACCCGAGAATACTGGGTTCCATTTCTTACGGTACCGACACAGGCACAGGCATCATGCTGTCTGTCCGATTTGCAGAGAGGTGGAAGTCCGTCGTCTCGCTCGAGGTCCGAGGGCGGGGCGAGTGTTGTTCCGGCCGTCCGTTGACTCACGAGGTGTCTCGCCTCCCTTTACTAAGCATCTCTTTGTAGTTCCACCATGAACTTCATGCTTCTCACCGTCGTCGCCCTTTGAAAGTGCCACTTGATCAACAACAACGGTAATGACTCACACCATACCTCGAGCAGGCTGCTTCCAGAAGCATCCACGCGCCAGCCAACTTGCTGCCTAACGCACAGCAGCAGAGCATGAAACCTCGGGTCGTCGCCAATGCAGTGGCGAGTGTACGCGTGTCCCACACACACAGCATGATCCGCCACTCGCCATCCCTGCGTCGCAGCTACACGCTCTTCTCCATGGGGAGAGCCGGTCCCTCGGGCCCTCGACTTGGTGGGCCGGCCGACGAATCATGGCTGCTGAATGCGCGGCGGATAAACCAGCCCGGACGATGCGCTTCCAAGCGTGGCCGTACGCCAGCCCTCGTCTGCCTGCCTGGTTGACGTCGACTGTGAGTGCCTGGCGACCGTCCCACGTATATAAAGGCGCCTGTTCATGTTCCTCCAACAGAGAGAACTGTAGTTCACATCCACAGCGAGAATTCGCAAACAACCATTTCATCCCGCCTTTTACAAATATTTGAACATGAACTCGCACAACCAACAGAACGCGCCCGCCTGGGACTTCATGCAGTTTCTCGACCCCTCGTCGCGCGCCCCCGGCCAGGGCGTCGACCACCAAGCCCCTATTGGCGGCCCCTGGGGTCACCACCCGCCAACGGGCTTCGGTCACCCATGGGGCCCCGGCCAGGGGTGGGGGGGCCCGAGGCACAGGCCCGGCGCCGGCCATCCCCACCACTGGGGCGCCGGTCGACCACGCCGCCAAGACGGGGCCCCTGAGCGGGCAGCGGCTCGCGACGACGACGAGACCCGTGAGTCGACGGCCGGGGCCAACGACGAAAAGGTCGACGGCTCGGATCGCACCGTCAACAATAGCGAGCCCACCGTCCCCGACCCCGCCGAGGTCACCCCGGGAGAGGACGAGGCCGACACCGACCCCGCGTCGCGCTCTCCGTGCGGACCAGGCCGTCGCGGAGGCCGCCGTGGCTGCGGGCGTTCTCGTCGCGGTTGCGGGCCTCGGGCCGGCCACTTCCACAACCCCGATGCATTCTCAGGCCCGTCGCCCAACTGGCCCGCCTTCCACGGCATGATGCACGGCATCGTGAACCCCCTGATCCGCGACATCCACGATCAGGCACGGCGCTACACCGCTGGCGCCTTCAACTTCAACGACAACGACACAAGCTTCGGCAACAACCACCACCATCGCGACGGCAACGACCCCGCCGACGACGCCACCGCCTTCACGCCCCCCCTCGACGTCTACAACACAAAGACATCCTACGTCGTCCATGTCGCCCTGCCCGGCGCCCGCAAGGAGGACCTGGGCGTCGCTTGGGACCCGGACACGGCGCGCCTGCGCATCGCCGGCGTCGTCCACCGCCCGGGCGACGAGCTCCTCCTCGCCGCCCTGGCCTCGGGCGAGCGCCGCGTCGGCCTCTTTGAGCGCCACGTCGCCCTGCCGCCCGCCGGTGCCGCCGACGAGGATGGCGAAAGGGATGCTGTCGACGCAGACAACATCTCGGCCAAGATGGACAATGGCATCCTCGTCGTCATCGTGCCCAAGCTTGAGAAGGAGTGGACCCAGATTCGACGTGTTGACATTGAGTGAAAGGGGGGGGGGGTTTGTTTCGGCCCTCGGTTTACGGATGCCCTCTATTGAACGATTGATTTTATCACTTCTATGCCTTAACTATGCGGTCAATGAAGAACTGAAAACCCAAAAAAACCGGTCCCCGAATTTCGTGCTACCCGAGAGGTGTTCATGCCTTGGAGGAGCATACGAGATTCTCGCAGTAAGGAAAGAGGGAGGGATTCATTGTCAGCTTCATCAACGCTGTTACTCCGTCGTCTCTTGTTTACACATAATATAAGGAAAGAAACGAAAAAAGATGAAATAGGTTATTGCTCTTGCACGTTTCTCGTCCATCGTATCCCGTGACTCTGTCTAGTTATAACCTGCAATCGTGACATCAACTGGAAAAGGCATATAATGAAATGCTCCTCGGCGCTGTCGGCCACGTCTTCGTCTCGCATTCACGCAGCGCCCATCACCGGCGCACTTGGTCAGAAAAGGTTTCTCGAGGCAGAATTGATTCGGTTCGGCAGTATCGATTAGAGGGGGTGAAGGGGTCGTAAAGGACAATTGCGCCTAAAGCCTATGCTATGGGTATATGCTGGACTGGTAGATCAGTGATTGTGTGGGGGTATGTTTACGCATGGGGACCTCATGCTCCATCTTCGCCGAAAAAGAATATACGTTCATGGATGCCGCGCGCGTCCCACGAAGGACGAGAGCTCGGAAAATGAAGACGGCAAAATAACAGCGGCGGCGCGCGGGCCGCATGTAATGTGCCCTCTTGCAAAAACCCTCATTCTTGCTCCCGGAGCCAAGAAAAAAGCAGCAGCCTTCCGCTGAAACAAAGGGAAAGAATTATGTGCCAAACAGGAATCAAACCTATTCACGGCATCGACGGAGCGCGACGGGCTAGGCTTGACTCTCAAATGTCTAGCTCGCTAGCGATTTCTTCCCGCACGTGGCGGCACCACTTCAGGATGGCCGCCTCAAAGTCTGCCCAGGCTTGTGGCCCGCTGTTGTAGACAACGCCGAGAGCATCCACCTTGAGCAGCACCTCGAAGCGCAGCTCCGCGGCCTTGACCCAGTAGCGGAGGTTGTCGGCGCACCGGTAGGGCTTTTGCGTGTCGACGTGGAAGCTGGGAATCGCGCCGAACCGCCTCCTAGACTTATTCACCACGGCATTGTGCAGCCGGACGAGGCGCAGGCCGTTTTGCATGCTCTCGAGGAATGGCGTGGGCGTTCCCGACGCCTCGGGCAGCGGCGTCCACGGCGGGAGGGGGCCACCTTCGGGGTCCATGGACGTGAGAAATGACCGCTCCCGCTCGTATTCCCGGCCAGACCAGTCGCCGCGTAGCCAGGCCCAGTTGGCCCGCTCGGCCCTCTCTGCCGCCTCCAGGTCCTCCTCCTTGGTGAGCATATCCAAGACGCCGCCGATCCAGTCGGTCATTGTCTTGATCTCTTCGTCTCTCAGCCCGCCTTTGAAGTTGCGGGTGGCCATCTGCTTCAGCACCTCCATGACACCCAACAAATCCGCCCGGACCTGCTTCTCCGACTTGATGGAGTCTAGGCGTTCCGGCAGCTCGTGAGCTGTGTAGTATATTTTGGCGGCCCGGATGGCGAGCGTGACAACGTCGAGGATGTGCATGCCTTGCAGTTCATACCAACCCTGGCTCTTCTCCTCGGGCATATTGGGGTACTGCGGCGCGTCGGCGGGATCCTCGTACAGGCCGGCCTTGCGCTGCCGCACCTCGCCCAGGGCCTTGGCGGCGTCTTGCAGGGTGGTGTCCAGGTCCGCCTTGAGCTCTGCCATGGTGGGCGGCTTGGGCACCTGTGGATCCTTGTGGTGATATGTACTTACTGTGGGTGGGAGCATGCCCGAGTCGGACTCGGCGAAGCTGTCGTCGTAGTAGTCGTCATCCTCCATCTCGAGGGGCGACGCCGTCTCCAACGCATCGGCACCTAGGTCTGGGCTGCTGCCCATAGAGGCGTAAGAGGAGTCGGCATCGGATACCCTCTTGGAGGCGGGGCTGGTGCCTTGCAAGGCCGACAGATCCAGAGTGGCACGCTGCGTCTGCTTTTTGCGCGCCAGCTGAGCGCCCTTGCCGTCCAAGAGGCCGGTCCGAGCAAAGTAGTACTGCAAGTGGGCAATGCTGCCGAGACTCATGACACTCTCGCGGGACCTGGCGCTGGCGGCGAAGTCGGTGGGCTGGGGCCGCACGTATCCCCGGCGGCGACCCTTGCGCTCGGGGCCATGGCCGGAAGTGCCAGACAGATTCGAGGTATCCGAGGCCTGTGAGTGGTACGAGGCCGAGGAGTGGCGCGAGGAAACGTCGCCGCTCTGTGAGCCTCGAAAGGTGAGATGGGAGTGAGAAGAGGCGGAAGAGCCGATGGACAGGCAGCGCGTCAGGTCCGGACAGGCCCCAGGGGTGAGAGTGGGCGAGGTCTCGGGGGTGGGGGGCCGACACAGCTGCCGGCCGTTTGCGGTGGCCATGAGGCAAGATTGATGACGTGCAACGACACAAGGAGGCACGGGCGGCCGCGAGTGAGTGAGTGGGCGTCGATGCGCACGCAGGGAGGGACTTTGGATTTGGGGCGTATGCGGACGAATTGCGGCGGGTCGCGGAGTCGTGATGGCTTGTTGGTTGCGTTTATGTAGATGCAAGACCGGGGGCCATGGGGCGGCGAGGCAGGGCAGAGAAGCTCTCGTCGCCCGGTGCACAGAAGGGATTCTTAGTCGGGAGCAGTGAGTTGAAGCGGCCAACGACGTCGTCGATGATGATGTTGACGGAGTGCGGCAGCGGCGGCAGACAGACTGAAGGCCGTCAGCAGCGTGAGAAGAGTCAAGGCCGGTAACAGACGTGTGCACCAGACTGGCAAATCAGAAGCGACGGACGGAGCCGGGTCCCGTGTCAGAAATCAGATCAGGGGCTCGGGCTGGTTGCTATTGGCCCGTCTTTTCGCCTCTGCTCTCTGCCTCCCTTCTCCGTGTCTCGACGTTGCCCCCCCCCTGTTGGCACCTTGGGTGTTAAACCTGTTTCTTTTGCCACTGGCTCGAGGGAAGGACTCGTGGTGATGACTCGGTTACTCGGTTACTCGTAGCAGCAGCGGTGCTGATGTCGTTTCGATGCTGCCGTGTGCGTGTGCAGGGAGGACTCGGGAGAAGCTGGGGCTGTATGAATTAGGAGGGCAGGAGGAGGCGAATGCGAGAGGCTGTCGCGTCCAGCCCGATCCGGTCCCGACGAGGGGAAAGAGCGCCCCCCTCTCAGTCCAGACTCAGACAAGCAAAAAACCGACCTGCCGCGAGGGAAGGAGGAGCCTGAAGGAGGAGCCTGAAGGAGGAGCCTGCCTGAAGGAGAGGCCTAGAAAGGAGGGAGGTACTGTACTCGTACGGGCGTCTGTACTTATCGAGAGGGGCGGACCTCGGAGAATCATTTCACATGGCACAGGCGTGGAGGCAAGGACGGGGGGCAGCTGTTTCATTTTTATACCGTGCTGTACGTCTTCTGCTAGCTTCAGCTCGTGAGGCATGAAGATGGGGTGGGCTCTTGTCCTTTAGCTCCTCGTTTGTTTGTATCCCGGGCAACGTCAGGGGTGCTGGAGTGGGCGCGTGCAATCTCCTGGCCGCCATGCTTGTTGCGGAATGATTGATTCTTTGCGTCGACGAAGTCTTTGATGGATGCGAGTTTGATGCCGCCTATTCATCCAGTGCTGTGCTCACGGGCAATGGCCCAGTGCGTCCGGGGCATCGCAGCCTGGCCGTGATTGAGAGGTTGATGACGACGACGCAGGCCGCACAGGCAGCCAGTACCTCGGGCTACCTGCCCCAGTACCGTGGTTTAATTAGCAGGTACCCCATGGGCCGTGGAGCCCGCGCCGGTCGGTGGTGGGAGATGCAAAGATGACCTACCGAAAAAGAGTGGACTCGTCGCTGATTACAGATTCTGTACATCCGTACAGGCATCATCATCTACTGGTACCTGATTAGCCCGTTCGTCTGTCTTGTGCCGCGCTGCCAGGGTCGTCGTCGATAGCACGGCGTGTATCTGTAGGTACAGTACCTGCATCCCAGACTCTCGCCTCCCTGCTCAGACAGCTCAGACTGCTCAGACACAGGACGCTTGTCGAGTCTCGAGTCGATAGCGTGGCATTCCAGGCCGACGCCCTCTCATGACGGACCGAGGCACGGATGGACACTACTAGGTAAGCGGTGTGATGAGCAAAGGAAAAATGGGGGACTATTCCATGACGGCGAGAACGCATCTTTTCGAGTTCCCGGCAGGATCAGTCATCCGATATCCGACCCGAGACACTCACTGCCCATGGCTGATTGCTGATTGACTGCTGTGGCGAGGCGAGCACGTTTCCATGCCTCGGGGTGGCGCACGGCGTCAGAGATCTTGTGCGATGGCAATGACGTTGACTGCCACCGCCAGTGAGTCGTGTCCATCAGAGTCCTCTCCCACCGACTGCTACCAGCTGCGTCTGCCGATCCGGATTGCAGCCACGAGAGACCGACGCTTCTGCTCTCTGCTATGGTACCTCTCTCTACATGAATATTTCCAGTGTAAAATGCGCTGCTGCCGAGAATAGGGTCGAGCCACGGAACTGGGACCGGCTATGGTTTGACAGGAAGCCTGACAGTACAAGTACAGTAGGTAGACCGCGGCCTGAAAGTCCCACTTTGCCTGGTAGTGCTGTACTGTACTGTACCTATAGCGGCGGCATATTGACAGCTGCCAAGGCTCCCTCTTCATTTCATACCTACTAGGTAGTAGAGAGAGACGTGGATTTTTCATCAATGGCATGACAAGGGAACGCGCATGCGCATGCAAAGAGGCAATATCCAAACGTCAACACGGCCCAAAGACCCAGGCAGGACTGACTGTACCGAGTCTTCCATCTTGCTTCTCCTCTCCTCTTGTCTGCTTCTTCGTCTCTTTCCCCCCAACACCTCCAGCCTCTTGGCCTGCAATCTCAGCGCGCGTCGTCGTCTCCTGTTTCCCTCGCACCGTGTCCAGCGACGCGTGCCACCGGACCAAGACCAAAACATGCATTTTTATGTCGCCCAACGACACACGACAGACCGACCGCCGCCAATGGACGCATGCCCCCCGATTTGGAGCATGTTCCCACTCTGACCTCACTCGGCATGCGGTGCAGCGTTGCGCAACTGCGGCTCTCCGTCGCCGCTGGTAGTTAGCTGACCGAGGGCCCGTGGCTGCAGCCGCCATGGCCTCTTGTCTGGCTGCCCGCTAGCTTCCCGCTGCATGAGTGCATCGCATCGTAGTTTAGTTTAGTTGCTTTGCTTGTGTCCGGTAGCACGCATGTTCGTGGCGCGCCAGAGCGTAAACACGGGCGCGCAAACAACGGCACATCTCACTCTGCTTGTCCTATTCTTATCCTTCTTCTTCTTCTCTCCTCCTCATCATCACTTCTTCCTGCTGATTCGTGATCGAGTCGTGGCACGTTTGGCCGCGTGTTTCAACTTGGGCTTAAGCTTCTTAGCCCCTTCGTCTAACAGCCTCAGTCCCCTTTTACCCCCCCCCCTAGGTTAATAATATCCACTACCCCATACTCTCGCCCTTGGTGCGCAGCGCAGAGTCAAGACTTGGCCTTCTTCTTTTGTGTCCTTCCCAGTCGACGTCTCCCTTTCCCACCTCTCTCTCTCTCTCTCTCTCTCTCTCTCTCTCTCTCTCTCTCTTCCTCTCTCTCTGGCTTTCTGGCTTACACGACGACCGACCGGCTGACCTGCTGTCCTTCGCTATCCCCCGTCCCGCGCCCTGCCTCATCGCCCGCAGCCTGCAGGTCCAGAAAGCAGTTCGGACTGCCGTGTGCTACGCATGTAGGCCGCTGCTTGCAGGCTCGTGCAGGTCGGCTTGTCTCCCATTGGCAAGCCTCGGCGTATGTGGCATCGATCCATCAACCATCGTCACCACCGCGGCTTCATCACCCTGCGGCCTCGTCACCTCTCTCGCTCGCCGTCGTCGCCCCCCTGCCTGCCTTTGCCCTTGCCCTGGTGTCCCGCGCCCCTGTCCAAGCCTACAAGCCTAGCCTGCCATCCTGCGTCCTATGGTCGGTCATTTAATCTTTCTCGAACAAGTCATCCCTTGCCTAGTTTCTCGCCCTTTTATCGGCGAATCCTGGGATCGGCGGCCAGCAGCGAAAAAAGCGGGCGCGGGCCAAAGAGTCGAAAGATTGGTTGGCCTACAGGCCTCCTACAGCACTGGGCGATCGCCCTAGCGGCTACCACCCACGGCCTGGTGGTATTATTTACCTGCCGACTAGCGGACGCGACAGGGGGAGCCCCCCTCGCCGGGCAGAGGTTCCGGCCGCCCATCCATCCATTTGGCATCTGAGTCGGCTCTGTTTTACAGGGGCCGCTCACCCCCCGTCATGGCCGCCTGCGCCGACCATTCGTCCGCTCCAGCTGTCATCTCCCCCAGCCTCCACCACGACTGCGCATACGACGACAGCCAGCCTCGGCGCCATGCCGTCCTGACAAGTATCCCCAGCGACCTCTCCTCCCAGCTCTCCGTCCCACGTGGCGCCACCAGCAGCAGCCCAACCCTACCCGAGTCGCCTGTACCACCCGCCGCGGCAGCACAAGCGGCAGCGGGAGAAACACGCAAAATCAACCCTGCGACGACGACGGCGGCCATTACAGCCACAACCGCCGCCACGCCCGTCCCCGTCGTCGAGCCCATCGCCGACGGCAATAATCGCTGGAGCCACTGGAGCCGCTGCAGCAGCAGCAGTGCCGCCGCCATCGACTCCCCGTCCTCGGCCGCAAAACAAACCCTCGGCCGCCTCAGAACCACTCCCACCATAACCACCAGCAGCACCACCAGCCTTGCCAGCACGCCCACAGACAGGAATCCCCTCATCGCCTACCGCTTCGGCCACCCTACCCTGCCTCCAACCCCTGACCACCAGTCGCCTTCGGCCATTCGCAAGACGTCGCCTGGCCTGGCTGCCCGACTCAAGGCGTTGGGCTTCGGCACCTCCAAAAATCCGCCCTCGCCCCCAACCCCCCAGCACGACAACGTCGGTCGCCTCGACGAGGACCAGCTGCGTCGCCTCGACCGGAAACTCCAGGCCGCCTCCTTCAGCGCAGTCATCGCCCGGCGCGGTCGGCCTTGGAAGGGCGCCGCCGCCCCGTCCTCGCCCCTCGACAACTCGCCCTCGCCCCTCGTCCTCGGCTCTCCGTGGCTGCCCGAGATCCAAAAATCGGAGCCCCTGGCCATGGACACGCACAAGTACCGCATGCCCGAACACACAAACGGCAATGGAACAAAGGTGACTCTCAACACTCGCCGCGAGCACCTCCAACGCAATGCCCGTCCTCCGTCCCCCGACGACGCCGTGCCTCCGCCGCCCCCGCCCAAAGACAACCCTACACTGGCCGTCACCCCCCCGGCTGTCATGTCTTCCGAGGACCATTTTGTCCCTGGCTTGAGTTCCTACTTTACCTCGGCCAACAGCCGCCCGGGCTCGATATACACGCTCTCCCGCGCATCCTTCGCCAGCCAGCTCGCTCAGTTGACGTCGCTGCAGTTGCCCGACCCAGAGTCCTTGTCTAGCAAGGTCTCTGCCATTCGCTCCGCCCAGGTCGCCGCCAAAGCTCTCATAAACGCCGCTGAGCAGATCCGGAGCTGGATCTCCAAGGCACAGGAAGTCATTGGCGGTCTCGACAGCGAGGATGACGTCGAATGGTCCGCCGCCGGCGGCAGAGAGGGCCTCGAGGAGGTGGAAAACGCCATTCACCGATTCGAGCACCTCATCAACGTCTACGTCGGCGCAATCGAGGAGTTGCAAGCCCGAGGCGACATCTCCACCGTCGCCTCCGATGACCTGAGGCGGGCCGTGACGCAAATGGAATCCATCCTCGACGAGTGGGCCCAGATCCGAGCCACGCTGCAGGTCGTCCGCACGCAGGTCGAAATCGCCATGGAGTGGGAGGAGCTGTGGAACAACGTGCTGGGCGACATTCAGGGCGAAATGGACGAGCTGAGCCGACTGGTCTTTGAGATGGAGGAGCGCCGCCACAAGCCCGCCGTGTCAGCCGCTGCCGGCGATGGCGTCGACATTGGCGACCTCGAGACCATTGTGGAGGACTCCCCCGGCGCCGCCTTACGCCAGCAAAGCTCCAATCGCCTCAGTCTCTCGGGACTACCAATGACCGCCAGCTCACCAGGCTCGCCGAGCCTCTCGCACGACGATTCCAGCCTCCTCGCCCTGTTCGCCAGGATGCAACCCCTCAGGGCCTCGCTTGACTTCCTTCCCATGCGCCTCTCGGTGTTTGAGGCCCGGGCCGAGAGGTCCTTTCCCACGGCCTGCGAGGAGCTCCAGACGCGACGCAACAGCCTCGATGCGGCCTACAAGAAGCTCGAGAGAGACGCCGAGTCGCTGCGCAAGGAGCTGGGCGAGGACCGCTGGGTCATCGTCTTCCGCGGCGCTGGGCGACAGGCCCAGAAGATGCTCGAGTCTGTCCAACGCTCTCTCATCAAGCTCCGAGAGGCTCTAGACGCCGGCCAGTACTTGACAAACCCAGCCACCATGACCAAGAAGATGGAGAGCTATGAAGCCAAGAAGACACACTACGGCCCGGCCATTGAAAGGATCTTGTCCATCATCGAAAAGGGCGTCAAGGACCGCTTCACCGTCAATGGCGAGATTCTGCGGCTCTTGAGCGACACGCAATCCCGATGGCAGACTCTCAAGTATCAGTTGAGGGACATGGACGCGATCCTCGAGGAGATCCAGGCCGACCGCAAGGGACAGCACCTGCGAGACTCGGTGTCAAGCATGTTGTCCAACGACCGTTCCACCCTGGGCAGCGGCCACGAAACCCCGGGAAGCTCCCCGCCGTCGTCGGTAATCATGTCCACCCTCGGCTTTGACCCGCACACCCCGGCTCCCAAGTCCAAGGGCCGCTCCCCAAAGCCAAGCCATAGCGCTCCTCTCCCCGGCGGCAGGAGGCGTTCATCTCTCCCCGCGCCAACCTCCGCAGTGGGCAGGAAGACGGCGCCTCGGCTGTCGACGATTGCCAGCTCCCCTGCCACCACGTCCGGGCCTCTCAGCAGGACGCCACGGCCTGATTCTGCACTCGCCCATCGCCCCCGCTGGAACGGCTCCACCAACGTCGCCAGCATCGATACCGGCCACAATTTCAAGCCCATGAGCCTGACTACGCCAAGCCCCTATGCAAGATCGACGCCAGGCGCTCAGCGGTCCGCCTCGTCGCTCTCGCCCCCCAGCGCTGTCACCAGGCTGCCCACTCCTCGCCGCAATGCCTTCACTCGCGCCTCATCAGAGTCGCCCAGCGTCAGAGACACGCCCTCGAGGACCAGCCACTCGCGCCATTCATTCCGTGAGAGGCTGTCGTCCCCTGGGCCCTACTCGCAGCAGACTCTGGCTAAGCCACGCTTGTTGACCAAATGCTCCATGTCGGCCCTGGCGACAAACCGCTCCGTCTCTCTGCAACCGTCTGTGTCGGATCCACCCCCCGACGCGCGATCCATCAACCGTCCCGCCAGCTCACTTGCCTTCATGCCTCGCCGGAGCAGCCTGCTTCCGCTACCCAAGGGTAAAAAGGAGGAAAGCAGCACGGTCCGCGCGAGCTCGCGGCTGAGTTCGGTCAGTCGCTCGGCCAGCCGCTCTAGCACGAACAAGACAACGCTCTCGGACAAGGACGGAAAGCCGAGATGGCGGCCTTGAGCCGATGATGCACGCACTCGATGCACTCGAGAGGCGATGCCTGCGCCCATCACAAGGCCTCACTGGATCTGACTGGCGAAGATTCCCTGTTGCCGCTAGCATGTGTCTCGAGCCTGGCGGGTCTCGGAGAGCTCGCCACTTGTTTCTTCGAGGGATAGACATCCCTTTTTTTTCTCGTTTATAGCGCGGCGCAATGGGTGTCCAAGGCTACTTGACACGCGCGGCGGAGTTTCAGGCAAATCAACCCGGCGGCGTCACCTCACGCCCTTTCTCTCTACCGGACCGTACTTTTCGTGGCCAACGATTCGGTGTTTCAGTGGCCCTTGACAATATTTGTCTCTCACTTCGAGTTCCCCTCTTTTCCTCCCCGTTGCCACCTGGTTTCCCCTCAGCAGGCCTCCGCCCCTCTGGCCCGCCCTTTCGATTTCACCACCCCCCCGGCCCCCCGATCTAGAACGGGGCTCTGCCTCGTGCTCTGGCGGTTGAAGTGTGTGTACTGATCAGAGATGGTTTTGGAGGAGGCACGGCGGCGGGGCGCACGGCGAGTGAGGCTTGTTCTGATATACCCCGGCTCTGCGTTCCGTCTGCTACGCTGCAGATGGTCACAACCGAGCTGAAGATGTGTAATAGCTCTTTTCCTTCTGCTCTCGCATATGAAAATGCAACAAGAGGAATATGTTCATGTGATTTATTTACCTGAAGCCTCTCCTATCCGTTCTGCCCCGATGAGTGCGAATTGGGCCGCTCCGCGTGGCACGCCTTTTCTCCGGTCCTCATGGAAGGAAGGGGCCCGCGAATTGTTTCCCGTTAATGGGTTGGGTATTGATCAGCTACCAGATATAACACCCTCAACTCCCAAAATATGACCGGGTCGTCACCGCTTCGCCCCCCCTCTTGACGATGCAGCTCTCGCACCGTCCTCGACAGGACCATTCCCAAGTAGCACTGATGACGAACCCATCCGTTCCAAAGCGCCCAAGCCCAGCTGCGCCCTAAATTCGTTCAAGGCCGTCGCCCGTCCTTCGTATAAACAATTATCGCATGCCTACCCCGTCAAGCTCCCGTCTTCGCACCTCTTTCTCCTTTTGCCCAGCACTCGCCCCGTGTTCGACCATGATAGAAGGACATTCCCGGCCCTGATTCCTTGGCAGAGCAAAAGTTAGGGAGGGGGCAATCGAAAACAGCTCCTCATGTATCATTTACAGAGGCATCAGCCCAATGCCTCCCCCAGACTTCTTGACGATCTTGCCATCCTTCCTCGAGCTGCCGCTCATTGTCGACCGCGACGCCGTGGCTGAGGAGCCGCCGCTAGCCCTCCTCCCAAAGCTACCGCTCTTGCGCCTCGTCGACCCGCCGGCGCCCTTCTTCTGCCATTTCTTGCCGGAAAACTTGCGGCTGCCGCCCTTGAACGAGGACTTGGGCGCCTTGTACTGGGTCTGCTGCTGCTGCTGGCTGTTGAGACCCTGAAGCCTGCTGTGAAAGGCTTCGACTTCCGGCCTCGGCCTGGCGTTGAAGTAGTGAGAGTCTTCGCCCGCCGCCCCGTCCATCAAGTCCACTTCCATTTCCATGTCCGAGCTTATTAGATCAACAATTTCCTGACTTCCTGGGGCTTCGTCGTTTGCCTCGGCGATTTGTTGGTACAGTTCGTGGTGCTGGCGCAGGAGTGGCAGTAGTTTCGGCCCATGTTCCCTGACCTTCTCGGGATCGATGCCAGGGATGCGGTTCATCTTTTCAAGGGACGTGGTCCAGTTCATGGCCATCTCTCGAAAATCGCGCTCCGTGAAGAGGGGCCGCCTGAGCTCCTTCTTATTGCGAATCTGTTCCTCCAATTTCTGGGCCTCTGGCACGAAGGCATTGACAAGGTCTTGGTGTATCTCGGAAAGATTCCCCAGTCGCTCGTCGGACGTTATTTGGGGACTGAATTTGTTTTGAGAGGCCGGTTTAGCCGGACGATGCTGCGGCAAGGGGTCAAAGGCGTCATCCTCGTTGTCGTCTTCCCGCATTTCATCGTCTGAGACAATGAACCCATCATTGCTATAGCCGTGCGACGTCGTGGGCAGGTCGCCTTCGTCTTCGCTCTCCACCACCGCCCTTGCCCGAGACTTGCGTCTGCCCATTGGCGATGACACATATGTCGACTGCATCGGCGAGGCTTCCTGGCCCTTGCCCTTTTTCGCAGCCTTGGACTTGGACTTGGAGCCCTTGGGCTCCTCGGAGACTTGGATCGTGAGCATGAGCTTGCGCTGCTGCATCAGAAACAGGCGCGCAGTCGGCCCAACCTGAAGATACTGTATGGCTACCCCGTAGTTGCCAACGACGTTGTTCTCGCGGAAAGCCTTTTCCGCAGACAGGCGATCGATGACCCGAACAACCTCGTGTTTCTTGAGACCCTTGGCCATACCATGGTAATCGTCAGAATTCTGTTGCTCGTGGTTGGGGTACTTCTTTCCCAGCAAAATGTCGGCACACTGGTTCGCCGTTAGTCTTCTCTGGTTCTGGACGACCCGGATGGCAGCGATGGCGTATGTCGAGAAATCTTGCTGCTCAAAGACGAGTCCGGCCTGGCAGTTGTCGCACGACTTTTGGCACTGCGCCGGCATGAAGTCCTCTCCGAAATAACGAAGGACCTCTGTCCGCCGGCAGTCCGACTTGTTGTCGCAAAAGGACGTGACTCGGTTCAGCATGACCATTTGCCGCTCCTTCTGCTCGTCGTTGCCCTCTCCATCAGCTATCAGTTTCTTGAGGACCCTTATGTCCCCCTTTCCGTAAAACAGAATGCAGTCGGAGGGTTTTCCGTCTCTGCCTGCCCGGCCCGTCTCCTGGTAGTAGCCCTCCAGGCTCTTGGGCAGCCCGTGGTGCATCACGAACCTCACGTCTGGCTTGTCGATGCCCATGCCGAAGGCTATGGTCGCCACGACCACCTTCACGGTTCCTTTTTGCCAGGCTGTTTGAACCTCAACCTTCTCTTGAGGGTCGATGGCGGCGTGGTAGTGTCGCGCTGCTATCCCATTGTCGCGCAGCTTCTCGGCAACGCTCTCTGCCTGCTTTCTGGAGATGGTGTAGACAATGCCTGTCACATTCCGATACTTGGCCTGTATCAAGGTGGCGATCTTCTCCATTGCATCAGCATTCGACGTTTTCGTCCGGACCTCGTAGTACAGGTTGGGGCGGTTGAAGCTTTGCGAGAAGGTCTTGCAGTTTGTCATTCCCAGGTTGTGCCTGATGTCCACAATGACGTTCTGGGTTGCCGTGGCCGTGAGCGCCATCACAGGGACCTCGGGAAACCTGAGGCGGACCTGTCCGAGAGTCTTGTAATCCGGCCGAAAGTCGTGTCCCCATTGACTCACACAATGGGCCTCATCGATGACGAGCCGGGCAAACTTGCCCTTGCGATACAGGCTCTGCATCCCACTGTTGAAGGCTGCGTTTTTGCTGACCATCTCGGGAGTAACGTAGAGCAGCTCAATGAAGTGTTCTGGGCTGCGCTCGTTGAATGCGCTCATCACCTGCCTCTTGTACTCTGCCGAGCACTCGCCGTTGAAAGCAACAGCTTGGATGCCCAGGGCCTTCATGTGATCGACTTGATCTTGCATCAGACTGAGGAGGGGCGAAACCACGATGGTGACGCCCCTCGTCTTGCCTGTCCGAATCACCGCTGGAAGCTGATAGCAGAGGGACTTGCCGCCGCCCGTGGGCATCAAGACAAAGGCATCTTCCCCAGCCAACGTTGCATTGATCGCCTGCAGCTGGTTGTGGCGGAATCCCTTCATCCTGAACCGATCCTTGAGTATCTTCTGTACTTCGGGAGACCACGAGTGCTTCATGAGCTCCGGGGGGATGCTCAGTGGAGGCAAGACCGGCGCCGCCTGTCTTCTTGAAGGGTTGCGTGCCTTTGCCGGGGGCAAGACGTTCCCTGATGTTTCCAAAAGGACCCGGTGAGACCCTTCGTACGATTCTCCTGCGGACTGACGGGTCTCATAGTCTTGGGCAAAAGCCAACATGGCGTCGTCGTCGCTGAAGTCGCTGAAATTGTCATCGGCAGCATGGACGCGACTTCTCGGTGTCGTTGTGCCACGCATCTCCGCTTGTGTGGCTCTTCGACGGACCACGGGAAGAGCCATCATCTCGTCGTCTTGAAAATCCGAGATGAAACCCGCGTTGGCGTTGGTGTCGCTCGGTTTTTTCGACCTGGATCGACTGAGGGCCTTCAAGGGGCCCGTTGCATCTCTTGCGAGCGGCGGCTTGGACCAATCCTTGTCGTCTCGAGACGTTGAATCATTTCGCGAGATTGTCGCTGCTGGTGGTACGAAGTCATTCCGCAGGCGAGACTGCGACGCAGCGGGCAGTTGTGTCTGATGGACGACCTGTGTCCCGGTGGCCCTGGCTGGTAGCGATCCTCTTGGGCTTCGAGATCCCTCGATCGTGCTGCCGTCAATGGGCTGCGTGCTGAACACGACGGAGCCTCTATTTCTCACGGCTGAGGCAGAGTTCAGCACGGGCTCGGAGAAGATTCCCTCATCCAGCCCAGCCTCGGACAAGGTCAGGATAAGCTGCTGCTCCATTGTCTGTACCTGGTCGGTGAGCTCGTCGAGCTGAATCTCGTCGTCGTCAGTATCGAGCCCATCTGCATAAGATTGGGCGATTTGCTTCGCAAGTGTTTCTCGCCGTTGGCAAATCGATCTGTACGAATCCATGGAGTTGGTCAGATCTTTGACGGCAGTTTGCTGTCTCAGCAACCGCTCCTTCTCGGCCTTGACCTCGCTGCGCCTCTCCTTGGGCCATCTTTCGTTGATCGCTCGCATAAAGTCTTGGCCATTCTGCAGGACCTGCGTCTCTAGCAGAGCATGTCTTGTGCTCAATGCTTCCGGATTGGCCGACAGAAACGTAAGGAGCCTCGGCGTCTGGCTGGAAGGGGGAATGCAAGGATCGGGTGCCAAGGCACCAAAGGTACTACCAGCCGCACTCGTGCAGCTGGCACCTGAGCCTCCTATTCCTTCTGGTGCGGATGTCTTCCAAGAAGCGTCTCCATAACGCGAAGGAGCCGGGACATCAAAGTCGCTCAAACCATCGTGCCGTTCGGGAGGTGGGTCCGCCGGGGGTTCTGATTCCACAAGCCTAGACTGGCTGCTAGGAGCCTCCTTGGAAAGCCGGTTCACTCCCATGTGAGACGGTGGCGTGACGAATTCGTCTTCGGAATCGGGTACAAAATCGTTTTCCCTCGGTTTGTCAGCCTGCTCGGCCTGTTGGAACGCCTCCTCCTCGGAAGACAATGGAAAAGAGGGCGCCTCGACGGCTACTTTGCGTTTTTTGTGGCTGTCCCTTGTACGTTCAGTTTGACGGTTCGTGCTGGGCGTTTGATTGATTCCGGAAAGCTCGCGTCGATCCGCTATCCGCCTTGACGGCGAAGATGCTTCTTCCATGACACTCTGGAGAGCGCCGCTTCTTCTCGCGTGAGCAGATTGGCCGTCGACGGGTTCCTTGCCAGCTCGACCTCGCCGTGACTGAGCACTACCCGAGGCGTCAGCCCGACGCGCTGCAGATCTTATCCGGGGTGTGGACGTGGGCGGGTCTGCCCCCAGTAGCTGATAGACATCGGGGAACTGTTCTTCGTGGCCATCCTCATCACTGCCGATGCCGTCGCTTTTTCGCTTTTTGGGGGTCTTGGACGGCACCGGAGACCATACCGCCGACTTTTCATCCCATAGCCTGACATCATCTCCAAACTCGAGCGAGCCGGAAGAGGCGGCGGTGGCTTCGGTAAGATCCATGCATTCCAAATCGTCGGCATCAAAGTCAGTGAAGTCGAGGCTGAGGTTCGGCGAAGGCGCCCGCCGAGGACCCTTGTCTAACGCTAAGGCGCGCGACCCAGGAGTGTTCGTGTGTCCTGCGAGTAAATTGTCAGCACGGTCAGCTTTCTACATTGCTTCAGTTCACGGACCTTGACCGGCATGCTGCTTCCCCCGCCCATCGCTTGTCGTGGACGGGGTTAGGAGTTGTTGCGGCAGCTGGGATACAAGAAGCGGCTTCTTGGATTTCGTAGTCGAAGTCAACCTCCCCATGCTGCAATCCTCCACGACAACTTCGTGGGTGACGACCAAGTCATCCCCTCCCCCGGCCAATTCACAGGCCTCTCTCGAGGCAGGATGGAGAGTTCTGGGGCCAGGTCGAGGCGCAGAGACGGACGAGGGCCTGGATCGAGTCCTCGTCGGGGGCAGCGCCCTTCGCGATTGGGACAACTGCTGGGACACGGGGTCGCTGGCACTGGGATAGGATCGAGGCGCAGGCTTGGTGGATGTGATGTTGCTCAACAGCCAGGTAAGGTGCTCGGCGAGGTTGTTTCGAGTCATGAAGCCGGCGGATGGATGCCAGGCGGTCTGTGGATTGCTGACTCCGGAACCATTTGAAGCCGATGCCGCCTTGGTTCGGTTTGAAAGTGGCTCGAGCTCGGACTGTTTTTACGCGGGAGCTTGATTGACGATGGAAGAGTTGGCGTCGCAGTGCCGCTCGACGCGCCGGTTAGTCAGCGGATGCGACGGCACGTGACTAATTTGCTGCGGTGCCTGCACAGTAAATTAGGAGTAGCCGCAGGCTTACGTGATGCCGGTCATCGTCGCTCACACAATGGGCTGTTTCTCAAGTACGCGACCATGTGTACTTGGCCTAACGGACATTCGGTGCAGAACATTTAATGAAACGGGCGCTCTCCTGCCTACAGCTTGCTGTTATGCACCCTCGTAATGCCAATATAGCCCCTAATCCTCATGCTAAACTAAGATGGCAAGGTGGAGAAGAAACATCTACCGTGGGCTAATTGCCTCACCTCGCGGCTGGGCACGGCTGTCGGGGGAAGTCGGTGCTAGCCGCGAACCGTTCTGTCTGAATTCCCGGCGGCCGGGCGGGCTCCGAGCCGGTCGGCTGTTGGCCGGTGCCCGTTTCCGGACCGTCCACGGCGAGGGGGTGAAGATGATTGGCCCGCAACAAAGATCTCCGTGGCTTTCATGCGTACGGTGCCTCGTACTGTACCGCAGTTACTGTGCTGTACATTCGGGATTGGCGAATCAGTCATTACTCGCGACGGGCCGCCGCCTGTCACTGCCGACCCGATCAACAGCTCCATCTTTCGCCCTGCGGCAACGAGCCGGCTCGTCTTTTAGCTTTCCTTGTCACCAACCGCTCCTCGGACCGTCGGGTCTGTCAGTCTAGTGCCACAGAGCGCCTTATTTGTCCATCATGCCCCGGCTGTCGGTTCCGGGTGCGCCAGCGTCTCTGGTTCAAGGCAACGGCTGGCTGGAGCCGCCAGACTTCCTCTTAGCCGTTGACCGCGTTTTCCTTCCAACCTGTTTCATCCCTCGCTTGGCCGCACAACATCTTTGTCTCCGAATCTAAACCTTAACTAACACCATGTTATGGCGTCTGCCGCTCCGAACTACAAAGCACAAGATGGCCTTTGACGAGAAGAGCGGTCAAGCATCTGAGGATCACTCCCAGGGCATCATGGCAGAAACGAGGACCAACAGCGAGCGTCTGGCGAAAAAGGGGCGGCTCTTGAGTAGCTTGACCGAGGACATCCGGTCTTCTTCGTTCGCCGAGTCGCAGCTCGTCTTCCTGACGTTTTGCACGGGCATGCAAGGTAAGAGGGAGACAAGTTGCGGAATTAGCAGTTGCAAACTAATTGGCCCCTTAATCGTCAAGATGCCACCACTTTTCCCGACTATCACTGTTTCGCGTCTAATCAAACGGGCAACACCGTTTTTCTCTGCCTGGCCCTGATCCTGCCGCAACTCGATGGCGAAGCATTCATCACGTCCAACATCGGAATGGCCCTGGGCCTGTTTCTGGGGGCTGGCTGGCTGACTGGCCAGTTGAGCCACATCATCGGGCCTCGGAAGCGATGGTGGCTCCTTGTTTGCAACCTGATCCAGAGCGGCCTGGTGCTGGGAGCGGCAGCGATGCAGTATCGATACGGAATCGAGGACCGGGGCCCCAAGGCGCTCGCCGTCGTTGGCCTGTTGGCCTTTGCGGCCGGGAGTCAAGTCGTGCAGTCGCGTAGCCTATGCCTTACGGAAATAAGCACGGCTATGGCGACTGCAGCCTGGGTAGATCTGATGATTGACCCGCGGCTCTTCTCGCTGGAGAACCGGCCGAGAACCCGACGTGTCGCCTTCCTCCTGGCTCTGGTTGCGGGTTCTCTCATCGGCGCCCTCATCTATCGAGAGGTCGGTTCGGCGACGGCCATTGTTGTTTCCGGGGCCGGGAAGCTCGTCGTCACGGTGCTGTTTCTGTTTTCGCCTGCGGAGGAGAAGGGGCCGCGAGAAGAGTCACAGGTATGATTGTTGGTGGCGATGACACTGCTTTTCCTCTGTCTTCTGCTCTCTCTGCCCTTATTCTTTGCCTCTTGCTGCTGGAAATTATCAGCGGGCCAGAGGACAATCTGGAATTTCCGAGACTTTAGCTCGGCACGGCGTGGCACGGCGCTGCATTGTGTCGTTCTTTTCCTCTTTTATTCAGCATTCAGCAACAGATACCACGATACCATGCATCTAGACAGGGCAACAGAAAAGCGATTTCCGAGACCAACAACGTCGCATGTGGCGTGATGCGTGAAACGGGACTGCTGCCTTTAGCGACTAACCAACCCAGGGAGCGGCCGAGATGGAATGCATCTGGCTCACCTCTCTATGGGCCCACGATGAGCGTGAATGCAGGGTCGGACCCGAAGTCGACGATGGCCTTGGACCAGAGAACGGTCGATTTGCGTGAATGGAGTCGAGGTGAAGTGGAGTTGGGCGAGTGCTTGACGCTGTCCCCGGTAATCCTCCAGGCACCAGCCGCCGGTATCAGCAGAGCAATGGGAGGCTGAAGTGTCGAGGCCCAGATCACGGGTTCTCGCGTGCGCTGGAGCCCTGTCGCTTTAGGCAGCACAGCTTTGGAAGCGCGCCGCAGATCCCCGCGGCTGAGAAAGAGGACGTCATTCTTACAGGGGGCGGCTGCAGTACAACGCCCACTGCACGCACTGCACGGCGGTACTTGACGTAACTGCCTCGCGTCCATCTCCTCCAGCGCCTTGCACGGGCAGGTCGGTGAAGGGCCCCTTGGGCAGCCTGGAAGATGCCTGTACCGGGATCCTTCTAGCTTCTACTGACTAACGCACCTCAGCCCGGCAACATGGCAATCAATGGCTCGACGCCTGTTTCTTTTAAAAACACGTTGCATTCCCTCCTCGACGTTGTGCATCGAGAGACAGTCGATTGTCTTACGACGCCCATCTCTGTCTCTCCCTAGGCTGCACATCCATCGTCTCAACACGCCACGCCCTCGCAGCCTCCGGCGAGTGCCCGCCACATCGTCAACATCAACTACTGATCCTCTCCGCTCTCTTGCGAAGCTGCCCAGGCCGCGCATCATCTTCCATAGCCATGGCCGCCTCCGCCCTCCCGGGGCTGCCCGCTCCTCATCAGGAGCTGGTCAAACACATTGCCAAGCACCCTGAACGGGCCATGGTTGACATCATGGCGCCCTACCGCAAGCACGAAGCTCGCCTGCGAGAGCTCTACGCCCAGGATCGCCAGAATCCCCTTCTCGACGATCCTTACATCAATGTCCTTCCCCTCTTCACCGACGACACAAAGCTCATCACGACCCGAGCCAGAAGCTTATCGACCGAGTCCGCTGAGGAGATGTCAAAGTACGTCATGGCTCTCCCTGACGAAAAGCGTCGGCCTCACGAGGCGCCTGCTACCGTCTCCGACCTCGTCGAGTTTCAGCACAACTTCAATGTCTTCTCGGAATCGTCTCTGGTTGAAATGGACTGGAGTAATGTCGTTGCCGCTGGTTCCTCGGTTGTCAACTGTCTTCTGCCTGTCCCCTCCCACTTCAAGGCCTCGAAACGAAAGCTCCGAGAGTACTATCACGAAAAGTTCTGCCCTGCTTCCGATCTTGACCTCTTCCTGTACGATCTCACCCACGAACAAGCCATTGAGAAGATCAAACACATCGAGCAAGCCGTTCGCGACGCCATCCTCAACGAGGTCACCGTCGTTCGCACCAAGTACGCAATCACAATCGCCAGCCAGTACCCAGTACGGCATGTACAGGTACGGCCCAGCTGTCAAGACTCGCCGTTCGGCCCCTTGCCAATTAACCCTTTTCGCTCTCCCAGATCGTTCTTCGGGTCTACAAGTCCGTCAGTGAGATATTGACCGGATTCGACATTGACGCCGCGGGGGCGGCTTATGACGGCAAGCAAGTCTACGTCACTCCGAGAGCACTCGGCAGCTTCATCACGCAGATCAACCACGTCGACCTCACACGGCGCAGCCCTTCCTACGAAAACCGCCTTTCCAAGTATTCCCATCGCAACTTCGAAGTATATTGGCCCGATCTCGACCGATCACGAATCGACCCCACCATTTTCGAGCGAAGCTTTCGGCGCACCTTGGGGCTGGCCCGTCTTCTGGTGCTGGAACGGCTGCCCACGAACTCGGCCCGGGAAGCTTACCTTAACAAAAGAAGAATGGAGCGCGGCAGGCCGACCAAGTTCCAAAACAGATACTCGCTGCGGGGAAATATCAAAGACTCTCATGAAGACGAAATTGCCGACTGGCAGCCGGAAGACGACGTGAGTAACTACAACACATTCACCGTGCCTTACGGGAAAATGTTCCATGCAAAGCGCATCGAGAAGCTATGCTACACCAGAGATCTCCTGCTCAATGCCGAGTGGAACCAACCAAAGGATCGCAAAGTGCACCTTCATCGCCACCCTGCTTTCTTTGGTCGCGTCCAAGACGTGATAGAGGACTGCTGCGGATTCTGTCCAACCCCCGTTACGCCGGAGGAGGTTGAGATTGCCGAGAAAGAGGCCCAAGTTTACGTATCTGGCAACGTTTTCTTCCTCATCGATGATCCTGGCAGGCAGCAGATCGGCTCATTCAACCCCTTGACCGACCAAGACTGGACAGACATGGCGTACGTCGGAAACACTGCCAGGCTGTGTCAGTCCATCGTCGACGGAGATATCGACGACGTCCTCGGTTGGCTCTCTCAAGAAGGAGCGGATCCTAACAAGCGAGACTACACTGGCAGAACGCCCCTTCATCTCGCCGTCATGGTCTCGACCCCGAGGATTGTGAAATGTCTCGTCGAGCATGGCGCGCGCCTGACAGCTCGATTGGCAGACGGGAAAACGGCTCTCCATCTGGCAGCCTCGAGAGGCAATGTGGAGATCATCAGAATTCTAATGGCAAAGAGCATCGAGAACGAGGAGGCTGAGGAAGAACGGCAAGCCAAAAGACGCAAGGTCTCTCTCGACCTTAGCAAACCCGATCCCGACCTAAGGGACAGAGCTCAGGAAAACGGAGAGGCCAGAGATGACGCGGATTGCAGCCAAGACTCGGACGGCGAGCTCACCGAGGTCGACGCAGCCGAGACAGAAGCACAATCAGTGACCACCGGCTCCTTCTTAAAGGTGGAAAAGGGAGATGCCAGCCATGGTGACGACGACGTCATTGTTACTGATGACTCGGCCGATGAACCAGACTACTACCACATCGATGTTCTTGCTTGGGATATTCCTTGCTCGCCGCTCCATCTCGCGATAGTCGAGGCCCGAGAGGACGCAGTCAAGGTCCTCTACAATGTGAGTCTGTATTGCCTCGCGTCTGGCCTCAAAACCCCTTGGCGCAGCCCTCCAAGGGCGGACAAGCTGACTGGACCCTAGTATGGAGCGGACGTGATTCTTCCTGTCAAGTTCCTCGGAAGCGGCTCAATAGACACTGCTGCCACTCTGACTCTTACACTCGCCTTGACTCTTCCCCGTGAACAGGCGAAATCTATGGCTCGATTGCTCCTCAGACTAGGGGCTACCTCGTCTCAAGCCGACTCCAACGGCTACACGGCGCTTCAGCGATATATCGACAGCGGCAAAAACGAAATGATTGATACCCTGTTGGATGAGGACAAGGTTGGAGTCAAGACAGCTCTCAACCACCTGACCTTTTCTCCCCATAGCTGGAATCCCCAGACCAACTCTCCAATTCACAGCGCAGTGGAAAATGGAGACTCGCTACTCGTGCTCAAACTGCTCAATGCTGGGGCGTTTCCGCATATTGACTTCGACACCTGGTCGAAATCCGCAAAGCTATCCACGCTTCGCTCCAGCTTGGGAGATTTGGAGGGCTCGCGGCGAAAGTACCAGCAATCCATGGAGCAACCGCTGATCACCGCTGTACGGTCCGGCAACACTAGTGCCGCAATAAAGCTGCTGGATAGCGGCGCCGATCCAAACACGTTGACCTCGGAGTCTCAGTGCCTCCTCACGGACGAGTACATGTGTAGCTACACAAAAGGCACGTCGGCGTTGGACCTCGTCAGAGATCTGATTCAGGAGTTGTCCAACTACAAGGGCGAAAAACCGTTCATGTGTGAACCTCGTCTGCAACCAGGAACCGACGAGTTTCTGCAGAAGATGAAGCCAGGCACATACCAGCAATGGGTAGTGTCGGCCGACGTCAAGTCGATACGGGAAGCATTTGAGCGGGACGCGGCTATTTACCGAGCAGAAGTGAAGCGCACCGAGACGTCGTGGGGCATAGACGAGAAAAGGGAGGCCATCGCAGAGGCGCTCTCCGGACTTGAGAAATTGGAGAGTGCCCTGGTCGCCAAGGGCGGGAAGGTGTTCGTCGAGCTGTATCCCGACATTGATACTGAAAAGCGTACGAGCGCTTCCTGCGACCGTGAAACGGAGATGTCGAACAAGTACGAATTTGAATTCCGATTTACGTACGACAGCGACATGAATGAGACCAGAAGGGGCCAGTATATTGATCTGTGCGCTTATCCGTTCAAACCGTTTCGGAATGGAGACTGACCGTTGCGTAGAATGGAGGCTGCTTGGATCGGAGACTTGAGTCGCATCAAAGCTTTGACTCTCGAAGCCTGCGGTCCCGAAAATAACAAGCCGCCTTTGAAGATTGCCATTACCGACAACTTTGGAAACTCGCCATTTTCTCTCGCCTTTCTCCAGGGCCCCCAGGATGTGGCTCAAGCTATCCTTGAGATCGTCGAGGCCCAGTGGTCGCTTCCAGAAGGCGAGCAAGTCCGTTTTAGGATTGGAAACGACGATGATGACGAGGAATACGATGACGAGGGCTCAGACGGCAATCCACGGCTAGTGCCCGAGAAGATGAACAGAAGCTTCACCATAGAAGACATTGGCAAGGTCTCCATGCTGGTCGAATCTCATGTTAAGCCGTTGGAAGTCCTCTGCAGTTCCGCTCCAAGCTTCCTGACTGACAAGGGGGAAATCGTCAAAGAGTTTGATAGTAGAAGCATGTTCATGCATGCGCTTGACACGGACGATGTCTCGAGGCTCCAGTTCCTGCTAGACATGGTCCAGCGCTTCTCCGGCCAGAGATTTGCGGGAGTCGAAGAGGAATCGAGCGAGATGTTCACCCTTCCGGAGTCTGACTTTACCTGGGCTCTTGCGAATGGAAAGACTCAGTTGCTTGGCCTCCTCATCAAGAGCGCCGGCGCTGGAATTCCGCTCGACGATTTGGTCAAGAAGAGCGGCGTTGAAATCAAGCAGAAGCCACGGTATTACCAAGGGTTGACTGTTTATGGGGTCAAAAGGTACTGTGATTGATTGGCCTTTCCATCTCGAAATACACTGCTGACTGTCGCTCTGACAGAAGGAGTTGGGCAACCGCCGGCCGGAACATGGCCACGGGGACGACTGGACTGAAAACACCGCCGCTTCTGCATGCTTCCCTTGGCGGATCGTTAGAAGGCGTCGAGTTCTTCTTGAGCGACACACCCCACCGACTGTACAGCGAATTTGGCAAGTCCCAGATAGCCCGCCAAGATTCCAGGCTGCGACATCTGGAAGAAGGGCCGGGAGGCCTTGATCGAACAATTGCAAGGTGGCTTGGCGCAGACAGTGGGTTTCGCTTTTCCTGATATCCGATGGTCTTCTTGGCTTACCATCGATACAGACGACCTGGTAATACACTGTGCTATTCTAAGCGAATCGACTGCGGAGTCACGGGTGCTTCTCGAGTACCTCGTGAGAGCGCGCCCAGAAAGCATCGAAAAGAAGACTACTGAAGGAGAGACGCCCTTGATGCTTGCCTGCAGACTCGGCCGCGTTGCGCATATCAAGGTGCTCCTCGACGCAGACGCAGACCAGTCAACCCGGAACAAGAAGGGCGAGAATCTCCTTCACGCGGCACTCTGGGGCAATCCCACGGCCGCGAAAGTTAAGCATTTACTGGACATGTTTGATGCAGACCTGCGACGTCATCTGTTCAAACAGCGCAAGAGCCTCGGGGAGAACGGCACGACCCCGCTGCACAGCTGGATCTCTCAGGTTTGCGGCATGGATGCTGCCGTGGACAGTCTACGAGGATTTCCCTGCAGCATACAATTCGCCCTTCCTCCTAATGCCTACCGCAGCCGGGGGCTGGTGGTGGAGATGGCAAAGCTCTTGCTGGACTATTCGGGAGGCGAGGAATTGGACATGCTCAACGGCGCTGGCGAGACTTGCCTACACACAGCGGTCAAGAGCGAGATGATTTCGCTTGTCAAGGTCCTTGTCGATTTCGAGCCTCAGCTGTTGCTACGCGAGAACGCTGTCGGCCGCACGCCTGCGGAGCTCGCACACGACCAGCTGCAAAATCAAATCTTTGAGAGGCCTACGCCGCAGTACAGCAACAACCAACAGAACAAGTTGCAGGAACTTCCGGGCAAGTCGCCCGGCGACTTCGTCGACAAGGCCATGTTCAGGAGCAGGTCAATTCGGGAACTCAGGTCCGGAACGGAGTCTCTCGGGCTCAGCGGCGACTATGGTGTCGACGCTGTTGGGCCCATCTCGTTCGCTCTTGGCCGTGGAGAAGGGTGGCCTGGGTCGTACTTGTCCTCTGCCGATCTGAAAAGGATTACTTGGGACCTGTGTTCCACCGCTCTGGCGAAGCGGCCCGGCAAGCGCAGACTGGTGAGTCTGAACGAGGCCAACGATGTTGCCAGGAGATTGGGCGAAAGGCACACGGGGTCCCGGTATTTCAGCGTCCGGCCTCGCAACGACAACGACGACAACCGGTCGCAGGACGGGAAAGACGACGATGACACGCGCGACTTTGTCGTCAGGACGTTGCCGAGCCGCCTGAACTTGGCTTGGAAGTTTTCTCCGTTCGAGAGAGAGATGCTTGGTATGCCAGAGCACGATACGGCGGAGAGCGAAGGACGGCCTGAGTAGGGTCGTCCCTTGGCATTCGAGGGTTTATTATTGTGCAAACAGGCTGCACGCACCCGGGCTTCTGAAGGTTTTCACAATTCGAGAGCAGCTGGAATGATTTGTCTGCATATTTAATTTTGATGCTTAAGCTGGTAGGTAGGAGGATATTTGACCCTCGGCCATCTCATTGTCGATATCTGGTTTCCGTTGACGCCATCGTGACGCCATCGTGGCGAATGTCACGACAGTCGTATCGCATCCTTCAGACGGATGAGATGCAGGACCCGGCCGCCCCTGCCGCTACCTCGGCAGACAGCAGCAGGGATACGGTGTTGCCGTGGATGCAGACGCATTGCAGTTATAAAAGGATGAGCGCCAACTTGGCACCGGTGGCCTTGAGTCGCGCCTCGCCTCGCCGGCTTCCCGAACGGCATCGACCAAGTTGATTGGTGGCTGCAGACAAAGACGCCCGTCAAGGCCCTGGCAGTACTGGTGCTCCGAGCAAGGAAATCTTGTACTGACGGCGAGCTTGTGATTTCTGATATAGAGCTCGACATTGCGACGGGAGAGATCCTCTTCTAGTGGCATGGCCTCGACCATGTCTCACTAGATGGTAAGCCTTCCGCCCCCCCTATTTATTGGCGTGAATCTTACTCATGTTATAACACTCGGCCCGCCTTCAGACAGCAAGCTGCTTCTGCCTCGAGAACTGGTGGGAACGGCCACAACAGCTCCACGCCTGGGGCTACTTCCCCATCAACTCGATTGCCAAGGGGGACGGCCACTATCTCGTCTTGGCCCAGCACGCGTCGACCGTCTTCAAGATCAACGACACCGACGGGGGCATCATCTGGCGCCTGGGCGGCAGCAGGACCGACTTTGAGCTCGGCCCGGACGTCGAGTTTGGCTTCTAGCACCACGCGGGCTACCTGCTCGGCGGCAACCAGGTCAGGCAGCTCTGTCGGCGAGCCTTGCGACGGAGCGGATCTTGTTGTGGCCAAGACAAAAAGATATTCCAATCTTCAACGCGAGAGGGTTAGTCGTCACGCCGCTGAAGCCGATGCTGTGTGCCAGCCTGATGGAGATGACGACAGCCTGGATCGAGTAGAGTGTTGAGATGGGTGTCTCAGCATTCCCTTAATCGTCACACAAGAGTCCAGTCTACGTGACGGGCTTTTGAGAAAGCGCCCGTCGTCTGGGACTCGGAGCATCCCACGGTAATGCTTCTCGACCATGGCCCCGTCAAAAGCTGCTCGTCAGAGAACGCCAGGTTGGAAAGCTATTGCTCTTCAACCTCGCTCGACTAGCCGTAGTTAAGTTTCTGCACACGGTCATTGCTGTTCAAGACGGTCCACAGCATCGTCTTATGCTCCCACTGTCAGGATGCAGGATGTTGTGGCAAAAGACTTGCACTGAGAACAGACAGATAGAGGGCCAGCCACAGGGAATGTACCACACTTCCAGAGGTCCAGAAATTGTCACACTGCCCGAAAGGTAGACTATTGCAAGGCCTTATGATTCAGGAGCTCCAGGTGAAAGCGGATAATGGTCCTCGCATGACGGCGGGATGGCCGGGTTGGGCTGGCCGTAGACCCAGGGCAGAGATGGGCTGCTCATGTCGCAGTTGATGGAAGACATCTCGGCATGCCTGCGGTACCTTCGGCAGCGACAGTCGTTCCATTGAGGATAGCAAGAACCGCTTTTTCATCCCCAGGCCAGCGACTCGAGAGCCCTGATGGTTGGTCCGGGCTGGCTACCATGCCGGCTTGCCATCCCCGCCGCAAGCCCGACAGAGGACAAGGGCTTCTCTTCCGGGTTTGGCGACGCAGGACTGTAAGAAGCCGTCGACCCTTCGGTTCCAGGAGGCGTGGCAGGTCCTGCGAGTGACTGAGCGGCCACATTCGATCTGCCTGGACACGCCGTGGGCCGCTTCCGGGAGATGCGACGGCCTTGAGGACTCGGCAGACTTGGTTGTGCTGGTGGGAGACGGTAGACGTTTTGATGACTTGGGGCCAGACAAAAGCCGCCTGAGAGATATGGTCACCGGAGGACGACGGTTGACAGTAGAAGGCGATGTCGTGCTCAGGTTCGGCGGGGCTTGAATGACGATGCGAGATGATGGCAGCCCGGGGCAAATCTGCAACTAAGTAGCCTAGCCGCTGACACGCGGGGACTACTCTTGCCTACCTACGGTCGAAGCGGTAGCAGGAGGAATATGTGTTGAAAGCCGTGGCACCGTCACCTGTAAATGACTCCTCCGGGGATTGTTGCGCTGTTGTTCTTACACTAGGCATGACGGTAGCAGAGGCCTCTTCTTCAACTCACCCCGTGTCAATCCGCCAGCTATGCTCGACTCCTGAAAACAAATGATACCCTCTTCTCTGTGTTGCTTCATTTTCATATACATAAAACACTGACCCAGCGCGACACACTCACCCGCCTTCACGACACGTACGACGTGGGTTGGGGCGCACCGTCCCCCCAGATGCCCACAACAGCCATGGCAAATCCAAGCGCCGCAAGGCCCGTCCGGACCACGTAGCCCCTGGCAAGACTCTCCACCTCGACCCTGACCTCCTCACCATTCATGTCGTCAATCTCTTCCTCGCTCGCGGCCTCGCTGTGCACATCGCCAAGAACCTCGTAGCTCGCCTCCATCCTGCCGCGAGCAGATGCTTTCTTGGCGGCTGGCTTGGTGGCGGCACGCGGCCCAGGGCTGGGTAGAAGACGAGGCGCAGCCGTGGAGAGAACGGCGAGGAGCGAGGTGTAGACGAGGTACGGGTGGCGGGCGGAGCGAGGAGAGAGGACGAAGGAGAGGAAGAGAGGGGCCGAGGCGAGGGCCGTGAGGGCGTAGATGGGCGTTTTCAGGCTGTTCCGTAGCGACGTCACGGCTTGGGACGCGGAGACGGACGAGGACAGCTGGAGGAGGCTCGGCAGCGTGAGGGTTGAGACGGTGTAAGAGACGCCCTGGACGATTGCATGGTCAGCCGACATGCACCTCTCGCTGCCCACACTGTCCAAGCGCAGGTTACGAGTAGCTCTCGGGAGATGGGGACGAACCGTCAGCAGGCCGAGGGACACGGTGCCCACAAACTTGAGGAGCCCAACCGCCCTTGCGCCGGCGCACACCATGGCTGCTGCTGCTGCTGCTTTGGTGCTTCGGATGATGATGCCGCGGCTGTCGCTGCTGCTCGCAAAGCTCGATCGAAGGGGGTGTTGGATTGCACGCCAGGTCACGCAGAGTTCAAAGAGTGCGAGTCTCGACGATGGGGAGAGAGCGAGGAGGAGGGGAGGGTGAGGGGAGAGAGCGCTGGGCCGCTGCAGTGGAGCCTTCGACGTCAAAGAAGGCGGGTGAGCTGGCGCCGTCGCCATTGGCCCGCGACAGACCCACCGTGGCTTAGCTCATCCGACGAGGGCCCGACTTATCGTGACACCTCTTATCGCTCTCTTTTCATGCCCTCGCTTCTTCTCAAATTTTCCTCTTCCTTCACCCTCTACACCTCCATGATAGCCAAACAGCAAAAAAAACACGCACATCAACTGTGAGTTGCCCCTCTTCCCTTCCTTAGCTCAGTTGTCACCCTCCAATCTCGCATGATGAATCATTTTTCTACAACCCCAAAGAAAATCACAGGAAGAGCCGTCTTAGACGCCCCTCGGGCAACTTCCCGCGCAGCCCCGGCCGTCGACTTCTGCCCCGGTAGATTTCGGCACCGGTAGCTGTGCGGTGCCCCTTGGCTTGCCTTCGACTAGGACTCCGGCCCCGGGTCGATCCCGTCGCCGACACCGGGTGTCTGCATCGTCATATGCATCGACACTCCGGGGTGACAGAGGATCCCCGGGTGCTGGCCTGTCGAGGGCGGTGAGGGGAGTGGTGCTTATAAAGCGGGTTTCTGATATTGAGATTATGTTGGCGACACTTTGCCTTTTAGCCCTGGTGCTAGGTGCCACATCAGATGCGAACCTGAACTAAGTGCTGACTTGGACAAGAATCTTCTAGGTCTCCCGGCTTGCGCAAGAGAGCTCCGGCTTCACGTGGATGTGTCCCTCAGTCGGCCCATGTGCCTGCAACTAGCTCAGCACTGAAAAATATACCTCCCGATTCCTTTGACCATGATCGAGTTACCCCCTGCGCCCTCACGCTTGCTCTAAAACGCCATTGAAACACGTGTAGCCAAGCCAGTCAGTAGTCATGTATTTACTCGTCGCTGTCGCTTTCCACCAGTCGCCGGCGAACTCGAGCCGCTCTTCTCGCTTGACCGTCCCTCGGCTCTGGTTCTGACCCATCGCTCCGATTGCCTCGCTTGGACGCTTGCGGTGTGCCAACCAGCTCTGCTAGGTCAGGAATGTCCTCGCTTTCCTGGGTTGCAGGAAACCGGGAAGGCACAAAGAACGGCTTGTCTGCCCGACCTCGAGGGGTGCTCCGGCTAGTAGCGGATATGGGAGACGTGGCTTGCGAATCCAGTATACTCGATGTCGCCTGATTGTCCCCCACAACAAAGTCCAGCAGATCTGCTCCCGAGTCGGAATCGCTACTCGCCATGATATCACTGTCCCGTTCGCAGTCGTCTCCCACCTCATCGCTGTTGATGCCTCTCGCCCTCTTCCGCCGTCCCCCTTGTGACCTACCTTTTGGCTTTCGGCCTCGCCCGGGTTGGCTCTTGTGGCGTTTGGAAACCATCTCTTCTTCCCCCTCGGAGCCCATCTGTTCTGATTCCGGGGAGGCTGTGACTTGCGACATCTTCCTCTTCCGTTGAGGCTCGTCCCTCTTGCTTCCAAGGACCGAGAATCTCCCCCGGGCAGTTTGCTTCTTGGTCGTAGCGAGTGACTCAACCTTGTCGTCGCTGTCTTCCTCTCCGTCCGAGCGCACAAAGGGCCTGACAGGAATCTCCCGGTAGTTACTCCCGTCCACCTCCCGGCAAGGTCTCACCAATTCGTCAGGGTTCAGACCCATCTTGCCTAGGGCTTTAACGCATCGCCGCGTATGGGTACTGTGCTTTACCTTGACGACTGGCTGTAGTCCCCTTTGCAGGTGCGGATGCGAGACCATGCTAGGCATGTCTGTCTCCTCAACCACGCTATGGTTGAAAGGCAGATCGCGATAGGACCGGTTCAGCTCCTGGAGGTCCTCGCTGGTGAGCACCACCTTCTCCAAACCGGGCACATCGGCAACATTGTCAAGTTCTGCATCTCGCCGCCGCTTCGCCGCGCCTGCCTTTGGCGCCTGCTTCATCAAGTGCGCCACCGATTGAAAGCCTGTCTCCACGCCGTCGGGCATATGGAACTTCTTTGGCGGTTTCTTCTTGCCCGGTGGCGCGCGGCGCTTCTTGGGCTCCGGCAAGGACTGGTCCTGGGAGTTTTCCACCGGAATATCCACATGTCGCTTATCCACCTCCGGGCGGGCATCTCTTGGAACAATGCGCGTCGAGAGATCGAAGCGAAAGTTGAACCGGCTGCCCTCGCAGATGAGGCTTTGCATCTTCTCGTAACTGTCCTTGGACTTGGCAAACTGGTCTTCCTCCTTTCCCCTCATCAGGAGAAGAGTGATGTTGCCCGCTCGTTTTCGACCAGTTCGTCCCATCCGCTGCAGCATCCGAATCGGTGACGCGGATGCGTCATAGCAGACGATGAGGTCGACCTGCCCAATGTCCAAACCCTCTTCGCCGATCGAGGTGGCAACGAGGACATTGAAGTCTCCCTTCTTGAATCTGTCAATGGTCTGGATCTGCTGTGCCTGTTTCATGCCTTCACCGCGCTTGCCATCCGCCTGCCCGACAAAGACACTAGCTTTGATGAGTGGCCGATGCTTGTTGAGTATCCGCACGATGTCCTCTGCTGAGTCGCGATACTCGCTGAATACAATGACGCGCGTCGCTGAGCCTTCGCCCTTGTCCATGAAATGGTTCAGGACGACGTCTGCCAAAGCCGTCAACTTGGGGTGGCCAACGAAGCCGTCCATTTTAAGCCACATTGAGACCTTGTTCATCATTTCTTGGAAGCTGGGGTGCTCGACGAGCTGGCGCTTGTACTTCGATCCCTTCTCCCCTCTGCCCTCCTGTTCACTGCGAAAGTCGACCATGTTGTCGTAAAATGGCTTGATGCCGTGGAAGTTGAGGAGTTTAATAGAGTGGGCGAGGCCGGTCAGGACGCTGAAGATGGCTCGCATCATGAACTGGACGCCCTGGTTCACGTGCTGCCCCCGCGTGGCAAACCATTCCTTCTGCGCTTGCATCAAGCCGTACGCCGTCAGTGCCATGGGATTTCGCCCGTAGTAGATGTTCTGCGAGCCCAACTTGTCCACGAGCGGCTTGAGCGCCTCTGTGAACAACTCACAAACCAGGTTCATTTCATCCGAGGGGTCGAGGACCATGGGATCGATGTTCCTTTGATGCACGTATTGCCGGATATCGATGGAGTCCTCGGTCCGGATTTCGCAGTGAGATATGCCTAGGTTGTCGATGACCTCTTGCACGGTCTCAATCTTGGACCCCGGCGTCGCGGTCAGGGCCAAAACACGGAAGCTCTTTGAGAAACGACGGATGAGCTTGGTCACCTTTGCGTATGCATACTCTCCCACGGCGCGATGCGCCTCGTCGACGACTAAAAGCGCTATACTCTTCGGGTCGGCGTAGCCATGGGAAAGATCGTTGAGTAGAGTCTGCGGTGTCATGAAGAAGACACGCTTCGTCGCCCATTCGTCCACGCGCAACGCCGGCGGGATATCGCCTGTCAGGAGCGTCGTCTGGGAGCGGGGAATCCCCGCAATGTTGTAGCAGGCATCAACCTGCTGTGCCACGAGAGGCTTGGTTGGGGCCACGAAGACCAATTTGGCTGACTTTGTCCATCTGTAAAAGTTCAACATGACCGTGGCCGCGATAAAGGTCTTGCCCAGTCCTGTTGGCAACGCCACGAGCGTGTTGTTGAACAAGCTGTTCTTTACGATGCTGAACTGGTAGTCCCGAATGGCGCCAAGATTCGTTGGATAAACCCAGGTCTTCATGGCTTCTGGGTCGAGTTCATGATGGCTTGGCTCCTCTCGCGGTAGGTCGGCTCGAAAGACACGCGAAGTCGTCGACACGGGCTGCTGGGAAGGTTCCTGAGTGACTTCGGTACCCCACAGGGTCGTTTGTCGGTAAGTTGAAGAATCAACGCGCTTGAAGCCCCTATTTCTGGCCGGACGATTTGATCCTTGTATTTCCGGGGCCGCATTCCGCGAACGCTGCTCAACGGGTTCCGGCGATGAGAATGCATCGGATGGCAAATCTTGAAGCTCCGATGCCGCAGCGGACGCGGCGGCTTGCGGGAAGGCAGGTCTTTGGTATCTCTTTGAGGTGTTCAAGGCCGGTGAGGGAGCGAGCCTCCCCCCACGAGACGACGATACCTGCTCAAAGGCCGTGAGAAAGTCCTCGTCCGCGATATCATCATCAAATTCGTCGGCTTCCATGGCTGCAGCGTGTTGGGTGTTTTGGCTGGTGAGAAGCGTAGAAGCCGGCTTTCCCCGGAGCTCGCCCCTCACGTTAGTGTCATGCCGGAGTCTTGCGGCAGTGGTGCTGTGAGGCTGCTTGCTCTGCAATGAGTGCAGTGGCGATGCATGTCGAGCGCGACTTGAGACGCGAAGCTGATGCCGTGTCACGTGAGGTAATATACATGCATTGGTCTGGCGCAGCCCAGTCGATTAGTACCTACAGTACCTACCTTAGGTAGGTAGGTGGTAATGGGTTCCAAGTCGATACGATACGTACAGTACCCATTTGCCGGAACTGACAGTGACTCTACAGATGCACGGATGCAGAACATCAGATGAAGTCCATCTCCGCTCAAAACAAGGAGCTTGTTTCTCCCAACGTGTAGCTTGTTTGTTCGTCGGTGAACTGCCTTTTTAAGTGACCTACCTCAAGCGCCTCGGCTATCCCGAGGGGATAGTTATTATTATTATTATTATTGTATTTTCCGTCCAGCGACCTTTAGGTCGCTCAGGTCCCCGAGACGGGGCACAGGACGTGCTGAGCTGCTGGAAGTCTACTATCGCGGAGTAGGCCCACAATACGCGAAACGAAACGAGTACCAATCCGCGTCTTCTGCCCTTCCACAGAACGTAAACAATCCACCATTCAGCATTTCATCGGCTCAAAGGCGCTTCTTTGCTCAGCCTGCTGCCCGTCAGCGGGACGTTCAGGCGCGACAGCCATGTCTTTCGTTTTGGCCTCACAGGGCCGGTTCCGGAGAGCACCTCCGCCCGGCCGAGTCGGGTAAGAGAAAATGGGTGTGTGCAAACAAAGGGGAAGGGAAGGAGGGAAAGCGGTTGCTGCCGCCTAGTGGCGAGGGCAGATCGTTCCAAAGAACGAGCTTGCCTTCGCCACCTTGACGAACTGGTCGAAGTCTCTGCCTATTGCTCGGTTGACCGCCGCGCTCGGTGAGGGTGCCAACCTCATCCGATGTCGCGGCGCGATCTTCCGGCAATAGAAGAGATGCTTTGGTTCTTTTCGTCGACCACATGAGCACGTCAGTCGCGCATCGTCGTGGTTCAACCTTTCGTGGTAATCAGCGAAGTCCCGTGGTGGGTTCTTGCTGCGAGCAGATGGTGGAGCAGAGGTCGTGGAATGGTAAGTTCTGGCGGGCAGCCAGTCGTGGCATCGAGGTCGAGGACCCTGTACTGTTGGGGTGCAGAAACTTCCCACCAGGCTTTGAATGCGTCTTTTGGTCGCTGCCTAGCGACCTTGCGCAGATATGCCAGCGTCGGGAGAGCGTCTGCAGGCTCGGGTTGAGAGGTTCCTGCCTTTGCTAAGGCGTCTGCCTGCTCGTTACCTGGGATGTTGGTGTGGCCGGGGATCCAGCGGATCTCAGTGGCACCATGTTCTGCGGCCAAGGCCTGGAATTCCAGGAACTCCTTCTGGGAGGAATCTGACGGCATGCCTTGAAGACACGTCGCGACCGCGAGGTTATCGAGGCATACGACAATCTGGTCTGCAGCCGGGAGGCTCAACGCAGCACGCAGACCTCTAGGAGCCTCTCGCCTCGGCATCAAAGACCTCAGCAAGCCCAAGACGGCCGTTACCGCTGAGGACGGTGAGTCCATCCTGATGTACCGCATAGCCGTACCCCGCGGCTCCTCCGGGGAGAGGGATCCGTCCGAGTAGACGATTGCTGTCCGTGGAGCAACTGATTGGAGCCACTCGCCGAAGTTTGCCGCCGATTCTTCTTTCGGCGCAGTTTGCAAGGGTCCACGCTGGTCGCTGGCGAACCTACGTGCGAGAAGGTCTGGCCTGGCGCACCTTGGGAGCAGCTCGTCAGTGCGACGCAGTCTGGTCCGGAAAGGTTGTCGTGGACGCTGGTATTTTAACTTAATGGCCCTGTTGATGACAGGGCCCGGATCGGCTTCGTTCGCACCGCAAGCGGGTGCGCTTCGTCGAGGACTTGAGACGGGCTGCGAAGCGCGTTCGACACGCCTGGAGCAGGTGCGAAACTGGCGGTATGCCCGCCTCCCGGTGCCTGGCGCTGAGCGGCGTCGTCTTCCAGACCGGGAGGATGGCTCGCATGGCCGTGTTGAGCGACTTGTCCATCCGCCGGATGAGGTGCCGTATTCTTGATGGCCCTTCCTTTGCCGGCTTATTCCATCGCGGGCAGGTCATGCCCGGGTACCACGCCTCTGCCCCAAAGAACAATTGCGGCTCGATGCAGGCGCGGATCCCGAGGGGATAGAAAGAGGGAAAGATCTGGCTATAGGGTAGGCAAGAGGCGCTGCAGATCCCTGCCCTGCCCTGCAGTGCAGCCTTGTCGACATGGCAGTCTGGCACCCAAAAAAGTGGGGCGTCCGGCAAACGTCACTTCACGTCCTCACTTCTTTGTTCGTGTGCAAACCTTTTTCCTCCCTCACCAACACGCCCACATTCATTCACACACATACGCGCGCGAAGACTGGCGGAAGTGCCAAGCTCCTGCGTGCCGCCTTCGCTGTCTATGCTGGCGGGCGCCGGCGCGAGAGCTTCGCCCATATCGACTGCAACCTTGGCAGCTGCGTGCGATCAGAATCCACAGCTCGTTGCGGCGACAGAGTCCCCCGTCCGGCGCTGAGCTCTCATTTCTCGACAGTGACTCTTCTCGTCAAGGCTCACTCTTGCGAGGAGCGCCTTGTCCCGATTTCTCATAACTTCCCGATCGAGTCGCCCGCCGAACGCACATATCCGGAGAGGCACTCAGCGAACACCTGCGCCTATACCTACACCCACCAACAGACATCATCACCGAAAAAAACCACCACAGACCTACGCGCAACCACTCTGTGCGGTCTGGACCGGGCGCTTACCCAGGCACGTGTGCCAACCCACTCATCCACATCCTACGCCGTCCACGAAACGGTCATTCGTCTGCCTGACGATACTACGAAACAACATGGCTCCTCGCGGAAGATCATCTAGAGCCCGAGAGCCTCGAGGCTCAGGCCGAGCCGGCACAAGAGGGGGTGTCACGAAGCGCAAGGCGTCTGCAAGGATTGACGGCGATGGAGACCTGGACATGGATGCAACGAGCAAGCGGCCCAACAGAGCAGGGAACATGGACTTCAGCGGACCGAGAAGCAGGACAACTCCGCGATCGTTGCCTCCCCAGGTTCAAAGGAATCCCCGCGGTGGGTCGAGGACGGCTCAAACCGTCTTAAAGCATCTGAGGAGTGGCGATGGCTCCCTCGCTTCTCGCCTCTCAGATTCGACCGTCGGCAGGAGAAGGGGCAGAGGAGGCGGTCTGACGTTCCTACGTGTTCGCGGCCTGAGACAAAGCAAAGCTGCGGCCAACCAAGACGGAGGTCTGGGCGACCTGCTCAGCTTTCTGGAGCGAAAAGCATCTTCATTCACCACAGGAGGTCAAGCCCGGCAGGTCATGATAAAAAAGGTGAGTTGCAGCATCGACGCGCTTCCGGGATGTCGACGTGTCGTCTGCCATATAATCATTAGCGGCCCTGCCGCAAACCAGGACACTGTTGTGCCTCGGAACCCGCGTCTGACGTCATGGATCTACCTGGAATCCCTTCCCAACCCTCCCAATCTCGGTCATTTGCTGACGGCGGCAGTCTCACGCGGTGGGCGATTATGTCTTCATCGGAGCGACCAAGGAAGACGCGGAGGAGCTCATCAAACTCAACACCTTCACCTTTGCCAGCGCACAGCTGGAGATTGTCGAATCGGATGAGGACCTCGGGCACCAGAGCAAGGTCACCGAGTCCAAGGAGACACAGGAACTACGCGCAAAACTTCAGACGATTCTGAGCCAACGGTATCTGAGTGCCAACAAATTGCTGAAGCTTGATGCCCTCGCAACCGACGCGCAGCTTGTCGATCTCGGCATGTTCGAGAACCGAGAGAGAGCCCTCAAGACGTTCAAAGGACTCATGGTGATTTGCGACGGCCTCTTTCGAACGATGGCGGAGAAGAACAAAGCCATTGAGAGCATTAGCCTTGCCAGCAACAGCATCGACGATGTCTCCCAAGTCGAGTCGGTGGCAACCACCTTCCCACAGCTCAAGAACCTCGACATGAGTGGCAACCAGATTGGCAACTTGCAAGCGCTAGAGCGCTGGAAAGGCAAGTTCAAAGACCTCGAAACTCTCTACATGACTGGAAATCCGATCGAGGCCACGGAACCCAACTACCAGGCGACACTTCTGGAGTGGTTTCCCAAACTGCAGAACATCAATGGGACACATGTCCGGACTGCCGAGCAAATCGAACAGCAAGCTGCGGCCTCCAGGCCAAAGCCGATCCCTCAAAGCGGACCTGATTTTCGCGACGTCAACGGAATCGGCGAGAACTTTCTTCTCGAGTTCTTCACATCTTTTGACCAGGACCGGCAAGCCCTGGCCTCCCGGCTCTACGACGAGAGCAGCCAGTTCTCCATAGCCGTGGATGCACGATCCGTCAGAGACTCGGACGCACCGGCGCCGTTGCCGTGGTCGTCGTACATCAAGGTGTCACGGAACTTGATCAAAATTACCCATCAGAACGCCCGGATGCAGCGCCTCTTCCGGGGCGCCAACATCATCCAGGATATCTGGAAGGGCCTGCCTCTGACCAAGCACCCCAACATCAAGGAGGACCTGAGCAAGTACATCATGGACTGCCACCCCCTGCCCGGCCTTGCGGATCCCAACGGACAGATTCGCGTGGGCGTAGACGGCTTGATTGTCTCGGTTCACGGAGAATTTGAGGAGTACGACCAGAAGACTGGAGACGGGGGCAAGCGAAGCTTCTCACGCACCTTTGTCCTCGGACCCGGCCAGCCAGGCAATGGCCCAATCCGGGTGGTGAGCGACATGCTGTCGCTGAGAGCCTACAACCCTCTTCCGAATGTGTTTGCGCCACCGGCAGAAGGCGCTGCGACTGCAAACGACCCTCGCCAAGCCATGATTACCGAGCTGTCGAAGCTGACGGGCATGGTGCCTGAGTACTGTGAAATGTGTCTGTCGCAAGTGGAATGGCAATTCGACAAGGCCATTGCCATCTTCCATGAGAAAAAGGTTAGTTTTCGGCACCTCCACGGCTGGATCTGCACTGTCCACTGACAAATGACGACAGGCCGAACTACCCGCCGAAGCTTTTTCTTCGGTTCCCCAGTAGAGGCGGCTAGGAACTGCAGTCCGGGGCTGGCGTCAACGTACGACACGCGCGAGCAGCAGGGAGGAAGACAATTGAGGGGCCAGGAAGAAAAGGCTGGGGATGGCGGGAAGGAGGCCTAGCGATGACGCCCGATGAGATTGGAGTTGTGGAGCTGAGTAGTTGCGATATGTTATGGCACAAGTGCTGATGGCCAAGGGAAATTGGCCGGACGGCATACAGTTGTACAGGGGCTGGTGGCTTGCGGCTGATGGCCCTGTTCTCGACAGCCATTGGGGCAAGGATGGCTGCGGATGGTTGCTCAATGCGATTGCACGCCCTTGAGACGAGGTCAAGCAGGGAATCAGAGAGGCGGAGGGGAATGTTTAGATAGCCCGCAAGGGGACGAATCAAATGTGCAACCAGGATCTACAGTTGAGGAGTGAAGCGCCGGAGATGCCCACGTGCTCGAGCCGGTCTGCAGTGTGTGGCGTGTGGTCGGGACACGAGGGTGACGACGATGTGGTTGGGCAGATGGAACGATGAGGCTGAAGAGGAGCCCGAGCCAATGAGGGAGGGAATTGGGAGTCGAGAGGCGCTTGGAGGTGGTTCGACTTCTCCCTCGAGTGACAAAGTCGAGATTAGATTGTCGCACGCTTCGGTGATGTGCAGCCCGCAGGATTCTGATAGGCCAATTGATGGAGGGAGGGCAGGAGGGCGATTGGGTCTCAAGAAGGGTGCGGGGATGTGTCTTCCAGAGTCGACCGGGAGGTTCCAAAGGGCGATTGGCGGGAGGAAGCGTTGGGCACTTTGTAGCGCATACGGCCCTGTCTGGCTGGTACGATACCCGTTGGCTGGCTGGGCCCTCTGCGAGAGCACTAATTAATACAGCACTAAGTTGGCACCTGGCACCCAGAGGGGCCCAGCCAACGGGTCCGTACCCTGAAAATGGCGCCTGCCCCTTTGGTGGACACGATGACCTCATCGTCGCCGGCCCCTTTTCGCCTCTCCCGTACTCGGACCTGGCTTCGCCGAGCAATGGCCGGAGCCCGCCGCGGACAGGCGGGCAAGAAAAAAGCGTGAAGAGGCAAAAGAAGAAAAGGCTCACCTAGCTAGCTACCTAGCTACGAGTCACGGCGGGATCTGCGTACTCGGCAAATGCGGCGGGCTTGCCGCTCGGGTTCGTCACTCGCTTGCTCAGCGCATAAACGGGAAACGAAGTAGGGCAAAACTGGCATTGTCATGCTGTTCAAGTCTCGCACTGCAGGGGGCCATGACACAGCCGTATGTAAGGATAGCTGGTGTACTGTACGGTACTGCACGGTACTGTACGAGCAGAGACACAGAAGTGCATCAACGGCACGGCCAATGGGGTAGCTCACAGCAATCAGGGAACTCGTGCAACCCCGTTTACACGGGATACGTGTAGAACAATGGCCATGCAATGAGCATGGCGGCACACGATGTCCAAGGCTTCTGGACGCATAAGCTTGTTCAAAAGATTATTAGTGCATCTAACCTTTGCTCCGCAGCAATCGCCCGGTCCGTCATGCCACTGCCTCGGGTTCGGCCCCAGACTTCCATTGTGGGATGATGAGGAATCGCGATAAAAAAGAGGCCATTGCTGGATTAGTTGCAATGCACTCTGGCCATACGCCGTAAGCTTTGATTCATGCGCCGCGTCATTTTCGGGCACAGCATGATTCACGCAAAGCCAACAACGAGTCCTTTTCTCACGGATCAAGTGCCCCAGACTTTTCCGTCCCTAATGTACAGAAGCCTTGGGCCCAACGGTAATCATCCCGTCTCTAATCATCCCGTCCCTACCTCGGGACCTTGTCTGGGCAAAAGGAGAGTCAAATTGACATCATGGGAGGCATCGTCGGATAACGTGCTATTGTGGGGAAAAGGGGGCACAGGCGCACGCACAGGTGGGATGGCGCGTTTCAGCATGGGCGCAGCTGGTGGGGGCGGCCAGGCCTCTTTCGGGCGGGCCCCGGGACAAACTGGTGGGTGGTGACTAGACAAGGGGCGACGCATCGCAATTTCTTCCTGCGTCGTCGTCCTAGGGTGATTTTGCTGTCTGGCTGTCAAGCGCGCCATGAAGCTTCTTCGCCTCTGTTGTTCTTCTCAAGTGTGCATTAACATTTGGATGCAGTTGACGTGCTGTCTCGGGCCTCTCGGTACTTGCGGCTTGGCGTGCCGTCCGCGGCCCGAGCGAGGGAGCCAGACAGATGGACGGGAACAGGAGGAGGAGCTGTGCCGCAATGATACAGCACAGTACAGTAGATACAGTACGAACACCGCAGGCCGCAATACTACTAGTAGGTACTAAGGCACTACCTACCTACAGTAGTGCACCTACAGTATAGTACTAGTAGTGCTGCGCCGTCCGTTGGCTGCCGAAGCAGGTTCAGCCAGAGGCACAATGCTCCGAGGGAAAAGTCTAGGTCAGACAATCAATCAATGCAGTGTTATTCCTGTCGCAGGCGTCGCTCCGAGTAGATATCCGCACAGCAGAGCGCATGCACACCTGCAGCGCCCAAGAGGCACAACGTTCAGTGGGCTATTGTTGTGTTCGGGCGCTTCCCACCACCCGGGCTCTACTACCAGTCGGTAGCAGTACGGCTGGTACGGAGTAGTAGTTAGTACCTGGGGCTCTACAGTTTTTGTGCAGACACAAGGCATTGTTCGCCATTGGCACAATCATTTACTTCCACGTCTGCCCACAATCTCACCTTGCAGAGACACTCAAACAAACTCGAGTGGGTGTGCCGTCGTCGACAAACACAACAGTGATAGGCTCATCAGACGATCCCCCTTTCCCGCCACCCTGTCACAGACGGGTAGCGCCAAGAACTGGTGGATTGTACCTTGCGTCGACGGGGAACCCGCCCTATGGGGCACCGCCGCACTAGAATGCGAGGTAGCGCGTCGTCATGCGGGACCTGCCCGTCAGCGCCCCGAAAGGAACGTTGCCGACGCGCCCTGACTGGCAAGTCGCTGCAATGCGCTCCTGACGGAATACGATCCAGAAGGAAGTGCCTTAAAATACCAACCTACCTACCTTAACCTAGGTAGGTACAGTACCTATACACAGGTGCATACGGTGGCCTCGTACAAGACAGCGGCAGCGGAAACGAAGCAGGGCAGCCACCAAGTAAAGAGGTACCTAAGGTAGATACCAGGTACCTTGGGCAAGTGCAGTACAAACCCCCCTCTGGCCAACAAACAAAGCCCAAAACCTCACCCCGCATTTACCTACCTGCCGGTACTTCTTCTCCAGATGGCCTCTCCTCGCTGTCGATGGGGCAAAGCCGCCTTTGACATACCTACATACTGTAAATACGTACATACATACATTCATCAATTCCATCTTCTCTGGGCTTCGCGGGCCCCGTGCCTCTACCCAACGCCCATGCACGTAGGTACATGCGGGCTCGTGCATTACGACGGTGCCGTTGGGTTGTCGTGATTGGCTCCAGCAGTAGGGAGTACGTGCCTCCTCCCTGGCGCGTCCTGATCCCCCCCGTACCGGGTACATGCTTGCGCACACCCAGCGCCCTAGCCGTACCGTGTCGCGTCATGCCCGAGTGCACGGTGCACAGCCCGTGCCTGCGGGCCACGGTCTGCTTGGGAGGCCCCTGCTCGCTCTGCTGCTACGGTCAGGTACGGCACCGCGCACAGTGCCCCTGGTCCCCTCGCTCGGACTCGCTCCACCCCCCACCGCGCCCACCGTCCATGTTCCCTGTACCGGGACAGGGACTGCTGCACACCTCACCCGCTCACACCACGGCACTGCCTCTTCCGCCGTCCCTCGTCGCTTCTCCCTGCCTTCTGTCCTCCACCCTCTCGCTCCCCCACGGGCCAGTCCTGCTCGCTGCCATTTGGACATTTCCGCCTCGACTGACGAATTCATCACGCCCTTTCCTTTGAACTCTTTGCTTTGGCTTCGCATGCGAACCTTGTCTGGTACGACAAGACCGTTGTTATTGTTGTTGTCTCTCCTGAGACGACTCATCCGCATTTTCGATTCGACATTGACGACGACTACCATTGTCAGACTGGTCTTGCCAATACGTCCTTCCTTCGTCTCACGCCGCCAGAGCCACAGCCGTCTTCTCCACGCCCTCTTCCTTTGACCAACTCGATGCCTTTACCCATCTCGCTTGCTGCTTGATCGCGCCTGGACATTTTCGACCTACACGCTTGCCCCCAGAGTGTCTAGCACTTTGCCTGTTGATTTCCCACTCTTCGACAACAGCTTCGACCTTGACCAGGGACCAGACGATTTGATTATATTTCGCCAGACAGACCTCTGCGCTCGGGGCTCATTGGGCCCTTACTTGTCCGCCTTGATTTTGCGTCGTTGCTTCCACAGCTACTTTGACCGCCACTCACTTGGACTGATTGCACGCGCGTGCGCACCACAGCCAACCGACATTACGCCACACATCTATCTAATCGACGAATACCGCCTGCCTCGCAACGACCCTCCCAGGCATAATCAGCGATCCAATTCGGCCCGTCCACGATTCGTGATCCTGCGTCGTCCCAAACACCAGACACGCCTTGCCTGTTGTCGCGTTTCGACCACGGCCATGTCATGAACAGCCCAACACAGGCACTCGTGTCCATTTGATCCCGAGGTATACTGCACTTCGCTCCCTTGCCCCTGGCACTGGGAGAAGCTGCAAATATGCCGGTCCCGAAGCCCCCCGCTTCGCTGGACAACTCATGCTTGGTAATTCACGACAAAACGCTGTACTCTTACTCCCCCGAAGCATTCCTGTCCATCCCCCTGGAAAACGATGCACAATGGAAAAAACTCAAAATGGGCGTCAAGGTGACCGGTTCAACGTGCATGGGGTCGACACCGCCAGATGCCAGCCAGGCTGGCTTTTACGTGGTCGGTGGGAAAGGAGGTCCCGACGACTTCTCGGGCCTGCAAAAATACACGTACTCGACCGGCGAGTGGACCACCATCAAGCTCGCCGACCAGGTCACAAAGAATAGACAGGGGCACGCAGCCACCTACATCAAGGCCAATGATGCCCTTGTTATGTACGCCGGCAACCAAGACGACAGCCACGGCCCCTCCTCGCAGACATTTACCATCCAGGCATCCGAACCATTCGCCGTTCAAGGACACGAATCGAGCGCTCCACCCGCCGTGTCGCCCCTGATGTTCAGCTGGTCAGACGCCGACGCCGCCATGATTGCCGGAGGCGGCGATGCGCAAGGTACCAAAGTTTGGCTCTTCAACCCTGCCGCCCGCTGGAGAGACTCTGGCGCGAGCTTAAAACTGCCCCTTGAGGACACGACTTCCAAGCGACTCGCTCTCCACACCGCAGAGGACGGGTCCAAGTCTGTCTACGTGTTTAACATCAATGAATCCCCCATTACTGTTGATCGAATTCCTGTACAGGATGAGAATGGTGATCCAATCCACGACTCGTCTCCAGTCGCCAGGCGAAGCTTGGACGAGGCTGCAGCGCAATCAAAACGCCTCTTGGCGCGGAACAACTGGCCCAAGTACAACTCGACTTTTGCGCCCGAGAGCATGGGACCGGACGTCGTCATGACATCAGGCCCCGACGGCTTGATAGCATTCGCGAGCAAGTACAGCCTTGAGTTTTTCGACGCAAAGGACAATAGCTGGATAAACGCCACCGCCATGCTGGGCGAAAAAGAGCGGCAAGTCAAGCTGTTTTCAACGGGCACTATCTCGGCGTCCTCCTCTTCAATAACCTCGTCGTCAACATCGGCCACGTCTTCGATGACCCGGACGACCTCGGGCTCCACAGCGGCGGCGACTAGCTCGAGCGCTGCGACGGGTCAAAACAAGCAAACGTCGGACTTGAGCTCCAATGCCATTCTTGGCATCACCCTGGGCTGCGTCTTGGCCCTGATGGCTCTGCTCGGTCTCTTGCTGTTGGTTCTGCGGCGACGGAAGAGCCGCCGGCAATCTCCAGAAGTTGACGGTGCCGCCGACGAAAAGGACTCGACGGCTTTCGCTCAGAGTGCAATGCCCACCAGATCGGCCGGTCAGTTTCGCGGCCACTATCCGAAGGCGTCTCACGAGTCGTGGTCATCCATGGCCATTCTGATGGGACGCGTGGGCAAAGACAGACCCGGTCTAAGCAGGAGGCTGAGTAACGGCACAAATCGGAGCTCTGTCAGCTCACTGCACAAGATCCTCAAGAGCACCATCAGCAAGCCCATTCCGCAATCGACCACTCATCCGGCCCTCGTCGGGCAGGATGAAAGAAACGTCGCGTTCGCTCCGGACGTGGGTAAGCCGCGGCCGCGGCCTCGGAACCTGCCCGCAGAGGCCAACGACAGCACTCGCAGGAGCTCTGGCTGGAATCGTTACTGGTCTGGCGGAAGCGCGCTCCAGATGCTCGGACTGGGACCTGCAAAGAGGAATACGGCTCTCTCGGATCAGAGTTCTCGTTACTCCGAGGCCGGGAACCCTATCAAGGTCCGCCAAGACTCGGCGACTGTGCCGCCCTTGAACCTGGATGGGCGGCCTGAAGTCAGCAACGTCGTCTCCGGCAGTCCAATGGTGTCGCAATTCGCCAACGACGTGCGCTCGGAAGGCATGACGGGCAAGATTGTACGCCTCGCGTCTCGCGGGTCATCGGGCTACTCGAGTGGCGTACCGGAGAGCGTCAACGAAACTTGGGACCCCGCCGAGGCGGGCAACTGGGGCGCCAACCGAGCGCCGGCAGCCAGTGCCTATGCTCCGAGTTACTACTTTGGAGCCTCGGGCGGCGCCGTTGCCCGGCCGCCGCCTCCCTCGGGCGTGAGCCAGCAACCTCAGCTTGCCATGGCTGCCACGTCGTCTGACATGAGCTGGCTCAACCTCGGAGACCAATCTCGACGGTAGATGATGGCGGGGCCCCCGATGAGATGTCATGATATTCCCCCTTCAACGCGCTCCCCTTTTGCCTCTTGTTTTTGGCTGCCTGGCAGGCTTATACCCCAATTCTTTTCGCGAGGCGGCTTGCTCCCCTCTGCTTTCTGTTTGATGGCGACTGAGCATTGGCTTCTCCCGACTCTGCGAGATTCGGCGAGAGACCGGACTTGACTCGCTTGTGGTGGCGCGCCCCGGACGGCACGATGGTGAAGCAAAGGATTCGTGAATGGTCTGGTTGGACATATTGGACTCATAGTGCGTGCCTTGGGTCCAGGTACCTCTGTTGTACATTCTAGACTCTTGACCTGAGCTTGGTCATTTCTTTCTTTTTCTTCTTCATATTCACCCATCGGGCTGCCTATGCGATACCACGACCATGTCCTGCTGCGGGTAATTTGCTGGATTTTGGGAGAACGGAGTTAATGTGTGGTTACCGGGGGGGGGGGTAGGGTAGTTAAATGCAAGGGGCGGCTGCGGCGACTTGCTCGTGGTGAATAGGCAACCGGTGCTGTAGGTAGGATGAGAAGGAGTAAATACACTAGAAGCCGGCTTCGATGAAGAGGCTGCAACTGTGGAATATGGGGCCAGTGTTTGCCGCTGTGAAGGCGACGAGGAGGAGGAGGAGGATATTGGCGTGGAGTTTGAGGGCAGAGGATGGGATGATAGGTAGTATCGTGGCCCATGACAGGTAGTAGCCCGTCGGGTAATTACGACGGGACGGGTCCACTGAAGGAGGGAGAGGAGGGAGAGTCGGGTGGAATCGTCTAGCTACTATCAGTAATTACTTGTGCGACGGCGCGGTCACACCAGGAGATAGATGCACATGTGTGTAGGCGTATGCAAGGCAGTGGTGCGCGAAGCGGCTCCGAATGGTGGATTGATACGGGGGTGCTTATTGGCTCTGGGAGCCACGGTGGGCAGCTCGGCGTGTATCTGTAAATCTGTATGCTGCAGGTACGGATACGGTTCGGATGTACATATTGTGTGCTGGCGAGTCAGGGCGGTCGGGTCGGTGAGGCGAGAGGGCCGGGCCGGACGGAGGAGGAGCAGGACGATGAGATTGAGGAACAATGATTTTCCAGCAATGTACGACGAGGAGCGGAGGAGGAAGTGGAGTGGGCGGCCAGAGGGCGCATGAAGCTTTTACAGGGCAGGGCAGGGCTCTGTCCGGCTTCGTATGTAATTATGTACCTACCAGGTCAGCATCACTTGGCATCACTTGGCAGAGCAGACAAACAGACAAACGGAGAGAGGGCAAATGCACGCATGTTGAATACTAATTGTGTACGGTACTCGGTCGGCAGCGGGCACTTGTCTCGGGAAAGGGTCTGACCAGCAGGGTCCATAATTAGAGTACCTGCATTACCATTCCCCAACCAAGGCCTTGCTCGCGGTGGGAAGAGGGCAAAGCGTTCTTTGGCCATGGACGGCAGTGGGGACGCAACACTTCTGCTCTGTATGCTGTATGCTGTATGCTGTATGCTGTATGCTGTATGCTCTGGTAGGTACAGTAAGTACCTAAGAAGAGAAGACGGATGAACTCGTCTGCCGCTCGTCCTTACAAAAGTCCGTTTAACAAAAAAGGTGTTTTGCCAAAGCTGGCGGCGGGCAGCCAATTGGAGCCCACTTGCTCCGCCTGACTCGTCCGCCCGCTCCCACCTGCACTCTTTTCTCTTGTCTTCCCCCCTCCCCTCCCTCTCACGTGTTGTGTGTGGTGCTTGTGTGGGTGCGTGTGTGTGTGTGTGTGTGTGTGTGTGTGTGTGTGTGTGTGTCTGTGTTGTATGGGCGCGCGCACCTTTGCTACATCGATCTCTCCTCTCTCTCACTCCCGCGCTACTTCGCTTTGTCTGCCTGCGATGACCTCGTCCGTCTGGTCATTATTGTTGATCACGTCCGTCGACTTGGGATTTATTTCTTGGCGCCAGTGTCTAGCGAATTGATCCTCGTCCGCTGGCAGTGCGCCGCATTGCCTTGGCAGCTACAACCATATCGTCACCCTCGGATTGGCGTCGCATTTCGGAGGGGGATAGGAAGCCGCTTTAGAAATCGAGATCACGGGGCAAAGGAGGGGAAGAGAAAGAGAAAGGAACATTGCGCTGCGATCCGGAACTGGAGCCTCGGTTCGATCTCTGTCGCACCCCTCAGAAACACCTCTCCGGACGACCAACCAGACGACTCGACAGCCCGCGACGACGCCTCTCCCGCCTTCGATCCGCGCCGTGCCCTCTCTCATCCTCAATTCCCGGACCCCCCTCGACGCAGCTGCCCGTTTCTTCCTTCTGTCGCCTCGGTAAGGCGGGGGACCCCCGATCCCCGGTCATCGGACAGTGTGCCGGCCCCCATCCTCCGCCATGTCCTCGTCGGCCGCCTGGCACGGACATGCGGGCCAGCACCCGGCCGGCGGCGACGACGACGACCTCAACCACTTCCTCGACATGGCCGACGGCATGCACTTCGACCTGCACGCCTTCCACGACGCCGCCCCGCCCCAGCCCTCGTCCTTCATGGCCCGCCACCAGCCAGACATTGTCATGCCCGACGCCGCCCACTCCCAGGCAAACCTCTTGGGCCGCCATCACACCCCCGTCATGACCGACGCCTCCATGATGGCCACCCCGGCCCCCGACGCCTCCATACCCAACATCGACGCCCAGATCCAGTACCTGCAGCGCCAGAAGCTTCACCAGCAGCAGCAGCAACGCCAGCTCCACGAGCAGCGCTCCGCCTTCTTCCACCAAAGTCACTCGGTGCCCCCGACGCCCCAGAGCCTCGAGATGCACCCGGCCAGCAGCAGCTTCTTCTCCCAGCCCGATCATGTGCCCCGCCACGCCGTCTACGACCGCGGCTACCACCAGCGCATGACCGAGCAGCAAGATGTAGGCTCCTTGAATCGCTGTCCCCTCCCCCTCGTGCCACTTGCCGGCAAGAGAACGCAAGGAGGCTCGCCGAGGCTGCTTGCTGACCAGTGCTTCCTTGCCACAGATGGCCTTTACGCCCCTCGTGTCCCCGGCCGTGACACCTCTGGATCCCCAGTTTAACGTGGAAAACGCCTTCGCCGTTGCTGCGTCCTACTTCAGCCCCCTCACCTCTCCCGCTCTCCGGGCCCAGCACGATGCACCGTCAGCCTACGACCAGGTCGCGCAGTTCAACGACTCCCCCATCGACATGGACCTGGAGCCCCCCGCCATGAGCGGCCTCGCCATCAACCAAGACCTGTCCAAAAAGGCCAGGAAAAGCAACGCCGCTGCCGCCAAGGCCCGAGGCAAGGCGAGCATCAAGAGCTCACCCATTGCCAAGCCCCAGCGCCGAAGGACGGGCCCCAGCCCGGCCATTGTGTCCCAGTTATTGAGCGAGGTCGAGGGGCGGAACCCGTGGTCCGGGGACCAGGCCCTGCTGCCCATGCCCGCTGCGTTGGCCGATGGTCCTGAGGAGAATGCGTCCGTGTCGCCGGAGAACCTGACCGACATGCCCCCGCCTCCTATACCCAATCGACGCTCCACCAGCAAGTCCCCCTACATCCATCCCCAAAACGGGACCTCGCAGCTGCTCCCGCGTCTATCCTCGACAAGGGACGACGAAGAAGGCGGCCGGCAGCAGCAGCAGCAACCACCACTGCCCCATCCAGCCACACCCGCGTCGCTAATGAAGCTGCCGGCCTCGAGGACGAAGAGACCGCCGGCGACCAGCCCTGAGCAGAAGACGGTGACGGACATGATCGAGTCGCTCGAGCTGCCCGAGGCCGTGACCAGCGGGCCGTTGGCGCCCGTCGACAGTCCGTTTACCTCGCCCGCCCCCTCTGCCGAGCCAGGTTCGGCCGCCAAGGCGCCTGCAACTCAGCCGTTGCCCTCGCCTGGCATCAAATGCCTCGACGGCACGGCGCCGGGCCCGAGCCCGCAGCTGCAGCCCGGCTCATCGGCCCCGAGCGCGAAAAAGACGCCTCAGCTGGCGTCCCGCAACCGGAAGCGGTCGACGGGGTCGATGCATGCTTCGCCCGCGCTTCTTCCCCGGATATCGCCTAACATAAAGCCGCTGCTCCCAGGCACGCCGGGTCTATCGGCAGCAGAAGACACGGCGTCACGGCTGCTGATGTCCAAGTCCAACTACCAGAACATCCTGGAAGGCAACACGGTGCCGGGCGTGTCGTACCCCAGCGAGCTGTCGACCAACCTGACATCGAAGCGGACATCGCACAAGATCGCGGAGCAAGGGCGGCGCAACCGCATTAACATGGCGCTGCAGGTCATGGCCGGCCTCCTCCCCGACCAGCAAGAGGCCGAGGTCGGGGAGGAGGCGGAGAGGAAGGACGGGGGCAAGCTGGGCAACGTGCCCAACAGCAAGGCCAGCGTGGTGGAAAACGCCATTGTGCACATGCAGAAGCTGCAGAAGGAGAATGGCGATCTAAAGCAGCAAGTCCAAGAGCTCAAGGATCAGTTGAAAAGGATCAAGGAGTCACCAACAGACTCTTGAGCGACACCGAGCACATAGCCGGGACAGGGGCATTGTTGCAGAGGAGGAGGAGGAGGAGGAGGAGGAGGAGGAGGAGCATGGCCGGTGTTGTGGCCTGTTTTTACGCTGTTTACGAGAGGCGGCTGGTACGGTGGAGAGAGCAGGGGCGAAAGGGAGAGGCAAGATGGGACGGGGGGGGGGAGGGGGCGTTTTGGATGGCTGGACAAGTGGCGACGACGATGCATGGATGAATGCGGGAAGGGACCTTGATTTGAGCGGCGACTGGGCCTCGACACGGACGGGCGCGTAGTGTAGACGGCGCCCTTGTTGCTAGACGAATACCCCACGCAAGATGAAGAAGACGAAGAATTAAAAAGCCATTTAATGCGGTACGCTGTGCTGAGCCAAAACATCAACGTCGAGGTGCTCCATGACGTCGAGGACGAGCTTGACGCTGTCCATGAAGGAGTTGACGGCGACGCGCAGCATGCGGTTGGTGGTGGCCTGGTAGTCGACGCAGAGCAGGGTGCGGGCGTCGTCGAGGGAGAGGTGGCGGCGGACGAGGGGGGAGAGTTCGGCATCGACGTGCAGAGCGTCGAGGGCGGCCGAGGCGAGCCTGGGGTCGGGGAGGGGGATGCGCAGGGCTCTTGGGAGTCGGTCAGCGGGTGCAAGCGATAGGCGGGTGCAAGCAATAATAGGCGGGTAGCGTGTGTGCGTGTGGGAGGAGGGAGGGGGAACGGGAAGCAGAGCCCCAACATACAGGGAGCAGGGGAAGCGAGCGTCATCGGTGGTGGTGGCCATTATCGCGACGGTCGCCGGGGCATCGCGATGGTGATGGGCACGGTAGCGAGAGGAATGCTGGTCAACAAGGTCAGATGATGTTGTCGCAGGATTTCGTCGTTCCATTTTTTCCGCTTCCCCCTCTTTGCGCTCTTTGCGCTCTTTGCGATGGATGGGACGGACGGACGGAGGTACGTACCGGCCGGGGTACAGAGTAGATGTACCTACTTACCGTTAAGGTATCCGTAAGCTAAGGGGGGTTACCTGGAGGTTGAGGTATGCAGTTAGGTGGGCTGTGCTTTTTGCGAGTGTGCGTGCAATGTCCTTTTTTCCCTTCCCGATTGCCGTTCGATGCTAGCTTGCACACTGTATTCGCAGGTGCAGCAGAAACGGATGCAAGGGAGGCGCAGCAGGCGAGCATGTACAGTACTTGCAACAGTAACGGGGACAAGTAAGTAAAGGTACCTGTGGCAGCGTTGCATCGTGTGTTTTGTGTGTGTGTGCATGTGTGTACGCGTGTGTACGTAAGCAAAGGTTGAGGGGGCCTCTATTCTTCCTCTGATGAATCTGGAGAGGCAAGGGGCGGCGGGCGAACCGTTAGTACGTATTATTAGAGGCGGAGAACGAAGTTGGTCGCTGCCAGCCAGGTACTGTAGGTATCTGTACATACCTACCTAGGTCAGGGTACCTACTGTAATTAGGGGGGAGGTAATTCTGGTACGTAGCCACAGTACCCGAGGGCAGCTTGACAGGTCCTGTTGCCCCAGACGACGGCAGCGGCCCGCTGTTTTGCGCCAGGGCTGCGACCGGGCGCCCGGGAAGAATAACAGACGGCGGCCCGCCTGTACAAAAACAAGCCCGACGACGGCCAACGTCCACTTGGCGCCGCCGCCGTTATCACCATCACAAGCTCCCCTCGCCCCGTCCCATTGATCTCATCCCATCATCATCATCATCATCATCAGCATCGCCACCACCATCTTCATCCTCATCAGCATCCTCATCAGCATCGCCAGCAGCTCTAGCAGCATCCGCCAGTCGCAATTCGCTCGCCCTCCGCCGCCGCCGCCGCACGCAGAAGCAACGCAGAAGCAACGCAGAAGCAACGCAGAAGCAACGCAGCCGGCACCTGCCGCTCTTGCGCCGCTTCTTGGCCTGCTCTCTCGCGCGCGTGCGCCCGTCCGTCCTGGGCCCCCTTCTTCTTCTGCGCCAGCGAAGAGGCACGCCGTCGCTCCCTTGCCGAGCCCCTGCGATCCATCGCCGAGCTCGTCGGCCGAGGTTGCTTGCTAGCTGCCCTTTGCGCCGCCTCCCCGCATTTCACTGCCGCGACGCCCGAACCGCTCGGCAACACACCCGTCTGAGCCAAAGGGGTCGTCGAGAGGAGCAAAGGAGAGCGAGCCTGGAATAATGGCCCCTTCCTCGCGCCACTCCCAGAACATGGGCCAGATCATCGAGTACATCCCGGGTCAGCCGCCTCCCCGTCTCCCCCCCTCTCTCCTTGTCCGTCGCGCTGACCGTGCTCTCTCCGCCAGACCGGCTCTATCTCGCCTCCTACGTCCATCCTCCCACCGCCGACACCTTGTTCCCCACCGCCGAGTCGTCGGCTCCCTCGCCCAGGAAACGCTCGTCGCGCGCCCCCGATGGCTCGGCCCTGCCCGCCGCCCGCGTCCCGCCCTGCTACTTCACCGTCGACGATACCCTCCTGTACAATGCCTTCCATCACGACTTTGGCCCGCTGCACATTGGCCACCTGTACCGCTTCGCCATCCGCTTCCACGACATCCTCGGCGCAAAGGAAAACAAGGACCGCCCCGTCGTCTTCTGGAGCGCCGCTGACCCGAGGAGTGAGTCTTTGTCCCTCCAATGCCTCGAGATGACGCCGCGTAGGCTGATAGCTCCTCGTTCCAGGTCGCGCCAACGCCGCCTGCATGCTGGCCTGCTACATGGTGCTGATCCAGAACTGGCCGCCTCATCTGGCCCTCGCCCCCATCGCCCAGGTCGATCCGCCCCTGATGCCCTTTCGCGATGCCGGATACAGCCAGGCCGACTACGGCATCAGCGTCCAGGATGTCGTCTACGGCGTCTGGAAGGCAAAGGAGGAAAAGTGCTGCGACCTCGACAACTTCGACCTCGAAATGTACGAGCGGTACGAGCGCGTCGAGCACGGCGACTTCAACTGGGTCACGCCGCACTTCCTTGCCTTTGCGTCGCCCCAGCACACCCCTGCCGTCAAGATCCCCGAGACGTCGGACCTCTACGCCACCCTCCCCCGCGACCTCGACGCTGTCGACGCCCACCCGACCCTGCCGCAGCCCTTCAAGAACGTCCTCTGTCACTTTTCCGACAAGAACATTGGTCTCGTCGTCCGCCTCAACTCCCCCCTCTACTCCCCCTCGTACTTCGAGGCCCTCGGCATCCAGCACCTCGACATGATCTTCGACGACGGCACCTGCCCGCCGCTGTCGACGGTTCGCAGGTTCATCCGCCTGGCCCACGAGACCATCACGGTCCGCAAAAAGGGCATCGCCGTCCACTGCAAGGCCGGCCTCGGACGCACCGGCTGCCTCATCGGGGCCTACCTGATTTACCGCCACGGCTTCACCGCCAACGAGGTCATTTCCTTTATGCGCTTCATGCGCCCGGGCATGGTCGTCGGCCCCCAGCAGCACTGGCTGCACCTGAACCAGGGCACCTTTAGGGAGTGGTGGATCGAGGAGCGCGTCGAGCGCCGGCTCCGCAAGGAGATGGCGGCCGCCAACCCCGTCCCCAGCACCCCTATCCGCGCCATGCAAAAGACGTCGCTGCGCAACGGGCCCACGTCGACGCCGCCGAACCGAAGCCCCTCGAACCGCACCCCGCTGAGCGAGGTGGACCACGACCGCAATAACGTGGGCGTCCAGGAAGACTACCTGCCCGCCCCGACGCCCGGCCAGCCGCGCAAGACGACGCGCCTCGACCGCCACCACCCGTACCACCGCTCCACGTCCTTCCAGACCACGGCCGAGGAGGGGCACACGGTCGAACAGGAGACGGAGATTATGACGATGCACCGGCGCTCGCAGGACGCCGGCTCCGACGAGGAGATTCACCTGAGGATGCGCAGCCACCGCAAGCCTTCGTCCCAGTCGCCCGGCGGCCGCGGCGACAAGACACGGTCCGTCAGCCACACGACGTCGACGGTATGCACGATTGACAACGACTCGTCGCGCGACGCCGAGAACATCGGCTCCCTGCGCGCCAAGCACCCGGAGCGCGTGGCGAGCACCCCCAGCGTCATGACGCGGGTCCGCGGCAGCCGGCGCGCTGGGCCCGAGTCGCCGCTGCGCGCCAAGGACCACGCCGCCGGGGTCCGCAAGACGAGCGGCCGCGTGGGCAGCGCCAGCACCGTCTCGTCGGCCACGGCGGTCGCGACGGCCCGCAAGGTGTCTGGATCATAGGGCGTCAGCCCCTTGCGGAACTGTCGTTGACAGAGGGGTGGCGGGGCGGGGTTTCGGCGGGCAGAGAGAGACATGCATGGGCAGAGGCTACAGAGACGGGAATGGCAGGGCCGGGGCGACAGGGCTGGGAGGATCATTTTTTCCACTTCTTCTCTCTCTTTCTATCCTCATTCTAACGATGATGAAGACTCACGCTTTGGTTTTTTTTTTCTCCTGGAGGCATGCGGGAGGCGAGGGGAAGGGGCCTGGGAGTCGCGGTGCCATGCATACATGGGGCGTTTGAAGCGGGCTGGCTGGATGACGGGACGAGATACAAACGGGAATCTTGACTTTGGGTTTCCAAGCCGTTGTTCTTCTTGCGCTTGGTGATTGGCTTCTCTCGTAGCTGTCTTTGTTCCATGTCATCTCAGGCGATGTGGAACAGCGGCAACTCCCACTTCTGGTGGCCATCCATGGTGGCCATCCATGGTGGCAGAGGTATGGCAACGCGTCGGTTGTTCAGGGGCCTTTCCATGTCTTTTTGCCCTGCACTTTGTATTTTCTCGTCTGCTCTCGTGTCGTCTATGGTAACCCTCCAAGCACCCCCCCCCGCGCATGGCATGAGCTTCTGGTTCGAAGCGCCGGCTTGCATGGTATCACGTCATGCATCCGCGCCGTCGAGAAGAAGAAGAAGCTGAAGAGCAGGCACCAAAGCCCAGCTAGACGCGGATACTCTCGAGCGTCGTCACCACCGTCTCCATCAGCTTACCTGCCTCGCCGCTCTCGAGATCCTCGCCCGCGCGGAGGCACATGTCGACGACGGAGGCGTACAGGCGGCCGACCTTGGCGGCCAGGCCGGGCACGAGGACGGCGAGGAGGACCTTGTCGCGCCAGCGGTCGGGGGCGTAGTGGGGCTTGTGGAACGTCTGCAGCACCTTCCACAGGCCAATCTCGAGGAGGACGAGGCCGAGCGAGTAGACGTCAAAGGCCTTGCGGTGGGGCCGGCCGCGCAGAGCCGCCGGGTGGCGGTGCAGGTCCTCGATGGACGGGTTGCGCGGCGCGACTGAGAGGGCGGCGTCGAGGTCGGGCCGCGAGGCGTCGAAGCCGCTGAGCGAGGGCGCCGAGATGTCGGGCACGACGGCGGCGGCGGCGGCGGCGGCGGAGGAAAAGGCCGAGGGGAAGAAGAGCACGTTGGAGGCGCAGAGCGACTTGTGCAACCAGTCGAGCGAGTGCAGCGACCACAGGGCGATGGCCAGGGTGCGGGCCAGGCGCACGCGGTCGTTGAGGTCGGGCGTCTTGAGGTCGGTGCTGGCGATGAGGGCGTGCAGCGTGGCAAAGGACGGGGCGGGCGCCTTGTAGACGAGCCCGTAGCGCGAGCGCGCGGCGTCGTCGGTGTAGCCCACGCAGTCGACGCTGTGCAGGTCCGGGTGCCGCTCCGAGGCCGAGTGCATCATGCGCGCGAGGTCGTCCATGCGGCGGACGTGGACGACGCGCTCGTCGACGGCGTCGGCGTCGTAGTCGACCCACTCGACGACGACGTCGCCCGCCGCCTCGTGCCGCGCCCGGCACCGCCGCGGGCTGTCCAGGTCCTCGACGGCGAGCGCCGCCCGCGGCACCCTGAGCGCAAACGTCGGCTTAAAGGCCGACTGCGGCGTGCTGTCGAGGTTGATGCGCAGCCGCTTGAGCTTGGCCGACGCCTCGAGCTGCGGGTAGATGCCCGTCGATGCCGTCTCCAGCAGCGACAGCTCGCCGAGGTCGCGCTGCGCCGACTCGAGGAGCTGGTGCGTCCAGGCCCGCTGCAGCGACGGCAGCTGCCACGCCGGGAAGAGGCGCTCGAGGCCGTCGTTGAAGTCTCGACTCGCCCACGTCAGCCCACGATGCCACTCGTCTTTTGCGGCGCGTTACCTTTGAGGTCTCTGAGGAGATTGGTAAACTTGTCCTTGTCTGCCCGAGCCAAAAGGGGCCCTTGTCAGCATGTGCCTCGGGAAGCCTGGGCGTGTCCAACTCGCCTGCAATGACCCATTTGGTCCTCAGGCCAACCTCCTTTCTCCAGCCTCTGCCGGCCTTGGCCGACCCATTGGACGCCTCGCCGTCCTTGTCCTGGGCGCCATGGTCTTCGACGAGCCCGTACCTGTCCTGCAGCTTGCGGAAGTCGGCCACGGTGCCGTGCAGCTCCTTGAGGATCTGCATCGCCAGCGCCCTCAGCTGCGGGTTGCGCCCGCTGTCGAGATGGGCCTCGAGCCGGCCCTCGGCGACGCCCCATTCGCGGCCCCAGACGACCAGCCGCATCTCCTCGATGCGCACCTTGCACATGAGCCGCTGGCTGTCCGTGTCGAGCTGCGACGCCGTCGTGAAGTAGCCGTAGGCCTTGATGCAGCCGTCAAACAACTGACCTAGCAGGCCGATGACGCCAATCGTCGTCCCAACCAGCTCGGCTGCCATGGTGGTTGGGGAGGGGGGGACACGAGCCGGGTGATGAAGGGAGAAGAGAAGTCCAGATGCCTCAAGGCCGGCTTAACTGCATCGACGGAGAGCGGTGACGGCCATGACTCCCGGATTACCCTAGAGGCAGTTACGAGTTCCTGCATATCCGGCTTTCGTCTGACCTCTAATGCACGTCGGTGGCCCCAAATGCTCTTTCATATCACGTGTCAGACAAACGACGACATCCTACCGGATTGGCTTACTGTACTCGGCTTGCCGCGTCTCGCAACGAACATCCGCGCCGTGGTCTACGAGCTGCAGTCTTGGACCGGAATCTGCTCTCTTGCCGCGCTTTCCTCTACTCCCACAAGCCAAACTAGTTACACCGAAAGACCTGTGCAGATTTTGCCCCTGTTCATCCGGTTTGTTCCCCTCTCCTCCCAAGTCAAGCAGTTGTCCTTTTCTATAACGGTGCAAAAAATGGCCGCGAGATTCCGTGACGGACGTGCGAATCGTCCTGTTCCGCCGTGACGCTGTTCAACACGGTTGCTTCCTGATGCAGTCGAGAGGAGCTCTGCGATTCTCTTTGCGGCGCATGTGCGTCTTGGCGCAAGAGGATACGGCTCCATGGCTCGCGTGTCCTCAATAGACCTTCTTCTTCTCGTCGATGCTGAATTGGCCGGGGCCGCTGTTGACCAGGAGCAAGAGGCCACCAACAATCGAGAGAATCTGGAAGAAGTCGTATTTGGCGAAGTCCTTTTGCGGGTGGTGCTCGTGAAGCTGAACCAGCGTTAGCAGCGTCCCATCCACCGCGGTCAGGGTGTGCTTACCGTCCAGAAGTTGTTGACCAAGATATTAAAGATGCTGAGAATCACCACCAGGAGAATGGCACTGAACTTGGCCTTGAAGCCGACAACGACCATGATGCAGGCGCCCGCACCCAGGAAGCAGACAATGACGCGCCAGATGGACCACGTGCCGCTAAAGACGAAGCCGACAAAGAGGAAGATGAGCAGTACACGACCGGCGAGCTGAAAGTACATCTTGCGGTCCTTTTCGTCAATCTGCGGGAGCCCGGCAAACGCCTTGGTCTTGCGGACCCATGAGTCAGACAGGACCATGAGCAAGCCGCCCATGACGGACAGGTTTCGGAGGAAGAAGTTGAGGTCAAAGATGAGGCCGTAGCCAAGAGCTTGGGTGACGACGACGCCGATCAGGCCGGCAACTGCGTAGTCGGAGTGCTTCCTGATGATGACGAGAGTGGAGCAGGAAACCATGGCGAGGACGTTGACGATCAAGAACACGTGCGTGATGCCGCCGGGGACTGGCCCGGGTGTCAGCGTGTGGGGAGATGGCACGGGTCGCGGATTCAGCTCTTACTGTGTCGGTAGTCGCGGAGGTAGAGCAGCTGGTCGCCCCATTGCGTCACGATGCGGAGCGCGTCCTCCAGAAACGTGACGACAATCAGAAACCGGCCGATGGCTGGCAGATAGCTGGAGCGGGAGCGGTCAGCATTCATCCAGTACACGCGGGAGCCACCGGCTCGCAACTCACGGCTTGATGGGTTCGCTGAAGCTGTCCATAAAGTCCTCAACCTTGCTGGTGTAGGGGCGGATCTGGTCGAGGATATTGCCATCGGAGATTTCCGCCTGGTTGGCGCCGTACGGCGCAGGGCCACCGACGCCGTAGCCCGAAGGACCGCGATGGGACATGATGCAAAACAAGACTCTACTGCTGCTTCTCGGCGAAGCAGGTGTGGTTGGCTAGAAACGGCCTCGTCGGGATCGTATCCTCAGCTCCGCAGCGACGTCGTAGGGCAGCCAGCGACGACGACGACGACGACTCGGGTGTTCTCGTTCCGCGTTCGTGTAGGATGCGTGTCGGCGAGGCTCAGGAGATGGGCGGGCTAGAGTCGTACGAGACGGCGTGGGCGACTTGCGGCGCGATGAAGACTTGAAGGGGGGGTCGAGAGAGAGCTTTAGATGCTGGACGGGAGCGGCAGAGGAGGAGCGGGGGCGGAGGCGGAAGCGGAGAAGACAATGGAGGGAGAAAAGGACAGCAGAGCGGGAAAAAAATCTGTGACCAAGATCGACTAAACGTCTTTTTCGGCGACGGAGAGGTGAGACGGTCCAACTATGACCTCAGTGAAGTAGAGGAAAGGCAGGGGGACCGCGCTATCTTACAACTGTGTCCTTTCGAGCTTCCCCCGTGATTCTGCACGCCGAAGGGCCGCCCACTTTTTTTTGGGTTCCAGGGGGCAAAATGGCACTGCCAGGTAGCTGCGCAGCCTCCTCGAGGTACTTGCTGCGCCAGCGACGCACCGCGGCGGAGCCAAGTCCCGGCATCGCGCCACCTCGCTGGCCTCGATGCCTAGCTGGCCAATGTCAGCCCTAGCGTTTCTGCCCCCCGCCGTCTGCTGGCCCGTGCCGGCCAGCTGCGGCCGAGTCCCAAGCCACTGCAGCAATAGGCGGCTGGCTACTCCGGAGTCTAGCTGGAGCGCGACGAGTTTGAATTCCCGTTTCCGGAAACCTTTCAACGCCACCCAGCCTTCTTTTGGCCTTCCCTTCTTCCAACCCTATTAAATGCCATTAATCACGCCACGCTGGCCGACTCCATCCATGGAAAACTTGTCGCCCTGCCAAGCTGATGAAGCCACCTCCGGTATCCGATCTCGGGTAACCTCGTACGAACCACCGAGCATGTGCCTGCCGTCAGATTGAGACACATGCCCCGTCGTGCAAGACAGCGCTTTAATCCGCGTCGTCTCGTCCGTCACCCCTGGGAAACTGACTCAACGCGCCAGCAGTGAGGTCCAAGACCCTTTGCGCGTTTCTTCCCGTGCGAGTCCCGAGCTTTACGTCTTCCATGTCTTTCCACATTGTCGAACCGTTTCTTCTCTCGTCTCGATCTTGCCAATCCAAACAGCGTCGCAGCGTCTCTCCTCAATTCAAATGCATCAAGCAAGCCATCGCCGTCATCCAGGCATCCTTGGCGGTTTTGGCGGCTCGTCCAGAATCCTGAGCCCCCCCGCATCGTCGTACTCGACCCTGCCTTGGTCCACCGCCCGTCGCATTTCCTCTCGTAGAACCGTCCGCTCGCCAGTTGCCGGATCCCACTCCCACCCCTCACGCATCCACATCCATCGCAAGAAGGCTCGCAGCTCCTTGTCCTGGGGCATCACTCTCATCCACTCGGGTTGGAACTCGGGCTCTCGACCCTTGCCGTTCCAGTCTTGGGCTCGTCCCAGGAGCTGGTCGCGGCAAAATATTCGCCAGCTATCCAAAGTGTACTTGCCCCGGGTCATGTGTCCGATTTCCCAGGCCTCCGGGTCCTCCACGTCGTCCTCGGGCGTGAGCAGGCCATCGCTGGGCAGTTTCGAGCAGCTCCTTACAGCTACCAGTGAAGGCGCGACATCCCGCTTGTCGTAGTTCCTGACTCTGTATCTGACGTCTGGCCGAGGCGGGTTGCCCAGATAAACAGTGGCATATTTCTGTATGTAGGCGACGCGGACAACAACCAGCCCCAGGTGGCGAATCATGTCGGATAGTTCTTGCGCATTGGCCGGATCAGCGAGCTGCCAGGGCGTGGGGAACCTCTCTTTGACCCGGCGAAAGGCCGGTATGGCCAGCTGTCCGCTGGTTTTGATAAGGAAGGTGACGGCAATGAGCAGCCAAAAAGGCTCGTGTGCCACCTCTTCTTGGATGATGCCGAAATGTAAGCATGGCAAGGGCGGAAAGGGAACGCACGGCACCGTTCCGGGCGGTGGCCGCTTTGGCGAACTCTTGCCTTGTGACGGTGACTGTGCGGAGAAGTAAGGAGACGACGTCGAGCGGGAAGGCCACAGAGCCAAGCCCTGACTGCTGCTGTGAAAATTCCGTGAAGTGCGTTCCTCGGCCTGTTGAGGAGAAGTAGACTGCGGCTGGCTGCTCGATGACTCTGGGGAGCCCCGCATGGAGCCTCCGGCGCCGAGCTTCTGCCACGGCAAAGGAGCCGAGGAACAAGGCAAGACTGCCACTACACGGCATGGTGAATGCCTAAAGCATGGGTCGACCCGACGAGCATGGTCCCAGTAGTGCGACGTGGCACCGGCGGATTGCTGTCTCTTCTTGGGTTGAACCGATTGGGGCTTAATGTCGCCATTGTGAGCATAGTGGGCTGAAGCTGACGATAGCAGGGCACTGGCGTCGCGTTCCAGTTTCTGTGCGAGGGCGATCAAACTGTCCGTCTCTTGCCAGGGCTCTTCTGCCGGTACCGCATTGCCGTTGCTCAATCCAGACAGGATCAGCCAAAGAGAGGTGAGAACATCTTGACCATCGAGGCCGTGTAGCTGGAAGGGTCGTGATTGATGGATTGATGTCGCGCAGTCGATCAAAGCATGCCAATCCTCGGCCCCTGCTGATAGGCTCTGGTGTAGAAGCCGCTGGGTTTCGAGTCGAGGAGCGGTACGAGACTGGATGACGTCGCACAAGAAGTCGCGGGAATCTTCCCAGACGTCGAAGACGCACAGGACGTCCTCGCCAAAGGATGCAGTCATGGCGCGTTTTGGCCACCAGACTCGGGCTCGCAGCTGCCCTTTGTCCGTTGATCTCCGGTCGAGGTAGACGGAGGTGATGATGGTTCAATGTGAGCATTTTAGCCTGGGAATTTCCGGCAAGATCAAACGGTGGCTCGAGTCTCTCCGTCCAATCGGAGGTTTGGTGCGTTTTAGCCACCAGCCATCTGACCGTTCAAGGGCGTGCATCAGCAAGCTCTCGAGTCTGCTCTTTCGCGGTCGCATGAGATAAACCATTCAAACAGCATCGGTAGCAAACCGTCCTGAGCTGCTTGTTGCTTGTGATGCCTTGACGCATCCTGGATGGGTTCCACGGCCAGGAGGATCGCCAAGCTGTATTGACTGATGCTGAGCGGGCAAGCGGTGTTTGAGCACTCCTGTCGCATTTTGTCTCATGAAAATGACAGGACGACAATGACATGGTCGCTTCCACAGAAGATTCCAGTAGCTAAAGAACAACCAAAGGAAGCTGCCGATTGAGAAGGGGTCTCTTGCCGTGCAGTCGCTGTAGATTGGGTAGGTACATGATACTTGCGCCCTCCGATGAAGGCCTGCGAGGCTGATGCCCCAAACTTGACCAGCCAACAGACAGCCCATGAAACAAACAACTCATGGATTTACGTGCAACGCGCGCGGCAGGGCTCTCGGGGGATGCGCATCGCCTTGCGACTGTTGTTTCCGAGCGAGCTCGAGTGCAGCGCCGAGGATTGCGTGGCCCCCAGGACGTGAATGGGGCATAAAGACGCGGTGGATCACTGGTGGCGACGGAGAGGGACTTGTGAACAATGCAGCCGCAGCGATTGATTACCTTGCATGCTCTCAAAGCATGGATGGCCGATGCAGGCATGAGGCAGGCAGCTGCTGAGAATGACGTTGGAGGCAGCCGCCCCTGCGGTCGCGTGATGGCGACAGGTCGGTAATCGAGAGATTACATGAGGTGCTGTAGCTGTGCTGTAGCTGTGCATGCAGGTCTGACGCCGCAAATCCTCCTCCCGAAGCCTCTTCCGCCAGAGGTATAAAAAGGCAGGGCATAATTATCTTGGCGTCGCAACTCGACTCGATTCGCTCATCAGCACTCAGCAGGCACGTGTTGTCGAGCCCAGATCCACTGGTTAGCGCTGCTCGCAGCACAGTACACTCAGTCAACGCCCGCCTAGGCACCAGCACCTTAGGTAAGGCGGGCGGACACATCACGTGAGCATCGCTTCGGATCCCCCAATCCCCATCTTCGTCTTGCGCCTCCGCCTGGATCCCGTTCCACCTCCATCCTCACGCAGTCCTCGACTCTCAACGTCGACGCCCCGCACCCTACCGAGCCCTCGTTATCGTCATCCAAATCAGCCAAGAGATGAGTGGTCGCGGCGGGAAACTTGCCCCCGAAGTCAACCGGTGAGTCTTACTCCCTCGCCGACACGGCCGTGATTGCTTCTGCCGCGCGCCTCGCCTCCCGGGTGCCCCAGGCAATCGCTGTTGCCTCCGACAGTTGTCCCGGGCTCTGCTAACCAACATCGACAGAGCTCTGTTCATCAAGAACTTGAGGTACTCCCTCTCCATCCGCGCTCGATGCAACGCTTATTCTAACCGTCACTTGTGCAGCTACAACGTTACCCCAGAGGAACTGTTCGATCTCTTCGGGAAATTTGGCCCTATCCGGTAAGATTGCGTTGACCATCCCGAGCGGCAGCGACGCACTTATGCTAACGCTGCCATGCAGCCAAGTACGCCAGGGCATCTCCAATACGACCAAGGGAACAGCCTTTGTCGTCTACGAGGATGTAATGGACGCCAAGCAAGCCTGCGATAAACTCAACGGTTTCAACTTTCAAAACCGTTATCTAGTCGGTGCGTTGTCCACGCTCACCCACACGTTTTCTCTTGATGCGTCTCGACCGACTCAAGCCGGTGGCTGACAAGTACCTGCAGTCCTATATCATCAGCCCGAGAAGATGATCAGGTCAAAAGAGGACCTCGAGGCCCGCCGCGAAGTTTTAGCCAAGCTCAAGAAGCAGCACGGCATCGATTGACAATCCGACCGGCCTGTGGACAACCTGCAAGACAAGACACCCTCGCTCGCAGGCCGGTCTCCGACGACAACAAAGTCTGCTTCGCCGGATCCCAAGACGATTCTACGAAACGGCACGCTGGCGGCCGACAAAACGGTCGCCAAGGGGAACAGCGCCCCACGGGCGGTTCGCTTCGTCGATGTGGTGCGGAGTGCTCTCCAGTTGCGCGCCTGATGGCCACTGTTTTCCCACTCGGAGGGGAAATGGCGAGCCAACTCGTCTTCGTCTTGATCAGTCCTTCTGCGAGGCATCTTGTTACCTCTCGAAACGGCCTCAAGTCGGGAAATGCCGACGAGGCCCGTCGACTCTTTGAGATGCATGGTGTTTGGGTGGTGCTAGGCCTTTTGGGGCTCGTTAACAAGTGATGATTTCAGCCAAATCACTGGCAAGCTTTTCTCCGTTTTCCTGATGCAACTTTGTAGGGGGCAGAGAGCACGGTGGGGTCTCGCTTGCGAATAGCTTTAATTCCGAGAGAGTTACCTAGGAGACGCAGTCGTTTTCTCAATCGCTACCAAGTCGTTGTTCTACGCCGCTGTGAAGAACTGTCTAGATGTGCGTCCTCCAATTCACGAGGCTAGAAGATGTTGCCGGGCTGAAGCTGCCATTGATGTTCGCCAAGCATTGCGCTCCCTTCAGGGAGATGATGTATCACGTAGCTGGGCTCGTAGCTCTATGTCTTGCGGGAGGTAGCAGTGTTTTGTCGGGGGAGCCGTGGCGAGTAGCGACGCGTTCAGAGGCAAAGAGCACGGCTGGCCGCCGCTTTCAAGCCAGACAGCTTTAGCTTTGGCCGACGCAAGCCCGGTCCTTATGGCTATGTTTGTCTGCTGGATGACACTTTAATTCCAAGCCTTGGCGCCGAAGCGAGGAGGGAGCAGTACATATGCTACGCGAGGTAATGGGCACGAGGCGAACCTCGCTTAGGCTGTTTGCACGGGGTGAAAGTGGGCAAAAAACGAGGCTCCGAGGTCACTTGACGAGGGATGCATGCACGACTGCACGAACAATAAACAGCCTGGAGCACGAGGGGGGCCTGAAATGGACAGCGAGGCACTCTCATGCATTGCTTACGCCTCGGGTCTACAGGAGGGTCGAGCTGCTGGTGCCTCGGCATCGGTCCGAGTCTGTCTGGCTTGTTCATGATTTACCGACGCCTGGACCAGGTCCACTCGTCGGCGGTGAGGTGCTTCAAGAGAGAGGTGGAAGGAAGAGCGAGTGCTTCGGAGTAGCGGTCGACGTCGTGATGCATCATGCCGCCGTTGGCCTGAGCGAGGCACGCACCCGGGGGGAGGGGAAGTCGGTGAAATGATGGGAAAAGGCTTGGCGAACTCCAACTGATGTCCGCCTTGTGGGTCGCTGCGGGGCGTGGACAGGGAGGGATGCGCGGAGGCGGCCGGGGCTCCGGGGCCTCGAAGGCGGGCAGTCGTGCTGCTGCGCGGGCGAAGAGGCGGGCCGCGTTCTGCAGGTGATTGCTGCAGCAGCACGCGGCAAGGCACCAACTGGAGAAGCGCTTAGGCGCAGCTACCACCCTGTGTTTGTGTTCGGACTCGCCGGGCGGGGGCAGCCAGAGACGCCGACGACGACGACAATAATAATTGGGAACCGTCACGTTGCTCCTCTTCTTGTTCTGTCTGCCCTTGGACCGGCGTGGTGCTGAGAAGGCGGCCCAACAACACACGGCGCCGCCGGGTCCAAGGTGAGGTTGGAGGGCCGTCAATAACAGTGGCGCAACCATATATGCCTTCGTGAACCACTAACTAACTACCCAGTTAGTCCCGAGTGAGCATGCGCGTGCCCGAGTCGATTTTTGGCCTGCATGTTGGCCCGGCCTGCGCTTGTGAAGGAGCATCGAGGCCGTTTCTGCGGCCATGGCTCGTCGCCTGCGCCTGCGTTCGACGTCGTCACACTTTGCCAGCCAAGGCAGATATCCAAGGCATCTCTTACTGCTCCTCGGTTCACTCACTGCTTCATGTGTTCTTCTTGCTCGTATGAGGACCACGGTGTTCAAGGTAGATGCCTAGGGAGGCTCTTGCCTGTCTGCGTTGAAGTGCCTGCCTGCGTTGAAGTGCCTGCCTGAAAGCCAGGCCAAGCATCGCGGTGGGCGTGGCCAGGTACAGCGCCGGGTAACATCTACCACGTCTGGTGGCTTCCATCGGCCCAGCACGGCGCCGACGAGCTGCAGTGCGCCGGGTACCGAGTACTTGCCTCCCCTCCCCGGGACAGGTACATTCATCCGCAGGCGCTCAGTGCGCTCGCAAAGGAGGAAGGTGAGAAGCCCTCACTCGGCCTTTGTTGCTCCACGTCTCCCTCTCAAACCAACCGCTCGCCCGTTGGTGGCGGCTCGGCAGCAAGCGTCGTGACGCGGACGAGCCGACGGCCAATGGGCAACTGACCGACCGCCTAACGTCCGCTCCCCCTCGCTCTCCAGCTCTCCTGCCGAGGGATCGCTGCTCGTTTCCATCTCGACGACTCGTCCTCTCCCAACGCCCGCCCCGTCGACCCTCTCAACCATGCGACCAAAACCCCGTTGCTGGTATTGTCTACTTTAGACTTTGCGCCTGGACCCTCGGAGCCGGGACCATGGGCTGGTGTCTGGCCGTCGTCCACGTACAGGCGAAGTGACTCGACATTCGTGGCCACCTTGGGACCAGGGCCATGCTATCCCCCATCATCGCCTCCATCTCTCCGGGTCCAGCTTCTCCGAGTCACAGAAAAACCCGTTGGTCGTCATGGCCCAAGCAGAAGCTATTATACACTAACATCGAGCTACCTCGGGCAGGTACTCTGATGCAATGCCATTGACTCGGTGCCTGGCCTGCCGGTTCCTCTCAGTGTAAATAGTCCCGGGCCTTCCCACCGTGGATTCCTCCATCTTGCTTATTTTTCTTCTTGACCCTGAGAGACTGGCTCCATGTCCGTCTTTGTCTCTCGACTCAACCAACTCTCTGCACAAGATGGCCCCCGAAACCTACTCTCAGCCCAGAGGATCCTTCCAGACCACCACCGGAAGCCCCTCGCACCATGATCAGGACTCGAGTTCCAACTACGATGCCGAAGACGAGCGCCCTGTTGCCGAAGACGAAGATTCCACGACGCTGCAGTCTCCAGCTGGGCTCCTGTACAACCTCGACCAGCTCCCTGAGAGCAAGAGAGCCGCAGTGCGGGATGCCCTTCGAGAACCTCCCAAGATTTCTCTCCAGCACTGCCGCCGAATCGACAACACGTACGCCTTCCAAATGTCCGAAGTTGTGACCACGTCTGTACGAGTCCGCTCTTCCGAAAGCGCCTCTCCTCGTATCAGCTGCAGTTGTGGCGAGCAAGACGCCCCGTGCAAACATCTCGTCTGGCTGATGGACCAGGTTATGAGCCAGACTCTTTACGGCCACAACCGCACCAAGCCCCTGACCATGGTTGCTGAGGGCTATGCTGCCGAGATGGGCGACCCCTTCCAGAATATGGCGCGACACCATCTGGACGTACTTGCCGAGGGCCTCCACTGCCAAGTGACGCACCCAACGACCTACTCTGACCAAGAGGAGCCAGATTCGCATCGTGTCGTCGAATCGCGTGAGCTGCTCTCCTCTGTATACGGCGTGGATCCCGAGGACTTCCGGCCGGATCTTTTCACCCATGTCTCTCCGAGCCATGATGTGCTCCAGCATAGCGACTTGGACCACACCGTCCTGCGCATGCTTCTTGACAACCCTGTCTTCTTCCAGTACTTTCTCTCACTCTCTCGCTCGACTGATACCATCAGAGACCCCTTTCGCAAGCTGTTTCAGCGAGTGGATCGCGTGCTGCGTGATCTTGACTCGTCCGGGCCCTCATCGTCTTCACCCATGGCTGAGCCCTCGCCGGAGACGCCGGCAGACGTCTCTTGGGCGGCAGCACATCTCGTCGGCATTGTTGAACTCATCAGGGCCGCCATATATTCCCGCGACAACCCGCTGCAACCGCACGAGGCTCTGTCCGCCGCCCGCACACTCGTCCACATCCTCAACGTCGTGGTGGCACGCAACCGTGATGCTCACCCCGGGCCGAGCCGCATCACCCGCAACCTATACCTCCGGCTAGTCGGTGACCACGATCGGGACTTTGTCATCGCCGAACTGGCCCTCATACCGGAGGCGGCGAGCCACTTCCTGCACAGCCTCGAGGCAATCCACGACAAGATTGGCATCCACGGCGCACCGACGTCGTATGTCGATAAGCTACGCACCCTCCTGAGCCGCCTGAGGACGTCCGGCCTGAAGCGGCATGGGCCTCGCCAGAGATCGCAGCCCGAGGTCAAGAGAATGAAGTAGGGCTAGCTATGGATCTGCAGGGCCGTACCCTTCCTCGCTCGACGGCCCACGGCTCTTTTCCTCGCCGCTGCTGCACACGCGCCGGTCGCGTGAGCCTCTCACCACTCTTCTTGGGGCCAGTGCCATTGATGGACCATCGCCCCAGAGCTTCATCACGGAAGACGTTTTATTTCGTATCAATATCGTACAGTCCTAAAATTTCAATGTCTGATTTCAGCAATGCCTTCGCTCGACGTTTTGTCCGAGATGCATCACAACTCATACAGGATGCTACCGCGGACAACTGATGCAACCAAAAGCCACAAGATCAAACATAACTCAAACCAAGAAAACAAATCGCGGGCCACATCTTCGCTCCGCATGCTTTCGAAGGGCCACATCCGGGGCCTGAAAAGACGCTGGTCACGCTGGCAACAAGACCATGGGGTTTGTGACGTGTTTTACGACCCGGCGGCTCCGCTCCCAGCGTGGAAAGCCTCGAGAGTGCGACGGACCTCGCGCAAACGGGGGCGGCCATAGTAGTTCTCGTTCCAGTCCCCCCTTTGCATGCCCTCGCCCCTCTCCTCGAGCCACTTCTCAGAGGCGGCAATCTCCTTGGCCCACCAATCGCGAGCGGTTTGCTGGACCTCTCGGGTGGTGGACCTGCCCGTGTTCTCGAGCTCCCGCATGACAAGCCTATCGCGCTCTCTGACAATAAGCTTGCTCAAGCCGGCCTGCCTGCCTCGGGTGCAGCGATCGATGAGGTCGCGGATGGGCTCAGGCGTTGTCGTGTAATGGGGGAACTCGACCAGCGGCTCCCAGCGGTAGGAAAGCCAGACGGCCGACCTCTGCGGGGCGCTCCTGGCCTCGAAAATGCACCAGAGGACGCGTCCGAGCATGTAGACCTCGCAGGCCTCTTGCTCGGCGCGCGTCAGGCAAGACCAGGGGACATTGTAGCCCTGGCAGGGCCAGGCGTAGTCCTCGCCCTCTCCCATCTCCTGCCAGCCAGGGAGCAGGCCGGTCAGCAGGCCGGCGTACTTGCTCTGGACTTCCGGATCGATTTCCTCATCGATGGCGAGCAGTCGAACATACTCGATGGCGTTGACCTCGGGGGCCGCAAACTCGCACCAGACGCCGCGCTGCTCAAAGTCGATCATGACGGCATCCCAGGACTCGGAGAGCACAATATTGTCGAGGCGCAGGTCGGGATAGAAGATGCCCGACGTCTCGCGCAGGTGCACCAGCGCCGAGGCCAGCTGGAGCGACCACTTGGCCTTGTCCATGGTGGAGACGTGGCCGTGGAGCTGGAGGAAGGGGATGAGATCCCGCAGGCTGCCGTGGACGTGGTTCTCGACGGTGAAGCCGACGACGGCCACTTTGTTGCCGAAGTTGCACCTCTTGGTGACGAGGTGGACGGGGCGGGCAATGACGTTGGGGTGCGGCGGCATGACGAGGAGCTGCCTCAGCTCGTGATAGAGGTACTTTGTGTAGCTGGTAATGGCTTTGAAGATCCACGTCCTGCCATCGATGCGAACGAGGCAGACGCTGTCGTGCAGCTGCGACATGTACTCGACGTCCTCGATGTCGACGACGGGCGGCAGGGCCACGTGGTCGCCCCAGAAGCCGCGCAGCGTCGAGACGGAAAGCAGTTGGCGCTCGAGATAGTGCGTCGGCGCGACCGAGATGCGGGCGTCGGCCACGTTCTTTGGCAGATTCTGCAGGGCAATCCTCGACCCAAAAGGCAGGTTCCTGTAGATGTGCGAGGGGTCCTCCATGGCCGACGTCCAGTGCTGCAGGATCCGGAGCACGTGGCGCGTGATGCCCAGCCGGGCGATGCGCGAGCCATCCCTCGTGTAAAAGGTGACGTCGAGGTCGAGCACCCTGCGGAGCTCGTCGGGCAGCGTGGCGGGCTCCGGGATGAAGACGTCGACCCGGTAGGGGCGGACGGGGTTGACGAAGAGGGGCACAGCGTAAATCTGCGTGCCGAAGGCGGTGCATCCGTCGATGCGCCAGAGGGGGTTGGCGAGGGGGTCGAGACTGTCGATGCGATTCCTTGGGTTCAGGCAGGACTCGGACCACGGGACCTCGTCTGCGCAGGGCCTCGTCGATGGCGTGCCTGCTGCTTCCGGACAAGGTTCCAAGTCCGAGAAGGCGGCGGTGGGATGGATAACATCGTGTATTGATTGCTGGCTCAGCTCCATCTTGTCCTCTTTGCGCGTGCCGGAGCTGTATGTTCGCCCGGGCCCGGGCGCGTGTGTGGACGCGGAGATTTTTATAGGAGGCGCGGGAATGGTAGGACGGGGGTTTGTATTCGAATATATACAACGGCTGTGTCGAGTCCAAGGGCCCCGAGCTCGAGTCGATTCGCCTGCCGAGGGCTGCGGCTCGAAACAGGCAGAAGCGGCGGCGGCGTACCGAAGTGGCTACCTGTGAGCTTGCCCAAGGCCGTCGTGGGCGTTTGTAGATTGCTATTTCGACACCACCACCAGCCTGCAGAGCCCGACGATGAGAAGGCTGACCGGCACGATGCAAAGCGGGGAAAAGGGTCTCGCTCTCTCACGCTCTCGCTCTCCCCCCTCTCTCTCGTCTCGCTTACAGTGCTACCCCATCCCGACCGAGAATGGCGGCGGCCAAAGAGGGGACCCACGGAGTCAGAGCGCGTCGATGACCGTCCTTGGAGGGGAAGTGCGGCTGCGGGCAGTGAATCCTGGGGTATCTGGCCGGGTTGCTTGTTATGTCGGTGTGTAAGCGGGACAAGGGCACGCGTTGGGCGGCGGCTGCTGGAGAGGAGATGAGGCCACATCCGGCTGGGATCCGGTGCTGCGAGAAATCACATGATTGGGCCGTGTCCAAACCTGTACGTTCATGTGCTGAGATAAGGGCCGGGGGGGGTCACGCGGAGGGAGAAACGAAGGAGGGGTGCTTGAGAGAGCCCACGTCGACGGCTCCGATTTGGTCTGGCGAAAGGCGACTTAGACAGCACTGTAGAGTCGCGTCTTGCATCGGCGAGCCTGCTGCCTAACGGCGAATTGCTGATGACGATGCTGCTGGCTTACGGCGGCGATCCCATGGCGTTCCTGGACCCAGGGGCCTTCGAGTTATACCCGCAACCACGTTTTGGCGCTTGCTTAGCTCCCGCCATCTGCGACAAACCCCCGAGAGGCCCGACTGGCCCCAAACCATGTGTCAACAAGGCTGTCAAGCAGACTGGAACGCAAAGTAATTAAGGTCAGTTCGTTTGAGGTACCGGGCCGCATCCCTGGACCAGACACGCCCATATCCGTCTGTGCGCTGCATCTGCGTCATCCGGGAGGAGAGCCGCACACCGGCTCGAAGCGGACCGCAGCACGGGAATGCGCTCTGCGGTCAAACGTCATGTGGAACCGTTGAAAACAACGACCTCAGGGCACAGCAAACGATGGCCACAGACGAGCTACTGTCGTTTGCAGGAAACTACCCCTGCCAGACTTGGCAACCCTCGGTCGAAAGGCGGAGCGCCTCCCTGGTGGTCAGGCTTTCATGGCCGACCTTGCATCGTGGAACACTGCCGTCCCGCCGGTGCGGAGCTTGACAGGCCAAGTCAAACTCGCCGACCTTTCAGAGGGTCTTTCAAGCTGGTCGCTGGCGTCCCGAGCCACACAATGCACGGTGGCGGCGGAGATTCAGCTCAGCGAGTGCCGTGCCAAGAGCCGAGTGAAGCTCGTCCGGACCACCGGGGACAAATCGGAATCCCGCGACCCCATGCTTGACCCGGGGAGATGGAAGGCTCGCAGACAGCCGATCCCCAGCACGGCTCACCAGCTTCGAGCCCGTCATAAAGCAAGCCTAGCAGGTAGAAAGCCAGGCTTGGGAAAAGACGTTGGACAGCGGGAAAATCTCAGGCCTAGCATCTGAAGCAGCGGCAAACATAGTGACGGGGCAGCTTCTCTGACCACCCGACGAGACAGGAGAAGCGTCCGCAGTCTGCCATCGCGAGTCTAGCCCCATGCTGGCAGGGAATGAAAAACCGGGGCCAAGCAGACACAGGGGCAAACTAGAGAGAGGACGGCCGATGGTGGTTTCTAGCCAAGTGCGAGTCTTCGAGGATGGAGAAGATGCACATTGAAGCGGTGATGGTCGTGTCGAGCCGATAATACAGTACCACTTGGTGTGTACATACTTGTTCTGCAGAGCCTGTCCCGAAATCCCGGCCTGCATTGATGCGAACCCAAGCCACAAAGGCAAACCAACGCATCAGGACCCTCCGAGGGACCAGGGAATGACATTGGCGCCGTCTCGTCCTTGACAGCTACTGTAAGGCGGGGAGACAGTACGAGAGGCCGGCGATGAGAAGGTGGGTGTGCATGGCGAGGGCTGCGCAACGCCATTCAGCAGGTCGGTCCCGATCTCGCCGACTGACTGGCGATGGTGCACCGTAACCGAATTGATGGCACATGGAGCCGTCCTAGCAGCCGTAGGCCAGCCCGGGGGCTTCAGCTAACGCCCACGCCGAATACAGCGATGCGGATGCCCATCCTTCGCCACCAGGAGACTGGTGAGCAGGTGACGTCGGCGACGGGCGGCTTCAAGGCGTGGATCGCCCCAGCTCGCTCCGGCTGGAAAGGTGCGCTGCGTTGAGGAGACGGCGGGGACTGGCCATGCACGGGAGTCGTAAGCTGGCGATGATCTTGTGCAAAGCCGTGGACCAAGAATTCGTTGATGCCATCGTCGGGTATTAGTAAGGCATGTACAGTATGTACGTGCCCATGTACACGGTGCAAGCTCTAGAGAAGTCTGCACAGTAAGCGCTCCGTAGGATCTCCTGCATGGCGCAGCGTCGCGACAACTGAGGCATGTCTGTACCTTCCCTCTCCAGTAGCGCTTGATGCTTGATGGCTGCGCAGAAAGGAAATGAAAGCCAGCCGGTAATAAGCAAGCAATGCTCCGTGCAATACAAAGTACGTGCGGGCGTTGTCGCTGGACGGTGCGAAGTACGCTATACTGTACAGACTGCGAGCACGAGCAGGCACAGTGCTCCGTATCCGTACTGGCGACCAGTTAGTCGTTAGGGGTCCGCGGGAAGGAAGTGGCCACAAACGGCTCCCGTCCCCACCGTGCCTGCCGGATTCGTCACCCCCCAGGCAACTACATGCTTCCATCGCCCATTGCTTCGGAAGCACCAGACAGGAAAAAAACGAAGAACAAACGCTGCTGCATCCCCGTCGAACCGCACCGGCGACGCCTCCCGACTCAGCGACTGCTGCAGAGGCGGCCGAGGTCGCCGTCCGGGTCGGCTAGCCGACTCAGCGTCGACCATCCAGCGCCCTGTGCCCAACACCCACCAAGCCGCCTCGTCGAGCCAGTGCCAACTCTCGTCAGCGCTTACACACCGGGACAGCCACGGGAAATGCACCAAGCGGACAAAACAGCTGCGGCTGTAGAGGCCACGCTATTTTGGCGTCCGCGGCATGCGCTGTATACGACACTATGTCAGCATGTGGCTGAAGACCAAGTCTCGTCCAAGACCCCCCCTGGTCACCGAGTCGTGTGAGCTGTGCGACGATCGACCAGATCCCAGTGCATCCTTGGGCCTTTGCTGGCATGGCGGCCGAAGCACATTGGCTCATCGTCCTCACCGGTCCCCGCACCCAAGCAAAATGTTTGTGTGCCGGCCTGCCGCTGCTCTTCGACTATTGCAATACAAGACGCAGGCTCAGCCGTCCCCTACATACACATGTAGACGGCGCATGGGCTGTTCAGAGGCACAAGCGCTGACCAAAGTCACAGAAGCGCAGCTCGAGAGACAGAGGCTAAGATTCCGTCCTTCTGTCGGGACGTCGCGTGGCCGAATGACCCTCGCGAGGTCAAGCACACGTTTAAACCACGTTGTCATGGTGCACCGCCATCAAGGTCACTGTCCTTTTTCGTCGGCGCCGCCACTTTGCCACGACTGGTATTCATGGCGTTGGTCATGAACTTGCTGTTGGCAAGCCCGACAGGCAGTGCTATTGCCCACTGACTGCCAATGCGGTTGGGCACCCAAATGTGCCTCGATGTCTTCCGAACCGACGAGGAGCAGAAATGCCCGTCGAGGTCCAATCTCGACGCCCGCCAGAGCACCGGACGAGCAGCTTCGACATGGCAGACAAGTGTGCCAGCGGTCCCGCGCGCGGGTCCTATGCCGGCCAGGCTGGGAATCAATCTCCCTTGCAGCAGGGGGCTGTGATGGTCGTGGCCCGATCGGGAAACCCACGTTACTGTCTCACGCTGTAATAAGGCAGAGCCGTAGACAACCCTGGTCTGCCCCCAAGAGTACCCCTCAGTCCGCTCAAACACAATTCAGCACGGAGCCATGTTTTCGCCCTCCTCACCGGGTGGCCTCACTTCCTCTCCGAACCTCGACCACCGACTCCTTTTGCTGCTAACCTGACCGGCGCTCATGCACATCAGCGACACGCAGCTAGCATTGGCCCGCGCTACCCGCCATCCTTGCTGGACGGAAACACGCATCCCGAGCTACGAGTCACCAGAGCTTCGCCCGGTCGTGGTGGGCGCCAAAGGGTCTTCTGCCACCAGCCTCCGGGTCGATACCACCGACCATCCCGGCCTAACGCCCAACACTACAGTAGTTGGCGCTCTCCATCCACTCTGTCTTCCGTCTCCGCCTCAAAGTCCCTAGCCCGTCTCCTTCGCCTCCTTCGAGAGAAAACTCCGCTGCTACTCGCTGGCTGCTTGCTCGTAAACGAATGCGCCGTCGGATGGCTAACTCCGTCCCGGCAATGGTCCGGGTGGAACCATAGCTGGTCGACCTTACTCCCCCGGCTCCGTGCCCGCGCGCGTTCGCCCGGTTCCCAGGTTCCTGGCTTCGTTACACCTGTCTGACGTTACTTGATTTGTTCTTTTCTCTATAGTCAATGCCGAGTACCTGCCTGCCTCCCACGTGCCGGTACCTTGGTCCCTTCATCCAGCGAGCTGCCTGTTGTCCAAAGTACCCTTCCCTGCATCCATCATGGTAAGACGTCCTTCCTCCCCGGCAGCCTGCATGAAATATATCACCAATCTTTCTCCCCTTTTCTTCTTCCCTCTCTTCCACTTCGTGTCACACGGAGTCCTTCCACCCAAGCATTCGCCTCCTGCCCTTTGCCTCGAGCTTGACTCGTCTCGATCCCTTCCCCAAGCGCTCCAGCTTTCTCTCGCCTCTCCATCAAGGGATCGGGCTCTCGCCACATGTTCTGTTAGTTGACTCTTGGGACAGGACTTTCAGCCGGCAAGGTTCAAGAGACCTCGGCCCTGTGTTGGAGTCGAAGTGTCGGACCAGCCCTTCATTCCTTTGGCAGACGCGGAACACGCTCCATACGACCCGCGAGCCGTACCAGAGCACGAAGCCTTGTCTTATGGCTCGTCGTCCTCTGGCTTCCAGGCCTGTGACAATACCCAACCCTCACCTTTTCCGGCAAAGAGACGCAAGCTCGTCGATTCTACTCCCATGTCTCAAGGAAGCACCTCGTCTTGCCACTATCCCCAAGAGGAGAAGCTTCCCAAGCTAGAATCCTTCGGCCAGAACGCTCATGACCAGGCATCTATGCAGTCCTGTTGGACCGAGCCGGCCATTTCGGGTTCCATGTCGCTAGGGATCCCGCTGGCCAGGCAAATGACCAATCTGAGCCTCCTGCTGTGTCCTTGCTCTGGGCTTGGCTGGGATCAATCCGAGGGTACGTTTCCCGTCTCATCTTTTCAATGTCGCGGCTCGAACGCTACGAATCAGGACGGCCGATTGACAAACCCTTTCAAGGCTACTGCCCTCTTCCCGAGGCATCACCGACCGTTTATGACACGAACCAGCCGTATGGCGCGGAGAAGCAACCATACATGGACATACCCCCACAGCCAGGGCAAGACGGGCTTCCCTTTCTAGAACCTGAGAAGTACAGCCCCTTGCAATGCGAAGAGGCAGCTCACGGCCTGCCGCTGTCCGGATACCCCGAGCAAGAGCACGTACAGCTGGCTTCCCCACCAGACAGCGCCAAGGATGTTCTGTTCCCGCAAGATCGACCTTCTCTGGCGCATTATCCCGATGACTACTTGACTGCGGACTTGCATCCCTCCAACGGCATGGGATTCACCCCTAGCTACATGCAGAATGACGACCAGTCGCCCATGAATCAGGCCTCCGACTATCCTGTCACACTCGGTCCCCATTCTGCGTCACTCCAGAGCATGGCCAGATGTCCAGACGTGTCTCAATTTGGCATGATGGCAGTTGGAGGTGTGGCCGATCAAGCCCCCTTGGGAAATTGGAGCGAGCCATCCGTTTCTCTTCAGCCATCAAACTTCGACATTCTACTCCCAGACCAACGAGGAGGTAAAAGAGGCCCCTTTAGAGACCCAAAGCTGCGCCAGCAGACGGCGCAGACCAGGCGGACAGGGTCGTGCATCAGGTGCAGGATGCAACGCATTCGTGTAAGTATTCTGCGGAAGCGCAGTGCAGGTGGCAACTAACATACTACCCACTTGTAGTGCGAATCTGATCCGGAGGATCCCGGAGGGATATGTCTGACGTGTACAAACGTGGCCAACACAAAGGCAGGGCGCTTTCCCTGCCTGAGGTATAAAATCACAGATATGAAGCTGTACAAGCCCGGCCAAGTCCCCGGGTACGAATGGACCCGTCGATGGACGAACAGCATCACGGACCCTATTCAGAAATGGGCGTCTTCCGAGGTCAAGATTGTCCGCGTCTCGGCTGGTTTCTCGAGGCGATGCATAGAACTGCAAGTTCGAAGGTTTATACCCCAGGAAGGCGACAAACTTGTACGGACCTGGGATGTCCAGGGAATGAAGAAGTCGGTGGCAATCCCTCCCTACGCGCTGATCGATTTGGAGGCAACAAAGTCGACGTACTCTAGCCACATTCAAGACATCATGACGGACACCATTCAGCACGTCTTGGACTGTCCCGACAGTCTTTTGTGCAGGACATACTTCCGCGCTGTGGAACTAATGCGCGATCCATCGACGCCGGCGGACTCGATGAAGCTTCTTGGTCTGACGCTCACACTGTGGGTTTCCATTCGGCTCTCCACCACGTCGGGCTTTCTCGTTGGAGACGAGAGCTTGGGCATGCCCAACAATATCCTGGACGAGACTAGCCCCGACGCTGGCAAGATCCCCATGCCTCCTGTTCTGGGCGCGCAGCTAGACCTCGTGCTCATCCACCACATCCAGACGAAGCTCCGGAGGGAGATGCTGGAGATTCTGCAGAAGATGATCCTCAAGAATAAGCAGATGACTTGGTTTGTGACATACCTGGTGACCCTGATACTACTTCACAACACGGCCCTCATCACGGGCCACGACGCGGGGTATGCACGCAAGCACGGCATGAAGGTGAGTTGGGTGACTCAAGAGCTCCCTGTGGCGCACGCAGGATTCCCCTTGTCTTTTGAATGGAGGAATGAGAAGCTTCCGGGGAGGGAACCGGAAATGAGGGGGGAGTACGGAGTTGTGGTGTTTCTTTTTTGCTGACGACGGAGGACCCAGCGCCGATTTGCACGCGAGGACAAGGTCAGAGAGTATCACCTTGGTGAGACAAAGCCCTTCCTTTCCGTGTGAGACAGGGTGGCTAATCTGGCTACGCCGCCATGGCCAGGGGCAAACATCCTGCTGGCCCATTTCCATTACTGCAACAAGGGCATGTACCCATTTTCGGACGAGTGCAAGGACAAGGAGTTGCGAGCACTGGCGGATTTGAGCGATGACGAGCTCGAATTCGTTCACGCCACGAGGGAGCATGTCAAGCGGCGTCGTAAGTTGCCAACCCAGCCCTCCGACTGCGAGACCCGGATCCTCGGGCCAACGCTAATGTATGTGTGGCGCAATGCAGGACGGGAGTGGGAGCAACTTCGGGCACGCGGCGCATACGAGGATGATTTCTTTTTCGTCAGCCAGCTGTTTGAGGACAATTGGAAGCCACAATCGACGATATAAGCTGGGCCATGCATACGATGGTCGAGGGGGCGGTGAGTGGACTCGGACTTAGTCCCCGGGGGCTGGAGGCGGCCTGATGCAGAGGCTATGCAGGAACCCAGACAAAGGGAGACCAGAGCCCCGGCCGTGGTGTTGGTGCCTTGCAACTAATCAATAAATACGCCCACCGCCCCCGACTGGCATCTGAAAGGATGGTGGCGGAGGAAACATGGTTGCTCTTTTGCCGCGAGGCCGAACGACATCGGGAGGGAAGAGGTGGATGCATTTTCTTTTTCTGTATTTTGTAGAGATTTTCAAGCTCGCCGTGCATTTCATGTATTACAGGCGCCTTGTTCTCCCCATCCTGTTTCCGATCCTTGTCCGACTGGGGCCGCCACGGAGTGCCTTGGTCCCCAATCCCTGCGCATTCTCGCCTATTTGCCGGCTGTCAGCTTTCCCTTGGTTCGCGACCGCCCCTACTCTTGCTCGTGCGCGATATGTACCTTTGGACACCCAATTCGGATGCTGCCGCGCTTCCCGTGACCTCGTGTCTCATGATGAGTTATCTGAATATCCACGGTGGTGGGATATGACGAGTACGAGAGAGCAGAGACATGATGCGGCTCGCTTGCCCGCTTACCCGCCGGCCTTTTTCGCAGGCATACCCGACAGCCCTCATTCCAGCGAGGCAGGCGAGCATGGCAACGGCGGCCATGCTAGGTACCATCGTGGCCGATGTGCATCGGCGCGCGTACTCTATTCCTCTACTCCCATTGCTGGGCCATGTCTTGGTGTCGAAGGTTTGGAAGGGGAGCCAGGCCCAGGTTTGTCGGGGTCTCGCCGTCGTCTCCTCACCCTCTGCTCGTATCTTTACCTCTCTGGGACATGGCTCACGATTTACGCATGGGAAAGGAGGAAGAGAGGGGACGATGTGGAGAGGAAACGGATGCTCGGAAGAAGAGGCGGGGGAGAGCATCCGTAGATGGAGAGGGAAAACCAAGTCTTGGAAACAGGGATGGAAAGAGGGAGGGGAGAGAGAGGAGAGAGAGAGGCGAAGAAGATGTGTACAGAATTACATGGACGTTCCCATTTCGCCCCCATGCCAAGCCGAGCCCCCCCATGCTGCTGCGGTGTCGCAGCCGTGGTCCCGTCCCGCGGCCGGGTGCCAACAGTCGACCTGGCCCTTAATCCCCTCTTGACAGCTGCCAGGGGTGTGACGAGCTGGCGGTAATTCTGCCCGTGCGGGCCCAGCAGGGCTGTTCCCAGTTCCCGGGCCTCGGATTCGCGCCTGCATCGCTGCCGGATCCACAAACGTGCAGAGGGTGGGCCGAGCGCTCCATCCTGGTCTGGGACCCCCCCCCCCCTTCTCCCACCCAATGGGTCAAGCAGAAGTGTCAAACGAGTGAGGTGTTGAGAGAGATGGGACGAGATGGAGAGAGACAAGCAGAGAAAGAGAGACACAAGGAGAGACAGACTTGGTCCTCGTACATAAACAAGCACTCGTACACTTCATAACACACTCAAACATGGTCTGTACAAAGACCCAAAGACCCAAAGACCCAAATACACGCTCTCACACAACAACTCGCTTCCTACATCCCCATCCCAGAGACCCCAGCCCATTCCCCCCCCCCCCCTCGCGGATAGGCATCTTGTCTCTTCGCCTGGCCCCCTCCCCCCGCCGGGTCGGTTCCGGCAGAAGGGGAACAGGGAAAACAAAAAAGAAAGGAAAAAGCAGAGCGCACAGGGTAGCCCCCCATGGCTAGCCAGGCCCAGAACAGCCAGCCACTGATGCTCGTGCAAATCGGGGAGTCAACCGCGATGTGGCTGACCTGACGAGAACATGCCCACGAGGGAGAGGCACCCTCTACCTTCCTCTTGGGCCCTCCGGCCGATTGCCGCGTGATTTGTGTGGATGCCGTCTCACTCGTTCGCCGACCGTCGTCGCGCGGCCCGTACCCTACCTGGTACTAAACACGGACCGGCCGGGTGGCGCCCGCCATTATGACGCACCCTTGAGGTACCTAGCCGTGTCTTCTGGCTCCTCGTATGGCGACATACGAGTTCAGTTGGGCGTAAGAAGCAAAGCAAGCAGGCAATCAAGCGAATACAGCAAAGGGGAAAGGAGAGGGGGGGGGATTCAGACATGCGCCGCATATGATTCAGACGGCTCCTCTCTCCTGCAAAGATAAATAGTCGCCTCGCGCAAGGTGCTTTTGTCATGTCCAGTCTCTCCAGCCGCCAGCTTCGTCCGTCTTCAGGAACCGAACTGGCAGTAAGGAGGATCACCGCGGCACAGACTTGGCAGAATTTCGACGCGTCGTCGTGTAGTATGAGCCCCGGATGAAACGAGGCCCCGCCATATCGTGAGTGTTTCGATACTGATGCCAGCGGCAGGAAGACCTCCCAATGGCAGACTATGGAGCCGGACCCGTCGTAGGGTCGCATGCTGCTGCCCTGCCCAGTATAACGTTCCCGGCCGCGCTGAAGGAGACGTCCAGGTTGCCTGCTGCCTTCCCTCCCGTTCTGAATTCGCCGCTGGCCTGGTCCGGCTATCAGTTTGCTGAGCACTCCGAATACGTGCTCACTCTCGACAAGCTAGCCGTGGAAGAAGTCGAGCAAGCCCTCGAGCAATTCAAAGGCATGTTCCGGAGACCAGGCTGAAACCGCCATCACAGTCAGTGCTGACCAACTCCGAAGCGCTGGGCTTGGATGGCGATCTCATCTCACGAGAAATATTCCCCCTCCCCAACTTAGGACCGAGACTTGATCGGCTTCGCGTGGAAATACACCAGGGCAGAGGGTTTGGACTCATCCGAGGGCTGGACCCTCAAAAGTATTCGGTCGAGGACTTGACCATGCTCCACCTCGGCATCCAGTCCTATATTGCCAACCGCCAAGGTCGACAAGACTCCAAGGGGAACATGCTTGGTATGTGAAGCCTAGCTCAACTCTGATCAGCGCTCTCAGCCATTGACACAGCCCATAGTTCACATTGTCGCAGACAGTTCTTCCGCAGAAAAGGCGGTTCATCATCGCCACTCGACTGCTTCGATTGTAAGGCCCCCGTGCGAATCAGTTGCTGGCAGGCGCGTGTGCTGACGAAGCGCAGACATTCCACAATGAGGAAGCGGGCGACATTGTTAGCTGGTTGACGAGGAATACGGCGGCCAAGGGCGGCAAGTGCATTATTGCCTCAGCCTATACCGTCTATAACGTGATGGCCGCCAGTCGTCCAGACTTGGTGCGAACGCTCGCGCGGTCTGACTGGCCGTTTGCCCTGTAGGTCGCGCCTAGCGCCCTGCTACGACGGCCGCGGGCAATGCTCACATGCTCGTGTCTCGCAGGCCCCGATTCCAGTGTCGCCCAGTCATCTTCTACCACAACGAGCGGCTCATTACCAACTTTGGCAGAGCGGCGCTGTTGGGGAGTGCAGGCCATGGTCGCTCGAAGCAGCTCCCCGAGCTGACACGCAGCCAGCTCGAGGCCCTCGACATGATTGAGAGCATCGCCAAGGCCACGCAGCTGGAGATTCCCACCGAGCCCGGCGACATTCACTTCATCAACAACCTGGCCATCTTGCACAGGCGCGAAGGTTTCGAGAACGGGCAGTCGCCTCACGAGCGGCGGCATCTGGTGCGAATGAGACTTCGCGATGACGAGTTGGGGTGGGACATGCCCTCGGACTTGGACAAAGAATGGTCCAAGGCCTTCAACCCGGAGCGGGTAAAGGTGTGGCATCTTGAGCCAATGCCGGACGGTTTCTTTCCCTTGAGATCGCAGCCCAACTGAGCCAACGACACGACGCTATCGGCAGGGGGCATGGAACGACATCATTCCAGATCGAGTCGACCAACGGCACAAAGAAGCCGACAAGGCGGTGGGAGAGACAGGAGAGAGACTAATGGCAGGACGAGTGAGAGGAATATTGACAGCTTGGACTTGGAAAGTGTGTTTCTTTGCGGCGGCGTTTGGTTCAGAGCTTGCTTTGGTGTTGGTCGGTACCTGGCCGCGTCTAATTCGTCTCCGAGACGCGATTGGCAGCAGTTCAAAAGGTGGAGTAGATCTGATAGAGCACCGTGTGCAATGGGAGTGGTATGCTGTCGTCAACATGAGCATCAACGTGTCCGTGCTGGAGAGTCTTGGGCAGTTGGCACGGTGCGTAGCCGTGGCGAGTCGACAATTGGGGATCGGCAAAAGGACTGGACGAAGGAGATTGAGTGTCTCGGAAGAGTGTCGCGCAAACCTGAGGTCAAGGTTGTGTGTGGTCAAAGTCGAGCAGGATGCCCGTGGTCTGCAACGCTGTGTACAGTACCTGAAAGGCGCCGCCTTCAGCTGATTTATTATTAGCAATGCCAAATTGACATCGGAAAGTCGCCAAAAATCATGGGTAACAAAGGGCCGCGACCAAGTTAGGGGTTTTGAGTGGTAGGCGGCAACACGAAGACTGCCCAGGTCGGAGTTGGCACCGGGGCGAGCCCGGAGGAGCAACTGCGACGAGGTGAAAAGGTTGCTTTTTGTCCGTTTCCTCACTCGCACGGGCTGGACAGTGGCGGTGAGTGAGCAGCGACGAGAGCTCACACGTTCTTGTCTGGTCGACGGCGACGACTGAGCATCCGACCGGTATCGAGGGCCAAGGTTGTTTGTTGGTCAAGGCCAAGTGGCGGAGACAAATCTCACGAGAGATGGAGGCTGAGGCGCAAGGGAGGCAAGGAGGGGGATTTCGAGTCAGGGGCTACTCCGTAAATTATGCACAGTGCCAGAGGACAGTCCGTGCCAACTTTCACACTGTAGATGTGTCAGCGATCCGGCCAATAATTCGTCATGCTCATCTCGCGTGCTTTCGCCAACAGCCTTGCCTCCATCACCGCCACAGCCGCTCAAGGCCTCGCCCATCCGCCTTCTCGTCCAAGCACAGATCGCCGTGTGCATCATTCGCTCTGCTTCACTCTCGTTTGGAACTACGCGTGACGGGTCCCAGCTCCAAGGCCGGTCGAAGAGCATCCCATCACTCATTGTCTTGGACAAGCAACCATCCAACGCACAGCCCGAGTCATGAGACTGTCGTCGTCCCCGTTTGATTAACCCCCGGCATTGCTCCTGTCTTGACACGCCGCCTCCCTCTGTTCTGTCTGTCCTCAAAACTTGCAACCCCGTCAGTGCATACGCCCGTACGTGCAGTTCTCTGGGCCTCGCAGCACAGTCACCAGCGCCATCATGGTCACAGCGTCCAAGTCCCCCCCTGTGGGCAAATACTCTCCCAGATATCAACCCCTAAACCAGGGCGGAGAGCTGGGCGAGCCCGAAGCACAGGACGGCAGCGGCATGGCGGCCAGCTTCGCCGCGAGCCGGAATGGACCCGAACATCGCTTCTTCAGGGTTGCAACCTATGGCTTGGCCTTCTGCCTGCTTCTCCTTGTCGGCTGCAACCTCTTCTTCTCTCGCCAAAAGGTCTACTCCGGCCACAGCTCATGCCCTTGCTCCCCGCACAAGGTGCCCCAGTATTTTCAGACCTCTCCGGAGCTTTGGCCCGGTCCAACCGCGACCGGCCGCGCCGCCTTCCTGGCCCAGACACGGACATTTGATCCCACCTTGACCTACGTGCCCAATGAGCCGCTTCAGACGTCGTATCCCGTCCAGGGCATGGGGCAAGCCAACCAGAGTATCTTCAAAATGATGGGCTATCTGTCCCCCTATGCGCCCTCGCCTGGCTTTGGTGTTGACGAGTATCCCTTGCCCGCCGGCGCTGAGATCATTCAGGTCCAGATGCTGTCACGGCACGGCTCTCGCTATCCCACCACCGGCTCCAAGGTCGAGGCTCTCGGCCAACGCCTCGCCAATCTCTCCGACGGCTTTGCCCCGAAAGGACCCTTGGCTTTTCTCAAAGACTGGAAATACCAGCTCGGCTCCGAAATCTTGGTTCCAAAAGGCCGGGAGGAGCTGTTTGAGTCAGGTCAGAGGGTGCGCCGTCGCAAAAGTCGTCGAGTACCTGTCTTTGCTGACCAGTCTCATTCACATAGGCATCTTGCACAACTACATGTACGGCGGCTTGTATAATCCGAGAAGCAAGATCATTGTCCGAACAACGGTAGAGCTGCACCAACTGCCGCAAATCCTTCCGGCGCTTGCTGACATGAGACAGACGCAGGATCGAATGCTCAAGTCTGCCGAGAACTGGTTAGCTGGATTCTTTGGGCTGGATTGGTTCGTCCTCCCTCCGTTTGTTGCCAACGGCACGACGCTTACACGGCCGTCCAGGGCAAACAACGCCACCATCGAGGTGATTATAGAGGACCACGGCTTTAACAATTCTCTGGCCGGCTCGCTCAACTGCCCCAACTCATGGAAAAAGTCGTCCGGCGAAGAGGCTCGAAATACTTGGGTGCAATCATACCTTGTCAACGGTCAGTTGTTATTCTGTCGTCACCAATATGACGCTTTCTGTGATGCTGAGTAGCCTGTCGCAGCCACAACTCGATTCCAAGCCATGACCGAGGGTTTTACATGGACGGCCGACGACGTTTACGCCGCGCAGACCATGTGTCCCTACGAGACCGTTGCCTACGGATCCAGCAGATTCTGCGACTTGTTTACATATGACGAGTGGCAGGGCTTTGGCTACTCGATCGACCTGTTCTTTTCGGCAATAAGCGCATTCAACAGCCCCGCGGGAGTCAGTATTTATTTCATCGTCATCCAAGCGTGCCCTCTCTTAGTCGTGCCCTCTCTTAGTTCTCGACTGACATTTCTCTCTCTCAAAGCGCGCGATCGGCATCGGTTACCAGCAAGAAGTCATTGCGCGCCTGACGAACCATACGCTTGGCTACTCAGGCTCTCAGATCAACGTGACGCTAGACAGCAGCCCGGAGACGTTTCCACTGAACCAGAGCCTCTACTTTGACTTTTCCCACGACACCAACATCGTTTCGGTCTTGACGGCATTTGGCCTCCGCCAGTTCGCAGAGGAACTCCCGGCCACACGCTATCCTGGGAAGCACAACCTGACCATTGCCCACGTGACGCCCTTTGGCGCCCGCCTCGACATCGAGGTCATCAAGACACCGAAACCGGTCTCTCCGAATCGAGACGGTTACCTACGTGGCGAGGAGACGAGATATATCCACTTCGTCTTGAACCAACGAACATTGCCTCTGGGCAAGAGCTTCCCCGAATGCGATGCCAGTCGTCAGGATGGCTGGTGCGACTTGGACACGTTTTTGAAGGCGCAAGAAGATATGGCGTCCAAGGCCAAGTTTGACCACGCTTGTTTCGGAGACTATCCTCGCGTATCATACGGAGAGGTCACAGACGGCGCTCCGCCATGATGCGCATCACACGAGGTTGTTTGTTCCAGCAGGCGATGTTTGACAGTTCTTGGAACCTGTATCATTTCGACGTGATTTATCATCGACTCCTGGGGTTTGCCAACGCGAATGGCGCTGACGCCAGGCTACTGTTATGCGAATGTGTAGTCATTTACGGCGTGTACACCGTTCCACAGCCAGGTTTTTTCTATCAAAGCGGGTATTGTACGTCTCCAAATTATAGGAATCAACCAAACGCCGATGCCAGCTATGCGCCCCAACTGCCCCGGTCGCAGTCTCGGTAAAAATAGCAAAGATGGATCCAGAAAATAGCAAGAACAGAAGCTGCCGTCAAACACTAGACGGAAAGGGCTCAGGCCGCCCGAATTCCACCTTGGAGAGAGGACGCTGTCGACCTCTTTTCCTCGGGAGGGTCCCCGTCAGACGAGCGAGCCATGCTGGCGTGCTCTTGGATACCGTGCTGCGGCTCAATGACTTCGGGTGCCAGGGCGGGGTCGCGGCGATGGGGGCTCCAGGCCAGGAAGTCTCGTCGGACCTCGACGTAGTCGTACGAGAACTCGCCGTGCTGATCGTCATCCATGCCGAGAAGCTCAGCCTCCTCGGAGGCGCGCAGTTTGAGACCGGGGATGACGTCGATGATCTTGGCAATGACGGCGGACACGACAAAGGCGTAGGCGCTGGCGGCGACGATTGCGGCAAGCTGCCAGCCGAGGACGACAAACTTTCCGTCGAGGAAGCCGCCGGTGGCGCCCGTGTTGACGCCGTCGAGGCCGATGATCTTGCCCGTGGCAAAGAAGCCATTGAAGATGAGGCCGACGATGCCGCCGATACCGTGCTCGGCGAAGACGTCGAGGGAGTCGTCGATGCGGATGAGGAATTTGACTGAGAAGAAGCGTCAGCCGATGGTTTCGGGCCGAGGTCGTACTTCCCAGATGAAATGACTCACTCTTGGTGGCAAAGTTGCAAGCAATGCCAGACACGATGCCCATGACAATACTGGCCCAGGGATCAATGAAGCCCGAGGCGGGAGTCGCGGCAACGAGGCCGGAGATGGCACCGGAGCACCAACCAACCATGGACCACTTGCGGGCTAGACGATAGTCAAGCAGGCACCAGGTCATGGCGGCGAACATGGCGGTGAGGCACGAGTTCCAGCAGGCCATGACAGCGCGCAGGTTGGCGCCAAAGGCGGAGCCGCCGTTGAAGCCGAGCCAGCCAAACCAGAGGAAAACGGTGCCGAGGGTGATGAGGGAGATGTTATGAGGGCGAAAGTTCATCATCATCTTGTCGTCGCGGCGGCCGAGGACCCACGAGTAGGCGAGGGCCGAGACGCCGGAACCGATCTCGACAGGGATGCCGCCGGCGTAATCGAGGACGCCGGCCTTGAAACACCAGCCGTTGCTGTTCCAGACCCAGTAGGCGAGGGGGCAGTAGACGAGGGTGGCCCAGAAAAAGGTGAAGACCATGGCGGGGATGACGCGGCCGCGCTCGGCGACGGCGCCGACGGTCAGGGCGGCGGTGACGGCACAGAACATCATCTGGTAGAAGGAGTAGAGCAGGGCCGGGATGAGGGGGGAGCCGGCCGAGGGCCGGGCGAGGACCTTCATGAGGCCAAAGTGCTTGAGATCACCGATGAAGGGGTTGCCCGAGGTCTGACCAAAGGCAAGGGAGTAGCCCCAAAAATACCACTGGAAGACGATGACGGACGAGGACATCATGACGACCCAGAGCATGGACAGGGCCGACTTTCGGCGGGCGAGGCCCGAGTAGAGGAAGGCGATGCCGGGGACCATGAGGAGGACGAGACAGGCGCAGAGCAGGATGAAGGCCTGGTCGCCCGACCGATACCACTGGTTGAGGTTGATGGCGGCTGTGGGAGGGGGAGGGTGAGCGTCAGCGGATGATTACATGTCATCTGGAGCACCAGAGGGAGAAGCAAAGGCGGTGGACATACTGGGATCACCGCCGAGGTCCTCGTCGGTGCCATTGAAGACGGTCGGGGCCCCGACATGGCTGTACGACATGATGACGGGGGCCGGTCAAGGATGGAGAGGAGAGGGACGTGTTTCCAGAGGTCCAGAAGACCAAGCCGGTAGATACGGCACGAGATTCTGGTTCCGGACTGGCAGATATGCAAGATGGGGTGGTAGAAGGGGATCTGTGGAATGAGGCGACGGGATGCCAGATGCGGCCGGGAGACGACGAGGAGGATGACGAGGAGGAAGACGAGGAGGCAGACGAGAGATGAGCAGGCGCACGAGACGAAGGAGTGAATCACAGGATGAGATTGTCTATATACTGCAGTGGTATCCGTAACTTGGACCCTTTTTTTGGGACAGATAAGCACGTCTACATTAGTTAGTTAGTCGGACGAGGGAGGTGGCGAGCCGGGCGAATCCACCGAACTGTCAGGATACATATGGAGACGGGCCAAGTCTGCTGGCGGGCGCGTGTACCGACCGATAAAGAGCCCGGATAAGGTGCTGAACAGACACACACACACACCCCTGCTTGCGACTCGAACGCCGGGTGGTCTGCTTACTAGGGGCCCGGCTCAGAGCAGGGGAGGGGGTACGTACCGATAAGGGAAATCCGATTTGGACCAGACACTCTCTCTCTCACACACATGCCCCCCCTTCTTATCTCGGGGCCAGATTGTGCACCGTAGCCGAGACCGGGAGCTGAGAAGAGTGAACGGGTTATAGCGACATGCAGACGCGGATAGAGCCGCTCCCTAATACCTACCGCCCCGATTGCCCACTGCCCTGGCTCTCTCTTCCTTTCTTTTTCCTCTCCCGCCCGCCTTGTTCTCGTCGAGCGTTGTTGGTGCGCACGGCAAGGCTGTTGGCGCGCGGGGGAGCAGCACCATCGGCCCGGGGGCGGCGTTGGGTGGTGTATCCGTAGGTTCACGAGAGAACGAGGTGGATATATACCCCCGTGTTCGCCGTGGCCCGAGACGAGACGGGGCATGTCCGTGTGGGAGCCCCGTTGGCGCGACTGTCGACGCGGTTGTGCCATGTTACGCAAAAGGTCTCTCGATCTTATTCTTCCGGCAAAGGGGCCCAGAGAGGGGAGGGGCCCAGCCAGAGAGGGGAGGGGGGTTACAAGAAAGTCGCCTGAAAACGGCATGTGAATGAATGCCGGCCCAACTGACGCTATCTTTTGTCTCAAGGAACATGCTACTTACTACTGTACATCCTTCCCACCCAAGCAAAGCCGCGGGAAACCCCGACAGGGCGAAGAAGCTGCTTTCTAGGTGATGACGGATCGATTGTTTGCATGAAGAAGAAGAAGAAGCCCCCCCTTGGAATCGATAGATAAGGCAAGAAATAACTTGGGATGAATGCAGGGACCACGCGAGTCGCCCCCCCGCGCCAGCACGCGGCAGGGCCCCCCTGATTGGCCATTGGCCACATCACATCATCCTTTCTGTTATCCGCGCCCTCCTGGAGCGGCTGACTCGGTGCTTGTGCTGTTGCTTGTGCTGTTGCTTGTGCTGTTGCTTGTGCTGTTGCTTGTGCTGTTGCTTGTGCTGTTGCTTGTGCTGTGCTGTTGCTGTGCTGTGCCGCCGCCGAGGATGCCTGCAGTGCATACCCGTGCCTACTGTACATACATGCCTCAGGTTATAGTTACAGGCTTTGCTTGCTCGCCAAGACGCGTGTAAGCAGCCCGTCGTCACATGTGCTGCACAGCACAGTAAGTACACACATGCCTTGGGGGCCATGATGACCGCCAACTTCTTACTTGTGCTGACGTGCTGCTGCAATGCCACTCACTTCCTGTACCAAGCTTTATTTGCTCTGCGTTTGCCCCGCGCTCATTCGCCGCCTATGCAAACCCTCCCTTGCCGCGGCACATCGCGCCGCCCTCCCGCCCATCGTCTTCCTGGTCTTGTGCAACAACACCATCGCCTCGCCACTACCACCCATACACACACTTGTTGTATTGGCTGTCCGTCGCTTGAGCCTTGCATCACCGTGCACAAGACATGGTTCAAAACAAACCCAAACTTACCCCCCCCCCCGTATATGCCGCTCAGCTCTGCCCCCCTTCCAGAGAATATCCAGCTGCATCCTCTCAGTTCATGTTCATATGTGATGGCAAAAAAAAACCAATTTAACCCTTCTTGACGCTTCGCTGGCTGCGACAAGGCAAAGCACAAGTGACAAAATCCACAAGGGGTATCTACAGCCGACGCCTGTCCATCCTTTCCCGCTGCCCTGCCCGTCCGCCTCCGTCCCAGCGCTAGCCTCAGAAAATGCACACTTTCCCCGTCTCCTCCGCCCGCGTAATCTCGTACGTCAACATGTCGTGGTTTCGGTAGTGCAGCATCAGCCGGTACCGCCGCGGCCTGCTCCCGCCTCCTCCTGCTCCCTCCCCATCCCCTTGGGCCCCCTTCTCCTGCACCGGCCCCACGGCCATCCCGTGCAGTGGCCGCACCACCCGTCTGTAGACCCTCTCGTCCGATCGCCTCGGCAGTACCCAGTCCACCCGGAATCCGTGCTGCAACAGCCCCTGGCCCTTCTTGACCGGCGTCGCCAGTCTCGTCGGCGTCACCAGCAGCACCCGCCCGATCGGCGACCCCACCACCACCAGCGACAGTTCCGGCACGTGGACTACCATGCTGAGACGGCTCGTCGCCCTGAAAAGCAGCCTCGTCGTCGGGTTCATCAGGCCCTGCCCCATGTTCATGGCTTGCGGGCACAGAATCCCAAACTCCCGAGGCGTGCCATCGGCCCCTTGGTCCAGGCTCCGTAGCTCCATTTCCTTCTCATGTAGTCGGAGCACGTGGTATCTCTTCGCGAGCCGGCCTAGCACCGACAACTCGCCCGCCCGGTTGCGATTGCTCTTCGGCTCCGCCCTGAGGAATTGCACTAGCTCAAATGCCCTTCGAGGCATCGGAAGCACCAGTCCCTCGTGTGGCAAGTACACCATATCCAGCCTCGCTGGCGGCCAGCCCGGCCTCTGGCTCTGTCTGTGCCCTCGGCCTCCCTGTGTGGCCACGGCAGAGCTCTCGGAAGCTCCCGCGAACGGTGAAGTGAGCTGTGGCGGAGGCGTCGTTGCTGCCTGAACCGTCTCCGGCGGTATTATCAACACGTCACCGCCGTTCGTCGGCAGGTATAAGGCGCCCGTCGTGGGTATCATCTGGGGCGGCAGCCCCTGTGAAAGCTGTTGCTGCACCGTCATCTGCGGCGTCTCTGCGCCCGGCCCGACCGTGTCCACGAGCGTGGCCGCAATGTCCGACACTCCGTCTGCCGCACCCGCCAGACCGTCGAGCCCTACCTCTAGGTCGATTTCCACCCCCTCGATGACCTCTGCCTCCTCGCTCAGCTCGTCTGAATCGCTGTGCTGCGACCCGTCCGCATCCAAGTGCTGAACAAAAACGGCATTGAGGACACCCGTACCGAACGCGAAGTGATTCGGCATGTGTTCCGGAAAGGTGGCGCTGCGCTCCTGAGAACACGGGTTGTCCGGTATGTCCTGGAGATGTGACTCCATGTTCAAGGTCGAGTTGGGCAACGGGTCAAGCTCTTTGCCCGATGCGCCGAGAAGCTCTTCGACGGAGTCTACTTTGAGGAAGCTGCTCCTTGGCAGGGCGAGGATCCCCCAGCCCCTGAGGCGGCTGGCCATTAGCGCTCGTCTTTTTCGCCGGCCGCGTCACGAAGTTTCCTGTCGTGCTGCTTACCTGGATAGAGCTGGCCAAGAGTCCGAGTTTCGCAGCTGGACACAGTTGCACGGCTCGACACGTGTGGCCGGTTGAGAGGGCTTCCAAATGTCGGCCAGCCAGATCGCGCCCCTAATATCGATAGCGCAGATCATGTCTGCCGAGCCCTGGTCGTCGTCGACGAAGCACACATTGGGTATGTTGTCTGCCAGACGCCCAAGAGTCACGACAATTCTCCAGTTCCGGGCACGCTGACGCACGTGTGACTCGACATGCCCGCAGTCCCGACGGCAGCATTCGCAGCTATCGGGCTCCTGTCTTCCTTTCTTGCTTGGCGCCAGGCCCAAGGCAAAGACGGTCACCTCGCAGCGATTCGAACTGACGGCGATGAGGCGAGACTTTCTGTGGACAGCCAATCCCCAAGCAGACTTGCCGACATTCTCGTGGAGAAACGGCCTCGGCACGGTATTTCTCGGCCCATGACGAGCTCCATTCTGCACGGGGGGGGTGGCGCTCGGAACGGCACACGGCCTGCTGGCTATCCAGTCGGCAATTTCGCTCGTCAGGTAGGCAACGACGTCGCCATCATCGTAGCACGCCACCACGGCCTCTTCCATGCCAAGGGCCCCGACCATGATGTGGTTTATCGTGTGAGGATTGGAGGGATCTTGGTAGCCTCCGATGTGACGAGACGCCACGCTCGGGCGAGGAAAAAGACGAAGGTCTGGGTGTCGAGGTATTGTTTGCTTGGGGACGCTTCGTGGCACGTAGACGAAAATATTACCTTGGTAGGCGACCAAGTATAGCTACAGTCGGGTCGTCGCCTTGGTGTCAGTCTCAGGCACGGCAAGCCAAGGCGTGGCTTCTTGATGCAACGCACATTGTAGAGCTGTGACAGGGCTGTCAGGTTATTCCGGTATCGTTGCATGGTGGGCACGAGTTGGTAAATGGACGTCTCGTCGCAGTCATCGGAACCCGGCTCCTCCCAGTCAGGCACTGACCCGTCTGGGCCGGGGAAGAGGTAGGAAGCGAAGCGTTCACGCTCGCGGACAGCCTCGCTGGCGCCGCTTCCAAACTGAAAGGGGCGCCAAGGATCAGCAGTTGAGACGCCGAACGAGAGAAGAATGCGAGACGTACACGATCGTTGGCTGTCTGGGCGTAGCAGGTTCCTACCGAAACGGGCTGGAACGGACGCTTCCCAGGGCCCGTATCTGGGCTCTCCATGATGGCCGAGCTGAAGATGGCCTCGGGGCTATGGATGAAGCAGTAGATGGGCGGAACATATAAACTGCAACTCTAGAGAGAGGAAAGCGGCGGCGATCAAGCATCGAGTTGCGAGGCACCTAAGTATCTCTGCCTGGGCCGCAAAGAAGCTTTCCGACGTCAGGAGGAGGATGAGAGGATTGTCGTAATGATGAGGATAGTGGAGGTGGAGATGGACGAGACGGAGATGGATGGTGACGAGGTGCAAGTTGTTTGCTCGGGGGAGGGTTGGGGCCTTAGTGGTGGCGGTGGTTTCCGCACTGTGAACAGGCGTCTTATCGATAAATCGCACAGAACCCCCACTGCTTTCATCATGGAGTCGTCGAAACGCGGCCCAGCCCGAGCCATCCAATCACGGCCGAGACGCGACACTTGACGATGCCCTCGCCGCCCTTTTCATTGGCAGCCAGCAGGCGACTTGCATATGCCCAGCCGAGACCCTTTTTTTTTGGAAAAATCCTCCCCCGTCTACCTTTTACAGTACAAGTCCACCGTCCCCCTCGGCCAACGCCCATTTCTCATGCACGCAGCAGTCCTGATCCACGATATACAAGGCAAGCCGATATGACCCCCTTCTCGAGCAGCCGTCCAGCTCAACCAAGGTGACAGCTCAACCTCTGAAACAGGTCCCCGCCCGAGTGAAACAAAAAGCAAATCACGCCCGCATAAGCTCAAGCATGTCCTTCATCCGATAATCCAGCACGGGCGTCTCCCAGTCGTCGGCGACCAAAGAGTACGTCTCGGGCGCATTATCCCGAGGCTTGCGCGCGTTAAGCGCCCAGTATCCAAAGTCGGCGTCGACAGACTTGAGAAATCTCCACAGGTTCTTCCAGTAGTGCGCGTCCCCGCGGCCCGGGTCTCGCGGCGCGCCCAGCTCCCCGACCCAGACGGGCGCCGTGTCGCTCTCCAGCAGGTACGCCCAGTTGCGCTGCATGGTCCGCGCAAACGACGCGTACTCGCGCTGGGCGAAGCGGCCCTCGAGGCTGCCCCAGCCAGACCACGAATACACGTGCGCCGAGTAGACGAGCCGGTTGGCCAGGTCGAGCCGGACCGGCCGGTCCCTCGCGCCCGACAGGTCGTTGGCCGACTCGGTGCCTTCGACGACGACGAGCAGGTCCGGCTTCATCCTCAGCAGGCGGTTGCCGCATCGCTCGGCCGCCGCCGCCCACTTAGCCCACGGCATGGTCCCCCACAGACCTCGGACTTCGTTGCGCAGGTCGGCGCCGATGACGAGCGGGTTGTCGACGAAGCGTGCCATGACGGCCTCCCAATTCTGCATCCACTGCTCCTCCGTCTGCCGCACGCGACACAGCGGGCCAAGGTGGTCGTTGGCCCACCCGGCATCGCACGGGTCGGCCCCACAGCACCACGTCGCGCTCGTGATGTGATTGTTGACAATGACGGCCAGCCCGGCCTCGGTCAGGGCCACCGCGACGGCCTCGAGCACGTCCATGGCCCGCCGGCCCGCCAGGTCCGGGTTGGCGCGGACGAGGCGGGCGTCGATGACCGGGTCGGACCGCACCAGCTCGTCGGCGTACGGCAGCCGCACGCTGTTGAAGCCCATGCTGCGGATCGTCTCGGCAATGGCGGTCCGGTGCCGCACGTCGAGCCCGCCGGGCACGAAGAGCTCGTCGCTGGCGCCATACCAGTTGACCGACGACAGACGGAAGCGCCGGCCGCTGGCGTCGACAATGTGCCGGCCCCGGGTGCGGAGCGGCAGCTGGCACGACCGGATGCTCGTCCTATCCAGCGGCGGCGGCAGGGACCCTTTGGCGAAGCGCCGCGACTCCTGGTCCGGCACCCACCGGGCGCCGAGACGGGCCTCCCGCTTCCGGAGGTAACCGGCCAGGCCGCCCAAGACGAGCAAGACGACGACGACAAGCAGAAGCATGTTGCAGGGCGAGCGAGCGAGACCAACAAAAAGGGGGGGTGCGCCCCCGCTTGAGCGCGCGCAAGAATATCGAGGGCGCGCGGGAGCTTCGGTTGGCCGTGGGGAGTCCAGGCAAATGGACTCGGTGTCTGTCGGCGTCGGAAGCCGTGGCCTTGCCCCGAGCGAGGGAGAGCGAGCTTCGGTGGAGCCGCTCCGGCCCTGGCTGAGGCTGATATCCGCAGTGGCCCCGAACCTAAAAGGCAGCCCCACTACTTACTTCCTCTCAGCCCTGCACGACACAACATACCGTAAGTTGTAACGAGCCAAGAAAAGGGTCTCGAGCACCGCCACGTCGTCGTTGCGTCGTCGACGGTATCTTGGCGGCATGACTGCTTCCCGATGTTCATGCGTCTGTCTAGTGCCAGCCCTCCGAGGCAAGACGTCGTAGGACTTTCACCTCATTCATACCCAGCTCTGAAGGGTGAGCAACACCATCTCGTCTCCACGGGTCTGCGGATACTCAGCCAAGCCAAGTCTCTTCCTCTAAGCACTTATCTAGGTGGGCTTCCGGCGCAAACGGCCACGTCGTCATCTTAGCCTCAGTGTCCGAAATATGCACCGCCATCGTCTCAGCCTGCCCCGTCCGAGCAATGACCTGCTGTTCTCCCGCATCTCCGTGCCTGTGGCTGGAACAAACAGGCAACTCATCCTCTGTCTCCAACAGGGCAAGCATATAAACAAGATTCATCATAAAACCGTGACGCCGCGCTGTTCTTTCAAAGCACCCTCCGACTGCATTATGGCGCCAATCGCCCCGATGCGTCCCGGAGCCAGCCGGCCCCCCGAATGATGCGTCGCCCTCGAATCAAGTAGTGGCCAAGCCGTGGCAACTGATCTCCACGACCAGGCGGCACGCAGCACATGTCGTGGGTAAACTGCCAACCCATTGTCGCCAGCGTCATCTTCCCCACAGGCTGTTTCCACCTCGATAGAGGATGCTCTCGTCACTCAAAGCATGGGAGCAGACGCCTTCTCAAACGCGATGCATGCCCAGCGGGTTTACGTCTCCCTCGCAGCCCTTTGTATGTGTCGACGCTGTGTGTGAACCCCATGAAGGCTGCCGTGGTGGCCGTGGACTCGAATACGATTGCGTTGGGGCCCGGTAATTTTGAGCTTTTTGCTCAAAGTAATCCGGCGTTTCCCGCCCCATCGGAGGCGACTTTGCTGGCGAAAGTGGCGACACCACGGCGCTGGAATCTCTCGAGAGCATCTCGTATGCCCGAGAGTCTTTCTTGCCTTCGTACCGGGCGTCGACCGAGACAAACTCTTTCTTCCTGTGGTTGGCAATGGAATGCACCAGCTCAATCCATCCTGACAGCATTGACCATCGGCCCAGGAGGAAGAGGAGCCATATGCCGTTCAACTTGCGCACATGGTTAGCTTCTCGACGAGCAACGACTCCAGCATGGGGGCGAGCTTACTGCAAGCAGCAACAAGACGGCCGAAACAGTTGCCTCGTTGACAACCATGGACCGTGCCTCGTCCAGGCACTGATTCTTGTCGCCCGCAGCGCGAATCAGACACATAACCCAGCTCTTGGCGACCTCGGGATCCCGAGTAATAGACAGCACGATGTGGTCTTGGAAAACAAAGACAATGGAAAAGAAGATGACGTCGGCGATGATGATCAACACAATGGCAATGCCCCGCCACTGCAGCGCGACAACGCGTCTCACGCGGCGGTAAGCTTGGCGTGGTGTCATGGTCCGCAGACTGTTGCTATAGGTGGGTAGGCCCGAGCCCTCCGTCGTCGAGTCTGAGGTATCCGACAGAGATGCCAGATAGACCTTGACGCAGTACCCAAATGTTGCAAAAGTGATGACGACCGTGGCCGCGGCAAAGACGAGGAGCGGGATCCACAGGGTCGCCAGGCTGTTTGGGTGGTTGATGTGGCACGTCGCGCCGAAGCGAAAGGAAACACCGCTAAAGACAAGAGCGAGGATGATGCCGAGGATGGGAATTCCCCATCCAGCGGCCTGGGCGAAAATCATGAAGTTTCGGCCGACAATGACTTGCCAGCAAATCTGCAAATGCAGAGAAAAGGACCGGAGGAACGACCACATTACGCCACACCAGCCGCCGAGCATTAGCAAGGTGCCTGAGGCCCCGCAGACCTTGCTGGTTCGCATGTCATGCGGCGTGATCTTGTCGAAGCACTGGTCAGGCTGCGCAGCCAGGGGGACGACAAAGCCGAGCTGTACAAATCAGCACAGGGGGACAGCCTATCAAGCGTTGCAGTCGACTCACGTTCATCAGCATGACTCCAAACGTGAAGCACACGCTCAGATAATGGCGGTTCGTCTTGTCGACAGGCAGTGCTGCCCACGACGCGAGCAGGAAGAGGCAACATATGGCGCTAACCGTTGCCGTCCAGTCGGCCACCAAGGTAATCGTATTGAAGCTATCCGGGTATACCCAGTCCGCCATGGGGCATGGCAGACAGCAATTCAAGTCCTGGTTCCTTTGGCAAAGTCGCCCGTCGATATCTGTCACGAAAATCAGCACTGCCGAAATGCTCTGACTTGTTGTTCCGGCCACTCACAGCCGCCGTCATTGCTAAATAGACTCGAGTCGATGAATGGCGGGAGGCACAAGTTGACCCCCGTGAGGTTGCCCATGGTGTGGCCGATGAAAGTGGTCGAAGACACGATCCTATACAGCGAGTTGAGAATATTTCGGAGGACCCAGACGAGTGCTTCCTCCTCACGAGCACAGTTGATGTAGAAGTCGACGAATGCGAAAGGGGAAGAGTCGGGGCTAGTCGTTTACGGCGTGGAATATGTAGGTTGCCTCGGTCGTTAATACGTTGTATCGAATGTTTCCAGCGCCCCAGTCACAAGCCGATCCATCAGATCTTGCTCGTTGCATCGGGGTATCCAGAGTAAGACGAGCGGGGTTTGCGACAGCCGCTGGTGACTCGAAAATACAGCTTTACGACATTTCTCGAGCTGGAGATGTCTCAACCAGGCCAACGTCGAGAGAAGAGAGCTCTCAGGCTCAAGGCAAATGTTGAGAAGATGCAAAGCGGGAGCAGAGGCGGCCGTGGGACTGGACAGCGGGCACCGGAGGGTGGGCAAGAGGATTTTAATATACGCGGACATGTTCTGTCGCCTGTTCTCCCTCTTGCTCTTCTCTCTCGGGGCGAACAATGTGATTCGACGAGGCCGGGCAGGGACGACAAAGTACTGACCCATCCATGCCAACTGAGTGGTACAGCCAGTGCTGGGCATGTCATTGCCCGTGGAGGGGAGGATTTTCTGCATCGGCCACAGGTTGCAGCGCTGAGATGCAGGCAGGGGACCCCGGCCACCAACCGCTAGCACGGCGTGGCGGATGGTTGGTAGATGGCCTGGATGGTCGGCTGCATGGGAGCGCTTGTGTGTTACCTGAGCCGGTCGACATGGTTTGTACGTAACGGCGTATTGGACCTTTTCTTGCATGGGCTTTGGCACTAGCAGCATCCTGTGATGAGCTGCTGCATCCAGAGAGCGTCGGGCTGGCCAGCTAGCGTCCCTAGTCTTCTCTCTCGTGCAGAGAGGAGGGTTGGAGGGGGGCTTTGTCTTGGGACAGCCATCGACGACAAGACTGAGCTCGCGCCAGAAGAGCCGTAGCCTAGTTATGGGGGTCGGTCGTGTGCGAGTGGGCATTCGCCTCGGCGGATGCCGTCGCGTCGTGTCGTAGCGGTTCGTTCGTCTATCCGACTGTCCACCGAGGGAGGCTTCCTATCACGGTGCATGTCTCCCTCATACATGCACTGGGGACGCGGGTTGACACCGCATGGCTCGGAGAAAAGCCCCGGCTTTGGATAAAAACTGATCAAGCCGACGCCGCGATAAGATGCCGAGCCAAGGGAAGGCGGGATGCATCGACGGCGGCCCGCTGTCGAATGTCGACGATGTCGTCGGCCAACAGCTGCAGAAGTACTTGGCACTGTGCAGTAGGCAGGGCAGGGCAGTGCGAGGGAGGACAAGGCCGACCTTGTTGGTGGACAAAGGGGTTTTCTGCATTCACCACTCTGCTGATTCGGTAGCAAAAGTCTTGCCCTGTACTGTAGAGGCGGGCTGGCATGGCTGTTGGCTGACCAGAGGAAGGAGGTACTGTAGGGTCAAGCCTGGGGCCGTGCCTGCCTTAGCCTTTTGATGTGCAGAAGCGGGGCCCGCTTGCCGTCGTCGAACAAGGGTGGGCTTGGTGGGGCAAAAGGCGGGGGTACGGAGTACGGAGTACGGTACAGTACGAGCACATTACCAACTCGTACAGTGCAAGTTCCTCTCATGATGCGACCTCGGACCTGCAAACCCGCATGCCGCCGATACATATCGGTGCCTGGTCTTGCATTTCACGGCTGTGCGAGGTAGGCTGCAGAGACACACGACACGATGGTACTGTAGATGCGTTCCCAGATCGCATATCCATAATAATGGAGGAGAGATCTGAGATGGTTCGCGGCCACGGTCGTCGTTCTGCCGGCGGGTTTTGGAGATGCGGCAGATGATTCGGCGCTTGCTTTCGCACAGCTAATTACGATTAGCCGCCAGCAGCTATCCAAAACCCTATCCGCGTCGAGAGGCATCCTTGCTCGAGGAATAGTGTAGGTTGCTAGCCTCGTGGTTCCGCATGGGTGTTGCGGCTGCATCGAGCAGAAAGGCTGGCGCTTCCAGTGCTGTCTGGATATAAGGTGCTGACCTCTGCGAGATGGCTTGACGGGTTCCGGGCCGACTCTCGCCATGCTGCTCAAACCGGCGTGGAGTCGCACCCGTGTGCGCCCTTGTCGGCTATGCGACTCTTGCTGAGCATCACCACCACCAGCCAGGCCCTCGTTGCTGCCCACCTCCACGGACTGGAAGTTCAGCCTGTCTTGAGGTACCTGACGAGCTCCCCGGCGGTAAACTTGGTAGAGGGATGCGCAGATAGGGCTGAGGAGCGTTGGGTATTCTGATATGGCATGGATGCACCCGACTCGTCCGGTACAGTACGTCGGCGTCTGAGACATGCTGCTGGTGGCCCAAGGCTGGTCCATGGCAAGCGAAGATGCATGCAAGCATCGCATCAGAATTCTACCAGCAATGAGTGCAGCGTCATCCACAGACGTCCGCCCTCCCTCCCTCCGACTCTTGCTTGTGTGCATCCGGGCATGCCGAGTTCGACTCCTTGACGCAAGGCTGTTTCGTGGCCTCGGGGTGGTCGCAAGGCTCGGCAAAGTCGAGCGCTGCATCTCGTGTGTCGAGAATCCTTGAGCGAGTTGATGTTTGCTCACAGTGCCGGGACCAACATCGCACCAGGTACGTACCTGGTCCGAGGTACTCCACAATCCACCCCTTTCAAGTCGTGAGCTGGGAGATTCATCAGCTCTCGATACAGCCATCCCAAAGCCTCGCGAATCCATCACGAGGTGACGCCGTGACCGTCGGTTGTGACCGCCTCCTGTTTTTCTCCCCTTGGTTCGACCCCCTGATAGGTGCGAGGAGAGCGCGCAGACTTGGCCAGTCACAGCAGGGTTGTGGCAAGCTGACTCGCTTCTAGCTTGGCCTCGGCGCCTGTCAGATGGCGAGAAACGATCCTCGCCCACTGACTGGCCCGTTGCCTGTTGCACCTTGTGTGGTGGGCCCATTGTCTGCCACACAAAGGCCACGCGGGTGGCGTCCCGAGACCCTTGGACGATGCTAGGACTGGGCGGCGGCTGCGACGCAGATCTCTCCAAGCACTTTCTCTGCTCGGCCTCTTTTCACTCGGCCTCGATATACGCACGCCAGCAAGGACCGCACGTGAGGGCTTCTTGGCAGTCACCTGCCACCCTGCTCTCGCGCATCTCGATTGTTCTCGCCCCGGTGCTTCATTGGCTGTTGCCCAGGCTAGTACGTGTCGAGTCATCGAGAGGCGCCTATCCCTTGTCTCCATGCGACTGTGACGGCGGTGCATACCACGACCCGGATGGATGGGAGCAGTCCTGCACCGGCTGGCGGGAGACACGAGAATTGCTCAGCCGGCTGGGCGAACAATCCCACCTCAAGATCGCCGGGCATTAACCCACCCAGGCATTGCCGTGGCGCTCTCGAGTCTGGAGTTCATAGTCGTCACATGATGATTACGTCCTATCCGCATGACTTGGACACACCGTTGCGTCCTGCTTGCTTCCTGATGCTATTCCACCAAGTTTGCCAGGGAGCAATTGAAGCACGACAGACTGTCTTTGGGCACATGGTTAACATCATGACAAAAATGGACGCGCCAGTCACTTGCACAATCCATTACTTCGTACACTACGGAGTATTATCGCCTGTGAGCAGGGATCCGACCATCATCAGCTCGTTACATCAAGCACACCGGCGTGCCTTGCATGCATACATGCAAATCGCGACGCTTTTCATGAATCGCACAGTACTGTACAGTACATGCAGACGGCTACTGCGCGAGATATCCTCACCTGATTAATGACGTCCTCTATTTAGCATAGACCACAGGTTGGTGAACTTGGGACAGCTATGCAGCGCAATGCTCTTGTCTTCAGCTGCTGAGTGCACCATTCCCAGCTCCGGAGACTGATGCACTCCGGAGCGCAATGCCGCATCCTACGGTATGCCCCGCAAGATCTGGCTACCTTCCAACTTTGGGTTCACCCCGGAACTTGGGATTCTCGACTTGGCTGACGTCTAGTAACCGCTTCTGCTTGCAACCAACTTTGACGGCGGGTAGTCTGAGCCCGACTGTCGAAGAGATCAGCCAGGGCGAGATTTCGGAGGAACACTGGGGGCCAGACCATGCCGCTGGCTTGCATGTCAAGATGATTTCTCATAATGTTTCATACATACTGACATCATAAAACACGCACGACAGCTCCCGTAGGCTCCACAGCAGTAAAGGGGCCTGCTTACGCCTTTTCACCAGACCAATCTATCTCATTCACCTTTGCAAGGCAAGCTGAAATCCAAATTTCTAAGCTGGGAAATGCCGCGCGGTTGTCTTCCTTCTTACGACGTCTACTTCAAGCCTCAAGGTGCCACCAAATGAAGGTGCCTCTCCTATGTGAAATGGTTGGGTCGCGATGGGCTTGGCAAGGCGGCTTTCTCACAAAGATTCCCACCTATCCTTGATTATCTACTTTGTACTCCGTATAAAGCACGAAGTCCATGGCGGCAGTTCCCGGTTCCTCGATGACTGTGCGGCATGCGCATCCACGGGGTATGGATGGTGGAGGAAAGACTACCCACACCCCTTGAGTCGAGATAGGAGCATGCACGAAGTAGCGACGAGGACGGCTGACGAAAGGCAGCCCTGTTCCTGTTAGCATGCCTTGTCCGGCAGCGTGGTCGGTCGGTTATCCTGGTACAAGGCAGCCAAGCCTCGGTCATGCATCTGGGGTTGGCTTGCAGCAGCCAGTGGCCCGACGCCTGCAGCCGTGGCCGCCGCCGCAGGAGCAACTGGGAAAGGATCAAGCCAACAAGTCTGGGGTTTGAAACTTCAAGAGCGACGGGCTCGTCGACAGCACAACCGCATCAGCTCGGCCAAAACGGTCGCAACTGTCCGGCCTTGAGTCTCGGTGGAGCTCTGGGCTAGAAAGGGGGAGGCGGCTGGTGATGGCATCAATCAGCTTGACCTGATATCGATACCATCTCCGACGACTTATCCACAAGGGAAATGCCGTACATGCCGGTGGGGAGCTGCAGGTTGAGCCTGCACTTCTGCCTTCGCCTGCGAGATTGCGTTGGAGAAATTCCCCCGTCTTCCCAGTTGACCCACACGTGGGAAGCGAAGTTGCTCTGGGGTCTGCTCTGGGTTTCTCAAGTCGTTCTCCCAGGATGGCTCCAAGGGATGTTGAAGACCCCCGCTTGTGGCAGAGCTTCCTCGCAGCATATCCATACGGCCGATTTCGAGCCGATTCAGAGGCCATTCCGAGACGATTCCTCGGGTCATCATACGGACATGTTCGAGCATCATGAGGTTGCCGCTCAACATGCCAAAGCCACATGGGCAGGAACTGTGCTCTCGCCCTCCTCTTTCTGTTCTCGTCTGAGAAGGGCAGAGCCTTTGTCCTGGTCCGAATTTGGGCAGAAACAATCGTTTTGCGGTCGTCGTCATCGCCACGTTGTCGTTTATCGCTCAAGCAGAGCTCTGCTCGTCAGATTGCCACGTTACTCCCGCCTTGGTTTTTGGTCAAGGCATTATATGGGTCTCTGCTACATGTAGCTTGCGCGTCGGTCGTCCACGGTGGATAGCCAACTCCAGCGCCGACCACGTACTGGGAAGTAATTAGCTGGATGCCACGGTTGGGGCAGAATCGAGCAATGGAACCAAGACGCTTGCAACGGGGCCAATCTTCAGGCCCGTTGGAAGACATGGGAGATTCGGCCCGGTTTGGCCCATCCCAGAAGCTGCAACCCAACAGCTAGATTTCCATCGCCTGTTGGCCTGTGCGCAGTAGACTGACGGCTGTATGCTGCCCTGACATTCTGCCTCGGCCTAGATGTTGCCGCGAGCAGTAAAACTAAGGCTATGCAGCATGGGGGTTCCTTATGGAAATATCATTCTTGCCCGGGCTCAGCGACAAGGGCCGAACGTATCGGGCTTCCAAGGCCAGTCTTCTGATTCACTCTCCTCTGGGCCGACCTGGAAGAACGGGGGATGAGCGGGTCGATAGGAAAAAGGCCGAGTGCTGACATCTGCCTTCTAGAATCGTTGCAGAACAAGACCAGGCTGGTCTCTGGATTGCAACCTGGATCCCAGTACAGGGGAGGCCAAAGTGAGAATCACGATGCCGGCAGGTCGAAAGGGGGCGTCTCTTGCATAGACGCTGTAGCATTCTTGCCGGCCTGGGGAAGTAGAAAAGCTCATGTGAAGCGACGGCGACATAGGCCCTGGACCAGGGACGCAAGAAGTTGATCACCAAGACGGGGCTCCCCCTTGCCATGCCAGGTATAATGCACGATGACCCCCTCCCCAAGAGTTTACTGGCAGTTGAGGCAAGGATTCGGTCAGCAAGCCTAGATCGCGGACAGGAAATGCGCCTTGGTTGCAACGGAGCAAGGGCCAGGGCCTGGATGAGTTGCAGAGGAACCTCGTCGCCTTGCCCCTATTGGTGGAACATGGACAGTTTCCTGGATGAGAAGTTGATGCCGAGCCGTGTCCCTGGCCTCGTTGCCCCTGTTTTCCCCTCGTTGCCTGCAAGAATTCAGGGCCAAAAGCGGATGCGGCTCGGGCAGGACGGGGTTTGTCTTGCTTGGGAATCTCGTCCGAGAGCAGGGGGAGAGGGGGCCCGCACTCAGCCTGCACTCCTGCAGCGGGAGCCGTATATGCGGCCGCATCTAGCTTTTGCCCGGGACGACGCGCATCTCGTGTGGATGTAGCGTGCGAGATGCAACGTAGAGGTGGATGGCTGTAGTTGTCGGCTGTGGGTTGGGGAAAGGATGAATGGAGGAGGTGCGCTACCGGAGGGCATTTGAGGAGCCTGCCGAGGTGGGTGGACGGTACCGGGTAGGTAGGTAGGCTCCCCAGCCAACAGTTGACTGCTGTTGCAGCGTCTCTCTCTTTGTTTTTCACATCACGACAAACGTTGATGAGGTTGAATGAGCCACGTTTAACCCCCACAGCCCGTCCCGTCTTTTTCTGGATCCTCGATCGGCACTGGGATCAAGTGCAGCCGAGGGTAGGAACCGGAAGACCAAGGCGCATAGTTTTTCTTCGCCCCCCCCAGGGCAGAAATTCTAGGAAAGAAAAGGAAAAAATCCCACGCGAACAAGGACCAAGGAGTGGACGAAGAAGAAGAAGGAAAAATGGCCGCTCCCTCTCCGCAAAGCGCGTGGCAAATGCACGTGGCCGTCGGCAGAGCCCCCGCCGTGGTGCGGGTGACGAGGCTGCAGACGACGATCCGGGGCCCCGACGACGCCTGGGGCCGCGGGGCCCGGCCGCAGCCCATGCTCGTGTCGGCCGACGTCTCGCTACGGGCGGGCGGAGCCGGCTCGGCGTCGGCGGCAAGCGACGCCCTGGCCGGCGACACGGTGCACTACGGCCGCCTCGGCAAGGCGCTGCTCGCGGGGCTTGGGCGTCTTGCAGAGGGCGGGGAGCAGCAGCAGCCCCTGCCGCTCTTCACGGTGCTCTTGCACATGTGGCTTCACCTCACCGGCCGAGATCCCTTGTCGTCGGGCCAGGACGCCGCCGTCCCGGAGCCTCTTATAAAGGCCTCGGCTGTGCGCTGCCTCGAGTTGACGGCCCATCTGCCCAAGGCCTCGCTGCTGGGAGACGGCGTCAGCCTCACCCTCACCGGCGTCTTCCCCGGCGCCAAGGGCCACGGCGAACCTGTCGACGACGGCCGGCTCAGCATGTACGGGCGGACCTTGCGCCTCCACAAGCTAAGGGTGCCGACGCTCGTGGGCATCAACGACAACGAGAGAGAGGCCAAGCAGGCCATCATCGTCAGCGTCGAGGTGGACAACTTTGTCGCGTTGGTCGACACCTACCACGCCCTCGAGGCCTGCGTCGTTGAGGTGAGACCTTTCCCTGCTTGATTTACCCTGCGACCTGTATCGTCTGACTGGCGGCCGGGGACAGAAAATCGAGGCCTCGTCCTTTGGCACTCTCGAAGCCTTGGCCGCCCACCTCGCGGACACGGTCAGCCGGTACTTGAGGGCGGAGCAGCAGGAGCCTCTGGACGGGTCCGGATCGCATCTCACGATTACGGTGGAAAAGCCGATTGCCGTGCCGTTTGCCGACGCCCCGTCCGTGGAACTGAGGACCAACACCAACGACGTGCTTGGCCCTGTGGGGTGGCCGGGGAATTGATTCAAGGGAGACGAAACAGGCATGCTTTTCGCTATCTAAGTGCAGATGCCCCTGGAGAAAGAGGGGGGCTCCGACAAGTCCATCAAGTCATTATGTCGCATCTCGTGGTCTATCTTGCCTGGCATCATCAAGACTCTGCGGCCGTATCCAAAGACGAAGCGGACCTGGTCGCGGGGCCCATCACAGGTCCGGCTTCTCGCATTGCGGCACGTCGCTGTCTGTAATGTCCCGGATGAAGTCGGGATCGGGATCGAACATCATGACGTGAAAGTGCTCGACGGCATGGATGGACTTGAGGGCCGACCAATTCTTAAACCACATGACCTAGAGCCGGGTTTAGCACGCACGTTTTCGGTTGCCATTCCAAAACACACAGCTTGTCACAGCAGGAGATGGCGGGCTTACCTGGCTGGATTGTAGCCCGGACCGAAACGTGGTGGCCACAAAGGCATCAATCTCGGCCCGGGCCGTGTCGGTCAAGTCGCCGGTGGCCTGGTCCTCGCAAAGCTCAAACTTTGTCCAGACAACAAGGTGCACAATGCGCTTGTCTAGGCCATAGGGCCAATCGTTGTAGATGATCTTGACGTCGTCCGGGCACTGAAACGGGCGGCCCCTGGGCTTGATGGGCCCCGGCCACCGCAGGCGCTCCTTGAGGATGAAGTCGGCGACGGAGCCGTGGCGCTTGGCCAGCGCGTGGGTAAAGGCCTTGTAGCGCCGCAGGTCCGAGGGGATGCGCTGGAAGAGGTCGAGGCGGTTGGCGGCGACGATGGCGCAGACTCGTTCCCACGTGAGCAGGGTGTAGGCGGCGTCGGGGGACCCTATGATGCGGCGGTCCTTGTCGTTGAGGTGGAGGAGGAAGGGGGGGCACTCGGCTGTCCTTTGGTCGACGGGCACGTTGTAGTGCCAGTACGGGACCGTCGCCAGCGAGCCCATGTCGGCGGCGAGGGGAGAAGCGATGGTTGCGCTGTTGGGGTAGGGGGCAATTGGTGCCTTGATCAAGCAGCTCCGTCGTCGCCGGGTTGGCAACGCCACATGACTTTGACTGGGATGGCGAGTCGGCTCTGCAGGGTTGGTGCGCGGCAACGACTCATCGACGACTCATCGACGACGCTTCAATCGAGTCGTGATGCGGCAGTCATCGGGTCTGTATTCCATCAATCATGCTGCCGTCAGCCTCCCTTGCCAGTGGAAAGACTTGGGTGGGATACAGAAGCGCCAGACGTGCATAAAGACACGAGGTTTGTTCGTTCCTTGATGAGTCGCTGGTGAAACTGTCTGGAATTTTTGCAAACCAAGGTACAGTACCTACAATATGATATGTCGATACTTACCGCTAAGCGGATTAGCATTATGTTAATGAGGCCCTGACAGATGCCAGGTACCGCATAGCAATAGGTACTACTAACCTACCTAGTAAGGTAATGAGGCTGAAGCGACTTATTAGCCTATAGTCAGGTTTACTAGCAGCTAAAAGTAACCTACAGTACGGATACACTCAAAGGGATCAACCAGTCATTCTACGGAGTACCATACCAGACACTGTGCCGTCAGTGGCAAATGTCGGGCCACTGCGCTGTAGGTACCTATGTACTTGCCGTCGATGCATAATCCTCCATGTGCAACTCCAGCCGTTCGTCCAAGAGTCCCGGCGTTCTCCCCCCCCACCGGGCATAGATTTGGTCTGGGGAACCATAATTACACCATACACCATACTGTAGACCGCCAGATGGTTCTTTTGTCCCGCACGACACGGCCCGGCCTGACACCGCTCGTCTGCCGATGGCATGGGACATGCAATGTCGGCAAGGAGAGGGAGGTACAACATCTGCACAGCCACCTCGCTTCCAGGGGCTTCATGGTTCAGTGAAGAACGGCACCGCTAGCCGCTATGGCTCCCGCCTCGCTCTGTTGGGTGCGGCAAAGTCGTCACACACGGACGCGATGGTGACGAGAAGGGCCCTGATGAGCTGCTGGTCCTGCCGTCTACACGGGTCATCAAGAGCATTCACCCATAGGTATGCGGCGAATGCGACGCTGCATATGCACATGGCATCATGCTCTTCCCTGTTCAGTGTCGTCGTTGCGGCCCCTCCTCTCGACAGCATGCTCGTGAACTTGCGGGCAGAGGGGGAGAAAGAAAGAGAAAAGGAAGCAAGAGCCGCTCGGTGGAAAGTCTGGTTGGTCGTCACCCAACAACAACAGGGCCCGTGTTGAGCATCAACAAGTTGTACAGTACCGGTATGCGACTGCTTCCCCCCGCGACGTCCGTTGTCAAGACAGAGATCCGTATCGTGTACCTGCGTAACAGGACATTCTACAGATCGTGTCACTCGCCTCTGTCGTCATCGTGCATTAGGCGGTCGCGTCTCCCTTATCGTCGTTGCTCTTTAACTCCAGGGGCTGGCGGTACTTTGCGCAAAGACGTGACTGATGCTGGGTTACTTGTGCCCGTATCTCCTGTCCTCTTGTCTGCCCCGCCTCCGGTCCCCCCCCCGGCCCCCGCCCCGCACCTCATGAGCTCGTTAAACCAGCTTCTCCTTTTCTCCTCATCGGGGCCTCCATCCATTCTACGTGCCACCTACCTCCACCTCCCTCTCCCCATTCGCCTTGGGCCCATCCATACCACCGACTCCATACATAATATACGCTACCTCCCTACAGCGACGTGCCCGTCGTCGTCGACTCGCCGTGTGATAGCTCCTCGATTTCGCCCCTCAAACGGCAAGCTCCAGCGCCATCGCTCCTCTTCCTCGTACTTGCACATCGTCCGTCGACGTCGCTGGGCCCCTTCGAATCCACGTACAAAATGGCCGGTGTCAAGAGCGCTTTGCCCTCGCACCTCAAGCCCGCCTCGGAGGGCGCCGACGACAATGGCTTCGAGAGACGTCACCATGGCAAGACTCGCAGCCACATGGCAAGTCTCTCTTTCTCCTCTCTCAAGGCCAAGCACATCTGTCTCCCACCCCCCACGACGCGCAGCCAAAGCGTGCCGCCGACCTCTGAAGAGATCGCCTCCAACCTGCTCAACGTCCGCCCCAAGCGGGTTTTGTTCCGCGGCCCATGAACACCTGGGGAACGGGGGGGCGCGCGCCTCAGGCATCCCCGGCAGTAAAACGCGCGGGTGGCTGCTGCGCCTCGCCGGCCAGGACTCGCGGTTCAATTCACTTTGGAGCTCTGCCGAGCCACTGCGGCCGGCCTCCAGATTCACTGGCCCGAGCGGCTTGTCGCCACAAGGTTGGCTGGCGGGCGAACCGTCTTGTCGAAGAGCCATCGATTCACTGTCGCCCGTTTGTTGACGTAACTCGGAGCCAACGACATGTGCTTTCGACGGCCCCCCGCAGGCTGGCAGAGATCCAGAACACGTTGATCACCCTTTTCCAAGCCCACGAACGGCATCGACATGCTTTCTCTCTCCTCTTCCACCACACAATCTTCCCCCAGCCTACGCCCAACTCTGCCTCCTACGCTACCGCCTCCACCTGCTTTGCAACGACCATCACAACACCGCCTGGCATCGTTTCTTTCATGCCGCTCTCGGCCATGACTCTCCAAGACGAGCTAACCGTGCTCGTTCAGGCGTTTGAGAACACCTCGACCAATGTGGCCGCTGCCCAGATGCGCAATGCCCTAACCAACCTCGCCGAGACGGTCGAGGATCCCCAGCAGAAGAAGGTATATCGGACCTCCCCCGTGCTCGCCTGGCACGGTCGCTGACGTTTTGGGATCCTGAAGCTGTTTGAGACGGAAATGGACAACTTCTTCGCCCTCTTCCGCCGCTATCTCAACGACAAGGCCAAGGGAAATGCCGTGTAGGTTTGCTCCTCGCCAGTTGTCATCTCGCGCAGCACACTCATGTCAAGCCGCAGCGACTGGGAACGCATTGCGCCGCCGGCCCAGGGCCAGGTCGTCGACTACGAGGACCTCGCCAACTCGGAATCCGTCAACTTCCTCAGCAAGCTCGCCGTCTTGAAGCTAAACGGTGGTCTGGGAACATCCATGGGCTGCGTCGGCCCCAAGTCCGTCATCGAGGTTCGCGACGGCATGTCATTCCTCGACTTGTCGGTGCGGCAGATTGAGTATCTCAACCGAACCTACAACGTCAACGTCCCCTTTATCCTCATGAACTCGTTCAACACCAACGATGACACGGCCGCCATCATCAAGAAATACGAGGGTCACAACGTCGATATCCTCACCTTTAACCAGTCACGTTACCCCCGAATATACAAGGACTCGCTGCTGCCGGTGCCCAAGGACTTCAAGTCGTCCATCAACGAGTGGTACCCGCCCGGGCACGGTGATGTCTTCGAGTCGCTCTACAACTCGGGCATTCTCGACAAGCTGCTCGAGCGCGGCATCGACATCATCTTCCTGTCCAACGTTGACAACCTGGGCGCCGTCGTCGACCTGCGCATCCTGCAGCACATGATGGAGACCAAGGCCGAGTACATCATGGAGCTGACCAACAAGACCAAGGCCGACGTCAAGGGCGGCACCATCATCGACTACGAGGGCTCGGTCCGCCTGCTGGAAATTGCCCAGGTGCCCAAGGAGCATGTCAACGAGTTCAAGTCGATCAAGAAGTTCAGGTACTTCAACACCAACAACATCTGGCTCAACCTCAAGGCTATCAAGCGCGTCGTGGAGAATGACGAACTGGAGATGGAGATCATCCCCAACGGCAAGACGATCCCCGGCGACAAGAAAGGCGAGTCGGACGTTTCCATAATTCAGCTCGAGACGGCTGTGGGTGCCGCCATCCGGCATTTCAACAACGCCCACGGCGTCAACGTGCCCCGCCGGCGCTTCCTGCCCGTCAAGACGTGCTCGGACCTGATGCTGGTTAAATCGGACCTGTACACGCTCAAGCACGGCCAGCTGCAGATGAGCGCGGCCCGCTTCGGGGACGCCCCGCTCATCAAGCTGGGCAGCGACTTCAAAAAGGTGTCCGACTTTCAGAAGCGCATCCCGTCGATCCCCAAGGTGCTGGAGCTGGATCACCTGACCATCACGGGGGCCGTCAACCTGGGCCGCGGCGTCACGCTCAAGGGCACCGTCATCATTGTCGCGACCGAGGGGAGCACCATTGACATCCCCCCCGGCTCGATCCTGGAGAACGTGGTAGTCCAGGGCAGCTTGCGCCTGTTGGAGCACTAGAGCACGCGTCGATGGAGGCAACGGGTGATGCAGCCCGGCAGCGGGAGAGAAGATTGTATCGGCGCCGCATTTGCGCCGTGGCCGTGGACGGTAGAAGGCACAGCATACATGTTGCAAGTAAGCATGGACCACACGATTCGGTGGCCGGTTTAGCCCGGTTGAATGGGGGACCGGATGACGATGGACGGCCAGCTACTGGTATAATTCGAGATGAAAAAACGAGTCGGCAATTTCTTTGGGAAACAACCGTCAGGCAGGCCGCTGCATCTTGCGAGACGGCATACGAGATGATGATTGGAGTAGGCCATGACGTAGGTGCATCGGGAGATGGGCTCGACGCGAGGGCATTCCGCCCCAGATATCGATGACGAGATCCGATAGGGTAGGGCCGGAGATCCGGAGGTGTCTACTCCGTACTTGGTGCCGGCCTGTTGGCTGTTGGCGCAAGTTACGGGGTACATTGCTGCGTAGGATATCTGCACCACCGGGTGGTGTTGACGCTACCAGCACGTGGCCACGAGGCGGTTTTTCTTTTTTTCCTGTCTGGGGAGAAAAGAGAGGAGGGTTGTTGTTGTCGTCATCGTTGTTGTAGTAGTAGTTTTGGCTTGTTGCTGCGCGTACGGAGCCGAGGAATCCTGAAGCATTCCGCGCGGCTGCTTCTTCACCTCTCGCCGTCGCTTCCACACACCCACGCACGCACACACAGACAAGCACGCGCGGAAGATACGGACTGTAAGTCGCCGATTTTTGCTTTGCAGAAGAAAATAAACAAAAGGTAATAGTGATGAGACGAGGACGCGGGACGGACGGGTGGGGGAAATGAGGAGAGCGGGTAGACAAAGGGGGCTCGAGCTTCCTGAGCGCCGGCGCTAGGAGAGATTGAGCTATGCTTGATTGCTTGATTACGAATAAAGCGCGGATGCCCGGTGTTGAGCCCGGTGTTGAGCCCGATGTTGATGCGCAAGGCGGTCCCGTAGAAAAGGAAACGAAGAAAAGGGGCTGACCAGACTCGGGGTGCCTTGTCCTGGTCGGGCCGCGATGAGACCTTGGTCTCTTGTCTGTCTCTCATTAGACGCTGGCTGAAAAGGCCGTCTGCCGGGCTGAAAATAAGGGGCGCTGGGGGGGGGGGGGGGAGGGGAATATCACGAGTGCCTTCCTTTTGGCTTTAGCGGTTGTGGGCAACTGCCGCAATCACGACAATGCTCCATTGCCTACTCCGTACCGTTGCCCTGCTGACGAGTGCGTGCAAGGCTCCGATTTGGCCGGATAGTGCATGCGGGAGGGTAATTAAAACAATTTAACAAAAAGGACCCCTGGTCTCTCTCATATGGTCCAGGGGCCGTGATACGGGCAGGGGCCACGTTGAGGCGCTGGAGCCGGAGATGAGCAGGGAAGTAACCAGATGGATTCCAGAATTCCATGGATGGGCGGTCATGCGGATTATACTTTTCACCTCGAGATGGGACGACAAAGTTTGAGTTTATCCGTCGCAATGTGCATACCCGGTGGAGGGGGGCCTGCCAGGGACGGACAGGGAGGAGAGGAGACAATGGGGGGCGAGCGGGCGGCTTGTGGCGGCCATTGTGCTGGTGGAGACACCGTCTGGGAGCCTGCAACAGAGGACTGGTCGAGATTCTCAGTCCATTTCAGGCCAGAGAGGAGCGGCAAAAGGAACACAGAGCAGAGACAGAGGCTCGCCAGCCAAACAATAGTTCGCGACAGGTCTCACAGCCTCGCGGTCTCGGCCGCCTTTTGGACTCGAGTTAGCTCTGTACATAGTACGAAGTAGAGAGATACCGTAAACCATGGGTGAAGGAAAAGCTTGATTCACACTGTGTACATAGTCAGGTACTCAAGGTCATGTGTGCAGTGACAGCCTGGTTGTTGATTGGCTGTCCAAGCACACGGCGACAGCCGCTTCCCTCATCCGTCCTTACAGCGGCTGCTAAGTTAATGGCTTGCAGCTTCCGTGTACTCCAGACTCCACACAGTGCTGCAGACACGCCAGTACTACGCGCCCGACGCCCCCCAAATGACCTTGTCTGGGAAGGCGAGACATTTTCTCAACGGTCTCGATCTGCACACACAACAGCACACGGCACAGGTTCACGCGCGTGGCTCTTGCGCACGCACCATGTCGGCGGCCAACTGTTTTGTCCTCTCTGGTTGGTTCCGAGGCATGATTGATTCTGCAGTGATGTGCTTTCTCCGGACAGTGTCAAAGTGTGTGTGCCAGGCCCGCTTTTGACGGGATGAGGAGTGTGGTAGTGGGGGCAGGTACAGTACCAAATAGTACATGCTATCTGGATTGGTTACCTGGACGTCGACGTGGTGGAATGAAGACGCTAATTGATCTCTCAGGCTCAGGACGTGCCCGCATCGCCTTATTTTTTCCAAAGCAAAAAGGTCGGTGCTTTGCCTGTGTTGACGACCATGATGTTTTTTTGGGGCACACGTGTGCGGCCCATGCGACGTGCGGTCATGTGTCGGGGTATCCGTACCTTGCAGCGTGCATCCATGGCGTCTGCAGCAAGAACAACAAATGTAGTACGTAGTCAGTCGCCCGAAGGGGACGAGGGATTCGCGCTCTTCTCGATTGACGACGAATTGCCAAGAAGCAAAGCCCTCACCGTCGAGTCAGGGCTGCGGGCTTTCCGGTCCCCAATTTCCCGCCAGGAAAAGCGGCGGGTGCCGAGCCTCTCTGGAGCATGACAGCGGGCGGCAAGGCGGTAATGAGGGTGAAACCAGCATGGCGCATCACGGCACGATGCTACCTTGTTGGCTGGTGTTATGTTGCCCCTGTTGCCCCCCCGGGTCTCCACTGCGCGATGTTGAAGAAAGTGATTTTGAAAAGGAGAGTGCGGTCGGTACGGATAACCTGGCAGTAAAATCATAGCCGCCAGGATTGGTGGGTGAGGGTGGGAGGAGAGCGAGGAGAGCTCCCGGGGACGACTCATGCACCCACCAAGACGAGGACCAGCAGGGGGGTGTGGACGACGACTCGCTCTTGGCGCCCCGGCCAGCCAAATTAGTCGCCTTCATGCCGTGTGCGTGTGTGTTGTGGCCTGGGTTGTATATAGCCTGCCTGTCTGGGTGAAAAAGGAAAGAGATAGGTAGGTAATAAGGCGCTCCTTGCTTGTCTGTTATCACACACCCCCCCCTCCTTCCCTCACGCACATACACACGCCCCCGCCCTTCGACCCGCTGCCTTCTATCCGCTGCCTTTTCCTTTCGGCTATTTCCATCGCCGCTTCCCTCTTCGTTTCTCATCACTCGCTCCCACACTCGTTCGCTCTCACGTTCCTTACCGACCTCTGCTTCCTCACTCGCACAACCTATAATCGCTTTCTGCTTCCTTGCTTCCCGCACTCGTCGTCATCTCCAGCAGCATCGTGTAAGTTGTACCAACTCATCTCTCCATTGTCTGCCGTCTGTTGCCGCCGCGTGTCGCTGCAGCGTGTTTGGACGAGTCGCCTGGGAGAGAGGAAACGGCATTCGGCAAGAACACTCGAGGCGAGCCGCATGATAACTTGGTCTACCACGAGTCGACGTCGGCGACGCAAGTTTCACATGGAGGCTGGCTGTCCAGAGAGTTCGCGCGTCTGAGACGCAATGCCAAATGCTCAACCTTCCCAGCGCCCTCTCCCAGACAGGTTCATCATGCACATCCTAGAGGGCGCGCACAAAAACACGCATCACTACATCCTGCCTTTTATTATATCTTGCCTTGCCCGTTTCCGCACTTTGCTGACACGAACCAGTCGACCTTAATCTTCCATCTTCGCCCGACATGAAATACTCTATCATCGCCCTCTCGGCCTTGTTCGCCGCCGGCCAGGCTACGCTCGAATTTACCAACTCGGAATTCAATGTCAAGCCTGGCAGGGATTTCCCCCTCACGTGCAACAATGGGGGCTGCGCCAGTCGCTGCACCATCACCCTCATGCGCGGCCCCAATAGGAATGATATGAAGCCGGTCAAGGTTGTCGGCGAAGGCGGTATGTCAGAGCTTTCTCGACGTAACACACATCACCTACTGACACAACACCTCCGCCGATCTAGTCGGCATGGAATTTACCATCACGCCCAGTGCGGACTGGCCCGCTGGGCCACTGGCATTCAAGATCACCAACACCGTGGGAGAGGAAAACTGGAGCTTGGCGTTCCCTTTCGAAGGCACCGGTGCTGTCGACTCTGGCGCCACAGACGTCGCTTCCAGCTCTCCTGCCGTCTCGACCGCTATCTACGCCTCGGCTCTGAGCAGCGGTATGGCGTCCTCGGCCGCCGCCGAGGTCACGGCGTCTGTCAGCTCTATCCCTATTGCCGTCGCCACGCCTGGCCAGAGCTCCCTGATAAACTCGTCTTCGTCTACGACGTCGATGAGCGCTCCTCCGCGCAACCTGAACGCCACTAGCGGTATGTTAATGCTACTTGCAGTCTTTGGACCCTGTTCGCTGACGTCTTCGCAGGCTCCAACTCCGCGGGTTCGTCTTCATCTAGCGTCCCCACGTCAGGTGTTGATCGTGTCTCGGCCTCACTGGCGCTCGTTGCTGGTATTGCCGCTGTTATGGCCTACTTCAACTAGACGCGAGGGGATGAATGTGGGTGTCGCGTCCAAGTTATATGGTTGAGATGGTCTGAATATACCTTTGTTTTCCCTTGTTCAGTTCTGACCGCCGCGGAAAATCACAGACGGCAGCGGCTCTGGAGATGGGCTGAGCCATGTTGGCTTGACCGTCAGTCGCTGCCTTGACGGCGTCCTCGGGGTGTACACTATTCCGATACGTGATTAGTTATGGCTATTAGACTTAATGCGTTGCGGCATGAGCACACGCTTTCTTACGAATTGTCGACCCGGTGTATGGCCTCCTTGCGTCTGTCCGGTGCCTACAGTAGTTGTCCCGGACTCCTGCATGACGTTGTTTGTCGTGGCTGGCGGTTCGTCGTTCATGCAAGACAACTTACAGTACGGATACGCCCGCTTTTTCGCCTGTCGACCTCGCATAGATGGGCTTCGATTGGATAGCCTTTTGCGGGGCCCCGATGGCCCCGAGACAAGACAGCACCAGTTCGCCCTCCTCGCCATCTAACCAAGTGCCGGCGAGGGTGCCTGCAGCATCGACGAGACGTGGGCTCGCTTGCCCTGGGCATCTTCTGCTCCTGAGCCAATCGGTGCCCCGGTGGGGGGAGATGGTGTTTGGTTTGCTCCCGTGTGTAACAGAGGAGAAGGAGGGTGGTGGGGGATGTTAGTTGGGCTGGCTAGGGATGACGAAGCAGCCGGACATGTCTTCGTCTGCCCCGGTGCGCGCGCGCAGTCGTTGCATGACTTGATACAGTCTATTCTCTCTTTTACTTCTCTACGGAGTACGCACGCGAATGGATGCGCAAAGCATTTGCGTAGCATGCACAAAATACAGCCGTGAACTGCAAGTGGTTCCCCAGGGCAAGACAAAATAAAAGCCTAGCTAGGGCTACCAGAAAGGTATCGAAAGAAAATAGAGGTACCGTCGTCAAAAAGAGCCGCGCGCTCTGCCGCGCCACCCGCCGCCCAACCACGAACGCCCTGGCCCCCAACCAGCCGCCAGCCATGGGAGCTTGCCAACGCAACCTCGACTGCTCTCGCGGGACGACCCTTATCTAGAAATGCCTCTCCACAGTAAAAACGCAGCACCCAAGGCAAACGCCACAAACCCCCCCCCCTTTCAAGTGTCGACGCTGTCATCCATCCCTACATCGCTAGGCCCGCCCTTCCCTTTAGCTTCGCCGCCTGCTCGTCTTCACATGCCAGAACCGCCCTCGAGAGGAGCCACCATCGCTAGCGCTACAATGTGGGTATTCATTCATGCGTCCGACGACCTTGTGCGTGCCATGCGAAGACTACCGCACTGCCCCGGCAAACTCGTCATAAATTTTGCGCGTAAAGGACCCGTCTGAATCGACTCTTGCCCATACGGCACCCCCCATGCAACACAGACCCTTGTCCACTCCCGTCTTCCCAACACGGCCAAACAAGAGACCAGGGGGCAAAACGCGAACACCTATGCCGTCATACTCCTGGCGCCACTGGCGGCGCAAGCCCAGTGCCGGCAACTTCCCCGCTGCCCATGTTTGCAAAGTTCAAATTCTCAGAGTGCCAGTTCCACAGAGGCGCCAGTTCCCCGAGCTGTGCTTGCGTCACGGTTTCAAGCTCGAAGTCGGGAGCCTCGTCTTCGGCCGCCGGCGGCGGAAAATTGCCGCCACGATCCATGACGCGCTGCGTGAAGCCTTCGACAGGGACGGCACTAAAGTCGCCAACGGTGGAAAAGGACAAGCGCATCGCGTCGTCCATGCCCGGAGGCGAGCTCTCGGAGCAGGTAGAGTAGTCAGATTGGGCTCTCCCGTCGCTGGCCACTCCACTGCTCTGGGGGGCCGCCACACAGTTCCTCCGTAAAATCGGTCGAGGCACGGGCGGAATGTCAAAGTGGTCGCCATAGCCAGCAGCCACAGGAGCAGACGCGGCCGGCATGTTGACCGTATTGTGCACGGGCGCTGGGGCCATGGCCACCGATTCGGGCACAGGCTTGGGCAAGTTGGATGTCATCTTGGCCTTCTTCCGGGCATGGCTTTGACGAGGCGCCGTCGGCGACGGCAGTCTGCGCACCAGTCGCTCCAGCAAATCGTACGACGTCCTCGACGTCTTGGATATCTTATTGAGGCACTGAAGCATGGCCACCGCGTCGCTAATGGCGTACAGTATCTCGTCCCGCTCTGCCAGCATGTGATCACTGTCCTTGATGACGGCCGTGCAGAGGATGGCAGCTGTGTCAAAGATGGAGAAGACAATGAAGTGGAGCCGGCCGTCTCGGTTGTAGATGCTGTTGACCCAGCTCCGCAGCGATGTCATCAGCTTCAGCGAGTAGGAGACGCCAATGGCTCGGATGCTCAGCTCCTCGGGCGGCGTATCCGAGGTATACGACTTGACCATGTAGTGTCTGATTGGGTTCAGAATCAACAGACACGCCATGGTATTGACGTAATACCGATGCGGGAAAATCCATGGGAACTGAGAGTCCTTGGACTTGTCGGGGTTCTCCAGTTGATAGACGGGAGGGAACTGGAGTATCCATGCCTCGATCAGAACCTGATACTCCTGGACCTCGGGTGGCTTGATGATGTTCTTGGGGGCGCTGAACCGCGACGCCAATTGCCGCGTCAGCGCCGATTGCAGCTTCATGTGGAGCAACGGAGACGGCGCTTGACCCGAAAACCGCTCCAGCGTCAGCGAAGGAAGCTCAGCATTGCAGTCCTCCCTGTTGATGATTTTCGGTCGGGAGAGACCGGACGATATCTGCCTGTCGCAGGAGATGAGTGCCATAATCGCCGGGTTGGAGGGCCGGGCTCAAACTCACCAGTCCCAAGTATCGAGAATGCACCAGAGTCTCCTCCGCATTTCGCGCTCATGCTCTGTTTCTGTGCCCTCTGGTGGCTCCCTATGGTACCCTGACCGGCAAGTCAACATGCAGTCCAGGACCAAAAACAAGAGGGGAGTCACGACTTACCGAGTTCCTTGGCTTCGAGAATGGCGGCGCTGAGGACATGCCAGGCCTCGAGAAATCTGGCTTCGGCTTTGTACCAGTAGCACGAGTGCATCAGGCGTTGGACATTGAGCATATGGAAATGGCCAACGGGGATGACACTGCCGAGTTCCCGCACGGCGCAATGAAGCGTCTCCGAGAGTGCATCGGCGGTCATGCTCGAGGCACGCTGGAGGTCCGCCTGCATTTCGTTGTCCGCGTGCTGGACACAGCAGGCACATATCATTGCCAGGAGGCAGGTGTATTGAAGAGTGATTTGCCGGCCCTTAGACCGTCTTTCCCACCAGATGTGATACTCACGCAGGAAGTCGGGGGGATAGATGATGTAGTAGTGATAGTTGATATCGTGCGTAAAATTACGGACGAGATCGTCTGGAGAAACCAAGTCAGCCACTCTCGTCCCCTTTCCGAGCTCGGTCCTATTGGAGACAGGCACGAGGAAAGAACTGGGGCTTCGTGTCCGGCCGCGTGAAGAGGCGACGAGTGGGACATGTGGCGAGGAGACGTTGGGTTTGAGACTTACCCATGACCTGGCGCTGTGGCAACAGCTGCAGGACTCGCTCGATCTGAGGCGAGGAATCTGGGGCGGCAAAGTCCTCCTTTGGAGCCGACTTGGAAGATTTGGTCTATACAACACAAACGAGTCAACATGCGAATCATAGACGACAAGGGGCATGGAGCAAAAGGGATTGACAGCAGTCGTGCACGGCTCTGGGTGCCCGTGGTTACTTTGCAACACCAAAACGTACCTGTGACTCTATACCAAGCGTCGTGAACAAGCGCGCGGCGGCCAGGGCATCAAACCCGGGGGTCTCGGCAGAAGGCTTGGCCTCTGAGCGGGGGGCCAGCGTGGAGGAAGGGGGCTCGTTTCTGGCATAGTCCTTGTCCTTGACGATGGGGTGTGACGGGGCAACAGAGGGTGGGTTGGCGACGGTGTTGTTGGAGCAGTAGCTGTATCGACATTCGTCGGCTATCTTCCGACGTTGACAGCGGTCGCACGGCCACTCACGGTTGCACTGTTGATTAAGATGTTAGCACAACGGTCAAGGAAACGACAAGTTGTGCGTCGGGCATGCTCGACGGAGGCGCGTCATGGAAGGCATCCTCACCTTTTGCTTCCTGCGCTGGCACTCGGTACAGGCGGAGCGATTGTAGCCCGCCGTCACGTCGACGCTTGCCGTGGCCGGGGTCGCCGCCGTCACCGTGGCCGTCACTGTGGCGCTGGAAGCGCTCACGCCCGCGCGGACAGACATTACTGGTCTAGAACCAGAAGCCGTTGCACGAGCAAGGCGAGACGGGCCAAGGTGCCCGGACAATTCAAGGCCCGCTCCCAGGGACACTACTGTCCTGGGACTCGGCGTCGTTGTCGTCTTTGGCTTTGTCCCTGGCCGTCAAAATGACGCGGGGGTTGCGAACGACGGCGATGCAGGGCAGATGGACAAGGGAGTTGCGAGGCGGGACATGTATATCTATCGGATCGTCTTGCCAATGCCGGGCCGTCTGGGCTTGCGTGAAGTGTCTCGGTGCCGACACCACCTTTCGGTGGAGACGCCAAAGGGAGTCTTGGAAGAAGCAGAGAGTGAGGGACAGCAGGGAGAGGGAACTGAGGACGAGGAAACCGTTGGCCCTATAATTAAGTTAAGGTTGAGTCCGGCCAAGAGATAGGTAGGTACCTGGTACCTTGCCATTCCCCCGTCTGTCACTGCTGTCATCTGTACAGTAAGTTATCCGTACCTACATACGTAGTTATCCTGCAGGTGGTACAGACCATGGCACAGTTCAGTTAGTCGGGAAGGGTAACCCGGTATCTACATAACCTCGAGCGCCCCGCGCACTAGCAACGAAGCTGCCGGTAGATTGATTGGTTCGCCAGCCCAGGCCAGAGAAGCGAGGTGGGGGCTCAGACAGAGGGGGTTCCTCGTCGCGCACCAAGTATCCGCTACCTGCAGCAGGGGAGCGTCAATCTCCAGCCGCTCGCCGCTTCCCGTCCGCTCGCTTGTCCGAATCAGGCAGGGTCGGATAGGTAGTCTTGGCGGTTTATAGTACTGATAGGTCTTTCCTGTGGCTTACCACCTGCCGGGTCTCGAGGCCTTGTGTATCCGTACTCCGCGTCCACGTTCAGTACCAAATGGCCCCTCGTCAAGGGCAATATGCCGCTGCGCATATGCACGCACGTTATTGTGTGCTTTTTTGCTCAACTGCCTAGTACCAACTACCTTACCCACCGGCTGTACCCAAGACATGCTCAGGGACACGAAGCCTCCCCTACGGAGTACAGCGCTGGTCTTTGATACATTGTACGAGGCCCATGCACGGAACGGCCACGACTCGACAGACGAGCCGGTGCTGCCCAATCAAGCCCGACTCCTGTTCCTCGGCGGTGCGGCTGAAAGCCTCGCGAGGGGCTTGCCGATGCATGTGCTGGGCCTCGAGGTCGTCGACGCGGAGAAATCCGTCCATGATGCTTGGTTCCGACTTCCCAGCCAAGGTCGCATCTCCGTCGGACTCGGCTGTCGACAAGACGCCTGGCACCGCAGCTGCCGGTGGACGAGACCCGGGTGACTTGTCATGTTTCATGCCCCTTGGCCGACAGTCAGTGACGGGCACGAGAAGGCAGGCTACAGCTCGAAACAACATGTGGAGGACGGTGCAGATGCATACGAGATGGTTGGACAGGGGCCCAGTGACAGACGTGCAGACGGAGACGTCTCACCCGCCAAGTCACCAAGCACCGTGGGGATGATGCAATTCTTCAGGACGACGAGACTGTAGAAGCGCCGTTTATCCGTTATCCGTACCAAGGAATGGACGGGGCGGTATTGATGAAGCAGCAACAGGCATGCCTGCGACGCCACGTCTCCTCGCTGGCGTCTCGAGTTCCGTCACCGTTGAGGAAGCCCGTTACTTGGCTGGAAGCCGTCCTCGGTGCTCCGTTCGGACACATGCATACGCCTTCACTCGGCCTCTTGGGCTGCGGAGTGTAACAGCCTGTGTGCTCCCCCCCGCAGCGTGATTAGAACTAGGCCAGCGCCATCCGCGGCGCCTCTAAACTTGGTCGCCGACTATTCGTACCAGCAACTCCGAGGAAGTACATACACCCGGCACGGGGAAGCGGCACAGCGCGTCCCTGGCTTTTCTTGAGCTTGGAATCGATTATGTGCACCAGGTACGGAGTAGAGATGAAGGCGCAGAGGGTCAGCAAGTATCACATGTTTGGGTCTCTCTTATCTACGTAGTAGGCCTGGCATTGTCCTTTCCGTATGACCTGGCGCAAAGCAACAGACTGGACATCTAAATCTTCGGCTTTTGACCCCCGACTTGGAGTCCCTGTCGTGTCTCAACTTCTCAAGGCCAAACGGGGATTCGACTCTTCGGCAATATCCGTTGATGCTCTCCTGCCACCAATGACAGCAGCTATAGTCCTTACTACAATCTTAACGAGCACATACGGCCACATCTGCGGTAATGTACTCGATCCCGTTAGATCTCGACTCGTCAAGCCCGCAAGAGGCAGATTAGTAGTTGGGTCGGTGACGACCAGCGAACACCGGCTGCTGTATGTTTTTTACCCCGTTCTTCCTTTTTTTGGTTCTATTCCAATGTTTATGGGTGGACACGGCGACTAGCCCGACTCGTTGAGGAAGCAGGGCCTGCAAAGCAAACGGCTACCCTGGACATGGTGGGCTAGCCGCCTCGGTGTTTCTCAGACGGGACGTTGAGATTGGCTTAAAGCGCGGGCAACCTCGTCAACGGTCGCTGGGTCTTGGCGCAGGGTCATGGTTTGGTCCCCGAGAGAAAAGGAGGCGGCATCGATATGCAGCGTCGCCCCGTGGCGGTTTTGCGGCTGCTTACCATGGACCTGGGATCGCCACCCTCCTTTTTGCCCATGCAGTCTTGTGCCACGAACCAACCGACTGTATTCGTACAGTAGTTGCAGTGCATGTACTGTACTTCACGCTGCATGCATATGCATCTAGCGGAGGAGTCGCTGTCCTTGCTCTCCGTCGTTGGCCATGAGCTGTGCGACACAGGCACGTACGGATGGAGCCGGCCGCAGCTCACCCGTCGAGTCTTTTCGTGATACAAGGTGCGCGGCCCATGTCCAGAGTCGCCGGCTGGTGAGAGAGCAAGGGAGCCGCTTTAACGCGCGTCTCTCTGATGCCTTGGATGCTGTTGAGTGTTGAACCAGAACTCTACATAATAGATTACAATGGCGCCTCTGACCGCGACACAGTACAGAAACCACCCCTTGTATCCGCACATTAAGCCACTGCTTTCCCGTGCCAAGACCACTGATCACCGTCCTGGTCGAGCCTCCCTTTGCTCTTCTCTCATCATCCATGTAACCATCTTCAACATGTACGACATGTTGCCCGAGCAGTTCAAAAGCCACGACGTCATGCCAGGCGCCTCCTCTGTCCTCTTCACACCATGACACGTCCAACGGAGACCATCGATGCCATCTTCTCGGGGTGCATGTTTCTCAGGTCGAACGGGACATGCGCCGGCTTGGTATTGCGCGCTTCATGTGCCCATATCAGAACGTCGACTACGTTGAAGATAAGCCATTATCACCCTTCAGCGGGTGCCTTTGTACAGACTGCCCCCTGGACACACCGCTGCACCTGCTCGTTGCCTCTGCATAGCTGGTGGAAAGAGATGGAAGGAATAAGATGGAAGAAGGAACATGATGGGCAATGTGCGCGTCTCAGAGCCCCGGTTGCCACGCATGGTGTTGCCAGAGACTGATTGATGCACCGGCATCCCGGTAGTAAGCATGGCCGCCTGATGGCATTTCGAGCCGTCCCCGAGCTACGTGGTCTTGCCATCCTGGTCATTCGCCGCCGCTATGCTCCCCTTCCTCCTCAGATCCCCTGCCTTGAGCTTCCGCACCGCCTGGTACGACCGGTCCAGCTCATTCTCCACCGCGCACCGGATCCGCAGCGCCGCCACGGCCGGCCACACGCTCCTCTCGCCCTTGAGGATCCAGTAGTCGAGCGTCTCGCGCGTCGGCGTCTCCAGCAGCCGCACAAAGTCGCCCGCCGTCACCTCGGGCACCAGCGCCATCGACGCCGCCGGCACCTGCTCGTCCACCAGGAACCGCCGGATGCTCGACGGCAGCAGCCGCAGCGTGTCCAGCTGTCGGAGCCGGTGCCGGACCTCAACCCCGACCATGCGCACGAAAAACGCCGACAGCTGCGTCGTCCTGCTGCGCGCTTCCACCAGCGACGGCCCGTGCATGTCCGACTGCAGGAAAGGTATCAGATACGGCCGCGCCTGGCTGACGATGAAGTGGTTGACGTTGAAGAGCTCCGATATCCGTCGCAGCGGCGAGTCGCGATCCGAGTAAGACGCGTGCGTCCAGTGCCGGAAGTCGATGGTATTGGCCGGTGCCCACGGGACAATGTTGCCGCCAGCGTCCTTGCACAGAATCATGACCTTGCGCCGGCCGTATAGCGACGGCGACGACGCGTTGGACGCAATGGCAGCCGTCCAGATTAGCTAGAACGGAAGCAGCCGCATCAGCACATACCCCCGCCAGGCGCGGCTCCGGCGTCGACGTACCACGTTGGGCGCTGTGATGTAGTTGAGCAGCGTCGGCACGCCGCCCTGGCCCTCGGTCGCGACCGTGATGTTGAGGATCCGTTTGCTGCGGTTGTAGGCCTCCTCAAACGTCAAGTCACCCACGTTGGCCCGCACGCAGGCCTCGAGCACCGTCACGTCCAGAAAGTACCCGTCGCGAGAAAAGCGGCGGATCCGGCGCATCAGCGTATCCCACCTCGAGCGAAACGTCTGCTCCCGCGATTCCACCTTGGCCTTGCCGGTAAATGCCGTCAGGTCGATGCCGTCGGCCTCGAGGATATTGGGCAACTCGTCCTCGGTGTGGATGGCCACCAGCGCCGCGATCAGGGCCCCGGTTGCGATGCCCGTGATGATGCGCGGGAGCAGGCCCCGGAGGAACAGGGCCTTGACGACGCCGAGATGGCACAGGCCGAAGATGGCGCCGCCCTGGAGGACCAGCGTGCTACGGCCAAAAGCCTGTCTCGTGTCATGGATAAAGTCCAGCTTGGTCTGGTTCGTCAGCGCGACCGCCCCGCCGTGGAAGCCCGTGCTAAAGGCCGTGGGCAGCGTGCTGATGTCCTCGACGGCCTCGGCCACCTGCGTGATGTACTCGTCAATCAGGTACTTGGTGCCGGAAAAGGATCGATTGTAGAGCTTGGGGACGGTGATGTTGCCGAAGCTTCGCACGAGGCCGGAGCGGAGGAGGTTGACGAGCAGCTGGAAGTTGTACTCCTCCCTAGCTATGACGAGGGAGTTGAGCCGGTCCGTGATGAGCCTCCAGTCGTAGTATCGGGACGTCGGATTGTTTCTCCTGCAGACTGACAGTTAGATGAACGGCGGCGTGGTCGGCAGAGGGGCAGGCCATACCATAGATCGAGTCCCAGGAGGCTGTCCAGGTGAAGGGCAGCCTCCTCCCACTCCTCGAACGTCTCGGCGTTGCGCAGCAGATCCAGCCATAGCTCGACCGGGTTCTTGCGGCGGTACCAGCTAACGAGCTTCTGCATCGGCGGTCAGGAGGGCGAAGCTACATGCAGAGCCCGGGGACAAGGGGAGCAAAGCTTGCCTTTTGCCAGAAGGCGACGACGTCGACAAAGACCCTCCAGACGGCTAGCACGGCCCCCATGATTGCCGAGGAAGAGCTGCCTCATCGGATGGGGCCAGCGGACAGGTGGGTGAATTAGGTCAGCCTGGCAGTCGGGCGCATTTCCCGGAGCCGTCGACGATCGACCGTCTGCACAGGCTCATGCTAGATAATATCTTTGGAGGCTCGGTGGAGTGGCGCACTAGGGCCAGTTTAGAAGGTGTTTAAGCTTGTTGAGCGAGGGCGAGGTTCGCGCCACGGCTGAGTCAGTCAGGCATGTGATGGCACGCAGCCATATGCGGATGCGGGCGGCAAGTGTAAAAACTTGTCAACTTTTGCAGGACAGATGGACAAGAGATGCTATGGCAAATCAAGATGCCCCCCTGTCGCACCCACTCAAGTCTCAACTTCATTCTTCCTCGTCTTCGTCGTCAACCACGTTTCGCCTCCTGGCCCGACCGGCCGTGTCGCCCGCGAGCTCCACCTCGTCACCCTCTGCATCCTCGTCTCCCTCGGCCTCCGTCGTCCTCTGCCTCTTGGACCGGCGACCGCCGTCCTTGGCGAAGCCGAGCAGCTCTTCCTCTTCCTCCTCGTCTCCATCGGCGCCGCTCTCCATTTCCTCGTCTTCACTTGCCACGAGGAAGCCGTCGTCCATGTCGTAGTCCTCGTGCCGGCCCACTCCCTGCGGCAGATCATCGTCCGAGTCGTACTCGGGCCGCCGCCGCTTAGGCTTCGTCGAGCCTGGCGCTCCCCTCTTGCGTCCGGCTCCGACCCCGCGCCGCTCGCCCTCGAGGTCCCCAATGGACAGGCCCCCGCGACCAGAGCGTCCGAGGCCGCCGTCCATCTTGGCTGCGGCATTCTCACGCCGCCGCTGGGCCTTCATTCTCTCCTTTTCGGCCAGTTCGGCCTGTCTCTTCTGCAGCTCGGGATCTCTCGTCGTTCGCACAATCATGTCCTCTCCTTTCATCGCTTGGCTGGCCTGGGCCATGCGCTCCGCAAAGAGAGTCAGGGCGTCATCGCCAACGGCCTTGTTTGGCTTGACGTTGTACTGCTCCTTCAGGTGACCGACCGTCATGAGCATGTTGCTACCAAGCTCCGCTGCCGCGGCGTAGCAGTGACCGTCGTGGAGCTCGTTGTACGGCTTGTCTGGCCCGGATGCCAGCAGCTTCTTCTGAATCTCGTAGTGCTCTCCTCCGACGGAGATGGTGACGGAGCCATCGCTCCAGCGGTAGACGTTGGTGTTACTCCTAAGTATGCCCGTGCTGGAATCACGTTGAACGCGCGCGACGCATCTTGGCTGCTCAGCTTTGGCGTTGGCCAGGTCGAACTCGGAAGGCTCGAAAAGGTCTGGTTCGTAGACTTCGGGCATAAACTTGATGAACTTGGGCACGCGCAGTAGCCGGAGCTTGCGGTCAGTTAGCATTGTCCACGGCTAAACGGCCGGCATCGTAATGGCTTACCATGCCGTCTCTGGGCTTCGGGACCCGATGGCGGTAGGTGGGCTGCTCAATGACGACCTTGTCCCGCGTCTCTTGCGGCAGAGCATCGTCATAGTCGCGATGCCGTGCGTCCGGGTCCTCATCAGGATCCGAAGCAAGATCATCATCGGTCAAGACGCGCGCGGCAGGAGACGCCGCCTCGTCGTCGCCCTCGTCACCAAAGAGATCCTCTCCGCCCTCGTCGACGGCATCGAGGGGATCCTCGGAGTCAGACATGGCGTATGTGTTGGCGTTTAGTGTTGGAAGTTCTCGCGGTGAAGAATGACTGCGAACGATGCTGGGCCGGGCGTCGCAATGTGCAGCACTGCGCGGCGGCGGTTGGCTAAAGCCGAGTCAGGATCTTGCCTCTGGCTAGGCGCTGCGAGCGTGGCAGAGTGCCTCGTCGATATGGTCGTCGTTTCGTGGTCGTCGCTTCGTGCAGCTCGAGGAGGCCGACGCCATCTCTTTCTGGCTGCGTGATGTCTTGGAAAGAAAGGCACCGGGGCATCAGTTCCAGGTGTCTGTGGGTACTTGGTACCTAGAAGACGATACACTTGGAGAGAGATCATATGTACAGTACGAATACGGATACTGGGTTAAGTTAGTTACTTGATTTCGGACTGCCTGTCCGGATTACTAAACAATCGGCGAGAGCTGGCCCCATGGTGTCGCCGAGAGCTCAGATCTCAACATCAACGTACCAGACACGCGTTGTGGTTCGGCAAAAAAATGAAGCCAGTAATCCCTCGACTTCTATCTAGATATTCCGGATTGATTTGATTTGTTGGACATCCAGTGCTGCCCATAAACAGGCTGGTCTCGGCATCGTGCAGCCAGTGCAAGACACCCGTGACAGGTATCCGTACTCCGCACCGAGACCAAGCTAGTAAGCCAGATACCTACGGCGCCCACCCGTAGCAGAGCAGTTCGACAGGTTCCCGGCTAGCGCGCCGCGAGGTATCGGCCACTGGGGTGCCACTACGTGTTTGCCTCAGGTGCCTTCTATCGGTCACTTTTGGCAACTCGAATCCCAGGCGTCAATCGTCATCCTCAGCGCTTGCGACAGCTCAGCTTTCCCCAGACCGTCAGTAACACGTGAACTTTGCCCCGCCTGCTGGCTTCTCCCACATCTTTTCTCCCTTTCTCCCTTCCGCGTGCTCAGGCGTCCACCCGCAGGTACCTCCACCCGTGTACTTGTACATGCTCTTAGTCTTCGCCTCCTCCTCCCCCCCTTTCTTCCTCGACGACAACTCCGCTTTCCTTCGACTGCACTCGATTCAGCATCGGCTCTCGTCCACAAAATCTCGACCTCTTTCTTCCCCGACGGCGGCGACAGACTTTTGGCAACCGAGCCCTGCGGCAGCCTCTGTCACGTCGCTCCCCCCTCTCTCCTCTCTCCTCTCTCCTCGTTGCCTCGCTTTCTCTGTGGCTGCGCCGCCACCCGCTCCGCCTACGCCTTTGCCGTCCACCATGTCCAATCTCTTTTCGGGAATGTGAGTCGCTCCCAACACCTCTCCATTGTCTGCTATTTTTGTCTCCGGCCGCCGTCGAGCCCCGGAATCCCACCTCGTTGTGCGGCATCGCACGTGAGAGCTGGGTGGAGGGAGGGGTCTCAATTTTGATTGAATCACCCAGCGGTGAGTCTAATTGAGGGAGGGGCAAGTGTCCGCCTGTGGCCATCTCCACGCAATGGCTGCCAACCGAACAACCGTCTCCTCGGCGCTTCAACCGTCCGGTCCATGCATAGTCAGAAGAACCCTCGAGACTCGAGATCCCGCCCGAGCATGGCGTCACTGCCCTAGCGCAAGCCGCTGCACCCACATTGGCTTCTGTCGGCATCTATACTCCCGGCATCTTCGGCTTTTGCATCGGCGCATCCACTCGGCAGTACCGTGTTGAGTGAATGCTACTTGCTGTTTCGAGCTCCCTCCAACGACACGGTCCAATTGGCGGCAAATTTACCCGTCGTCTGTTACACTGGTCGCCCTCGCCCTCGCCCTGCCCCTTTGACTTGCAACATGCTCGCGACCAGTGGCTTAGTGAACTGACATACCAACCTTGTTAGCAACGCTCGTTTTCGAGGTGGCTCTAACAAACCGCCTGGTCAGCTAAAGAGCCCTTCCTCCTCGACTGCAGGCCAAGCAGCTCTCCCTGACAACCTCCCTCAAGCAAACCAACCCGGCACAAACCTCGCTCCCAAAGTCCCACCCCTGCCAAACTCTCCGTCGCTCGCCCAGACCATCGGCATGGACGAATCCAGCGGCGCCATTGCCAGCGGCGACGACATCATCAGCTCGTACCACCTGCCTCGGCCCCTTCCCCTCTGGGTCAATGGCCACTACACCAAGCACATTGTCAGAGGCAACTTCATGACTCTCAGCGCCCGGCCCAAGACGGTAGAGCAGGGCGAGTGGATCGCCCACCAGAGTAAGCCCCTCTTCGCCCGCCTTCCGTCTTTCCCCGCTTCTGACGCTCCGGATCTAGTCGTCGAGCACTACCGCAACTTGTGGAACTTTGTTCGCGTTGTGCACGAAAAGGAAGACGACGGAACGACAATCTGCAACTCGTCGACCTGCCCGCGCATGTCCGCCGGATCGTGAGTATACCGACTCGACCCGGCCTGATCCCCCACCGCTTACACCTCTTCAAGGAACCACTCCTTCACCTGGCTCAATCGCCAGCGCGAACCGGTGGAACTGCCCGCCCACGAGTACATGACGTTGATGCAGCGATGGATCTCGGGCAAAATCGATGACACCAACATCTTCCCAACCGATGCATCGGCCGTCTCTTACGCCCACAACCCCGCAATAACCACCACGCCCCTGGCGCAGCTCTCCAGCCCGGGAGAGCCCGAGTGGATGGGAAAGCGATCCGGCTTCCCGGAAAAGTTTGGTGAAGTCTGCCAATTGATCTTTCGCCAGATGTTCCGCGTCTACGCTCACCTCTACTGGGCCCACTTCACCGACCCCTTCTACCACCTCAACCTCGAGAAGCAGCTCAACAGTTGCTTCTCTCACTTCATTCTGACGGCCACTGCCCTCGACATGCTGAGGCCGCAAGAGCTCGAGCCAATGCAACCGCTCCTCGACATATGGGCGGCAAACGGCACCTTTCCTCCAGAGTCAAAGGCCTACGAGTACGCCAATCTCCGCGCCGGTGAACGCCTCTTGGAGCTGGCTGGCATCCAGTCGGAGACGCGGTAATGAGTAAAACCAAGTACTTTTTTTATTCCAAGACACAAACAACTGCCACGACCGTGGAGTTCGGGGGGTGTCCGCGAGCCGGCCTGATGGATAGAAGGTAGTTATCTGTTTCGACATCATTCTCGGGTTCCAAGAGAGAAGACATTTACGAATACGCAAAGGAGTTTCAAAGAGATGGTGTGGCCCTCGGTATGGCTACATGACCGCAGTCGTCACGAGCGCCGCAGCTCTGGAGAACGGAGGCGGACGCACTGGATGAAGGTAACTAGACCGGGCTTTAGACAATCTGTCGGCAGAAACTGCAACAGGATGATGAATGAATTGAAACTGCCGGCACCGGTGTGCGGCCTATGACGAGGTACTCGTCACCCAACATGGAGCATCATTGCCTTGACCACTTCGTTCTTTGCCGTGTACCGCGGCCGCCTTGCTGATGTCGTACTCGACGATAACGGGCTCGCTCGCGTGCACCGTGAACAGCCCTGAGTCTACATGCAGTGCAGCTTCCTCTCAATGCCCCTCAATGCCTTGACCCGGGCCTCAAACGGGCTTGTATGACAGACGCGGACACTGTGATGGCCCCCAGAGCCGACGTTGGCCACTCACCACCATGTCCCTCCTCCCCTTGGCCTCCCTCGCCCCTCGGCGCAGGGGGTGCGCCGGCTCGGAGATGAGTAGGCCCTCTGCCGGCGGCGCGAAAGCGCACGGGTAGCGGGTCCGGCCGGAGTGATGGCAAGTGTGGGCGTAGACGGGGCGCCGGAGGCCAGCGGGAGAGACGATCAGTGACTAAGGGCACTGGAAGCCACGGATCATGGCAAAAGGAGGGATGCAAGATGACGGTCCGTTGGGGATGGGAAAAGGGGAGACTTGCCTGCTCTAGAAAGGCTGGTTTCGGATCAGGACAATATGCCAACTCAATAATGCCACGTCTCGCATTCTTCTCCTTCTCAAGACCTCATTTCACCCAACTCGATGGTGTGTGGAAGTAAAAGGGAGGACAAATCACATCTGCCGTGTATCTGTGTCGAATCCAAGAGGGAGGTAGAGAGAGAGCCAAAGTAAAGCCCCCAAAGGAGTTTTGGTCTTCTACTCCCCTACCCGCACGAACCCTGTCCTACACTCTCTCGAGCTCGCTTCAGCTGCCATTTCTACCACGACGAGGACAGGAAAACGACGCGAGGCCCTGCAAGCGAGTCGCTGACCCCGTCATAAAGTAGAGAAATGCGCACAGGCGATATTCGCAGGACCCTGCGGCCGTCTGCTCCGACAAGAGAGCTCGGTGCATGTCGACGGGTGGCGACGAGACAAAGGAAAGAGGATGTGGCCGGGTTACCAGGGTCGAGGCACGAGAGTGAACGAAGGCGACGCGAGATGGGTGCCAAAGCTTGATGGGAGAGAATCCATGACCGTGAGCGAAGACGGGCACATCGCAAGCCGCCATGACTGCCCGTCGTAATAACGACAGAGAGGGATAGACCCGTACTGGAGACGGATCGTCGAGCGTCGCTAGAGGCCAACACCGCAATAGCCTGCAAACCCTGTGGGCTAGCGTCACTCGAGAGGAGGGGAAGTGAGCAGGTTCAACTGGCGAACGCTCGACCAACCGCTCACAAGAGGAACCCAGACACCAGACCGGTTCGACGATCCAGTGAGCTCGAGTCGAGTCCAAGACACCAGGACCGTATCAAATCAGCGGAACGGCAAACCAGATCTCGGTGGCTGCTCGTGGCTGTTGCTTCCAACCTGCAGCTCACGGTTGGGCTGGGACAATTCTCAGTTCCAGCCCAGCAGCAGCCCAACGAGCAGGCAGCATCATATGACCTCAACGGCTTGTCAGCGCCGGGGCACGCTTGCCGTTCACCGAGCTCGGGTTCCCGGAAGCACGCCCGTACCAAGCGACGGGGATCGATTTCGCCCCCTTCCCCCGTGCTTGCACTGCGATACGTGGGATGTTTCCCATGGAACCCCTGGATGGCGTCTCTTGTCCAACGAATGGGCCACTCCATAGGCTACCTTGCCTCGCTGTGCAACGCATGACCCCCCTCGCTCGCCTGGTAATGCAGAGGGCAGAATCGAGCTGGAGTCAAGGCAGCTCTGTTTCAGGAGCGCAGCTCGTCGAGTCTTTTCTTGAACGGCGATGGTTTGTTCATCGGCTTTGCAGAAGGACGTCCCAACTCGCATCACACGACCTCCCAGGTCACACAGGGAGCCAGGAAGAATTGCTGGCATCCGGAGAATATTCACAGTCCCTGTTGTTGGACAGACGGCTCGTACCAGGGTAAAGCCAATGACGTTGTGGTCGCCAATTCTCTGGTTCGTCTCGCAAGGACGGTGTTAGGCATCAACGGCTGGCTAATCACTGCGTGGCCATCGACGGCAGCACAATGTCAATGTAGCATGAGCACTACTGTCGCGAGCAGCGACTCTTGGCTTGAGAGCCTTGTGTAAGCCCCTGGATGCCGCGCTCGAGACCATTCCTTGTGGCTCAAATCCAGTTGCGCCAGTGGTCTGTTCTCTTACGCCCGAGTCGCAGGAGCCCGCCTGACCGAATATACCCTGGCAAGCGCGAAGTCCACGACTATCATTGGCACGCCCCCTAGGACCATAGCAGCCGGTGCCGCGGCCAGTGAGATGCCGCTCCACGCTGCTGGGCCGCCAGTCTTGGGGACGACGGAAGGATAGCCCCGGTCTGCGATGAGTCACGTCGTCGGGCCTTCAGTTGCCATCCAAAGAGGAAATGCCGGTGGCAGACTGCGTCTCACGGGGAGACTATCGGGGTGATGGTGGCCGCTGCACACAGGGTCTCGAGGCATTAACCGGTGCGTAAGCCGCTAACATCATCAACGCGGAGCTTCCGAGCCTCTTGTCGCTCTCGCCGCTTCCCGTCCCGGCGTATCCTGTGTCATTGGCGAAACAGCGCATCGAGAAGCATCAGTCTTTGGAACAAAATCGGTATTCAAGCACGGAAATAGGTTTATTTACTCGGCGGCAAAAGGGTACCGGGACCCTTGCAATCCAAATGACAAGGATAGAGCTGGGCGGCAAAGAACACGACCGGGCCGTTTAAGAAAACCGCAGACTGCAGAGTCTTTGGTCAACTAGCTGCCTCGACCGAGCATCGAAGCCAATGCCAGACTTTCCAAACGGCTTCCCATTATGAATCTCGAGAAGCGCCATCAAGCATTCGGCAGCGATCCTACCGCTGCACAATTCCGGTTCGGGCTACCGAAGACTGCGGCCAAGACAGAGACAATCTGGGGCCGAGTATCTCGGAGTACCTGTACAAGTAAGACGTCTCTTGGCCAGCAATCGGCGGCGCCTGCCAGTACTCGGTGCGCTTCCACGCCCGCAGCAATGGTGTGAGTCGGTGGCCTGAGAAAGTCTTGGAAGTCAACCGTTTGCGATAGCCATGTTTCTTCCTTTGGAGGCAAGCAATATTGACATTGACAGACTGGAGTCAGCGCGCCTCAGGCTCAATCCTTGCTCGCAAACGGTCGAGGACTGGCGTCTCACCTCCATCATAGGTCGAATGGATGATACCCAGTGGCCACATGGCAAGGACCACTAGTCAAGACGACCTTGGTTGGGCCGTTCGAGACACCACATGCGAAGAGAAGGGAGGGAATCTGGTGGCTTGATCTGAAAAGCAGGCCGTACGTACGGGGCACTTGTGACAAAGGACTGGACGACAAAGAAGGAGGCGCAAGAGGGCGAGACGGGTCCATTGCGGCGCGGGTCGATGGGAGGCGTTTCCATAGCTCGCAGCCCCTATTGGACTGGCCGACAGGGGAGGCAGCAGCACACGCAATGCGCTCGTTCCGCCGAACAAGACGTCGACGGCGTCGCTGGCTCTGTGCACACGCGTACTCAAATACGACGGTGGGAGGGCATCCGAACGGGGTCAGCATGTAGACATGTACAAGGCCGTCCAGTGAGCCAAGTCGGCGGTGTTCAGAGAAAGGAGCTGAGGACTGCAAAGGGCACCATTAGCTTCGGTGCCTAACGTGAGGAATGACGAGAGCATGGGGGAGAAACACACCGACTTGGAAGGGAGCATCGAAAGTTGAGAGGCTCGCGGGAAGGGACGCCATGGCCGCTGGATATGCGGCCATGGTGCGTGGTGGAGCTGCTGATATCGAGGGTCGTGTCGTGGTTGGATCACGGCGCTGTCGCAGCATGCGAGCCTAGCCAAACAGCGGAGAAGTTCCCAGGGCAAAGGAGCACACTCGCAGGCCCTGTAGCCCGTTTGCCTGGACGAGGCATGGCCATGGCGAGGCGTGAAGACTATGGTTGATGGGAAAGATCGGGGTTGAGTCTGGGACGGAGCGCTATTCTGTACGTTGCCCGGCTTGGGGAAGCGAAGCAGGGTTCCTCGTTCGTGGCCTGACGCGGAGGGGATGGCACCCAAAAAAGAAGCTGTCTGTATGCACGTCGCGGTCTGGGTGATGGCAGCAAAAGAGCATGGAGTTGATCGGACGATCACGTCGTATTTTTGTGCCGCGGCGAGATGCAGTCCTCTGGTCATCTGGCGGTGGAAATGGGGGGAGCGGCCTTCGAGGTACCTTTTCTGGCATCCCCACCGCACGCAGCACGCGTCTCTCCGTGCTCGCTCCGTGCTCGAGGGCCGAGCTTGTGGCGGATGTATCTCTCGGGCGGCGGTCTGCGGGCGCGGTACGGAGTACCTGGAGCTCGATACCTCGGACGGTACGGCCGCTGCGGATGTTGCCAAAAGGGAAGTTGCGGGAGGACCAGCCCTCAACAGGCAAGGGCATCCGGTGGGGGTGGGCCCATTGTCGCAAGCCACCTCGCCAAGGTCCCTCCTCCCCGCCTGATGGGCGCCATGCATCGCCCAAGGCGCAACCTCTTCGCCCTGTCACACAAAATACCAGCCTATAGACGCTCGAGGAAATGCTCCTGTGACGACCTCAGCGGGCGCAACAGCACCAAACTGGGGGCCGACGGTCTCGCGCAATGGGGTGCGAGGTGGGCAGAAGGGCAGAAGGACAACAGACGACGGGCCAGTCAAGAGCCAGAGTCGAGGCCATCGGGGTTGCCTGTGACGAAAGTGATGGCCCATGGGAGCACCGAGAGAGTAAATGAGGGCCCGCACCCCTTGCTCAGTCAGTTGCGCCCGCCGTCATCGGATGATGGGTTAGCAGGGAGTGTCGGGTGCAGCACGGCACAGTACCTGTGGGCGAGGTTAGGTATCGGCCGTTTGATGCCCAACCTGCCCTCCACCTCCCTCCCTCGTCGCCATCCATGGACGCCAACGGGCAGTGCTCTCGACCAGTCGTGCGGCCCTCTGATGGCCGCTACTGGCCTCGCGGGTCGGTTCCGACGAGGCCACCGGTGTCGAGTGGTGGCCACCGGGGTTGCACAGATCTGGGGCGTGCGCGCGCACTCGACGACGGATCCAAGGGATTGGATGCCATTCGCACCAGCACCGCAGCTCGATGGCTGGCGCCCAAAGAGGTGCCGAGCCACGCGGGCAACCCATCTCGTTCTGGCAGGGTGACTAAGGCAAGACCTCGTCTCGCCATGGTGTTACTGAGCAACTGTGCCGCGAACCGGGCCAACGAATTGAAGGATAAAAGAGAAACGGAGCAGGGAGGGCATGTGTACGGTACTTCGTGTCCGAAGCCGCTAGGTGTCCGGGGACGCGCACCTGATGGATCGACAGACGGGGCCGATTGTACGGGCAATCACTGTGCACAAGCCTGGATATTGGACGGCACAGACCCGTGAATATGCTGTGTTTCGAGCCCCAGTGCCACATGCGAAGATATGCGCGTGCCGTGCCCAGCATGTGTGTACTGTAGGTGAATGGAACTGCCCTGGTGCGAGCTACTGAACACATCCAGCGGGCAGAGACGGGACCGAGGGCCGAAGATCAACGGTGGATGGTGACGGCAACGGCGGGCGATGAGATGATTGACTGCAGGCTTGGAGGAGTTGACCACTTGCTCGCCTGGACATGTGTTCCGAATGCTACATGTGTTGAATATCGGGATGGAGAGGAGGCGGCACTCTCGTCGCCTCGATAAGGGCAGCAGCAGCAGACAGTAGGGACATGTACAGTACTGGGGATTATCAAGGCTCGGTAACGATGGGTCCCGGGCAGCGAGACGATGAGGTCTTTGTCTAAAAAGGCACCTCCCCAGACTGGGCGGCTGGCTTTCCCTGAGCGCACCCAGAGCGCACCCAGAGCGCACCCAACGGTCTAGCACCTCTCCTCAGCCTCGATATAGCGTCCGAAGCATCCCGGATACTTTGCATGTACTGGATGCTCGATGGCTCGGTACCCGAGTGCATGGACGCGCAGATGGACGGCACCTGCCTGACTTGTGCACTTGTAGAGATCCATGTAATGTAGATTGCAACTTAACCTACGGATGCCGGATGTAGGCGAAAAGTCTGGGCCGTTGCTGCATGTCTGTACGAAACGGAGCATCATGATTGCCTTTGCGCTGCACTGAGTGCACAGTCCCCAAGGCACAGTACAGACGGACCTTGAGCGGACTGGGACCATGCCCACATTCCCGGGGGTCTATCATGTTGTTTTCTTTCCCCCTTGGCCGGCCCAATGGCGCATCTCGCGATCCCCCCCTCCTCCCATGACCCATGCGCTCCGCCCGGCGTGGGGGACCAAAACGTACCAGGGGACGATGAATGGCCCTGGGGAGCCTGGGCATCAGCGGTCGGCGGCTGTCTGTTGAAGGAGATGGCAGCCCAAGTGCGGACCATGTGCTGACTGGAGCCATGCTTAGCACCGAGTTAGCAGTGCTTCTCGTCTGCTGACAAGCGATGGTTGATGTACGAAAAGTACAGTACAGTACAGTACTTGTCTTGTCCTCATGCTATCGGACGGGCGAGCGCATCATCACCGTGTTGCATCCCATTGTGTCTGTGGCCCATGCTGGATAGAGGTACCCGTAGACTCGGGCGGACGGGGGCGACCTCGACGCCGGGTATCGTGGACAGGCCCGTGGCGGAGGGGGGATGAGGTAGCGCCCGGCGCGCGGGTGGCGGGGCGGGGTACCGCCGTGGTGGCCCCCTGCCCGCGAGGCCAGGTACTTTGCCTCGGCGTCTCTCTTGTCGCCCAAGCAGTCAGTGACAGGATGGCGGCGCCATCCGCCAGCTGCCCAGCCCGCCCCGTGGGTGTAGGTACGTGTAGGTACATGCATAGACTTGCATGGGGCGCGGTAGCTACCTGCACTAAGGCTCAGGACCGGAGTAGTAGCGAGGTACAGTAGCTGGCGCTGAGATGTCCCCTCGAGGTTCCTCGCCTACTCCTTCCACCGGGCATGCAAGTCCAGTCCCCCAACCTTACTACTACTAATTACTAGTAAGTAGGTAGCTTCAGCACCGCTACTAGTATATTCTTAGCCCTCTTATCTACTCGTCCTCGTCCTCCATCATTCGCCTCTGCATCATTTATTCCACCCTCATAGCCTGCGCCCTGCCTTGTTTGTTCTTCCTCGCCCTCCTCTTCTTCCAGACAGTCTTCTTTCGGCATCCGCCTCGTCCTCTTCTACCCGCCACTCTTGCCCCCTTTGGTCCCCCATCCATAAACACTCTCCTCGCCCTCCTCTCTCCCATTGCCGGCATCGCCCTTCGACGCCGTCTCTCGGCCGCAGCAGCAGCAACACCGTCGTCTTCGCCACTTGCTCCTCTTTTGCCTTGATCTAAAAGACAACGCCCGCGTCGAATTCCCTGCGTTTCGCCCCATCTCTCTCCCTCATCCAAGACTGCTTCTCTCCGAAAGCGCCCCTCTCTTCCTCTCTTGTGAGATGTCGCGCGAGCAACCCCAAAACAAGGTGAGCGGGTGAACCTCATGCTTTTCTCCCCTCGGCCCCCCGCACCAACTCCATGGTCATCATGCCTCTTCTTTGCCCTCGACGTCGTTTGACAACGGCCAAGTGCATGCACAATGCCTTGTTTCAGTCCCGCGTCTCCCGGTCCTGCGGCAGTATCCAGATAAACCTGTTCCTTGCCCTACACTCGTCGTCGCCATCCAACCTCGTTTTTTGCGTCCGCGCTAGCTTCACCTGACCGCCTTCTTCTTGTCTGCCGCCTCAGAGCCTCAGTTGCACCCTCTTCCCCTCTTCCTCTCCCCTGACCCAGCCTGTCCATGGGCCAAAATTCTGTCTTGTTCCCCTCTTGGCCCCTGCGCACCTCCGAGACCCGCTCGTCTTCGACGACTGCCACTCGTAACCCGACCCTTCCCTCTTCGTCTCTTGATATCCGAGTCCCGCCCTCATCGCCGCCACTGACATCGACGCCGTTTCTCGGCGGAATTAGAACCTCGACCGCCGTTGTCTCTTCGCCTGTCACTGCAACGGCCCCGTGGCCTCGCACTTCTCTACCAGGGCCGTCTCCTCCGCGAAAAGCTCGTCGCTCGACGGCTTTCCGCCTTCTGCCATGGTTTCGCAGTTCTCCGGGCTCCCCTTTTACCGCGCTGCCAATCTGACAGTGGACACGAGCCATGCGCAACAAAAGTACTTCGAAGACGAGGACAAGAGTGTCCTAGACGACGCCATCCTCGACCACAGCGCCGTCGACTCGGGCCTGGAGCTCTCCCCCCCAATGGCCAACAGTCGCAGAGAGTCCTTTGCTGTCAACAGTGCCATCTTCTCGCCAAAGACGGAGGACTGGCATTCCGTCGACATGCAGTCGGTGCCTTCCAACAACCCCTTTGTTGACCAGCAGAGCAACACCAGCAACAACCCCTTTATGCGTGTCGACCAGAACCCGCATCACGTCTTCGGCCAGCAGCAGGGCGGCGGCTGGCTCATGGGCCACGGCTCCGGCTCCGGAACCGCCACGCCCTTTCAGACCTTCGATCAGGTCCCCGCGGCAGAATACGACTCTGGCACCTCTATTTTCCAGCGCCACATGCAGAGCCAGACGCCCTTCAGCAATCCTGGCAACCTCTTCGGCCCTCTTGGTCAAGGCGACCAGTCCATCCCGACGTCGCCTTCAAAGGAGTGGATGGCTGCTTCTCAATCCGTCAACAAGAAGATGCGTCCAGGCAGCCCCGTCATCAGGTCCCACAACGACATGAGACGAGGCGACGGAATCCGCAAGAAGAATGCCCGCTTCGAGATCCCTGCCGAGCGCAACCTCAGCAACATAGATCAGCTGATCGCCCAGTCTACTGACGAGCAAGAGGTCAAGGAGCTCAAGCAGCAAAAGCGCTTGCTACGGAACCGTCAGGCAGCGTGAGTGCTTCTTACACCCCTACCCGCACCGAAGCTCGACGCTGACGCAACTGCCTCCACAGCCTGGACTCGAGGCAGAGGAAGAAGCAGCACACTGAACGTCTGGAAGACGAAAAGAAGCACTTTACTACCCTTGTCACTGACATGGAAGAAGAGATCAACGACCTCAAGGCCAAGATGGATCAGCTCCTGCGCGAGAAGCAATCATACGCCGACTACATCGAAACCGTCACGCTTGAAAAGGACGAAATGATCAGAACTCACACCATTGAGACGGGCGAACTTCGCAAAAAGGTCAGCGTCCTCACTGAGCATGTCCAACGCCTCGAGAGCGGCTCGATGGCCCCTGCCGTGTCGCAAGTGAACAACCCCTTTGGCGGGGCCTACGACGATATGGGCGACATGCCCATGACCGAGGCCTGGGACGGCTCCGGCTACCTCAACGACTTTGCCGTCGATCCTCCTCCAGTCAAACAGCAGATGACCGTTGTTTCGGTCAAGAAAAACGACGCCACTATCGTCGGGGACGGAGACAAGGGTGCCTCGCAAGGTGGACTGTTGTTCATGCTGTTCCTCGTCGGCGCGTTTGTCATGTCCAGTCGATCCACGCCGGCTATTCCGCGAGTCTCGGAAGACATGCGGGCTGCATCTGCCACTCTGCTCGACAACGTGCTCAAGGACGCCGGTGTCAACTCGCAGTCGCACACCATGCAGCCCATTGTCCCCCAGCCCTCTGGGACCAGCTGGTCGCAGCCCGCTCCCAGCGGCTCCATGCCCGGCATGGGCGTCTCTCCGTCGATGCTCGAGGAGCTCGGTGATTCGTTGACCCGGCCGACAGAGGAGCAGACCAACGAGCAAATCTTTTCCTTGTCGGCGGCTCAATACAATGGGGTCAACAGCCAAGACTTTCTTCAACACTCGCCCCAGCGCTCCACCAGTCACGGTCGCAGGAATCTGGCCGAGGCGCTCGCCTCGATGCGAGCCGCCAACAAGCAGACTGGGGCCGCCGATGTGTATACACGCTCTCTACTCTGGGACCAGATCCCCAGCGAAGTTGTGCGCAACTTTGCCAAAATGGTTGCCGAATGCAGCAATGCACATAACGAGCAGCAATGCAGTGAAACAACATGACTTACGACCAACGATTACAGAACGACATTCTCACGATGACGAATACTCACGGCCCCTGTTAATGACAATCTCCTTTCCCCGCTGACGCTCTCTGACCCGGTTTCTTCTTACCAGCAACCTTGGCGTCGGTTACTTTGTCGACGCCGCCCATCCTCTTCAGATCAGTTGCTCACGCACCCAACGCCTTGATCCTTGACGTCGCCCTCTCCCTCCCGAATCCGGGTTCGGACTCGTGTTTTCTTTCCCTTGCGGGATTCCCTTCATCTTTTGAGGATCTAGCGAGCGAGCATGAGCTTGAGTTTTGCTTTGCTGAATTTTCGTCGATGCCATGTTCTTTACGACCGATTCTGCTTACGTTTATGTGATTTGTTTTCCCGGCCGGCTATTAGGTGACTGCAGAGAACCCGATGGGGGGAACGGGCGGAGCAACCGACGTTGCGAAGCGGCCCCATCCATCATGCTTGTATATTTGGAGAGGACCTTGGGTGGATTATCTCTTGAGGGCAGGCGTTGCCTCGGATCGAACGGTAGGGGCGTGGTGACGAGTTCCAGGCAGGGGACTGGGCCTGGTGCGATTGTCGACTACAGAATGGGAGGGAACCGGTGGGATGACGGACTTACGAGACATGAATCGCCGACGAGCATGTTTCCTTGGATGATCTTTAGCTTACCGCATCAAGCGGGCTTACGGCTTGAGTCGAGCCTTTGCGTTTCCTTTTTTGCTCTCAAACCGGGGCTGCTAGCTAGCTAGTTACCTTGCAGCGGGCGGCAGCAGCCCATGTCGTGTCAAATGATGAACGAAAAGTAACACTCGGTTTTCCTTCCAGAGTGTTTCGCCAGTCACCCGTGTGGTAAACGGACGCTGCCATGTGGGCGCCCACCTCCTGTCTACTGTACGCAGTACATGGGAGAGGAGGCTCGCAGCTCCCAGGCCATATGTGTAGCGGCCGTATTGCTCCGCGTACCCGTAATTCAAGTCGGCTTATACGTACCTCTCGTCCTTGGCTATACCAGGCAGCCACGTTGTAGCAGAGATGGGGGAGGGGGAGGGGAGGCGCAGAGAGTGGGTGTGATGCGACGGACGGCGCGGGGGCGACTGAGACATGAGGGGAGAGACACGGGGAGAGGGTTCACACCGCCAGCCTCTCACGGGATCCGATGGAGCGCCGAAACAGGCCGGTGGGACCACTGATGTCGAGGGGGAAAGACCAATGTAACGTCTTTGAACTCTGGGTCTTCGTTTTTTCCTCGTCTTTGGAAGAAAAAACAGATATTTTTACGTTTTGTATCTTGTATTGTCTTACATCTTCCCCGGCGGTCAGGAGAAGCTCGAAACGGGGTCCTGGGAATGGAGAGGGTTGGGGGGAGGGGGGGCAGGACTGGCTTCGATCGGGAGGCAGCAAGAGCCGGTCAAGAGAGGGGAAAAGCAGAGTCTGGATGCAGTAGCAGAGCGAGGAAGAGGGGAGATAGAACCAAGGCCCGCGGCCTCGCTGGGGATGATGGAAAGATGACGACGGTGCTTCGTGGCTGACTGGACCGAGCCCCCAATCCAGATGGTGACGCCCAAGCCATACCCCATCTTTCACGACAAAGATCGCTTCATTTCCTGCTGCTGCCGGCCTCGCCCGGCGGATCGTACTTGTCTTTCCATATCCTGCCAACCCAGTTAGTTCAATCATGTGCAGACCCAAGCTTGATCCAGTGTCACCGCCCACGTCGACTCACGATGGACTCCAGAGCACAGGCAAGGAAAATAGGGAACAAAGGCGGGACAAGTGATAGCAAGGGCCCGTGAGAGGGAAAGGAGACGTCCACGTACCAAGAATTGCCCAGCGTCTTGCTGCCGGCCTTCTCGGCCAGGCGATAGTACCTGGCCGCTGCAAACTGCGCGGAAAGCATGACATCAGCCTCATGTGACAAAAGAGACGGATGTGTGTTGCGTGCGGGCAGGGCTCTCTCTGGGTAGAATAATCATGGTTCTGGCTGGTTGCTGGTCGATGCCCAACTTTGGGCGATGCAACCCCGTGTCCGTCGCGGTGGCAGCAACGCCCGCAAAAGCTTGCCATGGGATGGTTCCATCATGATGGTACGCTCGCAGCGGATGGATGGATGGATGCGTTCAAGGCCAGCCGGGTGAGAGCGACTCTACGCTACTCAACTGCCTCCAACTATTGAGAGTGTGCTGTGTGTGTGTGTGTGTGTGTGTGTGTGTGTGTGCGTGTGCGTGTGCGTGTGTGTATGTATGTGTGCGAATCATGCGGGTGAGCAGGGACAGAGGGGGTGGCTTACCTTGTCCTTCTTGCACCCAAAGCCCTCGAGGTAACACCAGGCCACTTCGTTCATCGCGTCTGGCGCCAACTGCTCAGCCTTTGATTCCCCTCGCCAAGCGGAAGAGAAGCCCGGTCCCGCAACAAGAGGAGGGTTGGCAGCAGGCACCACTCACCTGTGTCGCCGAGGTTGGCGGCAGTCTCGTAGTACTGAAAATAGCATGGGGCCACGGCATCAGCACGCCGTCTGCCATGCTCCGTCGTCGTGCGACTCACCTGCTTGGCCGCGATGGCATCCTTGGGAATGCCCCATCCGTGGCGGAAGCAGTTGGCCAGCTCGAAGATGGCCAGGACCAGCTCTCCCTTGGCGGCGCCTCCCTTCTTGAGGCCGGCCTGGAGCGCCATCTGCTCGATGGCCGCGGCATTGGACGCTGCTGCCGACAAGTAGCGGACGGCGGCCTCGGGATCTGGAGCGCAGCCCCAACCGTGCCTGGAGAGCGGGTGCGTCAGCATCTTGTACGACCAGTCGGGACCCGCGGCGCAGCTGGCCCGCGAGGGAGACGGGCGCTTGGCAAGGCAAACGGCGCGGCCACGGCCCAGGGTGTTTCACCTCAACGCAAGGCCGTATAGGACCTGGCTCAGCGGGTTGTTGGCCCCTGCGGGATCGGCCAACCTGGCAAAGGCAACCGTCGACTTCTCCAAGTGACCTGCCTCGTGGAGGCGAATAGCCTCCTGAATGCCCTGATCAATGACATGCGACGAGACCGGGGATGGGCGCCCCTTTTGGCCTGGGTTGGCCGCGGGCTCGGCCGACACGGGTGTCGGCGGCCGACTGCGCGCCAGGCCGTTCTGCCCGGCCAGCATGGTCGCCCGTCTTTCCCATTGTGACTCGGCACGGTCGCGGTCGCGGCCATCGGCGGCGGGGACGACAATGGTGGGCAGGTTGTCGGGTACGTTTTCCGACGACGCGGGCTGGCGGCTGAGGCGCAGGCGCTGGGAGAGGCGCCGCTTGGTGGGCGACTGGCAACTAGCTTGCGAGGAGACAGACGGGCTGCGGGGGCGGAAGACGTCGAGGCTGCGTCGTGGCGATCTGTTGGGCGTTGCGGCGGTGGCGGGCTGCAGGTTGTCGCCGGGGGGCTCCAAGATATCCTGCGACAGCGTGTCGGACCGTATAAAGGTGAACTCGGGGCCGCTGAGCTTGGTCATGGCCTCTTGCTCGGCCGGACCCTCGCCCAGCTGCTGCCTTTTCTTGAGAAAGTCGCCGAGGCCCATTGGGACGAGTGATGGACGAGAGATGGACGAGAGATGGACGAGAGATGGACGAGAGATGGATGAGAGATGGACGAGTAGTAGGCAAAGTGTTTCTCCCCGCCTTTCGCGTTTCCCTCTCCACCCCAAGACGGTCAAGGGAGCCCTATGGACAATGGCCGGGTATTTATCCCCCCCCGGCGGGACAGGATTCGCAGCTCGCCGTTGCGCGTCGGGATGTCGTCGCGCGCCAATGATGGCTCCTGTCGAGGGAGGCTGAGTCAGGGCGGCAGTGCACAACACGGCGTCGTGAGCAGAAAGGCGCCGCCACCTCTGCGGCCATGCTTTTTGTCCGCTGGCTCAACGGACAAGGCGAAGCCGTCGTCGGCGGGGAAGAAAGGAGGGAGGCTTGGGTTCGCCGTTGTTGGCGTTGTATCGTTCGAGCCGGAGGGAGAGACAGAGTGTGCGGGGAGGGGCGGTTGATCAAAGGACGTGGAAGCCACGATTGATGCCGACAATGGAATGAAAAGTGCCCACCGACGGAGCCACAATGCTTGTCTCGACTAGGAAAGAGGGGCAAGCAACTTCGCCGCGATGGATAATTAGGTAGCCGTAGCCTAATAATTCCGACGAGTCATCATCGGCTGCAGATTTGAATCTTGACTTCTCCGGTATAATCATCTTAACATAGTCGAAATGCGGATCGATCTTTAAAGTTAGGCATCAGTCTGGGAAACACCATTCATCCTAGGCATGGAATGGAAATACTTGGTCTGTACCAAACGAATACCGATGGCGGCAACATGCCATCAGCATTCAAAGATACAAGCCATCACATCATTCGCCTTCTCGTGGTAGGGACCAGCATCTGTCTCAACGGTATCGTCTTTTGTTTCTCTCCTATCACAATGGACTCTCTTCCTTGCCCTTCATTGTTCGCGTCCCCTCTGCTCAATCATGCTTCAAAGCACACGAATAATGGAGGGTCAGGGGCGCCCGTCTCGTTAACCAACCGGCCAGCTCAGCAAAGGCAGCGCTCTGTCCTCCCACAATGGGACCAGAGCCAACGCCAAAACGCCTCGAGCCATGCATTCATGCAACGCCGGTGCTTCTCTCTCTTCTTTTCTCTTCCCACGCTCATTTTTTCCCTCTTTCTCTTCTCTCCCCCTTACCATCTCTCGTCTTCTCCCTCTCCCCTTTTCTTCCCTCCAGTGGTATCTTGTGCCTGTTCCGATGCAAAACAGCGGTGCATGGCCGCGCGGCAATCAAAGACAGGGCATCTAAATGGGTAAGAAATCCTTGTTGTCGTCGTCAAAGTCAGAGTCGTCCGACTTGGCTTCAATCAACTCGGCCACCTCGTCCGAGTCGATGTCGTCAGAGTCGTCGGCTTCATCTTCGCTCGACACGTCTCCCTCAGGTTCGCCCCTCTTGAAGTGGGCTCGAAGGACGCTTGCCCTCTCACGATGCAAAAGCTTACATCCCTTGGTCTTACAGCTGCCCGTGTTGCTGAAGTCGGGGCACTCAAAGACATGGCGCTCGGTGCAGCTGGCTCCCTTTTCACAGTAGCCGCAGAAGCCAAACGCTTCGCAGACGGGTGCGCCGGGCGCTGCTTGGGAATGAGCGTACGGGCAGTCAGGCTTGGCACAGTTGCCTTTGGCAAAATGCACGCAGTTGGGGACCCGTTCCGGGCTCGGTTCATGGGACAGGTCGCAAGACTCGCCGTCGGCGCATTTCCCTTCCTTGAGGAAATCTCGGCACATCGTCACCTTGGCAGGGTCATGCTGGAACCGGCACGCGGGCCCCTTGGGGCAGGAACCTGTGCTCGCTCGTCAGTAATCTCCCATACGAACCCTGGCATCTGCAGGAGTTGAGAGCCCGTCCTCCCAAGCTTAAATGTAATATTTACCAGTCGTCGAAAAGATCCTGCACAGCTCGTTCTTCTTCTTGACCACTCCGGTCCGGCTGTCTGCCGTTAGCGAGGTGCTCACCCAGTAAGGTGGAACATACCGGTGGTCTTGGACAACACGGTTCGCAACAAGATTGCCTGTTTTGGTTCGGTAAAACGTGACACCGGCCACGATGGCGCTCTTGGGCGTTGAGGGGGTAGAATGAATGTCCTCTGAGAGATTTGTCAATGCCGGCCGATATATGCCCAGACTGCGTCCTTTTTCCATCTCTGAGAACGATGTCGACTTACCCATGGCCTTGACCAGCTTCTTACCGCCGTCCACGACGCGGAAGCGCATGCCGTCAATCAGGATTTCATTTCTGCCAGCCCCAATGCCAGCGTTAGTAGGCACAGCAGAGGGGTTGGGAGGGTTGGCTTGGCGTCGCAAAAAGGCGTTGAACCTCGCCTTCTCTCCAGATTTCTGGAGCCTCAGTTTCCGTTGTCGGGTTTCCTCGATGGCCTTTGTGCGACTCTGGACTTCTTTCTCGTATATATCGGCGTTGATCAGTTGGCGGTGGCGATCCGTTCTGGACACCCAGTTTCTGTTTCCCGACGGGGCGCTATCGCTGGCACCGCCTGATTCAGAGCCAGACCTCGGAGTGCTGAGCTGGAGTGTTCGGTGGCGATGGGCAACGGGCGGACGCCCACCTCGGTATCCAGCGCGCGGATACGGAGCGCTCGCATGCCTATATGCGTTGCCTGTGGCAAGGTCAGCGCCAGGTTGATTCGTCGGGTGCGCGCGAAACCGACGGCGGTAGGGAGCTGGGTGGTTGCTTGGCGCGGCCCCAGCCTGCTGGTTTTTGTGTCGGTTGATTTGCCCTGGAAGCGGTGAGTTGCGACGGCTGTCTAGAATGGAGGCGCGAAAATGGGGATTTAGACTTACCGGCAAGCTGCCCGATGCGAGCCAAGAGCTCTTTATCCTCGTCCGACATTTGCACCCGTATTATATGAACTGTTCTTGCTGAGTCGAGTAGAGGAAAATCCCCCGCTGAGGCTTTGGGGTGAATGGCTGGCCAGTTGTAGGAAGCAAGTGGGAAAAGAGGCGCGCTGCGCGCTTCGGTGGTGGAGGAAGCAAGCAGAAGAGGCGGGTTAGTCAGCGGTGACGACGCACTGACCATCACCGAAGGCACCCACCCACCTATTCTTCTTTGTGCCCGTCCACTGTTCCAGGGACAATCAATACCTAGGTAGGTAATAATTAGCTAGGTATTCATCCAGCTCTGCGACGACATTTGCAGTCCTCTCTCTCCCAGCAGGATTGGGTCGAGTCTACAAGCCGACACCACACCGTTCATCACATTGCCTCGTCTATCCGACTACACTCTCGCAAAAGCCGCCGACAGCGAGACTACGTGCCGAGCTTTGGCGAGAAAACAGGCATCCGTCCATCCACCTCCTTCGTTCCTCACCGCGTCGCAAAGCTTTGTGCAGCGGCAGGGCGCCCGAGCCTCGCAGCCATGGCATCCTGGGTCCTGCTCGACGACAAGAGCGAGTCAGACCTGCATAAGACGCGCCTGCTCAATGTCGAGGAGAAGCCCTTCAAACGCATCACGAAGCGACTTGTGTTCATAGCCTCTGCCGTGTCCAAGACCGCCGGAAGCCAGGATGCTTCAGGCGGCCCCCAAAACCCCTCCTCGCTCCTAAACGGCGACGCGCTACAGGTCGACCTCACCCACGACTTTGCTGCCTTTGACAGCAGCATCGCCCGCTTCCAGTTCCTCCACGACGCGAACCAGCGCGAGCGCGAGCGATATGCCGCCGATCAGCAGCGCATCCTCGGCGAGTGCCAAGACGTCAGGGCAAACAACACCCGCCTGCGTGAGCAGTTAGAGAGCGCGCGCGCGACGCTGGCGCAGCGCAAGAAGTTTGACGAGCTGGCCGAGAGAATTACCTCGAGCAGGCTCCTGCGGCCCCGGGAGGATCAAGTAGTCAACTTGGCCAAGCTGGAAGACGAGTGCAGAGAGCTGGAGCGCGAGAGTGAGACGTACAGCGAAACCTGGAAAGAGCGGCGGGACCAATTCAACAGGATCATGGAGGAGGGCAAAATGCTGCGGCGGCAAATCCGAGACGAAAAGGAAGAGGTCGACCGGCGCGAGGGCATGAATGAAGGTGGCGAGGACGATGCAGAGGGCGACAAGGACGCCCAGACGCCCAGAAACATGGCGAGCGAGCTGGCGACTCCCCACGCCGACGTCGATAGCCAGCCCAAGGCTGCCGAGAGCGCCGTTGATACGCCGCGACCGGTCTCGCCCGGCGGCGCGAGAACACCCATGCCTGGCTCACCGGGACTGGACAAGCCCAGGTTCAGATCAGCTCTGTCCAGGGATGCTGCGGGCCAACGGTCAGATCAGGCTGCGGAAGACGGGTCTCGAGGTGACGTGGAGATGGAGGACGGTCAGCAACAGGCTATGAAGGACGAGGAAGGCGACAAACAAACGGGTGGTGAGGAACTGCCAGAGGTTACGGGGGACAATATGGAGGTTGATGAGTAGCGAGCGATCAAGAGGCCCGGATGAAGCATGGAAATTCTTGTTTTGTTCTCTATATCTACAGCCACTGCATCTCTAAATACCACGACAGGGAACTCAGAAGCCGAGGACGCAAATGTCCAATCAATGGACTTGTTTATTCGCAGGTGGTATCAGACTCGCGTTCATCTCACCGTCACAATAATGTTGCCGTGGAATCAACCCTGCCTGGGCTCGTCCGTCACCAAGCCGACCTTCGAGACCCCTTTGGCCCATAATGTAAACTTCCCCCCCTTCCCCCTTTCTTCACGCTGTCTTGGCCTCTTTCAGCACGGCCCTGGCCTGCTCCAAGTCGGCCGCGCTCACGTCGCCCTTGCCCTGGCTCGACTCGATCTGCTCCTCAAGCCTGGCGATGGCCTCTGTGATTCGCTTCCGCAACGGTTCGAAGACGGCCTTGGTCTGCTCGATGGCGATTTGCTGCGCGCGACACCAGATCAGCAACAAGGCCAAGCCGCACACACGAGTCCGTTCCCTCGCAGGCCAGCCCCGGCTCAAAACGCACCTGCTGCTTCAGCATAAACTCTTCGTTGCCGTCCTCCTCGCCGCCATGCCCGCCTCTCTTCGTCTTGTCCTCGAGGGCCTTGGCATGCGCCTCCTGCTCGGCCAGCTCCGTGCGGTACGAGACTTCTTCCTTGCGCAGGCGCACCACTGCGCCCGAGGCGATGGCGAGCGCCGACGGGGGAGCCATGTTTTGCTTCGCGCCGTGCGGTGGGAGCAGTTTGGCGAGGGGTCGGCCGGGGGCTGGGTGGATACTAATACGGTTGGAGGATGGGAGCTGAAGGAAGAAGAGGGACAAGGAAGAGTTCACGGATTGGATGTAGCCAAGGTTGAAGCAGGCAAAGTGTCTTGTTGTTTGGTCCTGACGAGGGCCCCCCTCACCCTCCTTATCGCGCCTTGAGGTGACGTGGGGTTCCCTGTAGCGGGGCAACGGCTCTGCTGAATTTCCACGTCCAGCGGCTGTCCCAGTACACAGAGAACTCACCTTGGCCGTATCAACCATCAACGACAGGCACAATTCAGCCCATGTATCCTTCAACGCATGCGTCTGGTCCGCTGCTCAAGCAGTCATTGCTATGTAGTAACAACCGAGGGAAGCGCTTGTGCTTGCTGGAGACTCGACTATCCAGGTCAAAACATCACAACACCAAAACACCGGTCCACGCCGACCGACGGCGACACGAGCGCCCCCCTTTCGTCCTCTCCAGCGACCCTCGCGTCACAAGTCTTCCCCTTTTTTGCAACACCCTCCCGCTCCAGGTCCAGTGTGACCCCGAGCGATAAATGGTATCTCCCTACCAACGCCTGCAACGCCTCAGAGTGGTCCAACAAGCCAATGCTCAACAATGCACAGATTCAGTATTGTACACCAGCAGACGCGCCATTTTCCCGCCGGCCGTCCAAACACATTACCATCAAGTAGTCGTCCTCACTGTCGAGCTGGCAAGCTTCATGCTTCTACGGCCACAGTGGGTGCGCAGACTGCCGCCGGCTCCGGTTCGTCCTGGTTCGAAATCTCGCCGCCGGCTTCGCGCTCGGCCCAGTCTCCCCAGAGGCCTCGCTTGCCCCTGACTCGAATGGGGGCTCCCAGCTCAGGCCCCTGCTCCACCTTGATGGCGTCCTTGGTGGCCAAAACCAGACACTCAAAGAACATCTTGGTTGCCTCTGCCTTGGTCGTCCGCTTCTCCGGTAGCAGGTTCTGGAACACGACCGACGTCTTCTTCCTCTTCTCGTCGTTGGTGGCGGCTTCGGCGCCAAACAGATCGCGCAGGATGTGAACGGCATGCTTGGTGCCGACAGACACAAGCCCGCTGTCGGCAGGATGGACGAGGGGCGCCGTGGTTTCGTCAAATGCCGGCATTGGGCTGCTCTCTTCGCGGTCACGGTGATCCTCATCGTCAGCGGGAATCTCCAAGACGGTGCCGTCTGGCGCCGCGCTCTGGTTGCCCAGCCCCTCGCCGTCGAAGCCAAAGTCGGTGTCGTCTCCGAGCTCAAGGCGAGGCGACTTGACGGCGCCTTGGTCGCTTTCCACGTCGGCGATGCCGCTATCTCGCTTCCGCTTCAGCTCGCTCACTCCATGCCCCGAGTTCAAAGACAGCATGCCGCGCAGCTCGGGAGCCCACGCGGAGCTCCTGCCTTCCATCATGATAGATGACACGAATCCGCCATTCTTCTGCAGGTCCATCAGAGCGAGTAGCAAGGGATCGCGGGGGAGGAAGGCGGCGGGCTTGATGATGTTTTGCCTGTCAGCCTGCTGTTGCTTGATGTGGCTGCTCGATAGCGCAATTTCTTCGTCGGGCATCATAATCTTTTGCTTCTTGGCGCGCTGCGCGGGCCGCCGGACCAGCGTGTGTTCGGTGTCTTCCTGCGGCTCGTATAGATCAGTATGGTTGTGGCGGACGTACTCGGCCTCGACTTCCCGGGCGAAGGCCTCGTCAATGTCAGACAGCGGGGACTCGGAGATTCTTGCGCGGTCCAGGTCCGCGGCGCCGGTCATTTCGGGCATTGCAGACTGGTCGCCCGGGTTGAAGCCGAAGTCGTCGTCGCCCATCTGGATGTCGCCTTCTCCATCCGCGATTCGCACAATGTCGTCGCCCAGGTCAAGAGCAAGAGAGTCGTCCTTAGCAGCGCCGGGCTCGCGACGCGCCTCAATGTCGGGTTCGCTAAACACGTCGTCTTCCACGTCGCGCGGGGCGGGCGCGTCACGGCCCATTTCGATGCTCTGGCTCGGGCCGCCATCCATGTCGAGGCCAAAGTCGAGCTCAAGGTCGAGATCATCCATGGGCGCCAAGGCATCTTCGTCCATGCCGTTGTTGTCCTGCAGGAACTGGCTGTTGTCAAAATCCTCTTGCAAGTTGATGTCTCTGTTGCTGACGCGTCCTTTGCGGCCGACGGGAGTCGCTGTCACTTCGTCCACCTGCGACAGAAGCCACGACGCGTCAGGGGGTGGGGGGAGCTCAAGGTTATCATATGGTGTGATCTTGTCTGGGAGCAGCAGAGCCTCGCGGTTGGGCATTTGCATATTGGCGGCCATGTCGTTGTTGCCGCTGGATCGGAAAGCCTAAGAAGACGGGAGTCAGCGTGGTGGCGGGACAGAGCGGGCGGCGAGGTCAACGAACCATTTTGATTTTCATCATGGCCTCGTTGCAGTCGTCGAGCAGATAACGCGTCTTCCGTTGATATATCCTGACGACGCCGAGCAGCAGCTGGCTGCTGAGACGTAGGGCCATGGGCGCCTGGTTAGGCGTGATGATGGCCTCGACGCTGTCGGTGACATTGGACTGGAGGATGTGGTTCTTGGAAAGCTTGCGCTCGAGGTTGGCCGACAGCCAGACGCGGGCGAGCGGGCCGCTCTTGTTGAGCAGCGTCTCTGAGTAGAACATGGTGTCGTGGCGCGACGGAGCCGGGACAGTACGATGATTGACTGGCTGGGAAGAGCGTCAGGCTGCGCGGGCGAGGCGACCGACTCCGGGCCGGTGGACGGTAGATGGGAGACGCTGAGAGCGGGCGCGGACAGCGAGTGCAGGCGAGTAAACACGGGACAGGGGCGCGTTTGTGCAAAGGGGGGTAAACAAGGCTCGGGAGCGTGTCAAGAGATGATCGCGCGCCGATAAAAACAGCGCAGGAGCATCAAGCAAGCGGCGGCAATCGCCCGAGGCGTGTTTGTCTGCGCGCGACAAAGCAAAGGCGGATGTGAGCGCGAGCGACGGTGATGATGCGGACTGCAGGTTTGGGCCCTGATGGTGGAGGTGAGCAGGTCTTGTTAGGTTCTGTATCGCAGGCCCGGGTGACTAAAATGGCGTGGCTGGGGGCGGGCAGTGGCTGTACTTTTGGTGCTCGGTTTCCGGTGGGCCGCAGCAGGTACCTGCTACATAGCCGTCGTCTCCACCGCTTCCGTCGCTGCCCACACTGACTGGCTGCACGCGGCGACATCCGCCGGTGAGTTGCCTCGGGGGGCGGCTTTTCCCGACGCTGGACTATGTAGGCAGTACAGATTATCTAACTGCAAAAGCTGTACCCGCGCTCGCGAGATCAATGTGTGTGAATGACGAGGGCGTTGCCGATTTTGCTCTCTGCTAATATTAGCCCGTGTCCACTACTGTACCTCTGGTGGCTTATTACCTAGTACTACTTACTGCACCTTACTATCTACGTAGCTAGTAAGTAGGTAGGCAGGTACGTAGTTAACTTAGTGAACCGCCTCTCAGCTCCTTTAGGGCCCTGACCCAGCATACGGGTACAGTAATGCGCCGCAGCGGGCTCTCGTTGGCGAGTGGGCAAGATGATGCTTCAAGCAGTGTCGTCCGCGTCGGCGTATGCACGCAATTCACAATGATGTGTTTATACAACAAAGCATCAAGAGCTACGTATGCTGGCGTGTCTCGCAACATGTGCTGTAAGTATTCGTAGAAGCCTCAGCCTCGACGCGCCATTGGCTGGCCCAAATACCTACAGTACCTTAGTACCTACCTTACCTACCTACCTAGGTAGGTACCGTAGGAACTCAACAAATCCGTCAGGTCTTGGCGGCGTGGGACAGGGGGGAGCGCAGGGATTAGCCCCGCAGCCAATTTGTATAGGGTACAGATCCACTCGTTCCAGCCCGAGCCAGCAAAGCTAGAAGGCAGCCCACACACAAACATACTAAATTTGAAGCTCTCGCGATGGCTATTGCCGCATTTATTGACGTTATTTGTAGGCGTTAATGACCGCGCTTATCCACAAGGCTACTAACGAGGTTGTAGATGTTACAGACGACTTTGCAGCCGCTGCCTGCTTTGAGGTCGGACAGGAATACCGACTTCAGTATAAGCAGCCCTCAAGCCTTGGTGTCAAATTGGGCATTTCCCTTACTAAAGAGGGCATCCATTACGGCTGGGTCAGGGAACGAAGTCGTCACGATGTTGAGACTGTCCTCCAGCAAGGAGGAAGCCCTTGGTGCCGTGTTGAGTGCCGCGGCAAGCGTTGGAGCAAATTTGATGCCCAGCTTGGTGTATATCGCGAGTGGCAAGAAGGGCAAGCATTCTTCTGGCTAGACTAAGATACTATTTTTACTAGGGATTTTAGTACTAAATTATAGAATCAGCATCGAGAAGTCGGGCAATTAAGACTGCCTTTTTCCCTATTGTTGAGAGCCCTCGAGCCCGTAGCAATGCCTTGAGCTCTAGGCAACGAAGCACAAGCAACCCAGTCTCACGATCTATTCGGTCTTCTGCCTCGTCGCCTTGTTTGACAATTTCCTCCTCGTCAAGCAGGCCCGAGACGCCTTCTTCGTCTTTGACGATGACGTCTCGAGCCTGCTCCCAGTTTGTAAAATCGATCGCGGCGGCAGGGATGTCTTTGACGCGGATTTCTATATCCTGCGTGCCGTCGGGCCTGATGCTGATGCCGCAGTTGAGAAACGCCTTCTGTACGAGCTCGGCCCGGCTCTCGAGGGTGCGGACGGCGCTGGCGACCACGAAGGTTGTCATGATGCGTTTTTCTCGTATAGACCACATCGTGAGACCGCGAGCCTCACGCTCGGAGACGTACTCGTCAGTAGCATCGCGAAGCCAGTCTTTAAGAGGTCTGTTGATAGCTGTATCGAGAGGCTGAAGAAGGCTCGTGCAGCCCGGCGGGATCAACGCGGTCACAACCTTGTGCTGACGTAGCTGATGAAGCACATCATCGGTCTTGTGAAAAGAAGCCACATCCATCACAAGGAGGAAGTCATCATTGCGGCTGACGATAGGGGCAAGTTCGTCACGAATCCAGTCTTTGAATAGCTCCTCGTTGTTATAGGCAGTCTCGTTGAACTCAACAGTAACCTCTGGCGAGTAGAGATGCCCTTCGTCTTGCATGATCCTTCCAAACGGCGGCGGGGCCCCATGGAAGATCACCTTCGGCTTCAACCTCTGGATGCCGTCTGCAAAGATATACAGGATTAATGTAGCCTGCCTCTTATTCCACCCACTACGATCGCTCTTGCCATCGATAGTACGTGCCCCACGCTGCTCATATGTATAGCCGTCGAGGTATTCAAATGGGATAGGCGTTTCATCGAGGTTAAGGATACGGTGCTTCCCAAAGCGGCGTGTAGGCGAGTTGAGAATAGCGTCAAGGGCGACTTGAGGCTTGTGCCGGCGGCTGACGCGTCGTATGTAGCGGAGGAAGCTGTTGACGATCTCGATGTATTCTTCGGGGCGCTTAGTCGCTTGTTTCGTCACTCTTCGACGTACGAGACCGTGCCTTCGTCGAAAGAGTCCCCACCAGCCGTTTGAGAAAGTAAAGATATTGTCTACCGCTGGGTTAAGGCTCTTGAAGATACTTCTAGCTTGTCTTTTGAACCAAGAGACTGTGACGATGGATTTATTAGCCCGGGCAGCGATGAACCGCTTGACAAGCTCCTCCTCGAGCTCTGGCCAGCGAGGGTGATATACCCTCTTTTTGGCCTCCTCAATAAAGCGTGGGTTGGAAGCCCAGCTGGATATTGTAGTCCGTGGGATCTTGAAGTGCCTTGCAACCTCACTAATTGTGGGCTCACGATAGCCTCGTTCGTTGGCGTGTGGCGACGATGGATCGAAGATTCGGTGATGCGTAAGGAACATCCTAACCTCATCTTTCTTGCGGTCTGAATAGCTTCGTTCAACGCGATTGATAGACTGACTGGCTCGAAAGACCCGCTTGCCGGGCTCTTTTGGCTTCGGGCCGGGCTTGAGGTTCCTGTCAAGCTCGCCAAGGGGCGGCATCGCGAAAATAGCCTCAAAAAAGACCTCTATGGAGCAGGAAAGTGTGTGTCAAGCTTTGCTGGCTCGGGCTGGAACGAGTGGATCTGTACCCTATACAAATTGGCTGCGGGGCTAATCCCTGCGCTCCCCCCTGTCCCACGCCGCCAAGACCTGACGGATTTGTTGAGTTCCTACGGTAGTTATCCCGTGCGGCTCCAGGAAAAGAAAGCCGGAGCCTCGAGGCACGGTAGATCGCTGAAACAGCAGAGGTGTCTTCCCTGATGACCTCCCGCGGGACCCGACCGACCCCCTGCTGCCCTGTTTTTTCCCGGGGAGACGTCTCGACGCCAAGCTTATTGCGCTGTACGACACATATCTCATATCCGTCGTCGCGGGTGCCCCCGGCAGTCGAGCACCTCCTGTTTTCCCATCGCTTCACGCCTCGCCTCGGATCCTCCCTCCAACCTCGACCTCGACCTTGATTGACCCGGATCCCTCTCGGCTTCCCCCTGCATGCGCCGCCCGAGCTCCCCTGCCAGCCGCCGCTCCCTATGACCCAGCGCGTGCGGTCCTCGCTCGGCCGATGATCCTCGAGCTTTCGCTGCATCCACGCATCCACTCGGCCCTCGCAACGATGCAGCTGCTCTGGAAAGGGGGCCAGGCCTCGGCCAACGAGTCTCTCCTCCCCATGTCCAGCCTTCCCACCATCGCGGATCACTCATCGGACTCCCCCACCACCGACAGATCGCCCTCCCGGCCGCGACATGCCCGCACATCGTCGGCGCATGCCAAGGTGAGAAGCCAGACGCAGCTGCATCCCCCCATTCTCAGCCGGGGCCGACTAACTTTGCCCATAGGGAGTGGCGGACCAATTCTCCTACATGACGCCGAGCGAGGCAGCCGCCGAGCTGCGAACCTCGTTGACACTTGGCCTTTCTCCGACCGACGCCCTGACGCGACTCGGCGAGTGCGGCCCAAACGAAATACCACACGAGCCCCCCGAGCCCCTGTGGCTTCGCTTTGTCAAACAGTTCCAAGAGCCCCTCATAATGCTCCTCCTCGTTTCCGCCGGAGCCTCTCTGCTACTGGGCAACATGGATGACGCTGTCAGCATAACCGTCGCCGTCACCATTGTCGTGACCGTTGGCTTCGTCCAGGAATACCGATCCGAGAGGTCAATAGAGGCCTTGAACCACCTTGTGCCGAACCACGCCCACCTGGTGCGCGCAGCCGGCAGGTCGTCCGCCCCTACAAAATCCCCAACCTGGCCCCCGCCTGTCGAGGACCACCTGAACCAGGTCGGTGGCTCGGGGGCCAAGACTCCGGTGGATGAAGCACTGGATGCGGCGTCGTCCAAGGTCATGGCTGGCCAGCTTGTACCCGGCGACCTGGTCCTCTTCACCACCGGCGACCGCATCCCTGCTGATATTCGCGTCACAAAGGCTTCGGATCTCAGCATCGATGCGTCCAACCTCACCGGAGAGACGGAACCCGTCCGAATCACGACCGAGGCACGATCGCGGCCAGTCAACGCACTCGGAATCAGCCATGTTCAGCTTTTGCGGCCGCAGTCCCTCGCCCCGGGCGACGGAAACGAGCCCGACAGAGGCGGCGGCGATTCGCACAACGTTGCATACATGGGGACATTGGTCAAATCCGGCCATGGCCAGGGCATCGTCTTTGCCACTGGCGGCAGCACCCATTTTGGAACGATTGCTACGAGTGTCTCTGGCACCGAGAGTCCTCGCTCGCCGCTTCAGCTTTCCATGGACGAGCTTGGGTCGCAGCTGAGCAAAGCCTCGTTTGCGTTCATTGGTCTCATTTCTGTCGTTGGGTGGCTGCAAGGAAAGAAGCTGCTCGAGGTCTTTACCATTTCCATTTCGTTGGCTGTTGCTGCCATCCCCGAAGGGCTACCCATCATCGTCACAGTGACTCTGGCCCTCGGAGTGCACAGAATGGCTCGGCACAATGCCATTGTGCGCAGGATGCCCAAGGTCGAGACCCTGGGCTCGGTGAATGTGGTCTGCACCGACAAGACAGGCAAGTCTATGCTTGCGGTAACGCTGGGCTCGTGCTAACAAACGCAGGTACCCTGACTACGAACCACATGGCGACCACCGAGATGTGGTATTTTGGCGCCGGAGGCGTTGTCGACATTGCCTCTGACACAGAAACCATGGAGGCCAAGCTTAGCCAGGCGTCAATGCGAATCCTGCGCATTGGCAACATTGCCAACAACGCGCGGCTCACTCGTAAATACACCGAAAACGGCGTTGCCGCCTCGGCGGTCCTGTCCTCGACCCTTGGTCCCGAGCAAGTAGCGCCCTATTCCAGATGGATCGGCCAGCCGACAGACGTTGCGATGCTAGACTTGGTTGACAGGTTCAATGAACATGACGTGCGGGAGTCGATTGGCCCTCGCATCAGCGAGACGCCGTTCAGTTCCGAGCGGAAATGGATGGGGGTCACGATTGGGTCGGATCCAAGGGGCGACAAGGAGTACGCGTACATGAAGGGCTCCATCGAAAAGGTGCTTGCCGCCTGCGACACCTACCTGGAAAAGGACGGCAGGGAAGTTGTGCTCGACTCGAGCCGGCGTGAGGAGGCTCTCGGAGCGGCGGAAACTATGGCCGCCAAGGGCCTCAGAGTACTCGCCTTTGCGAGTGGCCCCGTCTCGCGTTCTGCAAAAGGTAGGGCGGCATCGGGCGGCCCGCGGGGAAGCACTCCCGGTCCAGAGCACGGGGCCAGCTCGCCACGCCGGACACCGGATGATGCCTACAGCGATCTCACTTTTGCTGGCTTGGTGGGAATGAGCGACCCGCCGAGGCCAGGAGTCGCACGGTCCCTTAGGCGGTTGATGAGGGGCGGTGTCAAAGTAATCATGATTACAGGAGACGCCGAGACGACGGCCCTCGCCATCGGAAGGCAGCTGGGGATGAGCATCGCTGCGCCCAGCGCCCACTCGTCGAGCCAAACAACCGTCAAGCCGGTCCTCAGGGGAGATGAGGTGGATCAGATGTCGGAAGAAGGCCTCGCGCAGGCCTTGCAGCACACGACCATCTTTGCCCGAACCACCCCGGATCACAAGCTAAAGATCATTCGCGCACTCCAGTCGCGTGGAGATATCGTGGCAATGACTGGGGACGGCGTCAATGACGCCCCCGCGCTGAAAAAGGCCGACATTGGTATTTCCATGGGTCGCCACGGAACTGACGTGGCCAAGGAGGCATCCGACATGATCCTGACGGACGACGACTTTTCCACCATCCTACGCGCCATCGAAGAGGGCAAGGGCATCTTCAACAACATCCAAAACTTCTTGACGTTTCAGCTCAGCACGAGTGCCGCGAGCTTATCTCTCGTCTTCCTTTGCACCTGCTTTGGGTTCAAGACGCCTCTCAATGCAATGCAGATTCTTTGGATCAGTAAGTCGGCCCGGACCGTACAAGGCCCTTTACTCCAATCCTAACGTGCGCTGTAGACATCATCATGGACGGGCCTCCTGCGCAGTCTCTTGGCGTCGAACGGGTCGACCCGGACGTCATGAATCGACCGCCGCGGAGGCGAAACGACGCAGTGCTCACCAAGGCGGTTCTCATGCGAGTCTTGACGTCGGCATCCATCATCATGGTCGGCACGATGCTCGTCTACAGCCACGAGATGCTGGCGGACGGCCAGGTCACTCGGCGCGATACAACCATGACCTTTACTTGCTTCGTCTTTTTCGACATGTTCAATGCGCTGGCCTGTCGGTCCGAGTCCAAGTCCATCTTCCGAGGAGAGGTCGGCTTGTTTGCCAACAACCTGTTCAACTGGGCCGTGTCGCTCAGCGTGGTGTGCCAGTTACTCGTCATCTATCTGCCCTGGCTGCAAGAGGTTTTCCAGACCGAGGCCATTGGGTTCGGTGACTTGTTACGGCTGGTGGTGCTCTGCAGCACTGTATTCTGGGCGGATGAATTGCGCAAGTATCTGAGATATGGGACGCGGCGTTTGGGAAGCGGATACAGCCAGGCCGTGTGATAGAAAGGGGAAAAGGGGGTTGGACTGCTTTCTTTGAACGAGGAGCGGATGCTTTGGCTCCATGCCCGTGTGCGGAGTCTGTAACTTTTGCATAACCCGTGTGCTGGACAGTAGAATGGCGTGGCAAAATAGTGTATACTACAATTGAGACGAGAACAGCGATGGATGTGCGGAAGCCTTATTGCTGCGCGTCCAGCTCTGATGTTTGTCACTGAGCCTGTGTGATGTGGGGTACAGGGTAGCTCGGCGTCAGAAAGACTTGCATGACGTGGAGCCCAAAACGGCTCACCAAACAGCCCCGAAAAGACACGACAAGCACCGCTCCTTGGCACACGAAGCTCAATTGTACAGCAGCAAGCTGGAGCAGTCACCTCCACGCAGCTATGCGCGTCCCGGCCAAGCTCCCCCCCCCACGCCAATGTCTACACTCCAGAACGGCGTTGCCAGTCGCTCCCACACCCGAGAAGGCGGCGTGAAAAAGGCGACGGCCCCGAGCGTCCACGATGCCAGCAACGAGGCCGAGATGCGCGCGGCGCTGGCCGCGCTGCACGAGCGAGAGTCGGCGACACAATCTCGGCTCGGCGCCCTAGTCGCTTCGCAGCCGGACCTCTCGCGAGACCTGGGCCGCCTGGACATGCTGCGGGCGGGATTGGGCGCGCAGGTCATCGCCGCCCGGTCCATTGGCAACGAGATGCTGTCGTCGGCGGCCGAGACAGCCGGGCGCCTCAGCAACCGAGTCAAGGAGTTGGACCTGGAGAAGAGCAGAGTGGGGGAAACTTTGGGCGTCGTCGAGCAGGTCGCAGAGCTCAAGGCGTGCGTCAACGGCGTCGTTGGATCCATGGGGGCCCCCCAGGACTGGGAGGCGGCGGCCGGCTACCTGTCCCGGGCCAGCAAGATCCCCGAGGAGATTGCCAGAGGTGCCTTTGCGGCCAGCATCGTGCCCAGCGTCGAGGTCCCGGACGCGCCATGGGTGACCCTTGAGGGCGCCAGGGAGAGCCTGTGCGGCCTCTTTCTGCGCGAGTTTGAAAAGGCGGCCGATGACGGAGACGGCGCAAAAGTGACACGCTTCTTCAAGCTCTTCCCTCTCATCGGGAGGGCCGACGTCGGACTGGACGTCTACGGCAGATATGTCTGCCAGGGAGTGGCGGGGACGGCACGGGCGACGCTCAAGGACGGCGCCGGGGGCCAGACGCGCAAGGAAGGCTTCTTCTACGCCAACGCCCTGACCAAGCTCTTTGAGCACATTGCGCAGATTGTCGAGGGCCACGGGGCCTTGATCGAACGGCACTACGGCGCCGGCAAAATGGTGCGCGTCATTGAGAGGCTGCAAGCCGAGGCGGACGTCCAGGGTGGCATCATCCTCGACACGTGGAGCGACGAGCGCGGCGTCGACCGCAAACTGACCGACGTCAAAAGCTACCCCTTTTCCTTTCTGGTCCAAAGCTTCCTGCCTCAACCGCCTCGAGGGGGACCGCCTCGAGGGGGCTCTCCCGCGGTGGGAGCCGGGAGCAACGCCCGGAACAGCGAGGACGAAGGCGTCAACATGAAGGAGGTAGACGGCTTGCTTAGCGAGATTGCCGTCATGCTCGGACGGTGGTCCCTGTACACGCGCTTCCTCTCGGCCAAGTGCATGGTGAGTGGCTCACGTCTGCCGTATGCGCCCCGGGCACTCTGACAACAAGGCCGCGCAGGACCCGGATAGCGGAGACAATGCTCTGGTCATTGCCGATCTACTCGTCAAGTCGAACCTGTACCGCAAAGTATCCAACAAGCTGACAGCCCCCCACAACGCCATGACAACGTTTTTCTTTCGCCGATCGGTGGAAAAGGCGTTTCAGCTCGACGAGTATCCCAGAGGGCTCTCTCTCAGCATGAACCGGCAGCTCGAGGGAAACGCGCCGTACATCATTCTGGCCGTGGACGATGTCATGTACATTGTTGACACGGTGATCCAGAGATCCCTGTCAACGTCGCAGAGGGACGTCATTGCCTCGGTCGTGCCCACCATCGGTCGGGTATTGGGCTCCGACTTTGTCGGCATGATACAACGCAAGATGCGGGATGAGTCGTACCCCAAGCCCGTGATACAAGGAGGGTTTCCGCCAGAGGACAAGATCATCCAATTCATTGTCCTCATCAACAGCCTCGATATGGCCAACGAGTACCTGAGCAGGATCATGGCCGGCCGAATAAGCGTCGATGAACATGGCCCGTCGAATCGAGTGACGCTACAAGGCCCGCTCAAAAACTCGTTTCCCTTTGACCGGGACGTTGCCTTTGTGGCCAATGCCCTGCACACGCTGGAGACGACCCTGATCACAAAGTCAAGCGAGCTGCTGAACGAGGGCATCCAAGTGCTCTTCAACCAAGTCGTCAAGCTCCGGCTGCGGCCCGTGCTGAGCGATACATTCCGCGACGCCGACTACACGCTGAGCGAGGAGGACGTGGCCGAGATTGCGCAGCAGAACGAGGAGTCTGAGGAGCAAGTCGTGGACCAGGTCTGCCGGCGATTCGAGCACGGCTGGGACCACCTGATGAAACCGATTGCGCGGCTGATGACCGCCAAGACTTACAGTAGCCTGCTGGACATGACGGCGCGGCATCTGTCGAGGGTGCTGGAGAAGAGGGTGCTGAGCTACGGCGGGCGCATGACGGCTTTTGGTGCGATGCGGTCTGAGCGAGACGTGACGGGCATCGTGGACACGGTGTCGAGGGGCGACTACGGCGTCCGAGACGCTTTTGCCAGGGTGACGCAGCTGCTCATGGTGGCCAACATGGAGGAGGACGAGTGGGAGGAGGAGCTGCTGCTCGAGGAGGGAGAAGGCGACGGGATCGAGTGGATCCTGACGGACGAGGAACGGAGACGGGCGCGGAATCTTGTGGCGGGATGAGGCCGACTGGTGATGCCCCTTTCTTCTCAGTGAGTGGAGAAGTCGACCAATTGACCAGAGCCGGGGTCACAGCTGGCCTGATAACCAGCCAGATACCGTGCTGCTTCCCGTGTCCCGACTTCTTGTCTTTCTCTCTCTCACGCTGCTGTGTACAACTCTGTGGACAAGTGCAGCAGAGGTGCCGTCATCAACCTTGCTGACGGCCAGCTCCTGTGTAGCTTCGGTCGGCCAGCAGGGCAGTGGAGACGGATGCTGCGTTCTGGACATGTTCCGGGCGACGATGCTGCGGTATACACAGTGGCGAGCGGGCGGGGGCACACATGGAAAACTGTCAACAATATTGCCGTTTCCTACCTATCATGGGACACTTGTTTGAACTGCGGGATAGGTCCGCCCCTATTGATCGAGACGTCGTAGGGCTGCAGCGGAACGCAAAGAGCTTCTTTCGGAGCACCAATGCCATCTCGATGCCCCGGCCGGTGAACAACAGCCCGGCGAGCCAGCCTTTACCCTCTACGAATGGCTCCAATGCCATTCGGACACTACGGAAGTGATCCGACCTCTAACGCGATCCCCCTTGGCAAGGGACATGCTTCAAGACGAGAATTCGGCCTGCACAATCTTGGTGCCAACAGACTCTGTCCTTGACAGCTTCAACCAGCAGGGCCATGGCCTTGAACTACTGCCCCATCATCATGTAACTCCTCACATAATGCCCCTGCCGAGGATCCTCGACACCCCGTGCGTTCCGGTCTTATCGGCTTGGTGTAAATCCCCTTTCGCTAATTGTTGAAGGGCGCGGGTTGGTCCAACCTTAGCTTGGATGCTGTTATAAGCCCCTGGTCTATCACGCGGTCTCAAGTCTTGTACAGTACATTCGTTGCAATACGGGTTCGTGGTCGCGGATCGGTTACAACGTAGGGGGGGTCTACCCGGGGTAAATACCGTGCCCAACCAACCCAATCAAACCACCCTCACGTTGGCCTCCATCTTGTCGTTAACAACCCGAATCGCCCCTTCGCGATTCACATCGAGCATGAACTCTCACCTCCAAGGTTGGCCTAGTTCTACCCGCCCCTCTCAACACCGCTCTACATAGTGACACGCCCTATAATGGTGCACTGGACGAGCAACTTCTATGCCTCAACAACTCGTCTTTTATTCAGGAGTTATCACGAAGAGAATATTCGTTATCAGGCAATTCTTCGGAGCATTCGAAGCAGCAACTGCATGATCGAGATGAGAGTAGACCTCTCCATGCACGTTTTTGCGGCCTCGCACAACCTCAACAGCTTCCTTGGCCAAGTCAAGGACGCCAGGGGCTTTCTCTCATATGCCGGACAAGGATATAGAGACGAGATACTACAAAAAAAGGAACGGAAACGAAGACTGGCGCCGCAGGCATTGTGGTGAAATGCATCCCTGTCCTGTTGGGACCACGGCGTCAACCAATTACTTTCGAATGAAGAGCATCACGTGCAATATATAAGATATATTGAGAGTGTGACAATACATTGAGGTTTTGACGATACAATAGAAGGCGGATCTATTGCATAACGCGCAAAGCAATAGGGACTGCTTGGCAACACAACGCAAATTATATACATTTATCTATGAGTATTGCTATTTACACAATGGCATATTGCTGTTTGCACACTCGACCTATTTTTAAGATACGTACTAAAGCCAGCCCGCCCCGCCTATTTATACCGCGCGCGCCTGGCAAGTACCCGTACCGCCTAAATGCCCGCACCCGCGCCTACGCCCGCCCGCACACACACAAGAGGCAATAAAGGCCACATAACGCATGCCTCTTAATTCGCTTAAATAACACATTTCCGGGCCTTGAGCTCGAAGTTGCAACAATCGGCCCGTTAATTGACCCGGCTCCTCCTTGGCCCTTACGGCTGTGTGGGCGGCGGCGGCGTCGCCGCCTCAAATCATCCCACTCAACGATCCCTCCAACGCCTAACGAAGCCGGCTGCCCTAACGAAGCCGGCGGCGCGCCCCTCCTGCCGCGTCCTCCTCTTGATCCCCTTCCCCTTGTATTTCCTCGAGCTAATGATCCTTGTTGTGACGCTACGAGAGACCGCGGGCTATAGCTGTAAGGAACGGTGTTCCTACTATAAATAAAGCAGCTATAATATACTCTCCCGATTATATAAGCCAATAAGTAGTATATTAATTATAGACAAAATCCCATCCTATAGAGCAAGAATCGCTCGTTATTTTGCATGCATATTATTATGCATTAAACGGGTTGCCGGTTATCGTATAATCGGGAATCGAAGGAATAGAGCTAGCTTGGAATGCTAGCTAAGACCTCTTAAGAACACCGGCACGACCAACCTCCTTTAAACACGAATATTAGTAGAACCAAGACACTTCTAGCTACACTCAAGGTACCACTAAATTCCTCAGTCTTAGGGCTATACGGCAGCCTAAATCCGGTCCCGAAAGGTTCTTCCGTTTAGCTATAATTGTCTATATAAGGCAGCATGTCCGCTAGTAGATAGAGATAGAATTATTAACCTTAACACCTCTTCTATATACTAATATACTACTAATAAATTCCGTTAAAAATCCTACCTTATACTCCTTCTTCCCCTTTATTATATAGTCTTATATAATTCCCTGATTTCCTAAAATTCCGCTTTTGCTTATATACCTTAAGAGGTTATAAGCCTAGCTTGCTCCTTTTAAGCTAGGAAATCTACTTATACCTTTAAAATTACTTATTAAAATACCCGACTAAAATTCCTTTCGAAAATCCCCCCGACGACTTCTTCTACCTTCCTATACTCTTAAACTCCTATCTAGACTTCTCGATCCCTACGAACGAAATAATACCGAATTTATATAAAATAGATAGATAAAAAGAATATAAATTCTCTAGACTTAAGGGAAATTTAAATTATACTCTTTAAACTACGAGGATAAGAGCTATCCTTACTAAGGAAAAGCTTATCGCTACCTTAGAGTAGGAAAATTATATAAAAACTATAGAAGCTTTATCTTAGATTTTTCTTTAAGTCGAAGATAGCCGTTTAATATAAATTAAGAATTTAATAAATACTAAAGCTGCTTAGGATAAGCTTATAAAGCTATATAATCCCTCGAATTTCTCGTCGAATTATTTGCTTATAAAGCAGCTCTTTAATCTAAGTCCCTCGGGGTTTAATTTAGAGAAATACCTTTATAAGGTAAAGGAAATCTACGAGGATTTAAAATCCTATAATATAGAAATTCTAGAAGTTATCCTTATAGTATAGATTCTTAATTGCCTTAATAAGGAATTTAAAAGCTATATTATAAATATTACGTAGAGCCTTAAGTATAATTCTACGTCGTTTACCCTCGAATCCCTTATAGCTAGTCTTTTAGACGAAGCTAGAAGAATAGAGGATATAGATAAATCTTAGGAGAAAGCTTTCTTAATATAAAGGAAGCCTTAGAAATCCTATAGAAATTCTATAGATACTCCTTATTATAAGGAATATAAAAAACTAAGGCATTTTATAGTAAATTACTATAAATTATACTTAAATAAGGCTCCTACTTATTAGGTTTTAAATAAAGGAAAAAAGGACGATAGGACTTAAATTTCGAAAAAGAGAAAATCTTCTTCTTTTTCTTCTTCTAAGAAGAAATCCCCTTTAAGTCGTATTTCTACTACTAATAAAAGAAGGAAGGCTCGAACTATAGAGCTAGAGTCCGATTTAGACGATAGTAATAAGGTCTTAAATATAGCTTTATAAGAAAATAATATAGACCTAGATATCGACCTTATAGACCTCTCTAGGGCTCCGACTATTATATAAACGTCTAAGGATTTAAAGGTAGTTTTAACCTTTATAATTACCCCTATAGTAGAAGCTAATAAAGACTCTCTTTTAGGACCTTTAAAAGCCTCGATTCCTAGAATAAATAAATTAGTCTTAAAGGTAAGAGAAGGAGGATTTCCTAGTTATAAGAATAAAAGGATCTTTAATTTTATATATAATACCGGAGCTACTAAGTATATAGTATCTAATAAGAATTTTCTTATTAACTATAAAGAAATTAAGTCTAAAGTTTACTAGGGAAAAGCTTCCTTTATATTAGTAAAAGGAAAAGGGGACTTAGTATTTAAGTTCCTATATAGTAGAAAAAGGTATATCCTTCGAGACTGCTTTTATATACTTAAATTAAGGATAAATATACTATCCTAATCTTATTTTAATAATACCTATGCCTTAATAAGAGGAAATAAAGTCCTCTTATTAGATAATAAAGCTAAGGTCCTTACTAAAGGATTTCTTAGAAATAAATTATATTATATTCCTATAAAACCTTTATTAGAAAGCTAATCGATCCTTATTACGTTTTTAAAAGTAAAGGATATAGATTTTTATCCTTAGCACTTATACTTAGGGCATATAAATAGTAGGGCTATTTTTAAAATATTAAAAAGATATAATAAGGATATAAAAATGCCTTTAAAAGAGGAAAATAAAATAAGGTAGTGCGAAATATATAGTAGAGCTAAAGCAATAAATAGGGTTAATAAATAACCCTTATATAAGTCTTATTCCTATTTAGAAAAAATAGTATTAGATATTTAGGGGCTAATTAAAGTGCCTACTTATAATAAATATTACTATTATATTTCTTTCTTAGACATAGGAACCTAATATCTAGAAATATACCTTCTTTAAAGAAAAGGGGAAGCTTTAGATAGGTTCCTAGAATTTAAAAATAAGGTAGAAAATAACCCTAAAAATACTAGGATTAAAGAAGCATTTTCTAATAATACTAAAGAATTTATATATAAAATAAAGCTCTACTATAAAAAAGAAGGAATTACCTTTAATTCTAGTCCTCCTAGGACGCCTAAATCTAATAATAGAATAGAAAGAATAAATCGTATAATATTAAAAAAAGTACGAGCTCTTTTATTTACTACTAGGATTCCTAAATACTTATAGGGAGAGGCTATTTTAATAGCTACCTATTTATATAATAAATTACCGTATTCTACGATAGGATTTAAAAGTCTTATAGAAAAGAGGGATAATATAATACTACCCTTTAAGACCTTAAATAAAATTAAGACCTTTAAAAGCCTTATATATTATAAGAATAAAGACCTTAAAGATAAGCAGGACTTATCGTGGGGTCGATTTGCGGAGTAATTTCGGGAAATCGTATGCGATTACATATCTACCATCTGATAAGTGCCCGGCGCCGCGCACGCGAATATCTCCACGGCCAGCAGCCCAATCGAGGCCATTCCGGGGCCTGGGACTACTCCACTCCGGCGGCGCGTTTGGTCGAGGAGCACTCCGTATAGGCTACTGTCCGTCGAGATATTTGCGTTGCAGCGCCGCGAATGGGTAATGGGGGGGCTAGGCTCGGCTACAGGAACTGCGAGATAGTAATGCACCGATCCTACGGCCCTTTGATCCTCAAAAATATGTCTAGTTACATGGATATAAATATGTATAAAGACTCTACGAGGCGGCTGGCTTACGTCGACGAGGGGCGGTCCGCTTTCCCAGCCGGGTCCTCCGCCCCGACGGCCCTGACCTCGAGTTGGACCTGGTCCCGGGCCTGGACCTGGGTCATCGGGCACGGGGGTCCCTACCTGTACCCGTATCTGGCCCTGGCCCTGGCCCCGATCCTGGCCCCGCCGTCGGCGCTGTTTGAGCTCGTCGACGAGTCGGTTCAAGCTTCGGCCGGCGCGTAACAGCTCTAGCTCTGCAACGGCCGCCTCCTTGCATTTGCCGGACGCCATACGGGCCAACAGCTCGTCCCAGATCACCTTCCGGCGACAGAACTGCACTCTGACCCCGTTCCCCGGCGCCAGCGGCTTCCCACGTCTCTTCCAGCTCCCGTACGGCCTTCTGACCTGCAAACCCTTCACCCCATTCCTTCCAGACGTCCCCACCGTAAAGACCCTTGCCAGGGCTGTGACGATAGGCATGCCTGGTACCAGAGGCTCTGGGGCGGGGGCCGGGGCCGGGGCCGGAGCTGTATTGAGATTCAAGGTAGGTACTGTTGACGGGGCCGGGGCCGGGGCTGGGGCCAGCGCCTCTGCTGACCCGGCTCCGAAGTAGCCGGTAAAGGTGATAGGGACCTTGCCTTGGAGGAGGGCATCGAGGCCGCCCTGAATCCCGTCCAGCCGGGCCTCAAGCCGGATGGCGAGCCGCTGACTATTCTGTAACAGGGCCTCCCGCGTGCTCTCTATGACGCCGCTTAGTTCCGGCAGCGCGCGTCGTACGAGCAGGCTTACCGGCTCCATAGCCCCTACCGCGGTGGACCGCACGGCGACGGCGAACTCGTCCCACTCGGGCCCGCCAAAGGGCGTAGGCGAAGAACGGTAGCGACGGGTAGCGGAGCTGTAGGACGGCCAGGTCCTGCAGAAGTACTATACGCAGGCGCCGCATAAGCTTGGAAGCCGTCAGCGGCTGGGTCGTCGTCGTCGAGACCGCCTTCTGCCCAGCATTGCCGGCGCGCCCGCGCCTCAAAGCGGGGTTCCCACTCCTCGATCCACGGCCACAGCTGCTTTTGTAAGACGTACGGGGTTCGTGAGCCGCACGCGCGAGTAGTCCCCGGGGAGGCCGAGAAGCCGGCGACGATACGCATGAACTGCCGCGGTAGGTGCGTAAGATATGCCTGGCAGAGCACGCTCTGGTTCCAGCGGCCGGCCTGCGAGATCTGGGCGAGCGACGTGCCATGGGTCTCCGCGTCCTGGGCGCCCACCCTGCGCGGGAGGTGCGTCTTCTTCGACGCGATAAGGCCGGCAGCGCCGAAGATACGCCAGGTCTCTTGTAGCTGCGTCGGGTACGAGCTCCTGCTCGCGGTCCCGCCCGACGAGGACCTTGATCCGATACCAGTCCTGACGGCGCCGGAAGGACGGGGCGGTTCGCCGGCGACGTGCCAGCGCCAAAAGAAGAGCTGTGCTAGGGCCCTTGCGTACAGAATAAGGGGTCCTTGTGCCGGAGCGCGCCCATAAACTCCTTCCTCGCCGTCTTATTTAGCTTGCCGTCCCGTAAAGGCTTACCAGGCAACCACAGGGGGTCGGGCCCTCCGAAGGCGGATAGTCGAGTAGGGATAGGTCTGCAAGCTCCATCTTGCGCCGGTTCTCCCCCCGTAAGAGGTAGTAGTGGCCGAAGAGGAGGTCGACTCGCGTACGGAGGTTTTGCGGCGTATACGCGGCGCCAGTGAGAAGGAGATCCTGGATCCGAAGCCATTCATCGGGGAGGTAGCCGGCCTGGATCCCGTCGCTTCCGCGGTCTTTAAAGGAGGCGCGGTCGTGCTTCCCCCGCTGCCGGCCCCGTTGCTCAAGGAATCCTCGTACGGCGGCGCCCCGGGGATTCTCCGTATTCGCGTTGCCGTGAGCCACCTGGAGCCTCCATAGCTCGATAACGGCCGCGATATAGGCGTCGATAGTGCCCCTCGTAAGCAAAGACCCTTCGGTAAGGTCTACTGCAGCCGTCGCGAGGCCTGTGGGTGGCACGTAGCCCTCGCGGTCGTCAGCGAGCAGCTCGGCGGCCTCGGCCAGGGGACCTCAAAGCTTCGGCCAGGCTTTCGGCCTCTGCCATGGCCGCGGCCTCGAGCTGCTCCTGTTCGCGCTGTTGCCGTACCTGTACGGCCTCGCCGTTGCCGTTGCCCCTAATCTTACCCCGCGCGCGCGGCTTCTTCTTCTGCGGCGGCACAACGCGTCGTAACAGGATATCCTCTTTGAGCCACGCCGCCAGCTTGTCCGGCGTTACGAGCTCGCCGTCGGGCCAGCTATAGAGCGAGCCGTCTGCTGCAGCCCGAGGCGTATGGCACCAGGCCTATACGCATTTGTCTGTTAGCCGCCTAGGGGGCCGTACGTGACAGGGATCGAAGTGGAGGACCGGCCGGGGGACGCGCCTTCCACTCCCGCTGCTTCGCCGCGTAACTCCGCGTCGTGTTCGCCGGCTGTTCGTCCTTCTTCGCCTGGATGCCCGCCCTCCGGGCGGCACGGGCGCGCTCGTCAGCTGCCGTGTACGAGTCGTCCGCGGCCATCTCGGTCGATCGGGCAACCTTCCTACGGGCGAATGTCTGGGCTGGGTTGGCCGGAAACCCGATAAGTCGGGTGGGAACTTATCAAATGCACTTATCAGGCGTCCTGCACACGATTTCACGGGCGGCGTTTTGCGGGCGATAAGTGGTCACGTGGCCTAAGTGAATTACGACGCAATTGCGGGCACCACCGATAAGCTAGATAATAGAGCTTTTAAGGGAATAATAGTAGGCTATTTAGAATTTTTTTTTAAAATCTAGGATTTCTCTAAGAGAAAGATTACTATCTCTAGAGATATTACTATACTAGAAAATAAATTTATAAAAAATCTAGAAATCTTTAGTAGTAATAATACCTTAAAATTTAATTTTATTCTAAATAAAGATAAGCTAGAAAGCTATATCCCTATAGAGGAAGCTACTAAAGAACCTAGAGATAAAAGTCCCTTACCCTCTATAGAAGAAGAGTCTTTAAATAACGATTCTATTCCTACTACTAGTAAAATAGTAGTAGAACTACCTAAGAAGCTAGAAGGGTTCGATTCTAACTATATTAAATACCTTAACGTTAATTTATTTCTAAACTATAATTTTATAGAGTTAATTCTAGCTAGTATAGAAAATTAGGATCTAAAAATTCTAAAGACCTAGAAATAGGCAATAAATAGCCCTAAAATAGCATTTTAGAAAGAAGCTATAATTAAGGAAATTATCTAGCTAATTAAATATAAAACTTAGGAGTTTTCCTACCTCCTTAGGGATAGGGATACTATAGGAGGCTACTACGTCTATACTATTAAGAAGGATAGTTAAAATAATATAATAAAATAAAAAACCCGTTTCGTAATATAAGGATTTAAGTAGATCTATAGCTTAGATTTCCTAGATACCTTCTCGACTATAGCTAGACCTAAATCTATTAGAATTCTACTTATTTTAGCTATTATCTACGAATTTAAAGCTTTATAAATAGATATAATAAATGCCTTTATATATACCGATATAGATAGCAAAGTATATATTAATCTTCCTATAGGCTACGAAGAATACGCTCTTAAAGAATATTATTTAAAATATAGATTAGCTTATAGAGCTAAAGGAATTAAACTAACTAAATTCCTAGACCTATATAAAACTAGTTAAATTAAAGCAAAGCTAAAGAAAGCATTATATAGCTGAAAATAAAGTCCTAAGCTCTAGTATAATTATTTAAAAATTATACTTAATAAACTCGGATTTCTTCCTCTTTTAATAGATAAAGGAGTATTTATAAATAAGGACTATAATATAGCCTTAGTAATTTATATTAATAACTTTCTTATAGTAGGGCCCTCTAAATCTATAATAAAAGAAAGATTATTTAAAGAATTATCTAAATTCCTAGATTTTACTATCTTAGGAGATATAGAAGACTTCTTAGGTCTAAATATTATAATAAACCGAGAAAATAAAGAGCTATATATATCCTAAGAAAATTATACCTTAAATAAATTAAAGGAATTTAATAAAGAAGGTTTAGGAACTTCGAATTTACCCGCTATAGTAAGTATTAAGCTTATAAAAGTAAAGGAATTACCTTTTAAGGAAGATATATTATAATTTTAGAAAGAAATAGGATCTCTATTATACTTAGCCTTACTTACTAGGCTAGATATCTTATATTCTATAATTTCCTATACTAGATTCTCGGATAAGCCTAACTAAATATATTTTAAGGCTTTAAATATAATTTAGAAATATTTAAATAAATTTCCTAGCCTAAAGATTAAATATAATTATAATATCCCTTTTAGCTATCTATATATAAAGGGTTTTAATAACTTTAGCTAGGCGTCGGATTTAACGGACGGAAAATCCTTTTCCGGTTACTATTTTTATATATATAATAATATAATAAGCTAGGCTTACTTTAAGTAGAAAGCCGTTACCCTATCTACCTATAAAGCAAAGTATATTAGCCTTAAGGAGGTAAAAAAAGAAGTTATTTATTTAAATATACCTTTTAAATATATTACTAAGGATCTATCTATTAAGATTCCTAATACTATACCTCTTATTTTAACGGATAATACTACTACTATTAAATAAGTAGAAAATCCGGAATTTTATAAAAGGTCTAAGTATATAAGATTAGCCTATTACTATACTAGAACTAATATAAGAAAAGGGGAAATTAGAGTTTTTTATATTAAATTAAAAGATAATATAGCTAATATTTTTATAAAGGAATTAAGACCTAGATTACTCTTTAAATTTAAAGACGGTCTATTTTTAATATAAGCTCCTAAGTAATTAAAAGTAGTTTTTAGATATTTCTTATACTTTCTATATCTTTCCCCTACTAGGTTTTTCCTTTTATTAGGTTTCCTAGATAAATATTTACTAGGTTTTTTATCTATTAAGACTTTCCTAGCAATAATAGGTTTTACCTTTTATAAGGCTATCCTATAAATAATTATTATAACTATAGATTTTTCCTACTATAGGTTTTTCTATTAGTATATACCTAAAGATTTATTTTCCTAAGAAAGAATAGGTTTTTATATATCCTATTAAGGTATAAGAATAGTTTTCCTAAATTCGGTTTTTACCCTATATATATACTACTATAAATAAATTAGTAAAGAGTATATAAATCTACTCTTTAAGGGAGACTATAAGGAACGGTGTTCCTACTATAAATAAAGCAGCTATAATATACTCTCCCGATTATATAAGCTAATAAGTAGTATATTAATTATAGATAAAATCCTATCCTATAAAGTAAGAATCGCTTATTATTTTATATATTATTATACATTAAACGGGTTGCCGGTTATCGTATAATCGGGAATCGAAGGAATAGAGCTAGTTTAGAATACTAGCTAAGACCTCTTAAGAATACCGGCACGACCAACCTCCTTTAAACACGAATATTAGTAGAACTAAGACACTTCTAGCTACACTTAAGGCACCACTAAATTCCTTAGTCTTAGGGCTATATAGTAGCCTAAATCCAGTCCTAAAAGGTTCTTCTATTTAGCTATAATTGTCTATATAAAGTAGTATATCTACTAGTAGATAAAGATAGAATTATTAACTTTAATACCTCTTCTATATACTAATATACTACTAATAAATTCCGTTGAAAATCCTACCTTATACTCCTTCTTCCCCTCTATTACGTAGTCTTATATGATTCCTTAATTCCCTAAAAATTCGCTTTTGCTTATATACCTTAAGAATAGCTAAGTTTATTAATCTTATCGCGCCCCCGGCGCCTTCGAACGCTTACGTTAAGCCGCCTTAAGCTAGCCTAACTCGAATTAGGTAGCTAGGATGCCCTTATAGCTAGCTATAACTATAATACCGTCTATAATACTATCTATAATACTATCTATAATACCCTCGCTATAAGGGAGCTTAGTATAGGTAGCTTATTATTATAAGGCCGGCCGCGTATAATAGTAATAACGTTAAGGTCGCGGATTTATAGTAATAGCTCCTTAAGGTCTTAATAGTAGTAATTAGTATTAAATTTACCTAAAAAGGGGGGGGGTCTTTACTAACGACTTCTTAAGCTACTATCGCGAGAGAATATTATACTTTTTAAGCGTTAACCTAGCTTAAAGGCGTTAAAGGATTATATATATATAAGGTAGCCTAAGTTAGTATATAAATCGCTTACTATAAGGCCGTAATAGCTATAGCTCCTATATTAGTAAAGGTATCGCGGCGAGGGTAAGCCTATATTATATAGTAAGTAGGTTAATTACTTCGTAGGTAATTTTTATACTAAGATCCTTAAGCTAAGTCTACCTTAGGAACTAATACCTTTATTATATCTCTTACTAGGCAGCCGTTTATATATATATTATTACTTTATTCTTAATTATCTATATAAGGGTATTATAAAGATATAAGAGGTTAGAGGTGCCTATAACTAAATAAGACTTTATATCCTTATAGGCGGTCTTAACTAAGCTATTTACCTACTATCTAAAGTTATAATATTAGCTAATAAAGTAGCTTGCCTACTACTTATACTATAGTATATATTCGTTTAAAATATATATTATAATATACCCTTAGTATTAACTAAAGGTCTTATCGAGCTACTACTATACCTTATAGAAATCCGCTTTAGTTTTTAAGTAAATAACGCGCTTTTAAGCTAGGAATATTCCTTTATAGCTAAATTCGACTTTTATATTATCTAGACTAAATATAGTAGTGGCGGCGGCGTTAGCGGCTCCTTATTTAATAGCCTCTTAAGTAAGGATAGCTTTTACTTCCTAAGGGACCTCTATATTAATAGAGTTTTTAGGGCTATTAAGATCTACTAGGTCTTTTTAGTAGGACTAAATTAGAGCCTAAATATTACTATTAACGTAGAATATATAGAGTTATTATTACGTTAAAGGGAAAATATAAAGGAGGGCGTTTTTAAGGGTAGTATCTTTATCTATAATAACTATAGAGGGCTCTTATACCCTATTACGGGCTAGGCTACGCTATACGCTTAGGCTGCGCCTATATATCCGACTATTAATAGGCGTGGTTAATTAACTAGCTAAGCAGCTTAGTTAATTTATCTTCTTTTACCCTCTACTACTATTATAACGTAGTAGTCTAATTAAATAGCTGCCCTATAGTAATAAATAGTAATATAACTACTACTTTAGCCCTTATAGGGCCAACCTATTATATACCCTAACCTATATATAAAGAGCGTTAAGGGACTTATATAGCTACTAATATCCCTCTTCTTTCTCTAAGTTAATAAGGATAAAGGCGAAGTTAGCTAAGAACTTTTAGTTAGTAACTCTAGTAACCTAGAAAAGGAAGAGACTAAAGCGGTTAGTTTTATATATATTATCGAGGCTAAGAGCCTTAGAGAAACGTTTCTATATCTTTTAATACTATAGATAGGTCTATAATATACTATAAATCTTATTTTTATTTTATAGGTCGAATTTAACGTAATAAGGAAGATCGCTTACTTAAAGATACTATAAAAACAC